TTTTTAACTATTTACTTTGTTTTATATATAAAAAAAAAAAAAAAAAAAAAACAACAAAAAAAAAAAAAAAAAAAAAAAAAAAAAAAAAAAAAAAAAAAAAAAAAAAAAAAAAAACTGCAATACTGACGTACTAAGCTTAGGCAACTACTACGACGATATCGTCAAATCTTTGAGCGATGCTAAGCAACCAAGTGACGAGGCTCATGTCAATCAATCCTTGTTTTATTGCAAGGGGGATGACGATGTGCCGTTTGTGCAGTATTGTGGAAATGGATGTCATGATGCTGGATCGAAGAAGAGTGACAGCTGCAATTAAGGGGCTGGAGGTACGGAGACATGTATTTTAGTCATACTCTAAGTTCACGAATGTTATTATTCTGGTGTCTCTTCTATGGAAGAATTCGTCCAGCTAGAGGCCTGATCTGTTTGAAGACTTGTAGCTACTAGAGATCTCGTAGGATCGAAGCTCGACATGTGGAAAATCGGGAGAGGAAGTCTAATCTCTGGGGATAATAGCAGATCCCTAGTAAAGACTTCCACCGCTGAGGTAGAATAAAGCTCAGCGTTGCTCACAGATATATGCGCTATGTTCAATAGATCATTACCTATGTTCGATACGGGCTGTGTACGTATTACGGGTTCTCCCGGCAAGACGGAGGTACATTATTGCCCATCGGTGGCTCTAGGTCCCTGTCGAGTTTGCATTTGCATGCTATTTATATTGCAGATGCCTTGGTTCTCCTCCAAGAGGTGTTGGTGTCGTCGCCTAGCACCTTCTAGGCTATCATTGAGATATAACACCCCGTACCTTTTTGGGCGGTCATGGTAAGTCGCGTTCACTGTCGGCTGGCATTCCCGTCTTGAATAGTTCTATTTATAGGCAACTTTCAGGACCTATATTACATGTCGTCGTTGACTGGGAATGCCTGGAGTGATAATTGACACCCCTACTGCCTAACCGCTTTATGTCTAATAGGTATGCTGTAATCATAGCATAAAAAAAGGGGCTCCGAATTCAAAAGCTTAAGCGGATATAAGTACATTATGTAAGCAAATTATGAAGTCTTATGTAATTGTGCTACTATTACGTAATGCATCGCCGTTTCCCGAACTTAATGCCTGCTTATGTAATGAAAACTTACATAGTTTGGCGAACCCTCAAGCTTCCAAGCTGCGTATTGTAGATCACAATCTCCACCATATTCCACAATAAATCATTCAACATGCAGTCTTCGTCAGTAGAGTCAGTGCCTCAAAACGCTAAAGATCATGTTAATTTGCTCATTCTTGGAGCCGGATGGACGTCGACGTTTTTGATTCCGCTCCTGGAGCGCGAGGGTATCAAATATGCGGCTACAACTACCACTGGCAGGGATGGAACAATCCCCTTCAAATTCGATCCGCAATTAAGCGATCCGGCGCTGTACAAGACCCTGCCATCTGCTGACACCGTACTGATCGTCTTTCCTCTCCGAGGCCAGGGTCAATCGAAACATCTAGTGCAGATGTACGAATCCACACACAAAACCGTCGAAGGTCACAAATTTCACTTCGTGCAATTAGGTGCGACAACTATATGGACGGCGTCCACATGGCACGACGAGAACTCACCATACGAGCTCAGTGACGCCCGCGCCATCGCCGAGGATGAACTCATGTTGTGCTCTCAGGGTGCTGTCTTGAACCTCGCGGGTCTGTACGGAGGTGTCCGACATCCGCGCGACTGGCTAGACCGTGTGATTAACACGAAGGCCCAGCTGAAGGGCAAAGGTGCGCTGCATGTAATTCACGGAGACGACCTCGCAAGAGCCATCGTCGCGTTTCATCGGAACTTCACACCGGGGAAACGCTGGCTCCTCAGCGATATGCACGTCTATGACTGGTGGGACTTAGCACAGGACTGGGCAGTTCAGACTCTAAGAGGTGCTAAGAGCGGCGATTTTGATGTTCCTGCTGATAAGATCGAGATACAGAAAGAGCTGCTTGCCTGGGTCGGCGAACTTATGGTGGAGCAAGGCGTGCGAGCTCTTCCGAGGGACACGTCCTCTTTAGGTCGAACACTAGACGGTAGGGGATTCTGGAAGAAAATGGGCATCTGGCCAACACACGGACGGATCAAATAAATACAGAGCTTTCGGACGAAAAAAAGAAAGAAAAGGATCATGGGTGTATGCTTGCTTGCTAACTGTCTATTATTAGTCTATCATATGTGCTGATCCAGCATGATTGATTCTATTTCAAAGACGCTTCCTTGTGAATTTCTATACCCGGCGGAGCCCCAACCAGCGTCTTGCACTGAGCGTAAATGACAAACTGCCCTGCTACTAAACCGCACGTCATAAAAATACGCGGGCCTAGACCAGCAAGTAACAGTCTCCGAGGACCAAATTCCCGCGCGAGTGAGAACATCCTGCTTGTTACGCCCTGTTTCGGATCTCCTGCTCCCTTATTTATGGCCGATAGCAACGTATCTGCTGGGTGAGAAAGCACTGCCGCGGCCACGCCAGCTACGATACCAGAACTTAACTCCACGCCGGTCGATTGCAGTTGCGTCAATTTTGCCTTTCTCTCGGGGCCCATCGTGCGGTATATCACCTCGACAGCCGCCTCGTGCACCGAGAACTGTCCGACCGCGTACGGCACCTGCTTGAAGAGCAGCGGCACGAATCCCGAGTAGAAACCCCGCAGCCCTTCTTCCCTAGCCAGACGCATGAAACCCGTCGTAAGACCCGACGCGAAGCCGCGCTGCGAGACGAGACGGATGCGCGTGGCTTCCAGAGGACACAGCGCGATGTCGGCGAAGAACTCGGCCGTCGCGCTGGCGCCGAGGTAGATGGCGGTGCGCCGCTGCGTGGCCTTCTCCTGCGACCCTGTCATGTCGATGAACTTCTTCTTGAAGAACTCGTACCCGGCGAATTTCCCACCGCCCTGCACGAGATATCCGACGGCCGTGGGGCCGAAACCTGTGAGCAGTGCCGAGGCACCTTCTTTGGCTACTATGGACCGTCCGGCCTTGACCATGTTCAGGCCTTTCATCGCATCGTCTACCTGGATCCTCGTCTTGACGACGTCTATGGGTGTTGCCGCCTGTACTAGTTAGAGGCGATGATTGTGTGTGATGTTTGATTTGGGTGATAGGAAGATACGTACGCCATGTGTAAGAGTTGCCGCGAGAGCACCAGCACCGAAGAATTTGACGTAATCGCCGCCCCGGAATGTGGGCGTTATACTTGATGAACTCATTATGGAAGTACTCGCTATCTAGGCGCTAGGTTTACATGTAAAAGGTATGGAAATTATGAGGTGACGGGATATGTGGAAGAGTTCTAGTTGGTTTTATGTTCAACACACACACGCAGTCGATTACTCAGCGACAGAATGAACAGAATAGGGAGTCGGAGAGCGAACCTCAATCTTTTTTCCGTGAGGTAATTTCCCTTCTAATAAACGCCAATGTCAAAATTATTGTTTATGTTGAATTTTCTAAGATGAGAAGTGTACTTAGTTCAATAAATAAGAGTGAGGTCGACGGTTCCGGTTTGGCCGGAGTTTGTGACGTCATGATTCTGTGAGACGTCTCGGGGCTTGATCGGGGAAGTGTGGATGATAGGCCGGTCCTTCCCCGATTTCTATTCGGGTTCTTCGGAAACCCTTAAATTATCGCGGCTTTATCTATTAACTCCCAATTATTGCCGTTATTAAAATTTCTCGTCTTGTAAGCAGCTTCCGAGCTTGCAAGCTAGAGGGCCTCTTTAAAATCATCCACTGTCCTAGCTCGTGCATCCCTTCGGTTTCTCTGTCGTGTAACGCCAACCTACCTCCGATCCCGCCGCTCCCGCTCCCGCTAAGTCAGCATAATACCATCGTGGTAGACGAGCTCGGTGGAGCTATGGGGAGCTGTCCAAGCCGACCGTATGTGGGCGAATAGACTTGCAATACGAGATTACGATGAATGGCATCCGCCCTATCTGACTTGACATAGAGGCTAATATGCATTGTGACTTAATTACCTTCATTATTCAAAACAATTGTCTGACTTAGGATATCAGACCTACTCGCAAACGTGAATCCTCCATCGCCGACTAACTGGCACACCAGACTTAAGTTATGTCCTTCCTCTTTCTCGAAATCTACTGACGCAATTTTAGTACCTAACGCCGCGCCATACCCGTTCCGCCGCAGTTGGGCCATCTTTCTCTCCGACTGGGCCGTAACTGGTTGGAAAGTACATGAGGAGCCGTATTGGCTCCTGACACAAATGTTGTTGAGTCCAGGAGTGATGCTCTCATAAGACTACCGATGTCATGCGCATCCAGCACTTCATTGGTTAGAAGCGTCTTGTGGGCTTCCGTACGAGCATTCCTACGAGCTATGTTATATACTTGGGATATCGAAGTATTCTTAGGAGCGAGGTATAATTAATATAGTTAACCAGCCACGTAAGTCCAGTGAAGCTATCCGCTTCCCATAGTTCGTGAAGAGGGAAAAAGAGGGGGAAAGGCAATCAGTTGATTTAGTTGTCACTGAGCATATAATATATTTTGACATTTGTTTGAAGTGGTTGGCAATTTCCAACAAGCTGTTGGTAATTACATATGTACCCCTATATCTGAAGTGTCTAACTAGTGCGCCCAAATAGCAAAGCTCATACTCTGTATCCTATGACTTCAAACAAATATTTATGATTAATGAGTACAATATATCCAAGCATAATTAAGAGCACCTCCAAGTCAGATTGGCAGTATTTTACTTAACAAACCTTGTCTATAGGTAGAGAACTACCATTCAAAGGGATAATTATTTAAACATAAGTTTTACTTTGGACGAATGCCTCGTAGTACACTGTTTAGGACGTGTTAGAAGCTCTTTTTTATTCCTCTCCTTCTTGAATAATATAGTATAAGAGATAACCAAGTAAACCAAAAAAATGACACTTCTATTTACTTTTGGTCTAGGAATTAACAGAACTGTTCCTATCTTTAGTATGACCAGAAAACCCAGATCTACCTCTTTGTTCCATATAGCTTCAATGATATGGGGTTTGAACAAGTATCAAGTAGCAAAATGTGCCAGTTCTATAGGTTGAGAAGACATTCAGTCACTACAATCGATACTAAGTTCACCGTAGTGGGTGGAATCGGATAGAATGCTTCTTTTTCTATCAAGTAAGTACCTAATGGGTATGAACCGTGGCCAAATTTGAACTGGCACGACGGATTTACAGACTTGACCACTAGAGACAACCTTGGAAGTGCACAAGGTACACTTTCTCAGGTGTTTTAGTGCATGGTCTGGGCGGACAGCTGCTTGCATTCATCCATAGTAGCGACGTCCAGCCCCTACACACCTACCAACGACGAAAATTTACCTAAGTCAAGTTGAACGAGACACATCCATATTTTCTTTTTTTTCCTTGTCAATCACTGTAGTTAACTTACCTTACACCCACATCACAATTCGTCGTCGCTACTAAGGTCAATTTTTTACTACCTATTCACCTACTTTCTGAACAATTACAGCCTGCTATATCGACGAGTTAATCGTCGTACACATATCTACCGATGGAGGCAAATCACACCTACACCCACCACTACATCCTTCGGATTATCGCCGCTGAAGCATTGGCTCGATGCCCATCGCCGTCTCCAGGAGTACCGAGTGCTGGCCCGAACGTAACCTCAACGACGTAAGTCATCCTTCAAACTATACTCTATATACTTTTGTGTTTTTATGTGATGTTTTGACACGGTAATTAGTTCTTCTACCACTCCATCGGTGTTCGTGGCTACTAGTAATACGTCATCCATGCCTGGCGACAACAGTGTTGGTCCTCACACATCCAATCGAGTACAGTTGCCTAGAGCAGACCCTTCCTCAAACATATCTCCTGCCTGTCCCATCCCTGCTACCACAACCAGCGCACTGGCTTCTACCGACAGGCCAAGTACCGCAGCTGCTAGCAGTAACACAAACACCCCGAGGGTCTTCAATTATGCTGGTGTACAGGGGTACGAGATCCAAGTAAATGGCGAAACACGTTTCTTTTGCATTCAATGCAACCGAGACCTTAAATACTCTATGGGCAATGTAGCATCGCATTACAACCACATGCACAACCAGAATTCAAGCTATGCTAGGAGGAGGAGACCCCTGGCTCCTCCTATCCCTTGTCTTGAAGTCGATTGCAAGGTTGAGTTTCTGTCAGTAATAGGTCCCTAAGTCAAGCGTAAAGTGAGTGCAAAGGAGCGGCGTAGCCGCTGCTAGTATATAGCAAGTATGAGATGAACTAATAACGCTACTTCCTCTAAGGTTGAAGGGGGCGAAGCCCCCTTCTTATACCTTGCTAACTCGCGCTTGCCTAGCAGGAGGTCCGCAGGAGGTCCGCAGGACCTCCTTCTAGGCCTGCTCCACTTATGCCCCTGACAGTTTGACTCGCAACAGCACATTGTCAATCACTATCGCAACAACCATGGCCTGCGTGGAGAGTCACGTCAGCTCCTTTCTCGCTATGGATTCTAGGTTTGTGTAACATACCCCTTTTCCTATTTGACCATGACTAATCCGTGGAAATAGGAGCCGCTTCACTCGTTCACTCCTGGAGCAGAAACTCCGGGCTTTTCAAGTCCACCCAGCCCAAGTTTGGCTCACTCTGTTTCCAGCCTAGTCTCTCCTGTACGATTCTCGAGTACTTCTTGACCTCCTCCACGGGGTAAGACAGGAAGCTGATCTCCTCTTGTCGATGAACACCAGTACACGAGAACATAGCATACACTGTACGACTCTCGGCTTCTGGATTGCTTGTTATCGGCTCGGCGTATGCCCCGCCGCCATGATACAAGCTTCCCAGCATTATAAAGGCCTCCCCTTTCTTCAGTTCTGCGTCGACGACGTCTTTTGTCCCGTCAGGCCCAAAATCTGGTTTGTCATCTCCCCAGAGATGCGAACCTGGGATGACGCGCGTAGCTCCGTTGGCTCGCATAGTGTCGCATCCTGGCACGAAGAGTCCTAATAGCATATCACGATTTCGACTATATTGGGAAGCTTGAGTATGGCGTGCGTGGTGGTTTTTATCATCGCGATGTAACCCCTGTGCCGGTGTGCCAGGTGGAATATCAAACGCAATAGAAATGCTTAGCAAGGGATGTGAGGTGTTCACTTGAGCCTTCTCACCGTACCATGTCGTCGTCTCCAGTGCTAGAAAGTGTTCACATAACGCCTGGTATAGGGGGTCTGCAAAGAACTTGTCTCTTACTGTGGGAGACCGCATGACTAGGCGCGTAACCGTCCTCGTCTTTCCTCCGAGCGCTGGAGATGAATCAGCCAATAATGCGTTTACGAGAAGACGTCCGAAGTAATGTCATCATATTTGTCATCTGACGAACATGTTGATGAGATCACAGACAAACAGGGGCAGGCTTATTTTACTTACCGCCAACCTTGGCCCCATTCGAACTCTTCTGTTCTTCAATCCATGGTTTAACTTCAGCGTTGGCCTGTTCAACAACTGCAACATCTGCGAAATCCTCTATTATAACTCCGCCATCTTGCTCTAGAGCTTGGATGAACTTCTCCGTGCCTTCACTCCGTCTCAAACGCTGGATTTGTTTTGGTGTAGCCATCTCTTGGTAGTTGCAAAACTTCGGTCTTTCTAGAAGGGATGAGACTTCATGCTAGGCAAGCATACTTGATCAATATATCAAAACATGTTCTTATTACCGGTGACATGGCGGGGTTTGTGAAGGGGACCAGGTTTATTCCCATCGGTAGGTTCCGGTTATCAGGATATCTCCGAAAGTATACCGAAGCCCATATCTATTTTCCATATAAATATCAGATGCTTCAAGGAGTCGGAATGGTCCGCCTTCGAAACCAATTCTAGCCAGCTTTACCTTTCAAAGTGATGAATGCATCTTTTCAAGCGGCACAGAAATGATTCACGACACATTTACTAGACTTGTTATTCCTGAAAACATGTTTTTCTGTTTCTTCTTTCCCATTAGTGGACGGTGGCCCCATAGTCCGCCCCATAAATTGGACGGTGTTGTCCGTACAGTGTTTCCAGCGACACTGAACAACAAAGAACAAATCATGAATCACTTGTGAAAAAACTCTAATTTCACGATGGTTACCTAGGATATTGCTATCCCAACTTTAACAAAAACAAAGTGACTAATCAATTGTTATGAAGATGTTGCGTTGAATACTTAGGTACCTAGATTAGCGCTGCTGAGCAGCTGTCGGCCAGGTGACTGATATCAGATTAGTCACACTCACATTTCCCGGTGCCCACTGCATTCTGACAACAACTCATCTTCGTCGTTACCTAAATAAATACTTCTGCCTTTCCTTCCCCGTAACATATTCAAACTCTCCCCCATACATACGGTGCACCATCGTGGATGGCACCTGTTAAGACATCATGGGGCCGAGAATCTTTGTTTGGAACTCACCCAAGGCCCGTCGCCAATTGCATCTCGGGCCATCGGTTAATGGCACCTTAAAGATCGTGGATTTACCAATTCAAGATGACCGCAGTGTACACCGCAGCAAGCCCTTTGACAAGTTGCCCGATGAATTAATTCAGACCATCCTGGAATTTGCATTCCCATCGTCCGAGGCCACAGATTATCGCACTGCTTTGGCGCTGACCCTAACATGTCGCCGCCTATATCGCTTAGCAACACCATTCCTTTATAACCATCTACACTTTCAATTGCCTTTCTCGAACCACTCTAATGCCTTGATGCGCATGAATCCAGCAAATCAAGTTTACTGTCGAAAATTAAACATCGCATGCTCAGATATGCACGGTGCAATGACTGACGAGGATTGGGTGATTACTACCGCCTTTCTAACGAAATTCTCCAAGACACGTAGTCTGGTTATCCATGGAGGATTCACAAGACACGGCATCGAACTTTGGCCCTTAACTAGCAAATTGTTGGCGAAAATGCCCTCTCTCCAGCACCTAACTCTCAACAGGCAGTATTGGGGCCTTTTACTGCCACGCATCAAGAAATACGTTCAAAGCCTGACACTCAAGAGCTTGAAGATTCACGGAATATCAGAGTCAAAAGAGGCACCGGGAGGCTTGTGTGGGCCAGCCTCTTTTAGTGATCTCGAGCTCTCAGATTACGAAGAGAATGCCAAGGCCACACGCGCTCTGATTCGATGGCCCAGAAAGCTTCGACGCTTCCACTTCGAGAGCTTTTACAACAATCGTCATTATATGGACCTGACCATGTTCGGAAACTGGCTTTCGATCCATAAAGAAGCCCTTGAGGAGATATACATCGGCTACCTGTCGGGCGGTAGCAAGGGCAAGATTATCGACCTGTCTAGATTCACTGCTCTCAAATCCCTTACCCTGTCCAGATACTCCTTTTCAGATGACCTCAAATCTTGTGCTACCGACGCAAGCCTCATGCTTGCGCCTAATCTAGAGACATTCACCTGGAGTTTCAGTATTTACGACCAACACTGCGAATCGTGGGATGCCATCGGCGAGAAGGAGGAACTGTGGCTACAGCAATTGGCGAAGATCGCGGCGTCCAGGCCAACTCCGCTCAAACGGATCCACATCACCTTTGACCCTGATTATTGGGGGTATAGAATAGAAGATGGGTACCCGTGGGATCGCTTAGACCGGGTAAAGGAGTCCTGCCGTCAGCTCAACATCGAGCTGACCTATACCAAACCAGCCCTGACGAAAAAGGAATGGTTGGAGCATGTCGCTGAAGAAGAGAGAATAAGCGAAGCACAGGCTCAGAGGGAGCGCGGAGAGGGGGAAGGAGTGGGCGAAGGGGTGGAAGAGGGCTCGGAATCTGAGGAGCCAAAGAAGAATAAGGAGGGAAGGGATATCAGGGAGTACTTCGCCCAAATTCGTGGAACACAACTCCATGATAAGTGATTGACTGTTAGAAGTCCTGTTAGATTCGTGTATCGGCCAAGAACCTATTAGAAATGTCACATTAGAATTGGCAATCCGAATATGAGAAACCTGAAAACTTCATTCTGGCAATCTGCAAAGTATAGGGGTCCTAATTCTTGATCATTCGGACTGATTCATAGCCTCATCCCACATCATCCATATCGAACAGCAATAATAACCACCAGTAATCCCCAAATTGGCCACCAACCTGAACTAGACGAAGCTAGCTATTGCAAACCAGTTTGCGAAGAAAAATAGAAAAGGAACTAAAACCACCATAGACAAATTGAGACCAGCCACTCCAAATTCATATGGATCCAGTTGAGAGAAAGCAACAGAAAAGGAAACACAATGAAATAAAAGCAATAAACCCCCCAAACTTTTTCCACCCCTAAACTTCCACCACTTTCACAATTTCCACATCATTCATCATTCATCACCAGGGGTGGGTACTAATAGAGCAAATTCTTCCCCTCGCCCCCAAGCCACGAGCCACGAGCCACGACCCAGTGTCGCAGACCTAGGATCCGTATTTTCGTTCGATGGCTTCCACCGCCTTGTCGTAGTCGCCGTTGCTCCCCAGCAGGAAGAAATAGTACTCGCGGACCGACAGCGGGGTCGCGGTCAAGTCCTTGACGTGCGATATGAAGTCGACGAGCTTCATGGTGTGCTCTCGCGCTATGTGTTCGTCCTCCGCTTCGCTGAGTAGATGGCGGCGCTGGGCGTCGTCGGGGGAAGAAGGAGGGGGGAGCGTAGGCGGGAGGGCAGGGGCAGAGGTTGCGGGTGTTGCGGCCGCGGATGTTGGTGCGTCGGCTTGGGTTGCTTGGCCTGCTGGGGAGGCTTGGACTTGTTGCACCGGTTGCGCCTGCTGCGCTTGCTCTACTTGCGCTGATTGCTCCGATTGCTGCACCTGTTGCGCTTGGAGTGTGCGTTGGACTGGGTAGAATATCTCTCTGGTACCGCGCCACTGTAACGGATGTTAGCAATCCTTGTTTTAGGTAGGAGGTTTAGAGATCCGAGACAAATCTCGAGGGTGGTAACGTCTCAGTAGGTCTCAAGACAGGCTCGAAGGAAAGACTCTAAGTTTTACTTACCGAAACAGCACCCCAAATCTCCCAGTTCTTGACCGCTGCCCTCTCTCTCTGGAGGTTTCTCTTGGTATCGGGCAAGTCACGGTACAGTACAGACTTGGTCCAATCTTCTAGCTGCTCATGCATGAAGGCGCGCGCGGACTCTAAGCATATCCAACCGCAGCTAACTTTGCTGACTTGGGCGGGGATAGGTTTATGATGAATCACCAAGCCCTGGATATCCATCTCATTGCGCTCAAGGAAGCCGCGGAGGTTCGCTAGCAGGTTGAGTCTTCTTCGATCACGATCCGCCGAATATGCATCCTATGCCATACCCGTGTGCGTGAATCGGTCGTAGATGAGAAGAGACCAGTGATGAAGGCGCCCGCCGTGGACGGGGAAGACGATGTATTGATGACTGTCGACGGCGGCGCGATCCTTGGAAAACATGCGACGCGGCAGGTACAATGCCGGCTCGTCGTCCGTGAGCAGATCGCCCGTCGGAACCCATGCTCCTGTCGCAGCTACGGCGATGCGCAGGCCGATCTCGATTTCCTCGCTTCCCAGGTACAGATCGGCGATGTCAGGTGTTGTTTTTTGCACGAGGGCGCGACGTGACACCTCGGCTAGATTGAACGCGTATGCGACGTCGAATGCGTGGCGGCGGTTGCGAAATTTGAAGTTCAGCTTGGTGAACTCCTTCTTCCACTTCTCCATCCACTCGTCGAATCCGATCAGGCGTTTGACGCGTCTTCGCGGCAGCTGACCGCCATATCGAAGATCGGCGAGGTCTGGCTGGTCGAGGTCCGTCACAATGAACGGGCGCGCGAGAGTAGTGGTGAGGGCCGAGTTCTGCGCCTCCATCTTGCCGTCGTGTTGTTGTACGAATTGTTGTTGTACGGTCTATTGTTTTACGAACTGTTATTGTCGGATTGTTGTTGCACAAATCACCGTTGTACGAAGTTGATTGTAGATAAAAGATGAAAGATGATAGGGTTCCGTTGAGATGGGTTGACAAGCCTAGTGTATGTTGTGAAACGTGGAACATGTGCAGCTTGGCAGGTATTAATTGTAGAGTGTTCCTATTAATGTAGGGCTGAAGGGAAGCTTAATTGTAGGGCTGATCAGGTGCAATTCCTGATTGGACGGAAAGCGCTGATCGACGCGGGATAGACGTTCCACCGCATTGGTAAATTGTGGTTCTTGTGGGTCCACACTCTCAACGGTACATTGTACAAGCATACGACGTATTCACATATACGAGACTACGGTAGGTATATATGTGCATACCCAAATGCCACAATATTGCATCGTGGGACATACTTTTAACACCAATCATTTAAACGCATCAAAACGTCCAAATTTCATTATTATTTTATTTTAAGCACCCAGGTAAACTAAAGAAATCAAATCCGGACGTTGGTATGACTTTGCGCATAAGTAGCTACCTAGTATATGGTTGAAGTAAGACAAGCCTCATCGACATAAAGGAGTTCGTTATTAATTACCGCACGCATGTTGGTTGAAGAACTGCAGCTGCATCGGCAGTCCAGTTGTGGAGGTGGAGGTCGAACTTATATGATAGGAGACGTTATAGGTTGAAAGGATACTTTTCTCCGTGAGCTCGCCGTGAAAACCAACCCTTGCACGTGAAAGGCAGTCAGTTGACTCTCGCCACGACCCTCCATATATGTAATGCTACGCTATAGGATCATCATTTGGACCTGGTAAAAATGAAGGAAGCTTCTGGATTTCATTCATAAGTTCAATTGACACATTTGGTCCAGATCTGCAATATACATAGCTTGGCCCAATCAGCGGCTTGAATTGAGCGGTTAGGTTGCCCAGCAAGTCATTCCGCATGATGTTCTACCATGAAACCGCATAAAATCTCCGCCCATCCAAAAATACTTTCTCCGTTACAGCACGACCTCTGACGAAGATATTCCCAAGAGTAGCTGTTGAGCTGGCAGAAAAGTATCAAAACCTAACGTTCTTCAGTTTGGAACTCGGCAAGAAGCCTCCGCAGATACGACAGGCACAGTTCACCCTGGTAAAACTAATCGAAGACCTACAGAACTACGTCGTTGGTTTTATTCTTGGCGAGGAGGAAGGGCGCTTGGGGGCCAGTCGTATTTCTTGCCATTGAACAACATACCCACTACTTAGATGACTGACGATGTGTTCATAGGTAGCACGAGAAAAAAATGGCCCTTTTAATATGGATATTGCTATCCCAAAAACTACACTATGAGATAGCACTATGGGTCTCGAGGCCTGGAGGTGAAGAAACAACTAGGCAACCGGGGTCAAAGGATCACCGAGGCATTCCAAATCACGGCGAACGTTTTCGGGCGCCTAATCAACCCGCAAGGTGACCATGTGGGTAGAGGGTTCAACGCTATAGAAGCCGGCCTTTTATCGTTGGCCTCTTGACCAACCACGATCATCTGCCCCATACGGCGCAGGAGTCGTAGCAGGATCATTGAGAGAGCCCCAAAGTTGCAGTAGTTGACAACTAGGATGTCCCTTGAAATCGCGTCCGATGTTACAGTCGGTAAGCTCACGTTAAGGTGTGATGAGGTGTGATGCGTTGTTAGAATAGTAATACTCGAACCGCCAAGTTGGAATGATATGTCTTGAAGACCCAGAATAATGGTTCTGTCCCCACTGTTGGGCGTTAATACATGTTCAAGACAGTGGGCATGCTTTCCCGCATAACGGGATGCGCATTTAGAGTCAAGTCGTCAGCGGTTTGGATGACATGACGGCTGATCGTCCTGGCCAGTCATGTCACCTCAGAATGAGTTTGCCACCGGTCTGCCCAAGTACAAATGATATGTCTTTCGCCTGCATCCCGAATTAAAAGAGGTATCAGATTCTTCTGCATAGCTTGATTTCGTACAGCTGCAGTGTAGTGTTCCATTGCAACGCCATCTTGCCACAATGTCTAAGACTACTACTTTACGTTTCAGGTTGAGCCTGAAGAGGCCAGACTTCAGCAGTCTCTATAACTTCCTCCCCGGACACAAGTCTTCACCAAGCCAGTCTTCGGTATCTTCGACAACACCGATCAAAATTGACACTACCTCCTCTCCCCAAAGCATCACCACATTTCCAGTTTGCGTACACAAAGATGAAGCAGAGATATCTCAGGGCGCCATTGATGCCCGGGGTAACTTCAAAGATCTTCTTCCAGATGTCGAAACTCGACCACATTCTGCAGGACCTTATGGCAACTTCTTCGCCATGTGTTGGCCAGAAAGTCAGATGGAGAGGGTGAAACTAGGCACAGAGATCATCGAGACGCTCTGGCTGTATGATGGTAAGTGAAGAAAAAAAACAAGATTTTCGAAGAATTCTCTCATGCTAACTAATGACGCATCAGATGTCATTGAAGAGATACCGCATAGCGGGGCCATGGAAGCCCATGCTCAAGTTCGAGATTCTTTGGTCGGGGCGCCGGAAAAGGGAAAGTCGAGCTCCAAGCGCCATATGGCTAGCCTATTCAAGGATTTCGGTCAGCGCGTAGCAAAGATGGATGAAAAGGGGGCACCACGTGTCATCGACTCACTAAAGTCTTACCTCGAGAACTACGACAGCCAAAAGAACCCACTCGTTACCATTGAAGAGTACACCGAGTTTAGGAGGTTGAATGTTGGGTTTGGGTTCGTTTTCGCTTTCCTTCCCTATACCGCTTGCCCGGTGCTCTAACTCTGCTTTAGGATTATGGAGGGCTTCATGCAGTGGACCCTAGATATCCACCTTGACCAGACCGAGGTCGAGGCCTCTCGGGACTACTATCTCTCCAGCGGCCGCGTCATGGGTCTGACCAATGACCTGTATTCCTGGAACGTCGAACGAACAGAATCCGCAGATCGACAGTGGAATGCGGTACCAATCATCATGAGACAGCACAACATGACCGAGAGGGATGCTACCATCTACCTTAGAGGATTAATAGTGTACCACGAACAAGAAACCCGGAGGCTAGGCCTAGAAGTCTTAAAAAGAACCGGGGATTCGCCCAAGATGGTTAAGTATGTGGAAGCGATGGGACTCATGCTAGGAGGAAACTGCTTCTGGAGCGCAACTTGTCCACGGTACAATCCAGATCCGTAGCAGGAAGCGGGTGCGTTATTAGGAGGGAGGGATATGAATATGAATATGAATATGGAAGGGGAATACTTATTAGAGTGAAGGAACCCAGACTCACATCGATTAATGAATCACACGTCGTAACGCGCACAGTTTTTGAATACCTATAATAATTCAATTGATGCCAAATACCTATGCTACGAGATCGAGCGGTGACGAGTCCACGAAAGGTTGCCACACACACCTAACGAATAATCTAGCAGAAGTGTTCTGATCCAATTGTTTCTTACCGCTAAGACACTCTTAGAACGAGGACTAATATTATACATCTTAGAATACTTAGATACGAGGATGCTTGAAATATACCGAGCGACTTATATTAACGACTGTGTACGTTGAAGCTAGCGTTCGTTAGTAAATGGCTTTTACTATTGTTGAGCGAGAATCGCCCTGGTATTGCTCCAGGTGCTCTCAGGTCCATCGCTTACCTATTCAACTCAACTAGAGCTCTATATTTGAAGGCTTGTTGAAATATTAATACAAGACAAAAACGGTCACCAGTCGGTCATATTCTAGACATTCGTATACTCGACACGATATTGCGTCTCCTTCTGAATGTGTCCCTGCGGTATGATGTGCTCCTGGCTGGGAGTAGTTTCCAAGTCGTCCAGCTTGACGGCAGGTCCCATGTTCGAGCGCAGCTCCGATTTCTTCTTCGAAGAGCTCGCGTATCCTTGCGTCGAGTCGTTACCCCAGGGCACGTATTTCAACAAAGGCCGCAACGCAGCAAGCGACGCAGTGAAGATGGTCAACCCGAGCTCCGTTACCGAACTACAGACCTGGTCAGTATCGTTACATCGACGGTCACATGTGCAACATACTAGACGAATGTGGTGAGATAAGCGTTGGACGCTTCTACGCCAGTGGCGGACGTCAACTTGGCCACATCGATGAGGTACTTGAGTCGAATAACGGTAGCGATGGAGCTCCTGCATGGTCGTTAGTGCGTAAACCGCAAAAGGTACATCGAAGATATCCTTACACGATGCCCAATCCGAGAACGATGATGACAGACGCCTTCATTCTGCTGCTCAGTTGCACTCCCTTCAACAGAAGTATGGGTAGACCCTTTTACAGCACAATTAGTACAACTGGATGAGCGGGGCAGCCTGACCGGGGTATCTTACCGCATATAAGAAACTAGATGCGATATCCATGGCCGAAATGGAGTAGCCGGTATTCGCCAGAACATACGCCGGCAGGCAAGTTCCGGTGCCCTCACCCCAGGCGACCGGGAGAGGCGTGCATTGGAACGCGACAATGAGGGTCGTGACGGTAGTCCATATCGTCAGAATGACCATGGAGACGATCAGAAGCGCTCGGATTGGCTTGTTTGTAACGGCGATTCGGTACAAAACGAGGGCCACGCTGATCTTGGCGACGAAAACCACGATGACATACGCTAGAGTTGAGGCGACGAAGTACTATCCGTAGCAATGAGCCAATGCCCCCATCTGGCTTCTCACAATTAGCGGGCTTTGCTCACCTTGACTCCCTTCTGTATGTCCCACCCAGGCTCGATGGTGTCCGACCCATAACCGTTGTTTAGCGATGTGAACGTGAGAGCGCAAAGAGCGATGTAGCCCGCCTGCATAGTTAGTTAGCTTGCAAGAAACCCACTACATGGCTTCTATGTGTCCTCCTTACTAGGGCGAGAGACATGGCCCAATCATCGTAGCCGAAAGATTTACTCATGTGCGTTCGAACGAATACTCGTAGGCCGACTGCAATGATATCCAGCACGAGGAAGACGATCATCGCCGGGGGTAAACTGTCGCGAGCCCACATCTTTGCAGGAAGTGGTCGAGTCCGGACCAAGGTTAAACCGGGTGTGATAAAGGAGCGTAACGAAGCAATAGTATTCGAGAGAAAATTTCACGAGATAGCAAAGACACGACGTGATCACGTACTTAAGTATTAGCTATCCTAAACGTGAGAGTTCTCCTGAATGAGAAGAGCAAGGGACGATGGCTCGTCGATCAGACAACATTCGACGGCCTTGTCAACCGTAGATTTGGGAATGCCCAGCTACCTACCTAGTCGGTTATTTACAAGGCACTTGAAATTTCTTACACGGTGTAATCAGATCCTACGGGTAGGTGAGGGTAGCTCGACTATACCGCCGAACGGACCTGGAGCTGGTCTTTGCGGCCCTTATCTAGTCGAAACATTTATGCGTCGAACTGGTAGAGCCCAGGAAAACCCCTGAGAAGGCACGTGACGACTTATTAGAATGCTTCAAGGTTATTTGCTGGGCTTGCCAGGCTTGTCGGGCCTGGTAATACTACGATGTTACTTTACTACCTATTAGGGTACCAAGTAATGACGATGAAAGGTCAACCATCGAGTCGGGACTCTCACATTAATCCTATTTTGTGCGTAGTGCGTGTTCTCGAACGCTTCTTCTAATAAGGGCAGATAAGGGGGTATAATTTGTATGTTGCATTTTCGTCGAATTCATTCGCCGGGGGGAGCATTTTTGAAACTCGTATCCGAGTGACAATCCCATTCGAACAAATTTCGACGGACTACCAAGAAGGTATACATACTTAACCGAGTCAAATGTATGTATGAAATATTGAAAATGCCCAGCCCGGCCCTTGCTCGAGATAACCCTTGCTCAAACATTTCTTCAGGGTTAAGATGCATGAACCAGATGAACGCACAATTATGTGTATGTGTAGTATATATGTGTACTATGTACATATTATGTACCATCCTACCGCTCTAGGAAGGCGATGGGCGGGTAATACATCCCCTGTCCCCGTCGTCGCCCTTGTCCGCTCCCTATCCGCTCATTCAACTTCCACAATGCGGGGCCAGCCGCCTCTTGATCAGCGGCTAGGGCTTTTTTTCCCCGGGTCCAAAGGCTTTTTGACACTAGCGTCCTCCAATGACAGATGCCTAGTACGACACCGCAAGCCACCATGTCATGGTACATGCTATGTAATTACCAAACTAGGCTATACGTAAAAGTGGGCTTCGGGAAGGCCTATGATTCGACGGCGCGATCAATTTGAGACAAGCGAGCAGGTGTGGTAGCTCACCGTTCATGTGGGATACGGGTAAGTGCTTACATTTTTTCTTTCCTTTCTCTCCTGTCTAATACCAACATAGTACATATGCACATATATGCGTACAGATATGTACATAAAATCCCTGTCTCGAAAGGAAACATGGGACGACAGAATATTACTTGTCATATTTACCTTTCCTAGCTAGGTATGGTAAATATGCCAAGTATGTATGGAGTGTTTGGGAATGCGAATGTCAACGCATATAGATATCTCGTCAGCCAAGAGCGAAAGAAAAGTTGATATACATTGGTGTGACATTCATGATATAGGAGGCGCTATTCATTCAAGCATTATCCAAGACCTGTTGGTTGCAAGAATTGCAACTTAATCGCTTAACCATCTCGATAAATGCGCCACATCTCTACCTACGCCCTACTTATGGAGAAATCCATAATATGGGCGATATTAAGGCGTCGGCAGTCAGCTTTCCATAACAGCAGGGTTCATGTGTCCACCTTACATCGCTACCTAGGCGTCGGTTATCAGCGAAGATACACTAGATGTCTTTTTATTGAAAACAAGCTTGGATAATAATAAATTGTAGGTGGAAGAGAAATGCTTATCCACAAGGGGTCGTTAGAGCACCTTGAGAAGTATTGCTTGGCGAGAAAATCTTTTTTTTTTTCATTAATAAAATAATGTGTGGCTAATCGGCGACTGCGATTCGTTAGGTAAGCCTTCGATGCTACGATACTTACATACAACTACCAAAAGGTAATGAGGCTACATGTACGGACAAGGGTAAATGTCACCACCCACAGGGGTAGATGCTACCCTAAATCTTACCTTAAATGTCACCATAACAAGCCATAACCACTTCTCTATGAGGGTTAGCTTCTAGCCTTAAATATCGTTATTTTAAGTAGGTATCTGCTTGCGGGTAGCGGAGCTACTAACAGTGATTTTGTGTGGGTTATGTGTGTTATGTGTGCAGCATACATATGCAGTGGCTGTCTTCCATCCCACATGTCCGCATGTGTGGCCGTTTATTATGCAGACCGACTGTTTTCGAGTACTAATTTAATGACTAAGTCAACCGTAGTCGAGAAAAAAATGGGCTATGAAGTGGATAGTGAAGAAAAATAAAAGATAGCTTCTTTTTTTATGCTGGCATATTGCTGTCAAAGTTATGATAAACTAGGCATTTCCCGTAGGAAACGGTGGTTGATATGGGTCTCACCTTGACGCTATTCCGGCTAGTCAGGTCTAGAACTATTATATTCAACCTCTAACTGAAGGCCTCGTTGCTTTCCCTTGCTACGGCTTCCTCTGACGTGGTAACGTTATTCCGTGGCCCCCTTAAAAGCGGCTGAGTACCTATGTAGATAAGCGAAATCCGGCGATGATCGGCAAGATCATCGTGTGATTAGGGGGGACTGCAGCAACCCAGGAGGTATACGTGCACCAATACTTTACCAGCAATCATACAACCATGAGCTGACTTATCATGGCCCTGCGCATCATCCACATACATAATCCAACATCCCCTGTACAAACGTCTTTCTGAGGAGGGAAGCGATGTTGGTGGGGAACCGTTGAGCTATGTCGGCCTAGTCTACCTAGTAAACATCGCGACATCAGTCCCCGCCTCAGATTATGACCTGTAACCCTACTCAACGGAAAATATACCATTATCTCTAGAAACGTATCGCTGTAGGTTGGAGCTACCCCCGTCTTGGAGACTTACGGTGTATGCACTCGTGCCCGTTTGGGATGGGCAGCCACGAATTCAGTAAGCTCTGCATGAATGAAGGCCAAAGCATGGAAGTACGCTATTGCTATGCTCTGGTTCTAATATTAAGCTCAAAGGCCTAGCTGCCAGATCCAACTAGATGAGCCTACCTAGTTTTCCTCAGTCTATAATTCTTTAACAGCTTCATATACCCGCCGAGTTCGAAAAATGTCGGAGTTAACGCTTCCCACGGTCCCAGAGGAGGTCACGGCTTCGTGGCTGGCCGAAGTGCTAGGGACTAAAGTGAAATCGATCAATATCAAGAAGACGGTAGCTGGAACCGCTAGCAAGATCTACGTTACCGTTGAATACGAGGATGCAGACTCCGACAAGACGACGCCGAGACCAACCGATCTCTGCATCAAGGGCGGCTTCAACCCCGCCTTTATCCAACAGGTGCCCTGGGTCGTCATGATTTATCAACGCGAGGTTGAGTTTTTCAACCGAGTGGCTCCGTCGCTCGATCACATGGAGCTCCCCAAGTCCTGGTGGGCCGGCCAGAATGCCAAGCAAGGCATAGTGATTATGGACGACCTCGCCGCCCAGGGGTGCGATTTCGGTAATCCCGCTGAAGATTGGCCAGTTTCGCGGGTCCGCGCCGGTATCGAGCAGCTCGCCGCCCTGCACGCCAAGACGTGGAACGTCAAGCCCGAGGACTACCCTTGGCTCACCTCGGACTACGACCAGGCCATCCTCACGTTGATGAAAACCTACGACGCCGTCGTCAAGAGCGAGGGCCGGCCAGAAGTCCACGAATACCTCAAGGACCAAGAACGGGTCACGGCCGTCCTGAAGAAGCACTACGCCTCGAGAAACCCCAAGTTCCGGTGCTTGCTGCACGGAGACGCACACGGTGGCAACACGTACCTCGACAAGGGCGCCCCCAGGTGGCTCGATTGGCAGATGATCCATATCGGATCGGCCTTCCACGACGTGTCCTACTTCATCGCCGGCGCGCTCAGCATCGAGGACAGGAGAGCCCACGAGTGGGAGCTCGTCGACCACTACCTCGCCACCATAGCCAAGTTCGGCACCCCGACCTTCTCGAGCAAGGATGAGGACGTCGCGACGGAGTACAAGAAGTCGTTCCTCGCTGGCATAGGCTGGATTATGTGCCCCTACGAGATGCAGTCTAAGGAATGCGTCCACGCCATGGCTGTACGGTACGCCGCGGCGTTAGACGACCACAAGGTCCTCGAGCTCCTCGAGTCGTTGCCTTGATAGCCACTAGACGATCCGGGGGCACAGCACAGCTCGTTTTTCTCACACGACGTACGTAGAATAATGGTACCGAAAGCATAAACTGGCCCGCCCGTTGGAATTGGGATCCATGTGATAGAAACGCGTCTGTGGGGATTAAGTTAGATTACTAATCAAAAGAATTACATATTCAACGTTGTCGCTTGATCGGTATGCTGTATTGTGCACGAGATAAACTTCTTAGGGATCTGATTTTCGAAATTCCCAATACCATGAACCAACAGACAGTCATCTCAAAACCCGAAGATCTCCAAACCCTAGGGAGCTCGGATAGTTCGAGATTTGTTCCGAAACTTCCTAAAGCGTTCGTCCTGGTAGCGCATCCATGGGACTCGACACTCCCGAAGTTGGCACTGTATGAATCACGATTGCGTCCGCGGAGATAGCCCCTGGTCGTCGCGTATTCTTGCAAGATTGAAATTTCCGTGGGTATTTCAGCGGCATATTGGCCACCGTTAGAGAGATCCCGGGCGTGGTTAGTAACCCCTGGATCGTCGGTTAACACAGAACTTCCGGCTTTGTTTACGTTTAGCAGTGGTGACACCATCGTTTCTAGCATGTTGGTGGGTACATCTTAAAAATGACTTTAATCTCATCGCCTTCGGGGTAAGAAAAAAATCTCTAATTTTCAGGGGTAGTTCGGTAGATGCTGAGTTTAGTGCGCAATACCAGGGCTTCGTCATGGACTTAGTCATCCCCTAACCTTGTGAACGTGGATTATTTCATGAATTTACCAATTACACGGGTCGTGACATTTGGGGATTTATGCTGGACTTCTCCACAGGTCTCTTCCGCATTGGTAACGCTATCACGGCATCATCCATTCTAAATGCTGGCATTGGCCAGGAAACATATTATGATTACCATTCCAGCGGTGGGACGATACGCTTGCGGCTCTTTAAATGTGTCGTAATGAGAACCTAGTAGATACTGTAACGACGATACTATTGCGCGACAAGCTCTGGACCTAGCTACCTAGATAGGCAGGATCACGATTTACAAACAGGTCGATCTTTTTGTCTACGATGCCCTAGAACCTGTTACCAACAGGCCTTCCCCTGACGGACCGAACCTCCGACGGGCCGATCTATGCGACCCCTGGGCCGACTAGACACTCTAACAATAACGAAACTGCCAAACCACGGACCGAACTATCTAGGAGTATATTTTGTCAACCATCGTGTAACGGACAGAAGTCGGCCTTTCTCATGTGAGTTTTACGTTGGTAGGAATGTAATACGGCTCCTTTTTGCTACAATAATTATCTATGGATGTATGCTACCTACCTACCTAGATATGGTATCGAAGAATATGTAAAGTCACTAGCCAAAATCGATTGAGCTGAAGAGTAAATATGTCGGGAAATTAGTCGCATTTATTAATTTAACTAATTTTATATCTCCTTGTGTAACCCCCGTATAGACGATGGAATATCTATTCGTATCAATCTCAAAATCATACTAGTATATAATAGCTGAAGAGACGATCATGATGCCATTACCGTCTTAGGGCTATTAGGCTAAGGGACTTCTAGAAGTCTACCCAAGCATCTACGCACTCGTTGTCGTCGTCGTTGTGGGAGAACTAATATTAACAGATTGCTTCTCGAATCCGCTAGGCTATCTACAGTTAGCTTTTCGCCTCTCGTGTGGGATGCAGATCCTAAATACGAAGAAAAGAGGAAATGCATTCTCAAGGATTGCTTACCTGGTTGTTTGAAAACGCGGTCTGAATCAAATCGTTCGCAGTCCGTCTAGGGTCGAATTGGGGTAATGGCTTCCCAGGAATCTGCAGCGATATAGTCCAAATGCCGCGAGGTATGAAGCTCACCCCGGCTATCTAAGAAGGTCTTGATAGCGTTGACATGCAGATGAGCCCTAGTCTCTCGGAGATGTAAGCTGCTTCGTCGTCAGGATCACTCGTTGTTGCATAGTATTCCATTTGGACAGTGATCATTAGTAAAAAGTCTGTTATCTTCGGGGCACCGAATGAAGGAACCTGCTAAATCGTCAAAAGAATATATGGCACGAAACTTGCTGTCGCTCGCTCGCTCGCTTTAGACTAACAGCATAGCCATTAGAATCCAAGCCGAGTACGCAATCGGTCGTGTCAGTGGACAGAAGTCACTGGAATTGGCCGCTACGTGCGAGTAGTTTGACAGGGGTAATGCTCGAAGGAATGGTGTTACGTGTCTTTATCAATTCTTCAACCAGTCCGGAATAGAGAACATCTGCGATTATCTCCATCTGGAGTATAGCAGGTAGTATCTGTTTCATGAAACATGCCCAAATTGCTTAGCAGATCCCCCTATTCGTTCGATTGGACTCGTACTGACATCGAAGCTCTGTGCATCCAATGTAGGTATCTTCGCCGAATGATAGCTCATCAGGTGACAGCAAGGACGAGGAGTCCTAGAGGAACACGAGGAAAATGTTGGGTTGTTTGGTACCTAAACAGAGTCCCAAAGGTTGTCAGGTATTGAGTATCATGAGGTTTGTGCAACAACTGTGGCTTGGTATTCCTAGGTACCGTTGAAGTGTCTTGGAGACACTTAATGTATCTACTTGATGTTGTGATGTCAAAGTTCATGCTGACGCCCTTATTACTCAGGACAATAAACGCATCGCACTTCGATAACTACTATGCAGCTTATTTTAGCTGCTATCGCTGGATGTCAATTCGAGGACGCCTAGTACAGGACCGAATAGACCTTCGAAGATACCTACTGTCTATCCAATGCAGTGCCTATCATTCATAGATAAGGGGACTTACTCCCTGCTTTAGATCAAGTATCGAAAATAGAGAGCATATACGAACATACGGCAGGCAAAACATTCTGGTAACTCTATATGGTAAAAGGGGGCTACTATACGGGAGAGGTTGATGGCTATGCCAATGGTAACTAGACTGTTGGTAGCGTCTAGGTAGTCTGATTTGAAGTCATATAGGTAAGCATCTTTAGACACAAGTGAGGCATTCTAGAGTATGCTATTTAGGGCTCGACGTCTACTAGAAGAACTATATACTTTCAATTGACAAGATCAAGACAATACCTGCGTTGAATGTCTCCTTTCGTTGTCAGCCGACTTGCTTCGTGGTAGCTTACCTAACCAGTTCAACGTGTAGGGAAATTCCTCGAACTATGATTTACGTATTGCAACAATCAGGATGTTCTGTCAATGGAGAATATGGCATGCTGTCTACTTCTAGTTTAGTTGAGATATATCGAGCCAAATTGTTGACACTCCTTTGATTCCTTGAGGCACCATATTGTTGCTCGACGTTATTGTCAGGGGCATAAGTGGAGCAGGCCTAGAAGGAGGTCCTGCGGACCTCCTGCGGACCTCCTGCTAGGCAAGCGCGAGTTAGCAAGGTATAAGAAGGGGGCTTCGCCCCCTTCAACCTTAGGAGAAGTAGCGTTATTAGTTCATCTCATACTTGCTATATACCAGCAGCGGCTACGCCGCTCCTTTGCACTCACTTTACGCTTGACTTAGGGACCTATTACTGACAGATATCGTGACTCTCAGGGGTCGAATTTTCAAGATTACGTGTCTTGGCATGTGCCATCGGAAAAAGGAACAGCACACGAACGTTCATTTAGTAGGAAAGGACGGAATTATATTGAGGTTTATCAGATGAATATGCAGTAAAATGTAGGCCTCTCCTTGACCCGGTCCGCAATACCTGTTGCATCAACCGAAAGTTGCCCTCGCCGACCCCCCTACCTTTCACACCATCTCTTGCCGCTTTACTTAGGCCTGATCAGGCGCTACTCAGGGGAGACTCAGCCGTTGCTCACGACAGCTCAGGGGGAACATCAAAATGGGATTGGTGAAGTAAAATTCTTTCCCGAATCAAGGGAGGTGAAAAATGAAAGGTCAACTTTTCGCGAGATGGCATCCTTTTGGGAACTGGGCCCAGAAACAGGTATGGTGCACGAGCACGCGCCAAGACATTTGCATATAAAAGTCTAGTTTCTGTCTCTGGCCTCTTCAAAGTCGTCTGGCAGCTCAGAGAGCCTTGATCAGAGTCAACGTACTATGCCATCAATATATATGCAGAGTCAGCCGCGATGAAAATTCCGGAGAGATTATCCAGTTGAGGTCGGGCTTTCAATACTGAACTGCGCACCACCAGAAATGTAACACCTTAATACACATTTGATGATCTACACATCGGTACTTACCACACACTCCAAATCCAATGCAACGAATCTTACGAGTTATTAAACCATGGGAGACATGGGATCTCAACCGTTCTTGGCCCCTGTGTAACTGACAGTTGGTGGCTGACCCGCTGCAAATTTCGCTGCGTTCTTCACATGCCTACAAAATTAGTCAAATCGACAGTGTCACGAGGGGCCCCAAGTCATCAAAATCGAGGGGCACAAAGCCTAACAGGTCGAAGCCTCAGCTACTTCAGTCTTCCATAAGTAAATCTACAATTTGCAGCTATCGACAAAGTCCAAGAACACCGTCAGAAAGCCTTGCGGATTATCGAAGAATGGTGCATGTCCTTCATCCTTGAGCCTGATACATTCACCACGCCATAGTCGAGGTGCTCCTTTGCAAACGGAATCACAGTAGTCCAGGTCCAAAATGGGCTCAGACCCACCGTTGACGACGGCTATCCACCCTTTGAAGTCGTGCACAATCTTGATCTGATCACTGCAGTAGCCTTCCATGAATTTGGCACCCATAGTTCTACCGGTCAAGCGGTTCGTGCGCAAGACATCTTCAACCAGCCAACCTGGCGGCGGTGCAGATTTGGTAAGAACACTGGCGACCTTGATCAGGTCCTCCTTGGAAGCCTCCGGGTTGAACAGGGCTGACACATCGGCGTCTTTGCGGAAACCGGCAATTGCCTGCTTCGGCACTGGTGGCGTTCCGGTAATCATGATGCCGGCGATACGAATGTCAGTGGGCTGTTTGGCATTCGCGAGCACAGAGACAAATTCCAGTGCGACATGCCCACCAAGGCTCCAGCCTAGTATTATAACTTGCGTGATGTTATAATACCGGAGGACTTCCAGGGCCGCTTCTGCATAGGCGTACTGGTAGTAGGATTTGTTGGGGTCAGGGGCGTCGGAAGAGCGACCGTGGCCTGGAAAATCGAACACAACGAGTTTGTAATTGGATTTGAGCTCCGGCGAATTTAGAAGTGGCTCGAAGATGCGTGAGCTAGTTGCACTGCCATGTAGAAACAAGATAGCCGGGTTTGGCTTGGAAGATGCCTGAGGTTCACTGCAGGCAGTCCAGAGCGTACCGAACTCGCTCTCGATCTTTTGCTCTTGCATGGTGGAAGGCGCGCGGGTGGAAGGCGCGCGGGTGGGAATAGAAGAGAAACGGGGAGGAATGAAGACAAGAAAACGGCGCCAAATGTCGTCTGTTAAAGAGTTTTTTAATGTTCTCCTCACCGGTATTTCCTACCGGTAGTTTGGAGTTAGAATGAGAATGGGTAGACAATAAAGAAAGGAGGTTGAAATTGGGCAAGAAGGTAGGTAGGTAGACCTAGTTGATGACCCCTGTGTCGTTGTGTCGTTGTTTTCTAGTTGATGTTCCCAGCATTACTTTTATTAGCGCCGGTATTATTCCTTACCGCGTTATTTTAGTATATTGATAGATTCCGCCCAGATGGTAGCCCGTCAGATTGGCTGCGTAAAACCCAGCACTAGCCAACCAGACACACGGCGTAGCATCATGCTCGCACACTCCTGCTCGATTTGTATATACTCACACCCCCTGCAAAGGAACAGTAGCCTACCTCTGAGAATCTCTCGTGCGTAGTATCCGTATCCGCTACGCCTCTTTTCGCAGAACAGACAATTGGTGGGATCTTTCCCTTACTCCCTTACCCCGCGCCGAGATTTGCTTAATAACATCGTGTTGGGAGTTGAGGGGGTGGTCTTCTTGGGCGTCGTTGCGGCGATATGAAAGAAGGTAAACGTCGCTTTGATCCTGTTTTGAGGTCATTGTAGGGGGAGAAACTGCTAAACCAAAGCTATTTCCGAGTAAAAAGAAAAAAAGCAAAAATAAATTATAATACTAAATAACTTTAATTGGCCTCCTAACCTCGCTCCTGACTAAGCAGCGTATCGCTTCTAGTGGCTGCTCAAAGGGGAGGGGCCGCGCCATGGCCATAGTTCGTGGCTTGAGTGATGAATGTCAAGTCAAGCCTTTCGGCCAAGGCAGGAGGGCACATGCAAATCATCTTGGCCGGCCAGGCCAGCTTGGCGAAGGCTTCTCCCGAGGGTGTTAGGGGCTGAGTGCTGACTGCTGCAGCCTGGCCAACAGCTATGCAAAAGCGCGGAGTACTTGCCCAGATTGAGTTCCCATGCAGCCTGTAGTGGATGTGTGTTGGTGTGTGTGTAAAATGCCGAGACAGTACAAGATGTAGGTACATCCCTAATTATTAGAAAGACACCCACCAAGAGAAACCATCCCTTCGGGTGTATTAAATGCAAGTCATGAACAAGGTACAAGTAGGAGATTATTACATATTGACCAGGTGAGCAAATGTATACTCTACCTTCCCAAGCTTTTCGTTCCAAGCTTCATCACCTGTCGAGCATCGTCCAAAACAGCCATTGTCAAGAGTCAAGACGGCATCATCTTTCCACGACATTATTTCTTCTTAACAGTACAAGTACCTATTGAATTATGCCTCGCCCAACATCCCGTACGCTTTTCGTAGTCGTCCCTGGTGCCTCTCAAAGTCCTTCCCACTATGGCTATCTCCTCCATCTCCTCCAAAGCAAGGGCTATCCGACATTGTCTGCCCTACTCCCTTCGACCGGTGTGGCCAAAGACAAGGAACCTGGGGCTGTGCCGGGGGCTCACCCTTGGCTCAGGTTAGAGCAGCAACATCTTATGGGGGCTCGCGGCAACTCACGTTTGTTGACAACAATGGTAATTCATCAGGGCAACTTTCGGGTGATGCATATGTCTGTTGCTACTTGGTATGCGCGCCCTTAATGTATGCTTGTTTCTATTTGATCTTTTATGTCCCACCAGGGTTTTATTCCGGCTGTAATGCCATAGTATATCATTGCGCTGCAGGCCAACACGCAAGAAAAGGCTAACATGTGATCATCGTCATTCAGCGCTGACGTGACTGAACTGTGAACTGGAATTTGAGCCCGCCTCTTTCCCTCTGCTTCTGCAAAGTTGTCGCCGGGAACGAGAGAGGCATGAGTGAGTACTTCGATGCTATTGATGAATGATGTGTCCATCGTATTATGTCGTGTCTCGGCATATAGCGTATTACTGATATTAGGGGAACTGACTTGACGCGACTCCTTACCACGCCTTATGTTGGTGACAGCGGCCAAATATCTGGCTTTAGGCGTTTATAACGTCTTTGGCGATCCTCAAATGCCATCCAAATTTGGCCAATACATTCTTTGGTCTATCACCTTCCCGGTTCCCAAGGCTCCCATTCCCCTCCCGGACCCAACAAGGACGATGTATTGTGACTAATTGTAATCCTTTATTGGTTATCTACGTTAGAGAATCCGACATGAGACCAGAAACCTGTTCATAATGTGATAAACATACTACCAGTGATCGATTGTACCTCTAGGTTACTAGAGCAGACAGGCCACGGACATGGTGGCCAGGTCTAAGGATGGTGTATCTATGGCAATATCTAGGCTGATACGAACGTTTCGGATAAGGGTCGCTGCTAAGAAATTTGCTCGGACAATGATGCTGCGCCTAGTATAGAAGGCAACGTGTAAGTTTTTCAAGGTATGATGATTGGGTACTTAGGATGCAAGAACGAGGTGGACGAGAACTACGCGACTGATAGTGGCAGGAGCTTGAACCATTAGTCAGCATCGGCGTCCACGGTCACGTGTAAATTCTCGTGCTTATTAGGTAAGCTCAGCTGACGGCTGCCTAATAAATCCGAATGGACAGCCGAACTCTTCACATACAACCTCACATCTCTTATGCTTGCTGCTTGCTATTTCTGACGACACTCGTATGTAGCTACCTATTAGGTATATACTAATTGTCAATGGTGGTTTTCGAGGATATAGACTCTTTGAGAGGCACGTGGGCGTTGTAACCTACTATGTTCTCATTAATAGTCAGCTTTGTTCATTTATTTCCGTTAAACTATTAAGCCATGCCCGCGCAGTTACCACTCCTTGTCGTCGCTGACGCAACTGCTTGGTCTAACTGGTTATTCCGTAGTGGCAGCACTTCCAAAGGTGTCTGGCTAACACTATCCAAGAAAGGCGCAACGCTACCGACTTCGCTCACTTATGCGCAGGCTCTCGATGAAGCATTATGCCATGGATGGATCGACGGGCAGGCCCGCAAGAACGAGGGCAGCAACGCGGATGCGTCGTACTTGCAACGGTTCACGCCACGAGCGGCACGGAGCTCCTGGTCAAAGCGAAATGTGGAACACATGGCTAGGCTAGAGCGAGAGGGTCGTGTCACAGAGGCCGGGCGCCGTGCTGTCGAGGCAGCAAAAGCAGACGGTCGCTGGGAGGCTGCTTACGCGGGACAAGCGACCGCTGAGCTGCCCGCGGAATTCCTCGCCGCTGTCGCCGCCATCCCCGCTGCTCAGGCTGCGTACGAGACTCTATCGCGGCAGAATCGCTTCCTCATCTATTACCGCTTGAACGCGCTTAAGACCCAGGTTGGACGCCAAAGGAGGATTGCCGCCTTCGTCGACATGTTAGCGCGCGGGGAGACTCCTCATCCGCAGAAACAGCGCGCACGAGTCTCGAGCCCGTCTTCTTCCTCGACCACCGTTTCAATTGAATCACAGGAAGATATTTCTAGACCAGGCCGAACCAAGGGGGCGCGGAGGTCTATCCGCCTCGCGTGGCGCATGGAATAATCTTCCTAAAACGACACATCGGAACTATTAATTGGGTATATACGCATAGACTGAACACTTATTGTAACCTTTGTCGTACAGCATTGATACGGTACCTCTCTTTATGTTTCATTAATGCTCCGTGGCTGCCTTTGCCGGCGACCATCCCGCCTTCTATCACGACAATCATGTCAGCCTTCTGAACCGTTTGCAACCAGCGTTTTACCGCAACGACCGTGATCTGCCGTGCGGTCTTGTCGAGCCCGACCCGTGTCCATATTCCGTATCATAACCTTGCGGGAGTCCGATGATGGTTTCGTGGATATTTACTGCGCGGCAAGCTTCCTCATCTCGGCGAACGTGGCTTCATGACCAGGATGTGCACCGATACCGACGCTAGATTTGATACTGCTTTTGAATAGGGCATTATCATGTGGCACTACTGCGATGTTGTCATGGAAATTGGCATTGCTATTTAGGCCAATGTTGATTCCATTGGCCTCAACTAGACCATTTTATGGCGAGTATTGACGTCCGATTAATTTGACTTGCCCTCACTCGGGGGTCCAACAAGCCCAACAAGCCCAGGCTGAATTGTCTAGGAAACACCCCTGAAAACCGGCTGATCATGTCGAGAAGGGTAGGCCAAGTGGACATCTCGGAATGCGACACTCGCGCAATTAGAGGGCGTCGATTGTCCCCGCAAGGGCTTGCTCTCTGCCTCAGTCTTGATCTCGCGATTTTTCTCTGCTTATCAAGCTATTATCCTTCGCGGCAAGAATTTCGGAAGGTCTAAGGCGCTCTTTATCAAAATGGAGTTTGATGAGACTTAACGTCCTCGATACCACGCTCTTCGCGCGAGCAAATTCGGGAGGAGGCGACGGGGGGTAGAGAGGATATCAGACCCTAAAGAGAAGCGGAAACGAGACGAGTGATCTGACAATGTAAAATTTGGTCTGGCCATTTTCGCCGCATATAAGCCATCACAGCCATCAATAAGACAGAGAATAATATATGAAAAATCCTGCTCTGGTTTAAACAGACAAGTGTATTCAACTATGTAAGGATTTTGATAATGCTGGCCCTAGGCCCTTTCAAATTGCTCCGGTATCCTTTACAACCGCATCCTCTGGCAACAGGCCGACTCGTGTGCCATGATCCTGCTCGATGCAATCGATGAAGGATAGATCAGTTAAGATTAGCTGCTTTTTGAAATGACGTTTCTACTTCCGCAATGGCCCCTTTTTACTTGCTGCTGCGCTTAGCAGATCATCCTAACAATTAAATATGAGATTGTGCTTCTCACGACCCACGATCGCTGACCGAAGGTTCTTATATGATCAGGGCGCGGGCAGCTCACAATGCTAAGGGCGATAATTTCGAAAATAGAGTGGATAGGTAAAAAGTTGGAATTCTTGTAAGCTGCGCATGTTTAACGACTTATATTCAATCCCGTCAAAGACCGTCTTGCTGCCCATCGGATTATTGAGCCGTCCTAGCAGAATTGCATTTGTAGATGTTCCACTCCTATTTGATTAACGGTAACTCTGTATTTTCCAGACTTGAGAGTCTAAGGAAGATGAATTCCGCTCATAAACAGAATATATAAATCGGAAGTTTGCGCGAAGAGCAATGTTACACGAGGGACCCACAAAAGTGAAAAAGGGGGGAGGTCATCTAGATACTAGAGTGCCACGACGGGATACGGATAAGTCCACCCATGTTTTATCTACTGTGAAGGTAATTCAAGGGAGATTTTAATATAGGCAGGTAGCATTTTTAAACAAGTTATAAGAGTTGAATTATTCTTGACGGACCGACAACATCTTTTATGGGTTATTCCCCAATCCCACCCCTGTCGCACGAGACCTGTGAAGGTGTCAACAAAAAGCGGAGTCGCATATGGCATTAATCAAGCAGACCGTATTCTGGAATTGCCGGACTTGAGGCAATCGAACTAGATAGGGAAGGTATGATAATTGAGAATATCTAAGAAATACAAGGGCTCGGTAAAACAATTCCAAGCTGATGAGTTCCGGGTCTACGTAGGTATTTAGATTAATCAGGTAATTGTCGATATAATTAGGAAAGTTCACAAAGCTGAAAATTGATGATATACTAAAGACGGGTGAAATAGTATAAGGCAATGATGTTCGTATTACTCGAAGCTGTGATGGTAATATGTTGGAGGTCTGTACCCACCGGATACCTGGGCACGTTTACGGGTCCTTTTACTATGCGCGATGCTTCCCCACAAACTTGACCTCCACGCGAGGGCTAAATCTATTTTAAGACAGCGCCTCATGTTGCTTAGAATCAGTGTTTAAAACTTTAAATGAACGACAAGATAGCTGAGTAATCACCTATCAATTTCCATGCCCATGTATTCCTTGAAGCTGACTGAACTAATAACTGGTAATCCAATCGATAGCCGGGGCTTATGTGACAATTTGAAATGAAGACTACTCAAGTACTGAGTAAGTGGGTGCGAGAATGTAACTGGAAGGAGGAAAAAAAAAAGAAGAAAAAAAAAAGAAAGAAAGAGATAGCTACAAGAATCGAACCTGGGTGTGTTGTCGTTATGAATTTTTGGGGAGGAGAGGAAAAAAAGGAAGTACTCCTTAAGGATCACCTTAAGGCTGAACGTCAAGACAATGGGTACAAATCCACGATGTGCAATGTGGATAGGCACCTCAAAGCGAGGGGACAGATCTTGTTGACATCCGGGATCACTTTCGCTGGTCCGCCGTGGTAAAGGATAGCACTTAGTGCAACAGCATTTTTAAGACCAATCTACTGATGATACCACTCGGCCAAACAGGAGGTGATTCTCTTAGATCTCCGTTCATTTTGTATGCCTGTCTTTTATTATACTATTTAACCTTCATCCATCTGTGGCATGGACCACCTACACACTTGCCCTGGCACCTGCCACTATCACTTGCCATTGACGTACAGTACACCATAGATGTCTACTAATAACCTATCCTTTCTTTTTTTTTCCCCGTGCGGACTTTGCCATGCTATTTACAAACTAAGTTCTCGCTTCTTCCTCTGCGACCTGAACACATCTGCAAATCAGTTTTGTTTTCTATTCTACTAGGTACGTCCCGTCCACCACCTACCCGAACAACTTTAATTAACACTCATCTCAAACAGCGCCTCACCCTGCCATTCAAGCATCATGTCGTCAGGCAGGAGGTACGAATCGATGAGAAATATCCTGAATGAACCAGGACTCTCATTCAAAAGATTGAAAATCTCCTCTCACGTATATAAAACACTTTACGACGCTTGGGGGGGCAAGAGTGTATCACGAAGAGACATCTGCAACCAGGTCCAGAATTTACTCACAGTAATGTGTGAAGAATTTGACGACTATATCGATACGATTGACATCCTACACCTCGGTCATCAGGATGCTTTTTTTCGCACCATCTCCAGAAGGGTTTTCTGGACTAGAAACGTCAATCAAGAAGAACTTGCTTCTTTTATTCACTGCTTGATTGACGCACGAGAACATTTCTTAGTCAGTCCATATAATAGGAGAAATAGATTCGACACTAAGCCCATCCCGCGCCTCATCCAGCACTTCATGGATCTCTATCAGCAACGTGGAAAGCGAGAGAAGATGAAGGCTAAGGAGCAGCGTCGCCAAGAGGAGGAAGTATTTCCGAAAACAACTGTACATGACGAGAAAAAGGAGGAGAAGGAAGATAAGGGGGAGAAGGAGGAAAAGAAGGGAATCACAATTGGTTCTGGCAAGGTTATAGACTTACCCATCCGCAACAAGTCAGGAGATGTGGTTGGCCCTACCAAGAAGAAAGACCTAAATATCCACAACAAGTCGGGTCGTATGGTCGGAGCCCCCAAAGGCCCATTCCTCATTCCAATCGAACAGTACCGACTGCTCGTTGCTCGCGAGAAGGACAATGAAACAAAGACGCAGCAAGAAACGGAGAAGGCGGTGGGCATCTAATAGCTAGCCGCTGAGGAGTACTAAAACTTGTACGTATCAGGATTGGGGACATTATGGGAGTTCATATATGCACACAGAGATCAGTATTCCTCAGTTGTTCTTTGCTGAGCTTGGTACGGTGCGTCCTGGTGCAACGCGTGGATGGTGGCCCGGTCAATGCGAAAAGACCACGCGACATCTTCTGGGGGGCTTCTCGATGGTTGGCCCACTGGGCTCTCGAATAGCTTAGGTATCCTATAACTACCTAGTACCGCACGCAACTGTGCGGCCATGCGGTCAAGCAATTGAATCTCCAAGTTCTACCACTACTATTATTTCTCTCTAGTGTTGTTGTTGTCACCCACCCCATTACTTGATCAAGGCAGCTATCTCGTTCCTCACGGACTGATACGTCTCCAACGTTCTTTTCACCTTACATCCAAATAAATCAGAGTAATACGAACTACGCTTTATTACCAAGTCTACGTATTTATTATTGCAACAATTATCTGCTGGGTTTAATGCGATACTATCGCTGGCCCCTGTCACATTCGCCCTCCGTCATTATTTGATAATAGAGAATTCTCTCGTAAGTTGAACGCACCGCCATATTTGCGCATTTTTTTGCCAAGGAGGATGAGTTTCCATAGTAGAGAGAATCACTTATCTCAATACTAAAATTTACCACTCTTTGCTTAGAGCATCGGCTGCTATTGTTTTATCAACAATACCAGAGACCCCTATTACATTAACCGAGACCAACTAAACCACTACTTTTCGGTTCTTACATCTACAACAAAGTTCCACTTAACAACTATCATCTGAGGTGATTCCCATTTTTACGACTATGACCATGGACGGAAACACCACCTCGCGTTCAGTCAGTAATCCTGGGCTCATCTGAGGCTCGATTGGATGTAGTTCCGACACTTGGGTATCACTGAGCGAGTCTTGGGCTTCTGAAGGGATTTACGGTTATGACGCATACGGAGAGATGATCAAGCTATTTAGAGCGATTGTTCACGAACAGCGCTCCTACGATGACCACATAAGCATTTCTCAATTGCGCCATCAAAAGACTTTTCGGAGCCATGTCTCTCTAGGTCAACTGGGTCAAGCACCTCCCGAAGGACACCCTGTGCGAGCTGATTCTGCGCATCATTGCGCCCCGCGAGCAATGCTTGATCTACCGTCAGAAGAAGCCGATGGAAACGCACAAGCCAGACTCCGCCCTTGCGCTCAGCGTGCAGCAGTTCACGGATCTCTGCAAGATTCGCGCCGACAAGAAGCTGTCCTCCGAGGCCCCGGTGCCGAAGGCAGCAACCCCGGGCCTGGTTATCACGTCGCCTCACAAGAAGCGGAACCAAGCACCAGGTCAAGTTGTTTAACGGCGACAAGGAGGAGATTGGCCGCAAGGAAGGAGACATCGCCCTTGCTATTCACACGCAGCGCAGAATCAGCGGCGACAAGAGTAGGCAGGATGTGAAGAGGATCGGCAGCGATGGAGTGAAGAGCATGACTCTTCCTCTCCAGCCTAAGGAAACTAGCACCGAGAGGAAGAGGAGGAAGAAGAAGAAGGGTGAGGCTGATGATGGAAAGAAGGATGGTGGTCGTACTACTGCCGCCAACCATGGAAGGGAGCACGTCAGAACCCCCTTTGGACTGTTCTCCTCGAAGAAGCACAAGCTTCCATAACTGCTCGCTCGCGAAGAAGAGAAACGACCGAGGGAAAGCTTGGGTATTAAGGGACTCCTGCACGGATTCCATACCTAGGATGATTGAGATTGGGTATCGGCTTCGAGCAGGATTGGGAGTTATGAGGTTCTTTAAGTACTTGGTCGAATGATGGCTTTGTGAATTGCCAGAACTACGCCTCTGCGGGTATTGATTGGGCTACCCTTGGGGTATAGTTTCCTTGCTCTAGCCAGTCATTCCCACTGTCATCATAATCATTAAATGACACTATTTCTGGCCCCCACACTGTCGTTGTGTGGTATTACGTCCCTTTCGCGCTCTCCTTCCCTTTTTTGTAAAGGGGGGATAGGTGGCGGGGTTGAAAAACGCCTGAAATCCAACGAATTAGGCGTCCGCGTTATATCAGGAGTGTGACCCAATCGCGCAGAGAAGCTGCATGTGTAACGCGACCGATCAACTATTATCGAGCGATTAATACGCTCTCGAAGCTGATTGATGGCCTTCTTCGTCGAGGCGTTCTTGGAGTCCTCAGCCCCCGCTCTGCCTTTACTCCGCCCCTACGCTCTCGCCTACTTGAATAAGGAGTCATCTCTTCAAGCTAACCATCTCATCCATTGTCTCTTTTCTAAAAACATACCTAATCGAAATATATTGCGAATATCGACGATCCATAGCCATGGCGGAAGCATTCGGTGTTGTTGCGAGCGGTATCGCCGTTGCGCAAGTAGCCGGCACCGCTGCGGGAGCTGTTATAAAGCTCAAGCGACTATGGGAGGAAGTAAAGAATGTCCCCGAAAACATAGCGGACCTGATGGAACAGATTGACTGTCTGGACCCGGCCCTCTGGGAAGCCGAGCAGCACTTCATCCAGAATCAGCTTCCTCCTCAGCTCTGGGACGATACGGCGGCGGTACGAAGTGCGAAGTATTGCCGCAAGGCTCTGCAGAATTTGACCGACGTAGCTGAAGATTTGGCTTCTCAAGTTAACTCCAAGAAAAAAGTCGAGCGTGGGATATCACGTGTGAAGGTTATATTGAAGAAAGGCTGTCTGCACAACCTTGAACGACGTCTCGGGACTGCTGTGAGAATGCTTGAGTCTGCCCAGCTAGGATACATTGTGTAAGATCGATACCCAGGCACATTATATCCCCGGCTTCTAACAACTTGTAGCACACTCGTGAAACTACAGCCCGACATCGTAGCTTGCAAAGTCGTGTCGCACCTAGAAAACATGCGACGACCGAACAGCCTCATTGGTACTGACTTAGAGATAAACGACAAGGAGGCCGAACGTCGAAGAAGCTCAGCTGATCCCAAGCCTCGGGGCATCGACGACGAGAGGATTCCAAGGAAGAGAGAATTGACGGCCTGGAGAAAATCGTCTGCGTTTGGCTATGTGGATTTTACCTCGACACAAGGGGGCTTTGTCGTTGATACCCGGCCCCCATGGTGGCTTTCCGGCATGCTGCGTGCGTGGTCATTCAATGTGGCCAAATCGTACTCAAGCTGGAAATTTCATATACGAAGCTATTCTATTAGACCAGAAGAATCATTGATTTTCGATGCGGCGGGAAGAGATGATGTACAGGCGCTTCAAGCAATGTTTGACTCAGGAGAAGCATCGCCTTTTGACCGCAGACCCGATGGTATAGGTATATTACGCGTAAGTCATCCAAACCAGTTTTAAGATTATTTCCATACTAAACAGAGGTGCTCAGGTAGCTACAATTTATAGGTCATTGAAAGTTCTCAGGCTCTTGAAAGATATGTGCCTTGATATAGACTTCCCAGATTACCACAATCGGTAAGCATATACAATATCATCCTAACTAACTTTCTCAACTAATAAGAATAATCTGGTAGCACAGCGAACGCAACTACCCCCTGGAACGACGCCGTTGACTCCAAAAAGCTCTCGGAGTTTGCTTGGTTGATGACATCAAGACTCTACGTAGCCAGGGACTTTGAAGACTGCCGAGATCGCTGTAGATGCATCTTGATGTCAGATGTGGAAACATTCCAAAAGCTACGAGCCATTACCTGCCCGGCTCACGACATGACGCCTTTAAGTACTCGACTCTGGCAGGCCAGGAACTTTGTGATGGTCGTATCTCCATTGAAATTTGAAGTTTTCCGACAAATCCTCAGCCCGGATTTGAACGAAGACCTTGCTGCAGTATGCGGATTCGAATGTAATGGCTGGCCAAGTCTAATCCACATCACTGCAATGGCTATCTCAGGACTTGATATACCCCTCAATGAACCCCAACAGTGGCTAGGAGACGAAATTGAAAGTTGGATTGATTTTACTCGAAGTGTCGTACAAAGGTCAAATCTACACTTGGATACAATTCAATGGCTGCGAGATGTCTGGGGAGGACAACACTGGGTACCGTTGACGCCTCTGGTTTACATGATACTTTGGCGACCTTTCACCATTCGTGTCACGCATATAAGGAGGGGTCAATTTGAAAATATCGTCCGGACAGGACTTCGAAGATGGCTTCTTATCTTGAAAAGAACCGGCAGAGATCTCATAGAATATGGACGCGAGGAGACGAGAATGCTCCTCACTAGTCGCTTTGAAAGTCGCACGATTTGCTACCCCAAGTACTTACTTGGGGACCCCTCCTTTGTCTACAACTTGATCAGCTTTCAATTCGGGCCCAATGTGGATGACTGGAATATATTGTGGAACGAGCCTACGGATGAGTTCGCTGGCGACTTCTGGAATCTGATTGAGGGGCCAATTATTCATATTCCGGGAGCATGGTATGATAGTGACATAGAAGCAGAATGACCAAGCCTCACCAAGGCAAGGTCCTGTGAGCATCGCGGTGCTTCAACTTAATGATTTCGATACTGTGGACAGAAACCCTAACGACGGAGCCTCGGTATGATATATCAGGGTTAGGGGGTTTGCTCCTCCTTTGAGTTACTTAGGGGGATGAGAAATACCTGCATCAAATAAAAAGTGGCAAGGGTTAGGAAAGCGTCTAAAGAAGTCGAAACTGTTGTATTAAGGTAAATCTTCTCTTAGCATAATTTCTAGTTAATGATTTATGATTAGAATGCTCCGAAAGGCGAGGAAACCTTTCACTTGAGTGACTTGGTGAAAGCGGAATTCTAACTAAAAACCATTGATAACCTACTCAGGGGAAGTTAAACCTGTGCCTCCACTTCCACACACCGACGTCTAAGTCTGCTAACTGCCTCAGCGTGAAGCCTGCTGTGACGATACTTATTATCACAATGGCCATCATTAGGGGTTCTTGAGGTCGAATATCCTGGCGGTGTGTCATAGCTCTGATGAGGTTCTTTCAATAAAAGGCAGCAACGTTTAGTCGACGCGTATATAAAACTTCGTCATTGCTTAACACGCTCAAGTTGACATGAACCCCTATTTAGTCCCCCCTAAGCCCTCTCGCCCCTTTGAGTAACTCATCTACGAGACTCCTATGCAGATATGATGGAGAACATGGGTGAATAATCTAGGACTCAACTCATCTTAAAATATAAAGTTAGATAAGGTCAGCTTCAAATCGCCCGGCATCGGCAGAGCCAAGCTGGGTAGTTTCATAGTGTCATAGGGAAAGGTCGTTATCAGAGCTCCGCACCACGATTGCGGGGCTCCCATATAGGGCCTATCAGCTTAGATCGGGTATAAATCGGCAAGCGTTCCTATAATTAAGAGCACTGTTGTTGCTGTAATGATTGTAACAAGGTGCCTAACTCTACGGTGTCGACATTTAAAATTCCGTGGGATAGCCTAGACTCGCTATCTTATAGTATGCCGGTTATACTTGTGCTGGCTTTACTAAGCCTTCTAACAGCCGTAACATGGGTATGGAAATTTTACACGAAGGCAAGTAACGTCATGATATCTGCCTACTCGATGAACGAAGGATTGACCAGATGCTGTTCAGAGAACTACAAATGTGCCTCTTGAAAAGAATAGCCAAGCACTTCTACCTAAATCAGATGTCAAGCCACTTCCGGCATTCAACTGGGAGACTAAGGAACCACAGAAGTTTCGGCCATTCAAGCCAATATACCACATAACTATGGGTAGGCATACTACCCAAGCAGTTAAAACCGAATAGTGATGCCATGATAATAATACTTGCATAGCACTCCGGTCGACAACCCCGTCAGATCTCATAGTAATAGATCGAAACTATCAATCTCGTCTGAAAGAACGTCAACTCGTAATGGAAAAGCACGAGAAACACACTCTTGGTTGCATGCCGTATGGTGTCGAGGCTGTTCGGGAGGTGTACTCATATCTTTTAGGGGAGTATCTTCCTGCGAGATATCCCACCCTCTTCACAAGGGATAATAAATCCTTTCGAAATAGCGTCACTGGCGCAATTCTCCCGCTCTTGCCCCCCGAAGATCCAATCACGGCGTTGCGAAATCTCGGCCAGACGGTTGAGGATGATATGTTCTTCTTGCGTGAAACACCGGACGGTCATCAGAGTACCGCCTTCGTGTGTTGTTGCCCTTCCGGGTTCGATCCAGCGGCCAAAATAGGCAAATTGCTGAAAGATATCCATGGTCCAGTTCCGTCGTACGATAAGATCGGCCCTAGCATGGAGAGATATTTCAGTCGTTTGGAAGTTGGTAAAAGTGGTTCCCGGGTTAACGTGAGTTTCAGTTCTACAGACCAATACAGCAACATAAGGCCGCTGACTCAAGCTAATAGTGGTCTGTGACGACGAATTCCGAGCTTTTCAACGTCTCAGGCAACCATGTTAATGAAGGAGACCAAGTCGAGGAGGATATGGATGTCGACATTGAGAAGGTGAGTCTGTTAGTATGATAGCAAACTTCGAACACCCACTAACGGCAAATAGGCTTGGTTAAGAATGGAACTGCAGACAATGACGCGGATGCCCAAAACGAGGGCTATCCTTTTCTCTATCAAGACTTATCTGTGTCCCGTCAAGGACATAAAGGCGGAAGGGCTTGGTCATGAACTCGCCGACGCCATCGAGGGCCTTAAAAGAGGAAACGCTCCGGGGATGTGGGTTTATAAGGGTGGTATACGATGGGGTAAGAGCGTGTGCGAATATCTGAGATCGTGATATTTGAATTCGATATCTAGGTATCGGTACGGATGTGTTAAGGCGCCCATAGACAATAATGTAAGATTTTACTAAGGCGGTAAAACATTGCCGTTATATAATATACACTAGAACGATAAAATAACTTGAACATCAACGGATGATGTCGACAGATTTCGTAGCGTCTCAACTTCTAGTTTCAAGTCTGACTTAGCTTCGATTTAAAGAATTGCAGGAGAGTGAGGAGACAGGGGTTTCATAGGACTATAATTGGTCATCCTTTGTAAACATTCGGGCTCGAAGGTGGTTGTATTTTCTAAGTGTTGCACTTAGAGTGCGCACACTGCTGAATTTACATGAGGTGGGCAGGGCTCCACATATCCCTGCTGACTCATCCACTACACCAAGGATTTACCTGCCAACATCCTCCAAGAAACGGTCGAACGAGAAAATGCGTATCGATAAGGAGCTCCCTGAATAACCTTATATATCCAGGTACCCTAGAGCCACCCCCCTGCGTAGGATGTCCCTTAATGTCACTAATGTCAGCTGTCGAGCTCGGGCAGCCCCGTTCTTATGCATTTTGGTCGGGGTGATGGCGATCCTTGCCCGTCCCTGCCTTCGGCTTGAGAGAGGAAGAGACGATTGGGAACTTTTCCCATTATTATTCTTGACTTAACTGTAATAAACCTGTGCCGCTCCTCAACCATCATTGCTTCGAATAATCCCTCTGCCTCAATTACCGGAGAGGAAAAAGAAAGGAACATATGTGCTAGATTAGATGTGTATATTTCCGACAACTATCTACGAACCTCCCTACGTTTTTTAACGGCGCCATCATCGAAACTGGGTTAATTTAAGACATCAATTGCCACGACGCGAGACGATACCCACGAAAGTCGAGACCCCTGAATAATTATATACACAATCTTTCATTTTCGCATTCATCCAACCCATTCTATCCTCTGCTTGTCTATATCGCAGCTGCATCGAGATAGCTACAACCCTCCAGTCTCCTAACATATCCATTGCATTTATTCATGAGCCTTCGAATTCGGTCGGGCGCCGATCGCCATTCCCGAGCCGTATCCCGCGGTCTCGGATCGTTCCTTGAACCCGCAACCAGGTCGGCATCAGATCTTGAACCACCAACAAATTATATTCAGTGTTGTTTCGGAGGGAGCGGGTGGCGCTGAAGAAGAGTAGTAGAGGGATATGCAGACGAACAAAGCCAAGGCCGAGGCGCTGGGACGAAAGGCGAAAGTCAGTAATCAAAGCCAGAATCGATACGATGTGTTGAGGAAGCTCGAGTGCTGACGGTGATTTATTACATATATACAGCTCGCCAACTCGTATCAGGAGCTACTTGAGTAAGTTGGAGTCTATTTTCGCAGGCTTGAAGAGCTCCCGGTGCTGATATCTCTTACCCCTGACAGCGAATTCTCGAACAAGGATCTCAAAAATGTCGGGAACTACACCTTAGGGAAGCTTATAGGGAAGGGTTCCTTTGGCAAGGTCTATCTCGCAACCCACAAGCTCACGAATGGCTCTAAGGTTGGTCTTGCCTGGGTTTCCAAGCTTCCATCCGATATACCTTAGACATTCCTCCTAATCGCAGCAGGTCGTCCTCAAGTCAGCCAACAAGGATGACGCCAATCTTGCGAGAGAAATCCACCATCACCGCCAATTCGTCCATCCCCATATCGCGCGCCTGTACGAAATAATAGTCACCGAAACTCTCGTATGGCTTGTTTTGGAATATTGCCCAGGTATGCTATGGCCATACTATTATAATCTTGGACTTCCGTTGACCGTTTTCAGGCGACGAACTGTACAATTATCTCCTCAAACATGGTCGCCTACCAGTCGAAAAGGTCCAAAGGATATTCACGCAGCTCGTTGGTGCCGTTTCCTACGTACATCAACAGTCATGCGTCCATCGCGACCTGAAACTCGAGAACATCTTGCTAGACAAACACGAGAACGTTAAGTTAGTCGACTTCGGATTTACGCGAGAATACGAGGGCAAAGCAAATTATTTACAGACGTTCTGTGGTACAATCTGTTACTCGGCACCAGAGATGTTGAAAGGGGAGAAGTACGCTGGCGAGAAAATTGACGTATGGAGCTTAGGTGTGATCCTTTACGCGCTGTTATGTGGCGAGCTGCCATTCGACGACGACGACGATAATATTACGAGAACCATGATCCTCACAAACGAGCCAAAATATCCAGAACATCTTCCCCCGGACGCAGTTTCTCTAATTAAGCTGCTCCTCTCGAAACGACCACTGCTGAGGCCTACGCTCCCTGAGATCCTATCCCATGCTTTTCTTGCGGAACACGCCCCGCAGCAACAAGCGATCCTTAAACTTCATCAACCCCCTCCGTTTGCGACCCACCTCGAGAAGGATTGCTTACAGAGAATGCGCAGCGCCGGCGTGGATATTGATGCTGTCATCGAGAGTGTTCTAGCCCAAAAGTGTGACGCGCTAGCTGGGTGGTGGACATTGTTGCTAGAGAAGGAAGAGAGGAAGGCTCGCCGACGCGAAAGGAGACGGAAAGAAAAGGAGGCCGAAAATCGAAATTCGCGCCGATTCTCAGCAGCATCCAGCAAGCTCGAACGAATGGCCCCAATTCTTGACGAAGATCCCAGTGGCTCCGGTTTTTTAGGGGAGCCACCCTTACCTAAGGCAAGAGGGCGTCCGGAAAGGAGGAGTGCTCAATACGGCGACTACCAAATGCCAGAGTTGCCCGACTTACCCGAGTCTCAGGTTAAGAACCATCTAAGCCCCGATAGCAGCGCACCGCCGCCTCCGATTGATAAAGATTCCGTGCGATCAGTCAGCTCGTCCCGACATCAACGACCGATACCGCCCCCAAAGGAAGGTATCCTTCGAAGCGCACGATCTAGAGGTTCGACGCTTCACCTAGTTACTACTTCAGATGCGCTAAACAGAAATGAGGGACAAGAAATGAATCCTCCCCCAAAAGTAAGGAAGAAGCCATCACAGGCAATCGTTGCGACATGGAAGAATTGGACTCACTGGATCGTCGAGAGCACGAGACGACATAGGCCCAATAAACGAGGTAGTATGTCAACACCCAACTTGGCAGCTAAAGACGGCCAATCTGGTGGCGGCAAAAACCCAGGGGATCGAAGCCCTCGTCCTCATACTTCCAAGTATCCACATTCTACGCAGGGGACCACGGCATCGAGTGGTGGGACTTCGCCGTTACCCAATGGTATCGTCAAGATTTCCAGTGCAGGTGGTGGTAACCCAGCTAGGAAGCCTACGCCGGCGCCGCTCTCAACGCCTTCTAATCCAGGGCCGCGTCGTATGCCATCCGGGGCCTCATACAAGCGTCAATCGCTATCTCCTGTACCTTTGACGCCTCGATCCACGATCCGTCGTTCGTCCATTGGTCTTCGAGGACGAAAGTCAACTTCATCTTCCCTATCCTCCATCCGAACAATGCCGCATCACCACCACTCGCATTCAAAGGCCAGCTCGACCAGCTCTACCGGATCTGTGTCGACTACGAAAACTCCCGGACGTTCGCCGCATCACTCAGTTAAGGTCCTCCCAGCCACACCAACAAGCACATCGTTCCCGTCCAACATCCGTCTTGTTCGCGGGCCGGCCCTCACGTTAAACTTCAACGAAGGCATGCCCTCCAAACCTTCATCGCAAAACCCTCCCGGTTCTCCCAATCCATTTTTATCAAATAGCCCATCGGTTCTATTTGCCAAACGCAAGCGCAACTTATTTAAGGGCCCATCGCTCTCCATCGGTAACCCACCGCGCAGCGGTACCAGCTCAGGGGGCCACAGCCGGAGCGCAAGCGCAAGCGGATTAGGAAGGAGGAGCGGCGAGATCACGATTCAGGAGGAGGACGAGGAGGCGGAGGAGGCCGTAGGCGACGTCGAAGTCGACGAGGACGTCGAGGAGGTCGACCAGTTCAGCCCGATCACCCAGGTCCCCGGGGAGAAGGTCGAGGAGATATACGAGGAAGGCGATGGAGGATCTAAAAATGTCGCGCCTGGTGTTGGGCGCTAGCGCCGGAGCTGGTCGTTGAGAGAAGGGATGATTCACTTGATACCCCCCCAGATGGAGATGGAGATGGAGATGAGGTGGCAATGGATACGCTGTGGTAGAGCAGAGCGTATTGTTCTTTCATGTCGATGCGTCCGGCGAGACGTGTTGTTATATTTATCTTTATATAGATGTCTAGGTAGGCACCTACTTGGTTCGTCTTTTTTTTGGTTTGTTTTTGTTTGATTCGGACTACCCGAGTGTGTAGTGTAGCATACGCCTAGTGCGGTAGCGCGGGCAGTTTAAAACTTTGAACTTTGTGGAGGCTTGTTGTAGGAGCGGTATGGTATTTATACCGAATGGGTATGTATTTTGAAGGGGAGGGGATGTGGGGGATTATATATCAGATGGCGTGGCTGTCTTGTAAGTGACTGACTGCTGTCCTGAGATACAGGTGGCTCAGCTGTGTTGTACTAGAATATTGAAGAGAGTGAAGCAAGTGAAGTTTGAAGGATGTGAACGTGCTGTTGAGAATTGCAAGTGATTGAGATGGTGAGATGTGAATAGAGTACTAGGTAGGAGATGGCAGTTCTAATCTTAATCGCGTTCGTTTGGGGTTTGGGATGGGGTTAGATAGGGGGTTGGCTATAGCATCTTTGGGGTATCTTAAGTATTCAGGGGTAGAATGTAGGTACATAACTAGATTGTCAGTCATACTCTAACACTTCCCTAGACTGGTAGGTATACCGACTCCTACGAATTCGTAAGTATATACCTATGTCCTCTCCGCCTTATAGGGGACACTATCATACATTTTCTTGTTTCGTCCTCTTGTTGTTTCAAGCGACTGGGAAATTCAAGCGAAAAGATTTCGGTAAGCCGATTTCGCAGTGGCAGGGCATAAAGGACACTAAAGTTCAGATATAGTAGAATTGGGACAAAATTACCCTACGCAACTTCGTGTTGGTATCTTAGAAGGTACAGTCATCCGGTTACCTAGGTAACAGATCGTTATACATTAGACATTAGGATACGTTTCTTATCATTTTGCCCAGATTTATCATAGAACCCTCCCCTGTTTAGTTGGGAAGACTCGGGTCACCAGCTCGCACGAAACCGGTAAACTCTCGGTCAATCAGCGGCTTCGACAAGTCCGTCAGAAGACGGATCCGGTACTTTCCCGACGTGCTGTCGAGGAGGTACGCCCACGTCGTCGAGTTGTTGAACCCCAAGAAGGTGCCTGCCTGGCGCGTCCCGTTCGCGTAGTAGTGCCAGTGAGGCTCAATGGGCGCGCCCCTCGTCACGGTCTTCATGAAGATCAGGCCGTCGTACTCGTGGTAGGTGTACTCCGAGATGCTCAGGGGCTGGTACGCGCCGTTGTAGTTCACGGCGAGCATCTCGGCGCTGCCGAAGGCTTGGCATTGGATGTACGGTACTGCTACCTCCTTCTGGGGCGTTATGCCAATCTTCGTGGAATGTTAGTTGGGTGTTTTGAAAGTAATTGGGGGGGGGGTGGGTTACGTACCCAGCCTGAGGCTATAGTCGGCTCGTCTATGGTGATGTAGGTAGCTTTATTACCGTCTAGATCGGCGTTACCAGTTGAGTCGGCGAAGATGGTGAACGGTCCCGCAACGCTGCTCTGTTGATGAAAGAACGGCCAGTTGCTGCAAGTGAGTTCCTTGGGAACGACGGTGATATTAGGGAGGGCCGTCGCGGCAGTGGCTGCCGAGAGAGTTAGGAGGAAGGAGCGCATCGTGGATAGCAGGGAACGAATGGTGTTCTATTAGGCAAGGAGAGAAGCGGACTGTGCGAGTTTGTGAGAAAGGAAGTCATTGTGAGTGTGAAAGGCATCTCGGGCCTTTTATAAATACGCGGGCAAGAGGTCCGAATCTGATTTCCGAATCTGCTCTACGAATCGCATAGTACCTACCTAGTCCACATCTTAGGTACCAAGCATCGCGAGATTCCGATCCTAGAAGCTGGGCAAGTGTCGCCTTACGGGGCGACGTCGTGAACTAGGCAGTTGCTGGCCCTGGCTGAAATTGACCATGTAACGTCGTCCTGACGCCAAGCTTCAACGCGAGCCGCGTGCGGTATAGGCTAGTCACAGAAACTTATAATCGGCCCACTCTTCAAGGTATGGAATTTAAATTTGCGGCACAGCGAATCTAGCCCTACTCAGCTCGGGTCCTGGGCACCTCTCTCGCGGCGCGACGGCACCGCATGACTCTTATTGATATATTGAATTTGCCTCTTAAAGCTCGTTTTATATATCTTCAAGTATGGAAGCGAATAGCAATATGCGGTCAAAATATCTAGGTAGATCTTCTGACTGAACAGTCGGCCTACACCCTACGAAGTCATAGTGCTGACATGGTATGTTCGCTTCCTTCCTTGGACTGAATCTCGTATAGTCTTGCTTGTCTTGGCGCTCCTTGAAATGAAATAGGGGCAATATCGTAAACTCGACAGAGTAAAGTACGGTCTGAAGGCATTGGTTATATCCCGTAACTATGCCGTATGACTATCTGATTACTTAAGTTCCATGCTTATACACGACATTATCAGCACAAGAAGATCGGGACAACCCTTATTTGGACCTTTTCTCAAGAAGTTTTCCTCTTGGCTGGTAGCCCCGAGAATGCTCTTCGGTAGGTCTAACGACACGGGGCTAATGTAAGAAGTTTTATTCATGAAATAAGTTGATCACGAGTAGTAACACTTTGAGGATCTGCCTGTATGAGTTCATTCACCCCTGAGTATGCCCGGTTATTTCGAAGATACATGTCTGAAAATATTTACTGGCTCTTAACACTGGTCATTAGCTCATATGGTATAGGAATCCGATATCGACTTTCTTCCTTCCTTTATTTCTTTTGCTCTGTCCTCTTTCTAACAAATGAAATGAAATGTTAGGGGTATTGGATGTCGACTCTGCTTTATATGAAATACTATGTTTTGCCCCGTTCATTCTTTCTGGTAGAACGGCCGGGGCTAATTATATATCAAGGATAACCATTGAATGATGTTAGTCATCAACCGCTACGACTACATTCAAGACCACGGATCCTACATTTTTTTGCGATAGGGGGGTTATCCAGGCGAATGGTCCCCCCTATTGACCTAGGGCTAGGTTAGTCATCAAGTAACGTTTTTGATCATAGGTTCGCGTTATATGCGCAATTGTATTTACCATTGTACTCTTCTTACAGGTAAGAATCACAACTGGCTATATATCGGACCTTATAGCTCGTGAAGGGTTTCATTCTTATGATATTGCGTTGCGCTTAAGGGGCTTTGTATTCTTCTGTACAAATAACGTGGAGTAGTACTTATCTATGTTCGCACCTTATTAGGGCTAACAAGACACCGTTACAGGCCCACATTACATATTCCCCCACCCCCAGAGTGGTGCCAAGTTCCCATTAGTAATGGATCTTATTTATTACTAACATCATAGAGCTTCAAATAGTAACTTCAACAACATTGGATATTTGATGAAGGGGATATCTTTTGGAAACCGAAACAGCTCAATTGAATTATCCTGTTGCTTGAGTCGTAGCCATGAAGCTCTGGCCCCTGTCTATCTTGCTATTTAGCAGCTGCCAGGCTCTAGGATCCGAACTCCAGAAGCCACTCAAGTCAGCTTCGACTTCAGCAGACTCGCTGTCCTACAAGTCTTCCCACGGGTCGCCTTCTTACCGAGGTGATCTCGTATCCTTACACAAGTCCCTCGTTGAAATATCTTCGATTAGCGGTAACGAGAGCGTGGTCGGCAATTTCCTAGTTGACTACCTTACCGCGCGCGGATTCACCGTCCAGCTCGATGCCATTCCTCCGTCCTCACCCAACGCCGATACTAAACCTCGTTTCAATGTTATTGCCTGGCCGGGTTCCAACCTGCATCCTTCGCCAAAGGTGCTCGTGTCTAGCCATATAGACACAGTCCCTCCCTTCATTCCGTACTCGCGAAACGACACCTCCCTAAACCCCGATACCTTGATCGCAGGTCGCGGCAGTGTCGACGCGAAGGCTAGTGTGGCAGCGCAGATCATTGCCTTGGAATCGCTACTGGACTCCGGTATAATTGCTGGCGAGGAGGATTCCATCATGCTGCTGTATGTTGTCGGGGAGGAGACATCTGGCGTCGGGATGGAACACTTCTCCGAATCTCGCGGGAATCTAGACCCCGCCCCAGACTTCAAGGCGGCCATCTTCGGCGAACCGACCGAGGGCCGACTAGTCTGCGGCCATAAAGGCATTTTTGGCTGCAATATTACCGCACATGGTCACGCCGGACACAGCGGGTACCCGTGGCTAGGGAAGAGCGCGACGGAAGTGTTGATGCGTGGGCTTGTTCGCGTTCTAGAAACAGATCTAGGCAGTAGCGAGGAGTTCGGAAACACGACCGTCAACATTGGCTTATTCGAGGGTGGCGTCGCGGCCAATGTCATCCCCGAGAGGGCAACGGCCCGTCTTGCGGTCCGGGTTGCGATTGGACCTGAACTCGACGGGGCGAAGATTGCTTCGGATCGATTGATAGAGGTGATGCGAAGTGTGGACGAGGAAGCTTTTGAATTCGATTGCATCTATGGATATGGCGTTGTCAAGTGCGATTGCGACGTCGAAGGTGAATTTCTATACTACGGTATTGTTGATCTGACAGAACTAACACCAAATGCAGGTTTTGAGACTACCACAGTCAACTACGGCACAGACGTACACCACCTGGAGGGTAACCACACGCGATATCTTTACGGTCCTGGAACCATCTTTGTAGCCCACGGGCCAGACGAGGCTATAAAGCTAGGAGACCTGGAAACCGCGGTGGAAGATTATAAAAAGCTCATCCTACATGCTCTCAAGAGCTAAGCGGTTTGCGTTTGAGAATTATATAGATTTAAGCGTGTTCTCCAACTTCATGATTGCTAATTAAACATCATAGGAATCAGCCTACAGATGAGATGCCTTTACGCTTGACCGCCGAGATGACGCTTTCTAGATTTTCCTTTTTCATTCCTTGAGAGCCAACTCTCATTTTCCCACAACCTTGGCCCACCTTTCTGGCATGATGTCTTTGAAGTCAAAGGTTCCATCTGCACCTTTCACGACGACACCCCTCTCCGTGACCACGGCATCGATGAGCTCAGCTGGAGTGACGTCAAATGCGGGATTCCAGACAGCGATTCCCTGGTGTGCAGTTGCTACGCGTTCGGTGCGACTGACGTCTACCTTTCCGTCTTCCCCTACCACGGCTCCGCTGATCTGCGTCAGCTCCTCAGGCTTGCGTTCCTCGATCTTGATTCCAGCGCCGGTTTCGGTTTGCAGGTCAATGCTCGTCGTAGGCGCCGCTACGATGAATTTTAATCCGTGATACTTGGCAAGTACAGCGAGAGCGTAAGTGCCAATCTTGTTAGCGGTGTCCCCATTGCGCACAACTCGGTCTGCCCCTACGATGACGGCGGCGATATTGTTTTCGGCCTTTTTAGTGGCGAATAGGGCGCCTGCCATTGAGTCTGTGATGAGCGTCGAGGGTATCCCCTCATACACTAGCTCGAAGGCAGTAAGTCGGCTTCCTTGGTTGTAGGGTCGGGTTTCGGTGCAGAACGCGTGGTACAGATGACCGCCTGAATACAAGGATCGGATGATACCGAGCGCTGTGCCGTGTCCCGATGTAGCAAGCGACCCTGTGTTGCAGTGCGTCAAAACGGAGACCTTGCCGTCGGCAGACTTTGTCGGCGCATTCTCGAGTAGCCACTTGCTCCCATGTTCGCCAATCGAGAGATTCGTTTCCGTGTCTTTGCGGAAAATTTCCTCTGCAGCGGCGATGTATGCAGAAATTATAGCATCCCGTCCAGCTGTGCCGTTCTCTTTTCCAGATACGTCGACGGACCGGATAGTGTTCTTGAGATGTGTGATGGCATTAGTAAGATCTACGGCTGTTGGCCGTGATTGCTTAAGGTAATCTAGGCGCGAATCGATGTAAGATATGGTCTCTTCTGAGGACGAAGCTTCTACGATGGGGTTAGCTACAGGGAATTATTGACCGAGTGAAAGGAACCATCTGGATGGCTGGGGAACTACTGACTGCAACTCCCATTATGTAATTCGACTCCGTGACCTAACGCTGCCACGATGGCTATAGCCGGTGCGCCTGCGAAGCTCATAAGCGTTTATCAGCATCGGAGAGTCAGCCGACTACGCGATTCTCATACCTCGAACTCTCATTGACTTTATGCTGTCAAACGCCTCCTCGCTTGTTAAGACTTCATCGTAGTGATGTTCGTGGGGCAATTTCAGCTGGTCGAGGACTTCTAATTTGCCCCGCGAATATCGAATCGCTTGAAGGCCTGACATTTTCCTGTTTTCTTCTTTTCTCAAATAAACTTACTTTTGGCAAAGAATTTAATAGAGGCCTTATAATTCTATACAATATTCAAATGTTATATAATTGGGTTTATCGGGAAAAGTCGCCATCGCAAACTTAACATTCTCTCAAGGTACCTAGGTACTTAGTATGGCGTCAAAAATTCTGCCAGACCCCGCCATAAGAAAGCTTGGTTGAATAGAATTGTCGACAGCCAATCATTGAGCGGCATGGCCTTCACCGCTTTGGGGCGGCTTTACCCCTGGATCTTAATTTGTTACCGGCTGTATACGGCCGTCGCTACCCACGTCTCGGGTCCATACTTTCCTAGCTAAGCTTAGGTAACTGTGACATGCAGTTGTCGACGATCAAACCTACAACTTCAAACCTCCGGGTCAAACATCGCGAATACCCTTAAATGCTTAAACCATTTCCCGAATAATCGTCTACCAAAGCTTGCGGATATTACGAATGTTCGATTGGTACTCTAACCATGAAGTAGGAAGCAACTCTGATAGCTGTTCGCCATGGAACAGTCGTATTCTACCTCCAAAGTCACAGGTGCTTTCATACATTATCCCCTTGGATCATGCGCCGACCTTGCTGACATCGCCTAGTCGAGTATTTCGACCCTCACGATGTCTTTAAGCTTCTCGCCCCGGGATTAGTACCCCGACTTCCCTTGCGCAACCTTCACTGGCAATCGCATGCTGGGCCACTTCGTTCTATCGATACCCTACATATCGAACTTCTCTCGGCCGGCGACAAGACCTCCGTTACTTCTCCAGTCGCTTCTCCACATGCTTCCGGACACCATTTAGATACTGTTATTAGCCGTGAGGATGGCTTCCAGACCCAAATTGGAGCTAAACTGTCATCCGAAGGTCTCGATCCGAATGTGAACCGAAATAGTACACCGGCGCGGCGGCACCAAATCCCTGGGCTGAGGAGGACTCCATATTTGAAGGTGCTACTCGTTCGATGTGACGATAATGATTCGTATAAGGGACATGTAAGGCAGGACATACGCGATTGGATCAAAACACATACACCCCCGTCCGGCTCTAAGAGGAATACCGCCGAAAACCACGATGCCTTCGAATGGCTTATTATCCACGTTGTTATACCAAATACGGTCGCCGCCACCCAACCTCGAGATTCAGGTTCTGCCCCAGAGAAGACATCGGCTGTCTCTAAGTGGAGACCGGGGTCAAGCACTCTTTTCGAGAAATTAAGGTCTGACTTTAATACATCCAGCAAAGGAGGGGTGGATCGAATCGCCCAGATTCGTATCGGCGTTAACGATGTCCCGTACGACATTCTGCCTCGAGTAGTGCCGGCTGTGCCCAGCGGCTATTCCGAGACGGAACAGGAGACCGAAAATTCATGGACGGACCTTGTTTCCAAATTTCGAAGTCTTATTCTATCCAGTTTTGATCTGCGCGTGAGCCAGTACGAGGAAGATATCAGGGAGAAGGACTCGCAGAGAACTTTGCCCGGGTGGAATTTTTGCACTTTCTTCATCCTTAAAGAGGGCCTTGCCCGTGGCTTTGAGAGCGTAGGTCTGGTAGAGGATGCGTTAGTCGGATACGATGAGCTGAGCGTAGGGCTGGATATGATCGTCCAAGACCAAGCTTCAACAGGATCGAGATCTGCCACGAATGCACTATTAAGCTATACCGAGGAGTTAAAAGAGATTGCTCTCAAGGCTAAAGCCGCTATTACTGGTTCCGAGTATGAAGATGACGAGGAAACGGTTGATCTACAGTCCCAGACTGATGACGCCCAGTCTAAGGATATATATGATGATATTCCCATCAGCTCTACTAAGAAGTCTTATCGCGATTTGATTGTTGCGAATAATGTATCTGTTTTTGACTTTAGGTGCTATATCTTCGCTAGGCAAATATCCCTCTTGCTTCGCCTCGGAAATGCGTGGTCAACACGGGAAGAGTTGCTCGCAAAGCTCAAGGAGCAGCAGGAGTCGGTTTTACATGGCGTTGCCCCCCGCGCGCCACCCCCAAAACAAAAGGAAAATGAGCACGAGGATTTAACGATGCTCGCTGAGATCTGCCGACGGACATTAGAATTCATCCCCACGGTTTCCCAGGTTATGAGAAACGATGTCTTTGCTGCTCTTTCGGATATGGCGAAAGCGGATGGGGATGATGCTCTAAAAGCATCACAAGCAGACCCCATGATCGAGGAAGTGGTTGAGAATTTGGTGGCTTCGTTTGCCTTCTCTATCGCGCAGCAGATTCTAGCACAGACTTCGACTAAAGCTTTGCCGATACCTCCATCTACCTTAACGCCGCAAGATGCTCAAGAACCAAAAGCCGCTATACCTGAACCTAAGACGATGATGCATCCAGCGAGGAGTTCGTCGCTGATTATACAGACAGGGCGTGGTGCCAACGTCGGGCGTCCACTCCCTAGTCCAAATGTCTTTCCCGGACGCCAGCCGAGTGCCTCGGACGATCAAGCCCAATCCTCGTTCCTAAAAGCTGGACTAGAAGAGCTCGCTGCTAAGAGAGCTGAGCTCTATATGTTGTCGAGGAATATCCTTGCGGAATGCGGAAAGAAGCGTGGATGGGCTGATGGCTGGGCCACCGTACCTGTCATAGGGGAGTCGACTATGGTTGAAATGGTTGATATCGATCTTGACGGTGATGATGATGACGATGAGAAATCTGAGACAGAAGTTCAAGAGACCCCCGCAACTCGTGAAGCTGTCTCTATCTCTGGTGTTGATAGCAAGCTTCTCAAGACGGCTCTCGATAACAGGGAGGATTTCTATCGTCTTTACGAGACGCTCACCGACAAGGCCTTGCGACATTATACTGTGGCGGATCACACCCATTCGGTAAAGACCAGCATGGCAGATATTGCCGTGTTGAAATATCACCTTGGCGACTACGCTGCAGCTTCTTCCTACTTTTGGGAAACCATTCCTTTCTTTGGAGAAAGCGGTTGGAGCCTCCTAGAGTTATCCATGTTAGTCATGTGCTCGAGGTGTCTAAAGCAACTTCAGCGAAAAGACGAGTATGTCAAAGTCGTATTGAAGCTGCTTACTAAAGCTGCCGCGGCTGAGAGAGACCGTCAGCAACAGAAGTCGGCGTTCCGGTTAGGAAAGCAGGAAGACGTTGATTATCCCGACAGCGAAGCTATTAAAGGGTTCCTGGATGATCTGCTCGCAGCGACAAAGACTCTCCCAAATGAGTTACGAATACCCCTTTCCAGCTTCATCTCCATTGTAGAAGTTGACGGTCCCCCCGAATACCATCAAGGCCGAGATGGCATTTCACTCAATCTCAAGGTGAATAGCTTACTCGTGGATAACCTCCGAATCGATAATGTGAAAGTACGGGTCGTTGGGATAGTGAACAAATCGTCAAAAGATATATGGTTTGAGCTGACTGAACCAACAACAATTAAGCCGGGCAAAAACAAGCTCAAATTAAATAGTAACGTAAGTCCATCTCGCTATATCCTAGAACGGAACCATACTCACGAAAACAGTCGGCAATACCAGGCTCTTATGAGATCGATAAGGTCGATTTCAAGGCCAGCAACTTGCACTTGCACCATGAGCGCGAAGCCGGTCAACCTGTAGACAAGGCTAGCGATACCCTTCAATCTCCATATCTTGCTATCTATCACCGATCCGAGACTCTAGATGTAAAACTGCGTGCATCGAAGCATATTCAACTAGATCGGAACAATACAGTGGATGTTGATTTAGATCCTGGCTGGAATAACATGCTGAACGCTGAGATTCGGGTCAAGGCTGCTACGGGCGGCCTAAGACTACTCACCAGCGAAGCGAAGTGTATCAGCTCTTCTATAAATTTCTCGAAAAAGCCGGAGGGCGGTCTATTTTGTTTCGGAGCCATACCGCAGAACAGTACCGTTCGAATCCGATTCCCATATACGGTGGAGCAGGAGACTTTTAGCATATCGATACGTATCGAGGTATCTTACACGACCGAGGATGGCTCGTTTTTCTTCTCCAAAACTCCTGTCGTCGAAACCGCTTTGGCTCTCGGGGTCAACGTCCAAGATGTTTTCAAGCACAAAGCTCTTTTCTCCCGCTTTACCGTATCTACAGCGAGCCAAAGCCCCTTACGTTTATTCAAGAGCGAGCTTGTAAGCTCGGAAGTTTTTGATTCGGAGTTTGGAGCGCCCCCTAGCGCTCCCGTCGTAATCTTCCCGAAACAACCAGCTAGTCTACTATACAAGATCATGCGTAAAATGGGCGTGAAGATCGGTCCGAAGACAAAGAAGACGATGTATCTTAGACTACACTATAGCGTGCTACAGGATGAGATCGAATCTCTAGTCGAGGATTCCCTCACCGAGTCCCTGGAGGATAAACCACTGCGTCCCTTCTCCCGGCTTATATGCTCGATAGTCATCCCGCATGTTCGGCACGGGCTCACGGGACAAGACCTAGAGCGCGCGGTTCTCCTTGGATCTGTACCCACGGCATTCCTTTCCTCCATCAACTGGGCTAAGTACTTCGTTGGACTAGGCAAGGCACCCGATGGCACCGATTACTCCAAAGCTCTCGTGTCTTTCCTCCGGACCTGGCAGGCTGAGCATCCCAAACTGGCGCTCGAAATATACTCGGTCCCAGCGGAACCCAGATCAATCCTGATCCCCGTAGATATACCCTCCTTGACTATCGTCCACACGGCCGATGTCCGGCTCCAACCACCCCCGCAGCAGACACCTTCGGCACTTTCTTCCCTTCCCGATTCTCCTACGCCAACGGTCTGCACGAATCAACTGCTACCCGCGATCCTGCATCTGAAATGGACGCGCATGTGGGACACCACCACGCCACCTGCCGAGCAGACAGACCTGGAATTCAGCTACGAGCTCGCCGCGCCGCAGGATACGTGGCTCCTCGGCGGAAGGCGGAAGGGACACTTCGTTATCCCCGCCCCGTCTTCACCGTCACTCTCCGGAGCCGTAACCGGGGCCGGGGGAGCGAACGTAAAAGTAGACTACGAAAGCACCCCCGACACCGAAGCCGAGATCCCTATCCTCCTCGTCCCGCTTCGCGAGGGCTGGCTGCCGTACCCGACCGTCGAGATCAGGGAAGTCAGACCCTACGAAGACGCCGTCGGCTCGCCCGTTGGCGGGGGAGCGGGGGCCGGGACCGGGCCGGGCGTACATTTCGAGACCGACGTGAGGAATTTGGGAGAGACGGTCAGGGTCATCGCGGATAGGGCCCGCGTCACCCTGAGCCTGGACGCGAGCGGGCCCGGCGGAGGGCCTTTGGTTTTGGATGTTGAGCGCTTGGGTGGGGGCGCGGGGAGGGGGAGGGTTGTTGCTTGATTTAGCTGCTGTGGCTGTGACTGAGGTGAGAAGTAGGTTATGGGGGGAAGTTTGAGTTGTTTTAGGGAGTTTATGAATGAGCGGATGGATGGACTGCCTGATTTTATGAATAGGTAGATAGGTATGGAGGTGGGGAGGTGGGGAGGTAGATATGTAAATGGATGTTGTAGATTCGCTAACTTAGCTTGCCTGCCTACCTACCTGCAACACATCCGATATACGTATTTTGATCTAACATATTACCTACGCCGAATATGAGTTCTAGGCGCGTGTTCACATACTCTACTGGATTCTTGTATAATTACGAGATAGGCGAATCACGACATTGGGTGTGTAGTGAAGAAGTCGGCTGCGAAGAAAATTAGGGGGTATCATGATTTATTGAAATGACAACCGACGTATCTAGCTTTTTTTGAATCATCCCTTTTAGCCCACTCCCATCCCCTTTCCATTTATTTTTTTAGAACAACATAAACTAGGCAACGTAGTAACGTAACTAGGTGCCGAGGTACTTAAAGACAGCCCCATCATGTCGTTTTGTTGATAAAAGTCGGCTTCATCAACTCATACAAGGGATTCTTGCCCTCGGCCTTGTACTTGGCTTCCAGCTTCGTGATCTGCTCCTGTATATTGTCCAAATCGAGCTCCTTCCTTATCTTCTCTACTTCCTCGATCAGGTCATCGTCATTATCGTCTTCGTCAGGGGGAGCTAACAGCGCCTCTCGCGCCTTTGCTAACCGCTCGGATGCTTCGATGCCTATGCACAGGCGCGGGTCGAATTTACCCAGACCCGGCTCTTTCCCGTCATCAGTCTGGGCCCCTAACGTACCTAGGGCCGCGAGTCCGAGGTACGCGTGGTATACGTCCGGGGGACCGCCGGGGTGCTTGGCGAATCCGCCAATCATGTGCTGCGTCTTCTCCAATATGAACTTCCTAGCGGGGTCGCGGTCTATGACTTTGCCGTGGCCGAGCATAGCCAGTGTGCCGGCGACCCACCACGTGTAGCACGTGTCGGCGACCTTGTTGAGACGGCCGTTAAAGCCGGATAGCTGGGGTGTGTCTGATAGATCTAGAGTAGATAGGTCCGGCAACGGATGATTATCGGAATCTTCGTGCTCGTCATTAGAATCAGGCTCAAGGTAGTCGAATTGGCGGCATGCGAGGAAGTGTACCAGAGAAGGGATTGAAGCGATGCCAGCGTGGAGGTATCGATTAGGCTCTGTAGAAGCGTTGGGGTTTGCGAGGTCTAGAAGGGATAATGCAGCGACGGCGCAGTATACGTATCCGGCGTGACTCTCATGCGTGGAGCTCTCACCCAAGCCACCATCGAAAGTCTGTCCTCGTCGTATATGTGCTACAAGCGCATCGACGTTGAAGTCCTCTCCCGCTTCAGCTCCGCCAAGAGCCCATCTAATGGTAGCGGCCAAATAGCAATACCGCATATCCTTCCCTCCTGCCACATAACCATCCTCGTCGATTAGCTCGCCAAAGCTTCCGTCATCTCTTTGCAAGGTCTTGAGCCATCGAAGCGTCTTCATCCGGTGAACGCCCTCAAACGCTCTGGAACCGTCATCTTCGGCTAGGATACCCAGCAGGAGCAGGGCAAAGTACGTGGCGGCTATGTTTGCATTGGCCGGGTCACCTGCGGATTCTATTTTGTTTATGGGGTCCCACTTGGTGGTGTACTCCTTTGGAAGGACGTGGTGGGGTGAGCCGCAGAAACCGCCGTGCGGGTGTTGTAAGGACAGGACCCAAGCTCGCAGGCGCTTGCGGTCTTCTAAAGTTATGAGTGAGGCTTTAAGTGGATCGCTCGGGGGCTCAGAGTAGGATGAAGATGAAGAGAGAAGGTCGAGGGCTGCGACTATGAAGAATCCGAGTGTTAATCGGATGCTATCGTTAGTTACATAGTGGTGAGGTAGTATGGAACGGAGACATCGTTGCCAGTAACGGATATGGCGAGCTGTGTCGAGAGGTGGTTCTGACATTGTAATTGAATCTACGTGACTGAAGGCATTGGACGTGAGAGAAGAAATAAAGAGGATGTAAGAGTGTAAGTTGGAATTGACTTTCCTCAATTCCTAGAGCTTAGAGGTATAAAATGTATAGATGATCGCTGTTACCTTAAAATAAATCGAACTTGACCCTGCCCCTCCTCAAACCTACATCAGCCCTACGACCCACTTTATAAAAGTGCCCCTCCAAAAGTGGCTTCCACCTTAGCCACATCTAAGTTCACCAGCCGCAACATCACGTAACAGCTCCTAGCTTGAAATTTAAGGTTTCAAATTTAGGCTACCCGCGCGATAGGCGATAAGGGATAGGCAGCGGAAGTTACCCCAAATTCTCTATGATCCCGGTCCCTGAGATGAATTGGCATTGCATCAAACTTGTAACCCCCAAGGATTCTTGCATGTGTTGTCGCATGTGTCCCTAAGGAAGCTTGAGGCTGCAGTTCATCCTGGTCACACGACGGCCATTCATTAAGTCATCGTCTACGTCTACGTGTACCGCCGTCCGAACAGTCCTCGATTTCGGTTTCCTTCGTCCGTTCACTTAAACACCACAGCGACGACATCCTTCGTTTCGAATCAGCATCCGATACTCCAGAGCCGGCAATAACTAGTAGTTACTCTCTAGGTGCTAGCACCTAAAACAACCACCAACCCAACCAATATACGAAACGGACGTCCACCGAAACTCCCAAAAGAATAGAGAAGATAGAAACGAATCTAGGAACGAATCAAGATGGCGCTCATATCCGTCAAAACGATCCTCACCTCCCTGAGTCTCTTCCACATCACCCTCGCCTACTTCTTCTACACGAACCCGAACGCCATCGCAGACCAAGCACTAGTCTACGTTCTCGGCGAAGCCATGGGCATGGCAAGTACCCTTTCCTCTCTCTGCACCTCTCCATCTCTAACCCATCCTCCGTACCCTCCAACGATATACAATACTAACAACCCACCACAGCCGCAAACAACATCCTTTACCACCCCCTCCAGCGCAACATCCTTCCTATCCATAACCCTCCTCGTCCTCGGCCTCTCCGACCTGCTCACCCTCTCCATGCCCGAAGAAATCTGGCTAATCCACTACTGGGGCTCGCAAGCGCCCCTGCGCATCACCGTCTTCGCCTTCGTCTCCTTATACACATACTTCTCCACGCCGTCCTACGGCCGCGCGGGGCCGAGCCGCATGTCGCACCCGCTAGCCCCGCCTAACGTATTCGTCGCCGGTAGCAGTATGGGAGGAGCAGGAGGTGGTGGGACAGGCGGTGACGGATTGCGGAACCGTGTTTTTTTCACGTTTGCGTTTCTCGAGTTTCTTAGTTGGTTTTGGGTCTGGGTTACGCTTAAGGAGGAGGCGAGCAGTTTTGTCGCGAGGAAGAGGAGGAGGGGGAGCGCGAGTAACGGGGCTGCGCGGGGGTTCTAGGGAGTTTGATGGATGGATGGAGGTTGGGTTGGTTTGGCGCGGGTGGCTTTGCGGAGAGAGAGGATGCATAGTTACCCTCTAAGGCTGCTCGGGCGGTGCGGATACGGATATAGAGAGTACAATGGTTTCTACCGAGCACAGCCTCTCGGCCGAGGTCTCTCTTTACCTCCTTTCAAAACCCGCGATATGTCTTTCGGCGGGTTCTCAGAAGCATATAACTGGCGTGGGGCACGGGAACGGATGTTGTTGGCATTTCCGCGGCATTGGGGCATGGGTTTCGACATCTACAGATCGGCGCTGAAAGACTGCTAGAAAGAGTGAGCGAGACGCGGACACGGAAGATACCCTTTCTTTCTCCTAGAGTGTTTTAGGTCACGGAATGCTTCACGTATCATGCATTAGATGGATGACGGTCTCTTCTACTTGGGCATTTGTATTATGTGCTTGTATACCACGTGTGATTGGTGGTGCATTTTTCTATTTACAGTCTGACGTACTTATAAGCAGCTTCTCATTGCTGCGACAAGTCGGTTCCTTGGTGATCTTCTATACACAACACACCAAGGTATACAACTGGAGCTATTTTGGTACCTGCCTCCTTTTCCACATCATCGCCAAACCAACCTCCCTTCTAAATTGGTATCCTTGACCCCCGAAATTCCAACGGACTCGGACGCCGAGTCCGAAAGACAAAAAACAACCCACACCAACCCTAAACATGCCTGTGAATCATGCAGAAAATGCTGGGCTTGTACGCCGTAATGCTGTTAGGAAACCCCTCGTCCTTGTGGCCAGCGTGCAAAACAAAAGTAGTCGGATAGAACCAAGTATAGACACGAGTGACAAACCGATAAATTAGAGGATCAGTCAAACTTGACGGCGGCCCAACCCTTAATTAGTTCTCGCCACGAGTCGCCGATATCGTCAGCCCACTTCTCGGCATTCTCCTTGGGAACAATACTCCTCATTTCCTCACAGACATGGTTCTTAAACTCTTTATCCTCGTCGCGCACTGTGGCGTATTCGCCAAAGACCCAATCGCATAGACGATCTCGCCAGCCATCGACATTGTCAAGGTAGCTCTGTAGCAGCTTAATGCGGTCCTTGACAGATTTCTCCGAGCTAGCCGCCGCTGTCATCATTTTCTTGAGCTCAGGAGCCAGCCACGCCAGCTCGGCCTGGGACCGGAGCTTGTCAACATTCTTGGCTTTCTCGGACACAGTCGTGAGGTAATTGGTCGTATGCTTGAAGATGATAACGGTTTCGCGTAACATGCCCATAGCATGCAAGGCGGCGAATCCGTGGAAACCGTACAGCTTCGAGTGAATGTTTTCTGGCATGACCAGAAAATCATTGGTCTGTAATTCCAGCTCTTCGATCGTTTCTTTGATAGCAGAACGAATGCGGTCACGAGTATCGTTGGTAGCACCTTTAAGGATCCCGGATTCGACGATCTCTTTCACCAAACTTGCCAGCCTATGAATGATACTATGATACCATAGCTCGGGCGATGTGAGCGATGTCCTAATTCGTTCTTGTTGTCGGTTCAGCTTAGCCTGCTCTTTCTCAGAGAGGCTTGGGTCAAGAAGGGGCATGAGAGTCCTCATGTCCTTTTCGAGGCGCGCGGACGTAGCAAGCGCGTATTCCAAGTCCAGTTGAATGACCCGCCCAGCCTTTGGCGGCTTGTATTCCTTGGGCTGTGCGTAAGACACGAGATCAAAGAAGCGTTCAGATAGCAATCCAAGGTGGGCTCGGTCGCTCTAAATCGCTGTTAGTATCTAAGACGAAGCTGTGGCGTGTGGATAACAAACCGAAGGTAAAGGCCCATAGTGAACGATGGACTGGTGCGACGTCTCGCCACTGGACTGGCTTTTTGGATCCTGTCCACTTGGGATATTGAAGACTTTATAGTCAGTCACATCTTTGAGTTCATGCTTGATCAAAAGATCCCCTATTAGGTCAGCATAATCCAGTCATCTTGTAAAAGTTGTGGTTTAACGTACTCACGAGAGGCTGGTCCTCTATGGGTACCTCTGCCTTGTTCGTTTTCATTCGAGCACCTCGACGTTCTTCTAGCACGGCTAGAGCAACGGTACAACTTGTAGCGTGCTTTTCGGCATATTCGATTATTCCCGGAATGCTCGAGTATGTCTCCTGATCAAGAGAATCCATAATCCTCTTAGGCACAGTTGTCTTAAGTGCCCGCGTGAAATGTATTATAAAAGGGTCCACTGGATTGCCGCGATTCGACCCCATGAAAAGGCCTGGGGCAATTGAAGATAATCGATCGATGAAGAGCAATCCTAGTGAATCTAGGAGAGCATTCTTGACGTCTAGGCCATCCCAGATAGTTTTCGCCCGAGGTACTGCTCCCATCAAAATATATAATTTGATTAGAAGCAGAGTATGGTCGGTAGATACGATCGTTGAGGTCTCCCTACACGAATCCAACCATAGGACAGCCTGCATGAACAACTGGATATTCGCGCGATACAAAGAACTAGTTCCATGCGGCGTCCACGAGTTTCCTAGTCTTGCGACTCTTAGGAGACATATGGAACCAATTACCGCAATATCCGAAAGCGGATTTGTGCGCTGGCGAGATAGTATCTCCTGAAGGAGATTACCGTCTTTGATGCCAGCCTTGTATATATTTAAGGCATTTTCGGCAAGCTCCTTGGAACAATGCATGCAGGCGTCGCCTACCAGTTCGGCGCCACAAAATTTGCACGTAAGGCCGGTACCTATCACCGTGGCGTACCAGATTTTTAGACAGATTGATGTCAGTGTATAACGCGTGAAGGCGTGGGTACACTAATAGGTGAACGTCAGTTAAGTCACCACAAAAAGCCTGTAAGATTGGTTGAATACCTGATTGGCAACAGCTTGGAAAGTTGCTAGGAACGCAGCAACTTCCGACATACTCAACTGCCGTATGAGCACCATGGCCTCGTCCACGGACGTAGGGTTGTCGTAATTTTTAACGACATGTTTGAGAAGATTAGCAACCCGTCCAGTGAAGGATGGGTTCGGTCCTAGGTCCGCTAAAGAAGCTCGTGAGACGTTGATCGAAAGGCTCATAAGCTCCAATGATTTCGCATAGATCGGTTGCATACAACCTGCCCTCTCTAAGGCCCTAGTCAGCTTCTCAATCAAGTTCCCAAGTTGCTTCATCGCCCTATCAAATTATTAGTCTTATCCATTCATACGTAGGTACGTAAGTCAAACTCACTTTTTCGGGTCAGCTTGACGCTTTGCCGCATTGAACCAAACCTGCAGCACCTTATACTCGCAGTTTTCGAGGACGTAGCAATGGGCCTGCACACTTCTATCAGGTCTAGCTAAGTACATAGCGCGACGTAAGTCCGCCTTGACTGACGACACTATTTCCGGGGAATCCTGGTCGTTACTGTTGTGGACAAGCTTCTTTAGATTTATGACCTTCTCGTTCTTTTCGATAAGGTCCGCCTCCGATTGCAAAGTACGGATAGCATCTTTCAAGGTAAGTTCTCCAATCCGGAAAATCTCATCCGAGTCGCCCTGTTCCTCGAAGTACTTGATAATTCTCCAGAATGGCTCATGCCGGCCAATTCGAAGGAAATCGAGGGCCGTATACCCTGGCTTCTTGAACAGCTCTAAGTTTTCCTTCGGACTGCAATGGGCGATTCGGATTTCCAACCACATCCAGTCTTCGGATTCTGTCAGCGCAGTTCGATCGGTACGTTGTAATTGGCCGTTACTCTAGTTTTTATGATCAACATCTCGTTCCTATCAACAGAGTCTATAGTTAAAGCTTACTTCAGTGCGGTTATCAAAGGCCTTGTCGGCTTGAGCTTTTGCGAGAGATGCGAAAATTTTTCTGCTGGCCTCGGGGCAGTCCTGAGACAGCTAATTCTAGTTAGGAGTGGAATGTTGGTAGTAAGCAGTGGAGGGAGTCTCACAGAATACAAATGTGTTGCCATAATGTATTGAAACAAGAACTTCCGATCGGTGAAATTCTTATTCAATGACGCCGCAATCTGGACACGTAGGTACATTAATAAAGCCAACTTTCCAGAGACGATGGGAAGTTACCTGCTGAGCATTTTTCCAATCGGAATTCCAGACACAAGCGTTAAAGCAACGAATGCATGCTTTCTGGTCCTTTGGTGCGGCTTTCACAAATCTGACACGGAGCACACCAATTGTCTCAGGATATTTCACATTGACATGAGAGCATGAAAATTCGTATAGATCCAGAGCATCAATGTCTGTGACGGTTACATTGTCTTTGATCATCTTCTCGACGGAAACTTTGCCAGCATTTCTGTCCGCAACAGTATCACTCTGTGACTTGGCAGCAACCTCGACGGCCTAGTATAAGAACGTTAGTTATGGAGATAATGATACCGTTTATGTAGTAGTAAGAATCCTTTTCAACTCATCGGGAAGGTATGACGAAATATGACATATGGAAAGGAGAGATATCGAAATTACCACCATACATGATTGTCCGAAAGAAGGCTGCGGGGATAGTACACCGGACGAGTCTCAATGGTGCAGAATCCTCGTCATCGGAATAAGGTCAATGTAGACGTGTCTAAGTTAAGACAAGTATTAAGTGCCATAAACCCTCGTCTGGTGAACTGGTGGCATGAAGAAGTGCATGCTGACAGAAGAATTGCGCCAAAACAACGAGAGAAAACCAAAAGAGACGAGACTTGGAGAGATGATTAAAACAAAATACAACTCACGAGGTAGTAAGAATCTTTGGTAGCCCTGTGCCGCTGTTTTGCTAAGTTGGCGGTGATAGTCCATTGCTCTTCGGCGAAACTAGACTGTAGGTTTATGGGTGCCGATTGCTTGATATTGACGGGTCGAGGACTCGGCTTTGGTAGAGGGGGCCTCATGGTGACCGTGATGATTTTTTGTTGACGATCGCAGTCGTGAGTTTGTAGAATATAGCAATTGAGTATAATTAGAGGGTAGGAAGTATGCACGTGTATGTGCTCGTATGTTTATATGTGAGGGTGTTGAGTAAAGGAGCTTGAAATGGGATCAAAGTAGTGAGTGAGTGGGGGATATTATCGAAAGTGAGGAAAAGTTGAATCGTAAAGAATACAAATTTGGACAAGACTCGGAATCGTGAGAGACATGTCAGAGAAAGTTGAACTTGGTCAGAGCGGGAGAGGAATCGAGAGGTGATTCGACGCTGTGAAATGTGACTCGATTTGTTGTTTACAACGTGCTCCTGTTCTTCGATGAGGTTGTTCTTGTTAGGGCTGGGCAGCATCAATTGTGCTTCTCGTAACCTGCCCATGTACTAAATTCCCTAGATTCTGCCATTAGTGGGGCTCCTGCCACTTTCCAAATTAGGTAAGCGGTATTAACACTGAGGCTCCGAGGTCATTGTGCATATTACGTAACGAGTGCGCATAGGTACGATTTATCTGCATTAGTCATCAATATTCATTGGCTCCGTCAAGACCTCTCTCTGTCCGTGGAAGGTGAGTGGTGAATGGTTTTTTTATTTTGTTAATTAGGAGGGCTCCATCACTAGAGTTCATGTACACTTTCGCACCTGTATTTTATCTGTGCATGTGGCAGCACAGCCATTGCTAGGTGGAAATAGCAGGATCCCATATCATCTTGGGAGACTATCGTCAGTGGCATCGTCTTGAGACGCAGATGAATATTCAAGTCATCTTCTGGTCAGCCAAAAATGGATCCCGCTTCCTTCTTACGTTTATTGACCTTTCAAAAGACGAAGTTAGAATATGAAGCAGAGTCTGCAATCAAGTTGCAGGTTGCACGGGAATCATCCTTACCCATTCCTTTTTGCACGCGCGATATGCTCTAGAGAGATGATATCGTCAACACTCATGCCACTCTATCACCAGAGCTTCCAAGACTCCCAGGCATTTTGGGCACTCACTCGAAGTAATCAGTGCACATCTGCCTATCCCCGCCATTTCGATTCAGGCAAGCAATGCTTCGTGAAGCGGCTTCTTGACAAGGATCAAACCATTCGCTCTTAGATTTGCTATTGCGGACACAATTAGTAAATATCAATTTGGCTTGAAACGGACACACTCACTTATTGAACTTGCTCCTCGTCTTTTTATTCCATGGGTCATCGCTTGACTCGGCTTGAGAAGACATTTTCAGCCATCAATTGCGTGCGCGGGAAAACTGAGAGTTGATAAAGGTTAAATCTTTGGCCTTTGAGATGATGTGAAAGCTTTCGCTTGTCGCCTCGGCGCGTCACCTAGAAGCTGCAGGGATCATTTAGCGTACGATATGTACCTAGGTACCTAGGCATTCCTCAACTGGCGCAGAAAATTAAGTGTGGCCGGTCTGAGTTCAAGGTTCCAATCGGGGCTTTTGGGCTTCCGCTTAGTAATGGATCCCTGTCGTTTAAATCCTACCATGTAAAGTACTCCTTAAAGTTCTTCCCTTTTACATAAGTGTAAGGCGTCCTCCATAGTAGGATCGAATATATTGATAACAGTATTGGAGTCTTCATGACTTGTCTTTCTATACATCCTTTATGGCCTACCTTATCAATTAAGGATATATCTTCTGAGAAGATCTACGCGACGTTCATTCCCCTGAGATGCCGTGGATCAAGAGCTCCAAGGCTACCGGCAAAAAGACAAAGCCTTCTTACAACCTCATACCTATCAGTAGTTTATCATCAGAGCTTGGTAGCGGAAAACAGATGAGTAGTTACACATACCATTTTAATGCGTTTATATTGGTTGTTAATTTCACTTAGAAATACGAGAATATTTGAACAATTTCAGTAGAGCTTTCAAAGGCTTGCACAAGTAAAGCTGATGTCAGATGCGACAGGTACGGAAGTGCCAGAATACTACCCAACCGCCACGGACGTCAGCTTCCAAGAATTCGCCGGGGGCTTGCGGCTGAAGATTAGCGGTGGCTTGCCCCCGTAATATTGGCATTCGGTACGAGCTGCCCAGTCACAGCTTGGAGATCAACCTGTCTTAAGACGCTGATGATCGGTTAGCTCTGTGTAATGAACCCGGATGGTCTAGCTTAACTTATTTCGAACAATTTCGAAACCCAACAAAAGTGGTATGCTAATTTGCTTGTCATCTCGCTGCGTTGCTTCTGGCGACCTTGCGTACTCCCGATCTCACTCATCTCGCAAGAATTTTCTGTCAATGGCGGCCAAGGCTGTCGGACGCAGTTAACTTGGGGTTACACAAAGTGTTCCTATGACTGAAATCAATCATTGATCATCCAAGACATGCATGAGACAGTCGCGGGTTGAGACGGGCGAGAGGCCGGGCTATTACGCTTAACGGTGGTGCCCTATCGGTACATACCATATGCCCAAGGTATTGGCTAGGACCCGCGGTCCTCGATATACACTCCAGTCCGTATTTTATATTACCCATGGGGTAACTATGACCTCCCGGTTGAGCCACGAGTCCTAGATAAACCCTGAACGTCAATTGTTAGAGACCAGGCTGAAGGGTTACATAAACAATGCTCCTAGGACTATGAGACTCCGTTGAAATCTGCACACCTTATCGTGCAGCTAGCTGCAGTCTCGGGTTGCATTCCGAGGGTTGTGGCTTCAATGTCATGAATTTCTCATAGAGTATCTGAAACGCACCGAAGGATTTATCCTACTTAAAGCGCCGATGAAATAGATAGACAACTCGACGGTAGGATTCGTGAAATGCTACGGCGTTGCGAATCATCCAATGATTCTTCAATGGGGAGACCGCCCCCAAAGGTACGAACGCCATCCGCGACCTGGTTTTTCCTTTTTGGGAACCCCAATGCAGGGGCCGGACCAGGATTAGATGGTCGACCTGTGTTGAACTTAGATGCGCGAGCAGACACACATATTATGTGCCAATGCGTAGCAGCGCGGGTCCCTCTTAACCTCTCTCTCGTCTGGGGTGTCTGGGGGCTTAGAGGTTGCGCCGGAGGCAGGTCTGCCACACGTTGTTGAGGGACCGACAATAGTGCAGAAGCCGCACGACGACAAGGCGCAGTATACATACGAACAGCAACCCCAAGCCTACCCAAGCAATTTTTACCAAAACAATCTTTACCCGAACGGCGCATATCCGCCTACAGGGTATGCTCCTTCAAGTCAACCAGCTCAGTCCCAATGGGGAAGTACCCAGAGTAGCGCATATCTCAAAGATGGAGCGCCACCGAGCGGCGCGCCGCCTAGCAGCCCGATGATATTAGGGATACCGAGAAGGAAGTTCTGGTTGATATTTGCACCGTTGATTGCCTTGCTCGTCATTGGACTAGCTGTCGGTTTGGGTGCAGGATTAGGAACATCACATAAATCCAGTTCTGAGTAAGTGATACTAAGGTGTTCCTGGAGAAGATTCACGCATCTCGACTCAGTTCATTTCTAACAACCACGCAGCACACCCAGCACGACAGCTGCGCTAACTCCAATCGTGTGCCCTAATGCCAATGGCACGACATACCAAGCCACCGGCGAAGACCCATTTCTAATTGTTTGCGATGTGGACTACAGCAGCAACGAGGCGAACAGCGGGACGACAGATATCGGTAACACGGCGACAGACTCAATAGAGGATTGCATCGATGTATGTTCGAACAACACGGCGTGCGTCGGTGCCGGCTGGGGTAGTTATGAAGGTACCAACACCTGCTGGATGAAGGGGACATTGGGTTCATCGCACGAGGCGGATAATTGGTACTTCGCGATCAAACAGCAAAAGTCGAGCTAGGCAATTAACTGGGCGGGATTCTTTTCTTAGGTATGGAGTTGAGAAGGATATATGATAATTGATAATTGGAGGACAATACGCGTAGTATCTTAATCGATGTATTTCCTTAGGCGTAAATACCTATATAGCTCTCTCAAACAGGATAATGGAGAACAGTGGATCCCGATACTCAGATCTGTTTCTTCGTAGGGCTGAAATGCAGACTATATGCAGTTTCAACTGAAATCCTGGTCATTATTGGCTCCACCATGAGCCCAGAAGCGCAGTATCACAGAAACATACGGTTTACGTCTACATGAAAATCAAAGTCAAGACGAAGTGATGAGATTTCTTTCATTATGAGCGCTTGTCAATTCAAATGTGCTAACCACCTGACTATATACAGCACCCCGGGCCCCCAAGTCCCTGAAGGTCTAGAAGACAGGCCGTCGAATCCCCCGTACTCCGGTCATATGATATCAAAAACCCTAAAGATATCTGCAATAACCGAGAAGGGGTTCATGTAAGTCATAGAAGCCGCGCTGTGAGTCGCTTCCCCAGTACTGTTACCACTGCTATTAGTACTACCGCTACACAATCATAAATTAGCAAAGTCCTACAATCACACCTCCCACCATCCATAACACCGAAACTGCAACGCCGAAGAACGGGGCAAGGAGGGATGCAAACGTTTCGCAAAGGGAGCGGGGAAAAGGGGGGTGAGGGAGTACTAACCCGCAACTCCAACTCGCAGCATCATTCACATCGCCCGACGTATTAAACGTCGCCGTATTGGGATACGTGCAGATAGGCCGCTGCTTCAGCACGCCACTCGACGGATCCGTGCTCGTCTTCCACGTCGTCGCGATCACCTGGTCGATCGGCTCGCCCTTCTCCACCCAATTGACCAGCGCGAGGAGCACGTCGTGCTGCGCGTCCGCGTAGCCGGGAACACTGTACGTATCGTTGCCCAACCAAGAAGCTTGCGTCGCGCCGCCGAAGGCCCACGGCGCGTCTACGGCCGTCATCCCGCAGTGCTGCATCCCGGGGATCTCGAGCCTGCGGAAGAATTTCCGCGCTTCTGTCACGTTGCCGCCGCTCGTCGTTTCGACTGTGCGGTTATAATACAGGCTCCCCGCCGTCGTGGGGACCAGTCCGTCCGCCTGCCCATGGTATAACAGCATCTTACCCCCGCGGTCGCGGAACGTGGTTAGATTGTAATCATCCGCCGTCGAATTTCCCGGGTCCAAGGACGTCGCGAGCTGCAGGATGCTATCGTTGTACTGCTCGGCCATGAACATCGGGTCGTTCAGCACGAAGTAGCGGATGTACCCCACGCCGTACGGGCTCGCGTCCGAGTAGTTGAGCACGGTGTACATCTGGTCCTCGGACCCGGGCAGGTACCCCGGCATGATCTGCTGCCCCGTAGAGTCGAGCACGAAGCCGTCGTACATCTTCTGCAGGGTGCCGATCTGGTCGTCGTTCATACAATCCTTCGACTTCGAGAAGTCGGAGTCGCCGCCGTTATTCGTGCACTTCATGCCGTCCCAGTTGATCTTGCACTGCTCCGGAAGGCTGATGATGCCATCGGTCACACCGTCGTTCGCGTCGCACTGGCTCACGATCGCCGCGCCGATCGGCTTCAGCGATTCCCAGGGAATATGCTTCGACTCGTCGGCGGGCCAGTTGTACGTCGCGATCTTGCCGACCCACGTGTTGAGGTGGTCCGTATACCAAGACGGGGCGCCGACTAACACGCCGTCGAAACTATCCGGCGAGATCTGCATCTCCTTCAGCCCCTGCCGTCCGCCCGTCGAGCAGCCGCTGTAATACGAGTAGCTGATAGGCTTAGCGTAGTACGTCGCGACAAGCGTCTTAGAAAGCACCACCGTGCCGTGCAGCGCGCGGTACCCCCAATCGGTCCTCATCTCGGGCTGGTTAAGCGCCCAGCGGATGTCGGCCGTGGTCGAATTATGGCCCGTGTCGGTGGATACGACGGCGAAGCCGTAGCGCACGCCCGCGCCCATGTCCAGCCAATTAATGCCGCCTCCGAACCCGCCGTTGCCGACCGCGAGGAAGCGACCGTTCCATTCCGCGGGCAGGAACATGCCGATCCTGTACGAGGACACGGGAGACGATGCGACGGCGATGATGACCGCGCATAGCTCCGGCAGGTTCGTCGGCGCGATCGGGTACATGAGATCTGTCAAGGGTTCGCCGAAGCTGCTGCCCGCGCTGACGTACTCGACCTTCTCGACCTTGGCCGAGGAGGGGAGCACATTAGCGAAGGTCTCTGCATTGCAGTTCGCCTGTCTACGGCTCTTGGGTCTGTTGTTGTTTGCGTTGCCATTGCCCTGTGCCGCGGTAGCAGCGACGAGTAGCGAGACGACCACGATGGCAAGGTTGATCGATAATTGGAGGAAGCCCGAGCACCTCATCGCGAAACGTGTGATGCCTCCACACCGGTATGCGATTCGAGCTGCTCTTTCGGGGAAGAAAGTGGCCTGGTTTCGACTACAGGCTGAAATTGGGCTTACTATATATACTACGGTAGGTTTTGCGACCACGCACGTCTGTACGTACACTGCATATATAGGTACCTACATACTACCTAAATACTAGATACTTAAGCGATCCCGAGGGACCGGCCACGCATGACCAAGCCTTGGTTGATCTGGATTGACATGTCGGAACCGTGGGGAGGTTGGGGTTAAGTGAACCTCATTGTGTCATCCCTGTGAAACACAGCGCCGGTGCTCGTGGCTGCAAGTAGCGATCTACCATGCACACAGGAATTTTACTCGAGCAGACGCTAGACGGGCACGGGACCGGACGGTATCTGGCAGAACGGCCCAGCCCAGTTTGCTAACACGAGAAAGCACCAAGAAAACTAGCCCCCAACAATAGAGATCAATGTGCATATGACGGCGGATACGACCCTGGAATCTCATTCAAGGTGCGGGGTTTCCTACCCGCGGGAAACAATGGAAATACATTCCTACCGGGACAAGAATGGACACTACTATCTAGCGGTAGGTCGTTGGCTTTAAGTCCGACCACTGGAGCGGGTGATTCCGAATGCAGGTCCCTGGAAAGCTGTCGTAAGTGTCTAGCTTGGAAAGAGACACATCTCGGCTTCTGGGGAATCCCGGTGTCAGAAAAGCTTAGTTGAGCGTACTGTGGCTAGCTATTTCATCACAATCTACGTAGATAGGTATTTAGAGAGGGCGGTGACTATTGTCACTAGTTCTTTAATGTGGCTTTATGCAGTAGACGTGTCTTGCCCGAGGAGGCTTTTTTGATTACGTATGCCCCTCAAATCTTCTCGATAAGAGGTCGACATGAGGATTACCTAGGTAGGTAGAGGTAGATACCTGTAGCTACAGATCGAAACAAGAAATATGAACCGTTATTGTACCGATATTCATCAACCGACAGACTAGCTAAGTATCTTGAAGCTTTTATGCTAGAAAGGAACTAGCAATTGTGAGAAATCCTCACAACTTGTACAGCCTAGGAGTTATTCCTTCAGAAGCTGCGTTCAACAAGGTCCGGTTCTTTCGTCCGTAGTAGTATCGTAGTCCAAGGGCACCAAGAGCTACGAAGAAGAGCATGGCGCAGTTTACACCATGACCAGTTGGGTAGCCTTTCTCCGCCTCGTCGGCCTTGTAGATCCAAACACCCGGCATTTGTCCAAGGCCGGCGCCGATACTGACGTTGATAGCAACCGCCAGCCCAATAGACGCCGTGCTCCACATGTTCGACGTGAGCCAACCTAGCATGGGGGGAATGCATCCAAAGGCCCCGGCAGTTCCGACGATTAAGCAACCATAGCGGCCGAGATAGTCGTCAGCTGGTAACACGGCAGATGCTAGGAAACCTGCTGCTCCAATCACTGCTGCAGCGGCACAGTGATAGCCGCGAGCATTGAAATGATCGGCGGACCATGACATAAGAATTTGGAAGACTAGATAGTGACTTTTATTAGCATTGCTTTTGCAACTTCAAGATTTCACAGATTATGCTAAACTTACTGTAAGCGGCAGCCCAAGGAGGCACCGTAAGTAATTGCGCCTCTAGATCATGAAACCCTAAACCGGCGACGATCGATGGGGAGAATAGTGACAGCGAACTGAAAGGCAACGAGACTGCAAAATAAATAGCATAGTGTCCGTACAATCGCCAATCCGTAAGCGTAGATTTAACATCATCCCAGGTCATAGATGAAGCTGAGCCCTTGGCGCCTTCGAGATACAGTCGCTGCGCAGCTAAGTCTTTCTCGGACTCCGAGAGCCATTTAGCTCTCTCGGGCCAGTCTGGTAGGAAGAACCATACAAGAATGCCGGACAGACATGAAGGAATACCTTCAAGCATGAACAACCATCTCCAAGCGGAAAGGTTTTGTGTCCGATTCATATGACCGATTCCGTATGCAATGGCACCGCCAAAGGCGCCGGCGAGGGTAGCGCTCGCGAGAATGAAGGCTACTCGTACACTTCTTTCGTCGCTCTTGTACTAAATGTGGAGAATATTGTTAGAATACCTACGAGACTAGTAATCTCCAGACTAGAATCCTCCAGAGATTCTAGCGTCTTGGACCCGCCAAACTAGGTAGGGAACACAACCTGGAGCGCAACCCAAAAACCGGTAATTGGAGACTGGGGCTACAACTTAAAACCGGCATTTTAGAGACCCATCTTGAGCCTCATCATCGCTTACGCGATATGGGGGTGCGGGGAAGGGGGAAAATGCTATCTTTTCTCACTCACCCAAAACGTCAGGTAATAGATCAATCCCGGAAACAGACCAGCTTCGACTGCTCCTAGCAGGAAACGGACTCCCGTCATCTGGGAATAATTCTTAACACCGCCTAAGCCGATCGTGATCGCGCCCCAAGCGACCATGAGAAAGGCAAGCCATCTCGAAGGGCGAAGCTTTTTCAATAGGATGTTCGAAGGAACCTCGAAACAGAAATATCCAACTAAAAAGATCATCAATGCGATGTTAAATTGGTAGGCCGTGGCTCCGGTCTCGGTCTGCATGTCATTGTGGGTTGAGGAGTTGAGGATCCTGGCATTGCCGATGTTGGAACGATCCAAATAGCAAAGGAAGTAGATGGCGGCGGACAACGGCACGATACGTTTATCTTGCCTCCATACCAGCTTGCGCTCTTGCGCTGAAGTAGCATGAACCGTATTGACTGCCGGCTGATAATGGTCAGAAGCTATATATGATTATTGTCAAAACCCATCCTCTGGGAAACCTACATCTTTGAGACTGTTCCTCTCCAGCTCCTCGGCCATAGGACCGGCATTCTTCTCCACGTCGCTAGGCATATTTTCGGTCGCCATTGTGAATAGTCAAGCTCCTTCGCGCTTATAGGTTTGACAGAAGCGCAGCACAAGCACAAGCACAAGATGTGGATATGGGATTATTAAAGGAGGATTTAGATTTGGGGAAACCTTCGACTGACTCAAATGGGAGTATGGGGAAGAGTACCCTTGCATATGCTAGCTCTGGGGAACAAAGGATTGTGGTAAGCTATCCGACGGGGGTAATTCCAAACGCGGGGAAGAGGTTCGCCATCGTGACCACTGTCAAAGACACACCTTGGCTAGCCAGTCCACTCACCGCTGCTGAGCTCCCATGGGACCGAGATATGGGACCGAACCTTTGTGTTACAGGCTCTAAGCATCCGTTTTGTCGAATAGCATTCCACGAAAGCTTACATCCATGGCAGCCACGATAACATAGTGGCATTGTAAGATCCCGTCAATATCTCCGAATAGGTAGTAATCACCAATGAGGAAATGAGACGAAGGTGCCGTAATCCGTGCCACATCAAACTGCGGAAACGTGCGGGGGAGGACAAAGGCATTGGTATCCTAGATTCGCTCCAACCATGGCCATCGGGGCGGATTCAAACCGTCCGCCGTCACCTGGGAAACCATTCGCAACATTTCAGTCTCTACCAAGCCAGGGATGGCCGAATAAAGAAGCGTAAGATCTAGGCCGGCAATCAAAAATGCGACTAAGACGGGACTTTGCATGGTCTTTCCGGGAGAAAAATAAAGGCCCGATTCTAGCTCTGGCTTGTCAGCTATCGGCTCCCACTGAAATTTCAAGGAGAATCGTGCTGATCATTAGCCGGTATGGTGACTTTCTGCGAAGTCATATTTATCGCGAGTCTCGATAAGTGAGAGCGAAAGGGTTTCCTTTCAATTGAAAAGTCCCTTTGTCGTGGCAAGATGTAAATCTGGCAGTTTAACTCAACGACGGGAATATAGAAGCGTGGAGGCGAATCCCAATGTTTGCCCCGATGCTTCTCTACGCTAGCAGCGCCACCGGCGAAAACACTTCAAGTCGCCTGAGCTACTACCTATCCCTTAATTGAGTCCGAGCGTGAACGGCTTGATCCATTGTCGGAGAGCATGAGGAATAGGTATAGTCAGTATTTGTATTGATGGGGAAAAAACATGTAGCATCAAACCAGGAAGCACGGCGGCAAGAACTGCGAGAGAAGAGATAGATCGAGGTGCGTCTCAGGGGCCTTTAAAAGCCCACACTCGACAAACGAAAGATCTCGATGTCCGGCCAGATGGAGAAAACAAGCTTTTCATCCAAGAAGGCCAAGAGGCAAACGACACCGCGCTCATTCAATTATATCAACGAGGACTTGTGACTTCCCTCTCGTAATCGAAAATAGATGGATATTGTAAGCAGTCCTAGAGGATGTTAGTAATAGCCTTTTGAAAGAATCGCGATCGTAATTCAGCTGGAGCAGACTAGAGAAGCTTCCAGGGCTGTCAACACGAGCTGACAGGTGCTAAAATGTCCTTATTTTTAGCATGTTTAGCAGTCTTATGGTGACTTTAAGGGGTTTCATTGGCGCTGTAGCTTCGGTTGGTCAGTGCCACGTGCTGCAGCCCTATGAGACGAGCCTCTGTAATTCGCCGGCTCGCTAACTGTTCGAGGCGGTTTAGCCTACATCCGCGCATGGCTTCCTCTCTCAGGATTTTTGAACTTCGAACTTGCCAACAAATACGTGGGTCCAGCCGCTATATCATCCTTTACGTAAAAATTTCATTTCGAATCGAACGGCCGAGAACGTTAATTGATATCATCAATTCCATATTGAACCAATAACCTCGTTGATTAAACTGCAGCTGAAATAATCGGAGAGGTTGGGTTTTTTGATTGAATTATGATAGATCTACCTGCAGTTATGAGCTGAAGGAAGTGAGGGGACTGAACTAATATGCGGCTGCCTCCATCGTGAGGTTTCCTGCCACTCACGAAAAACTACGTAGAAGTGATGGACAAAATGATGGATACACCGGTCCCGACATGATGGGAGGTGCAACGGAACACGAAGCTTAGCTGGGTAAACTTTCCTTGGCAATCCCCAAAATAAAGATGGAAATACAGAATAGGGAACTGCGATGCACGAGTTCGTGTGGCATGACTTCATACCACCGTCTCACTACTTGGCAAGCAACACCCAGGTAACAAGCTGGAAGTAAGCACCGTAAGTTCAGTGAATACGACAAGGAGGCTGCTTTTAGGAGAGGCAAGCACCGCCACGAGGTAATAGATATAATATTCGAAATGTATATATAAGAGCGTATCCCATCGTTCCTTCCATGGAATTATCAGATCATCATCGCCATCCCATAAAACAAGAATCTCCCATCATCACCCAATTCAAACAACCAACTTCTCACCAGAGTAACCCCTCAAACACCATCTCGCCCACCAAAATGAAGACCTTCGCAGCCCTTTCCCTCCTCTTCCTAGGAGCTAGCGCCGTCCCGGTAACCGAGCGCCAGACTCCAGCCCCCACCGAATTCGACATCAGCAGCTTCAGCGCGAACACGCTGCCGCATGGGACCGGGGCCTTCATAAGCTTCACTATCACCGCTCCCGGCACCACTCTAAACACAACGTGCGCGTACTCGGACCAGTCCTCCGCCTCCGAGCTGCCGTCCGTATCCCTGCGGCCCTGCGATGATGCCGCCGTAGAGTGGGAGTTCATGCAGGACCCGGCACAGCCGGGGACGCAGGGCAGCTACCGCATCGTCGTCACGTACGCGTACGACGCGCCGAAGAGGGTTGCTGGTTACCACGAGTGGCCCGCCACCGACTTCCCGCTCGAGAACTTCGGGTCTACTGTTGAGACGTTTTATACTGGGACTCCTGACTTTGTTATTACGAATCTGACTGGTTAATCGGGGATTGTTGAAGTGCGAGGCGTATCTACCTATCCTAGATGCTATCTAGGTACTTAGGGGATCGGAATTTAGAAGAAAGACGCATAGAGTTATGTCGGCGCAAGTTTCACTTACGAGGGGGTAGAAAAGTGGAAGATGATATCGTTATAGTGAAGATAGCGGTTCCTGAACATACTGGGATCTATAATAATAATCATTTACTATCACATTACCTTCTCGTTACCTTGAATGGTATCAAGTTCTGCTTTCTGAGTCTAGGTACCTACATTTCACTGTGTAACATGAATATAAATCTTCGAATGGCATATGCCCCTTGAAGTTATCACACCCGCGCTCACGTGTCTTACCAACGACCCAACCATCTATCTTTTCAACATTTGATTAAAATAATATAGTTTTTTACATGGTGTTAAATAACTATTTAGATAAGGGTACCACAGCATCAGGAGGCAAGAAATACATATAGGTTGACTCATGAAATTCGCTATGACTTGCGATTGGGTTATTTTAATATCATTACAAAGAGAAAGTCGTCAAGGTATAGTAAGGCGATATCCACCGCGTCTTGGGACGCGTTCCATCTGATGAAAGCAAAAACAATTGGGGAATCAACGAAGATTATCATAAAAGAGGCTCCAGTGAGATTTGTTCATGACCAAACACAGCTCGGCCGCTCGTCGCATCCAAAAAGCCAAACCACCTACTGCAAAACCCACACAAGGGAATCCAGCAAAACAAGCTTTTATGTAAGAACAGTTCGACACCTAGCGATGGACCTATTAAGTGGCGTGAGAGGCCTCTGCACTTCCACTCGGCCCGCTTATTACCTCTCCTGCCGGGTGTCTTATTCGTTTCGGATCTTCGAGAAGAGCATATGCTCTTTCCATTTTACCCTTGCGACCCGCCTCCCCAGCCCGCTCCATCTCGTCGAGGTCGCTAATGTCGGAGGAACTAAATGAAGTCTGGCTCGGGCTGCGGTTCATCACCATGATAACACGGCCTTCCTTCTTGAGCTTGGCTTGCTCTTTCTTGAGTCTTTGGTCCTCTGGGTCGTCGCAGGCAAGTGTCACAATATCTATACCTGGCAAATTACGCTCCAACAAACTGTGCAAATCGGGCAGCACTGATTTGTCGGGTCGATAAGTACCGCTATCGTTATCAATTATTAGTTGATAATCCTCCGGCTTACCCACCGGCGGTTTTTGGGGATGCTCTTCAAGTTCGGCATCCTCGCTCGATTCCGCTCTGTTCACCCTCCTAATGAAAAATTCTCCAGAGCAAGCAATATAAGCCGCAGCATCAGAATGAAGCGTATGTTTCGAGAGCAAATCCAATCCGATCTCTTTTCCGGTGGCTGTCCATCTCATCATTCCGTCTAGGGTGATGATGTAGGTGAATATATGCCCCCCTTCTCCATAATGTGCCATCTTCAAGAATTGGTGAGAAGCGTCTTCGGTACATGCGTCGAATTTACCCCAAAGGGTATGCCTATCAAAGTTGTATATCCGCCTGTGTTGATGATGGAGGGCTTTGTTTAGAACCTTGCCCCGCAGCCCGCGGCCTCGGAATAGGAGACCAATAATGGGCCGGAATTCGACATATCTATGGTACATTTTCGTTGGTACCGGCCCAGCTAATTGAAATTCGTTGGCCTGGAAATCGTACTTTTGGGCCTTCTTCTCTTGCTGTTTGCCGTTGCTATGGGGTGCAGACGCAGCCCCATCCGCGCCATGGGTGTTCGAGTCGTCACCATCATCTACGTTGACCTTCGCGCCTATCATCCGACCAATCATGGGCGAGAAGTGCTTGAAGAAGTAGGTTGGTCCAACGGTGTACATGTGGCCATATGGCGGGTCCGATTTACCTAGGACAACAATGCTCACAAACAGCCTCGGCGTCATAGACTTATCCTTGATAAAGGCAGTTTCACAGGCCTTGAGAATATATGCACGTTTGCTACCGCTACGCTTCTTCACTTCGAATTCGTTATCAGGGGCTGAAAAGCCCGCCCAGTCTTCGCCGACATGGTAGACCTGGATGGACACATGCCCGAGCCTGTCGTCGTGGTCCGGCCAGTCTTCGTCATATAAACGACATTTGAGCTTAAACCCAGATGCTGGGACATTGGCGACAATCCACTCTTGTTCCCATTGAGGTTCCAGAGATTTCCTAATCGTGCGGGTGCGGTAAACAAGGTCTGGGTCTTCTTTATGTCGTTTCGGTAGCGAAGTCGTTAGAGTAGCAGCCAGGTACGGATCTGATGTGCCCGTACTTATGTCGGCAACAGGTAAATTTTCTGCTCTATGAAATATAAATTTCACCGTGAATCCCGGAGGGGCGTCAGGGATGGGTGTTGGGTCGAACCCCCCAGGAGGCTTTGCTACGGCCTTAATCTTTTTCTTCTGCTCCTTGAATTTCTCCTTCAAGGTGCTGCGACGAGGAATCGGACTACCTTGCTTCTCATTGGTGTCGTTGGGGCGCGAATGTTCTTCGTTCTGATGGTTGTCAGGGGTCGGCTGGTTGGGTTTCTCGTTATTTACATCGCCAGCGGGCCCTGGTTGCGACGGACGGTCTTGGCTACGGAGCGCCGGATCGACCTCTCCATCATTGGCAGTAGACATAGTGTGTGAGACTAATTTAGATGATGTCAAGTGTGGCAATTCTTGTCGGTCCGGTCGCCACCTTGCTACACCTGAAATACCAAGCGAAGCGGGCGCGATCGTCTTGTGCGCGTTGTAGCTATTAATATCCTGGTTGCGATTCGGACTTCCGGAAGAGACGACACGGTGGGCGCCAAGACGGTGGTTTGCGCGCGTTCTTGGGCAGTCAGGGTGTTGGAGATGCCCAGCTTTGGTGGGTTGATCAGTTCCACCCCAGGGATGGATAGGACTCGAGGAATTAGTAAACAAAATAAAACTGTCTTAGTATAGTGTCAATTAGAAAGGCAATTGAAATAGGAGGGTTTCACGAACACCAATGTTTGCCCAACCGTTTGACGATTATAGAGAAGAATAAGGTGTAAGCGGGAAGAAAAAAAGAAATTGAATTCGTCGCGCGACAGGAGCTCTTTCTTCTGCCTACCTTGGTACCTACCAAATTGCTATCATCCATGCCGCTTTCCCGAATTATGATCTAGCTGGATATCAAATGTGGCTGAAGCTGCTAGGATGCTACGTCACAATTTACGACTCTTTAAGGCTTAGCGGAGCGACTTGACAAATCAGAACAAAGGATTCAAGCAGTAACGCGCGCTTAGTGTCGGAAGAATTAACTTATCCATTCCGAAAATTCAATTCAAGCTTCCAAAGATCCCGGATGAAGCTTGGCGGGGATCCTAATTGACTTGCTGCAAATGCAGGGAATCAAGCATGTTGATCGACCTTGCCGACTTTCCGATCTCTTGTTATCTCTCCACTATTGTAAGGCTGCGCCTGGCTGCACTGGAAACTGTCACCTTTTCACTTTTTCACCTTACCCATGGGTTTACCTGTGGTTTTTAAGTAACTCATACGGGATACGTTACCAACAGATTCAATACCAGCATTATAGAATTCATGGTACTAAAAGCGTCTCCGCGCATTAGCCCATTACATCTCTGCTAAGATTGTTGGATGGGGAATCTGATTTATCTCACCTCGCCGTTTGCGCCACACACGTCCAACACTGAAATATTTAAATCTGCTAATATACCCATGTTTTGAAGTATATGTCCAGTCTTGTACTATCGAGGCATCAACGTATTCTGTTCAAATGGATGAGGCGAATCTTGCCCCCGTCTTATTCCTAGATGGAGGGTTGGGCACATCTCTCGAGGATAAATATGGCGTCAAATTTGACGAAAATACCCCGCTATGGTCCTCTCATCTCCTTATCGATGACCCGAGGACTCTGCGTGCGTGCCAGGCGGATTTTGGCAGAGTCCCCGTCGACATCTTGCTCACAGCAACGTACCAAGTTTCAGCAGAGGCCTTCGCAAGAACCAAGACCCCAAATCATCCGCAAGGCATCGGCCGCCGAGATATCTCGGCTTTCCTCAATCTCGCTGTTTCGATTGCTGAAGAAGCTAAGGCCCCCGAGGCCCAGGTGGCTTTAAGCCTCGGGCCATATGGTGCCTGCATGATTCCTAGTCAAGAGTACAGCGGGAAGTATGATGCAGAACACAATTCGTTAGAACAACTGTTCAATTGGCACCAAGACCGCCTTGCCCTGTTTGAGCAGATCGATCATCTAGGATCTCGCATCTCCCTCGTTGCTTTTGAGACCGTCCCAAGACTGGACGAGATAAAGGCCATTCGAGAACTTTTCACCCGCTCCCCGTCTTCTAAATCGAGCTCGTCTTCTCTTCTTCGTGGGGAGATACCATTTTGGATATCCTGTGTCTTTCCTGGCGATGCCTATACTCTTCCTGACGGCAGTGATATTGATCAAGTGGTCCATGCTCTTCTGAGTCCAGAATATTCGGACGTTCTCCCTTGGGGAATTGGCATCAATTGCACTAAAGTAGCAAAGCTTCCTCGCTTGGTTGAGATGTATGGACGCTCTGTTTCTAAGTTCGCCAGTTCTGGTCGACTTACGGGCCATCCTACGTTAGTTCTCTACCCTGATGGAACCAATGGCGAGGTATATGATACGGTGACGAAGACATGGCAAGCACCGGCTGGTCACCAAGATCTCATGGTAAGTACAATTAGAGATGCGGTTATGTGGTCTTAAGTAAGGACGCTGAATATGCATCTAGACCCAGGCACCGTGGGAAAACCAACTTGCTGAGGTGGTTAATCTCGCTCGAAATCAGCATTGCTGGAAGTCTATCGTGGTTGGTGGGTGTTGCAAGGCAACTCACAGCGACATCACGAGACTTCGTGCCGTCGTTCGTGAAACTTGATTAAGAATAATCACATGAACCACCGTTGGGTTTCCTTCGTCACTCCATGTACCATGGCCAGCAATGAATTAAGTAAGGCGCACACCGCGCAGGCGCAATCAATCAAGTGGAGATAGTGACGACCCCTACCAATTTATTGGATAATATATTCTTCATACAGATGAGAACGTTGGGGTGTTACGTATGATACCAACGGGCAACACAAAACTCCAACTCCGGATTGTCTGGCTTGCAGAAGAGGAAATGGGGAAAAAGGAAAAATCGCAAGCTGTTAACCGCAAATGGAATTATATGATCGATATATCTTATGTGATCTACAACTTGTCATTTGAGAGTTGAGACAGCCTTATGATTTTGCTTTTTACTCCCTTTCTTCTCCAACGTCATAGTACATCACAATACCTGCCTTTGATATTGTATCAGTTTTCACTCGCCAGCTTCGAGGGTCTTGTCAACTCGACCCGGAGGTTGAACTTTGCCTTTGCATGTTTTTTATTGTGGGCTGCCAAGTGGCAAGCTCGTACCCGCAGTCTTGGCTTTCATGTGGCCTGCTTAGGCGGCCATCTACAATAGACAGATGGATCAACATAGTACACTGACAGGAATGGGTAGATTTACGCCACAGCTAAAACGCTATTGTTGCTCATCACGCATTTGGCGTAGACTCATTTAACAGCATTGAGCCTCGGGCTTTGGGTCACCTTATTATGGATATACAAGCTTAGCACGCCAATCCCAGCATGTCAACAATTCGTACAGTTCGTATACGAAATATGAATCAAGACGGGATTTCCAGTACTAATCATGCATCAACTAAAAAAGGCATGCAGTTTCCCAGGGGTAAACAAACCAAATTTACGATTAATATCACGACATTTACCATGGCTTGAAACTCGTTCCTTTTCGGAACTGGAGAGAGATGTATGTGGATATTCCTAGTAGCGGTAGCAAACGTTTCTCCAGTTGATTACTTTTGTATGACCTGATGTGTGTAGGTCCTCACCCGATGCAGTGAATGGATGTATCTTCCCGTTTCCAGAGAGGAAGTAGACCTACGTGTTCGGCCGAATATACTAGTACCAATAGTACGCGACGGACTCGAGCAGTGAACATGGGATACTTACATACATACGATGTAGGTATGTAGGATTTGGCGAATGATAAGAGATCGTCCGAACACGTCTATTTCCACAAATGTGGGTATTCCTTCTCTATTCTAGATCGAGGATCTGGTTCACGTTGCCTCCTCAGCTCGACTTGCCAAATCGGGTTACATCATTACTTCTTTCGCCTGTCTCCCCTGGCCGGTGCCTGCATCTCGCGCGTGGAGTTTTGCTTCTAGAGCAGCCCAAAGGCTCCAAGTCTAACCTCAACCGAGATTGACATCGACCGGGGCTGCATTGCAAATCCCTGCAGGTTCTAAATAAACAGCAATGGTCCATAGAGGCCCACTGAGAGGAGCTCTGGGCAAACGTACCAAGCAGCTGGAATAGTATAGCATAGTACGATGGCTGACCCCAGAGCCCACAATGTTCTCGATTTTAAAAGGCCAGCTGCTCTCCAGCATGCATAGCTTTTGGAATCTTTCTTTTCATCCCATCACACCAGATTGTGTCTGCCAATAGCTCTCGTCTCCTCTCGACTCGTTAGCCTCGCAATCGCTTGATCGGTCCAACTTCAGTCATTCGCTTGTCGTGAAGAAATATCAAACGTCATAATGGTTCGTCTGTTGAAGTACGCTGGCGCCAGCTCCCTGCTGGTTGCTACCGTGAGCGCCAACTATGTCAGCTCCTCGCAGTACGAGGAGGACGACTGCACCGAGACTGAGGCTTACAGCGCGACCTCGGCTCCTTACCCTACCGCCAGCTCCTCCACCGGCGGATACCCGGCCATCACCCCTTCGTCTTCGGCTGGATACCCGGCTGTGAGCACCTACCCGGGCTCTTCGTCGACCAGTTCGGAGGAGGATGACTGCCCTCCGGAGACTGAGTCGGAATCCTACAGCGCTACTTCTTCCACCTATCCTACCGTCTCTGTGACACCGGGATATCCCGTCTCGACCCCGAGTAGTGTTGGCTCATCAAGCTACGAGCAAACTTCCTCAGTCTACCCAAGCAAGAGTGAGAGCGTCTCCGTTCCTGGCTACCCCACGGAATCTGAGAGTGCCACTTACCCCGTCTACCCTACCGGGTCTGAGAGCGTTTCTGTCCCCAGTTACCCTACCTCGACTGGCGCCACTTACCCCGGTGGTGAAACCGAGACCTTGACCAAGTACACTACTCTGGTTTCCACGATCACTTCGTGCCACCCCACCGTAACCAACTGCCCTGTTGGATCAAAGACTACCGTTGTCGTCCCCTACCCGACGTCAGCTCCTCACGGATACTCCACCAGCGTTGTCTCCCTCACCTACCCGGCTGGTACTCCCTCTTACCCCGCCGAGACTCCTTCCACTTATCCTGCTGAGACTCCCAAGTACCCAACTGAGGGCGCCAGCAACCCGGCACCGACGTATCCCGCGTCTTCCAAGGTTCCCACCTACTCTGCCTCTTCCGAGGTACCCACTTACCCTGCTTCTCCCGAGGTGCCTACGTACCCCGCAAGCCAGCCGGCCGCTTCCTACCCTGCTTCGGCCCCGTCCTACCCGGCCGAGACTCCCGAGTACCCTACCACTGAGGCTACTAGCAAGCCCGTCGCTACTTACCCTGTCGGTGAGACCTCCGCCCAGACTGCTCCTACCTACCCCGCTGGAACTCCCGGCTACCCTGCCGCTTCTTCCACTTTCTCCACCAGCTACGGCGTCAACAGCACCACCTTCACCGCCCCTAGCTACCCCACCGAGACGCCGTCGACTACGACCGGCTCTTCGCCCATTCCTACTGCCGGCGCTGCCGTCGTGGGATCCGGCGTCACCGGTGCTTTCGTCGCTTTCGCTGCTCTGTGCGTCGCTTTCTTCTAAACGGGGACTGGGCACCCGACACTTATCTACGTATATGATGCTGGATAGTGGATAGTAACGAAGCGACGGTCACGTTACATCGAGAGTCAGGAACGCAGGAACATCGAGACGCGATGAGATGGGATGAGGGACTTACATTCACGTGGGATACATGATTATTACTGTAGACTCTTATTCTATGCGCGAGGATCCGGGCTCTTGTGGCTAACCTAGGTATGAATTGTTTTACCGGTCACGGGGGAGGCCTGGGCTTGCGGAGCCAAAGTCAAGGCCATTAATGTTTTAATATTAATGTAAATAATTCATTACGGTAATTTTACCGCTACTTTAGACGAACCAGTCTGCCGCTCTTTTGTATTGCATTTAAATATCTACCTACGTACGTTTGCCATTTGGACCTAAGCGTTTAGTGCAGAAGCGGGATATGATTCAATCCTTGCTTAGGGAGGGTTTGATCATTGCCTTATTAGAGTTCAGAAAAGTCGGACGTCTTGCCATTCATACGGATAATATACTCCGATTTGTGTCCACCCGATAGTCGTGTGATGTCAGACTTCCGAGTGTTCCGTCCCGCAACCGCCGCACAACAACACAAAGTATTGGAAGGTGTCTGTGCCAGACGAACCTTATAAATTTACACGATAGGATCCGGATAAGATTTATGCGTTGATTAGTATTATATACTTTAATTTCATACTCCTTTGACTGCTAGTTGCTCGCAATAATTACCTAGGAAGGTAGAGTCTAGTGCATTACACCGAGGCACAATAGCCTCCTGAAACCTATATTATCTGAATCCAGATTAGCTAAGAGTAATTGCCTTAGGATTAAGCAGATTGTGTTCGAATCCCATCTTTAGATAGATAACTGTTCATCAACGTGGATAACGTGCTATCTTCTTCAGTGCCCAGATAGGTTATTAGGTATGTAAGCGCTTATATCAATTCTCAGAGCAAGCAGTCAATCCAAAGCTAAATCACTTATTGGTTCAAATATCAAAGCTTCTGGCTGATGTAGAAATACTTATGATTTAGTCTCCAGAAACGGAACATACCCAAGGACCTAAGTGAAATTGTTAATAGGATGAGAAACTCCTTTTCTAAGAGTAATTATCAGACTCATTAGATAAGAAGGTATTACATTGATAGGAAATTATACCTATAGGTCAATGTATATGCTATCCTTGATGCCTCATCATAGAGATGGATATTAGAGATGGATATGGTGGTTGGGAAAACCGATTCGGCACGTAGCCACCCCAGAAGCAGGAATACATTTGGGGGCCACAACGCCGGATATAAATTAAGTGCTATGTCATGTTGTACTGCAGTTAGTCAATATAACGTTGCAATGTATTTATAATACTTGTAGGTAGTTCATGTGCTTGGATGAAAATAGGGGTGATGCGCCCTGGCCTATTGGAGGTATAGATGTTACCCAGCATAGGAGATAACACGCCATGTAATAGGTCAATGCTTGTCGTAACAGGAAACGAGAAACGTAACACGGAAAGTAGGAAGGTTGTGACGGAGTTGGGGCTTCGGAAGTGAGCGGCTGCTTGCATCGCGGGATGTATACGTGTATGGAGTCTAAGCATTATGGCCCGATTTTGTGATTACAGGATGACAGAACGTCCCGTGGTCGGGTTAAGCAAGTGACGACCTCTGATAGCACAGGGAAATATTCCTCGGTGCCTACCTTCATAGCTAACATGAGGGTAGTAACACTGCGAAAATAGGAGTGATCTGCGACCTTAAACTGGCTGGATGATATAGATGTGTAACAAGTATCAATGTTCGATTCGTTTAACGACGTTCGCGAAAGACATTGGAGAGTGTGAGTTATGTAATTCGTTTGCCTGATTTTGATCTCAAGATGTTCATGAAGAATGACTTCCCCAAATTCGAAGGATGGATGCTCAGGTCTCAAGAATCGTATGATTGCGGGTTTGCCCACTATATACGTAGAATACTCACAATAGATAAGTAGATAATTGAATTTCTGGGATTCTGGCACCGAGTATAGATATCCAGGGGCACTCAACCAACTACTTCTCAAGATCCAATAGCTAACAAGGAATAGGGGAGCTAGGGGAGCTTACCCCGTATACTTATATACTTAGGATACACCGGAAACTTGCAGTTTTTCCTGGTTATTAATGAATCCGGTGCCAATGGGATTGTTCCTCTAGCCCAATAACGCGTGGCATCTCATTCGACCCCATTTTCGAATGGAATTTCACCTTGGCTCGCCTTCTCTTTTGGGATATGCTAGCAACTGGTTCCAGATCTCTTTATCCTCGCAGGCTTGGGATCTCGGCACAGCCCGTCCGCTTGCCACGCGTTCTACGTTCGATCTTGCCGATCCGGACAAGATACAGTAATACACAGCCAAGATCCAATGGAGCGTCACTGGAACCGAATCACTAGGAACGTGGCGATGCAGCTAAAAGTTTAATTCGACGTCTTTAGCAGCATCGAGATGAGCCGCATGCCTAAAAGAGAAGACTTAGAGTATTCTGACTTCCTGATTGGACGTTCGTTAGATGTAAGACTGACGACTAAGGAAGGTAAAAAGGGGGTTTCATCGACGTCGTATCTTAAATTACCATATTAAGGCCTATGGAAAACCCGACTTATACAACATCATCTAAAACGAGCGAACGATATGGCTAACATTATTAGTTACAAATGGAAGGCGAATTAATCTGAAAGTGAAGGATGAGAATGAGGGTGAGAATGAAGGTAAACGTGAAGTTGGGAGAAATCGGTTAACGATTGAATCTGTGGTCGACGATTAGCTCATGATCTCCGACCCGAGACGACCCGAGAACTGTCGGTCGGCGGATTTTCATAGTGGCGAGGATATAATAGCCTTGTTAGTCACAGTATTTACGGATTTACGGTGATCGACATTTGATGCTGCCAATGTGACCATAGGCGATACTGAATAGCGCAACTCCGAATGCAGGTCATAGTCATGCAATACGACTAAAGCGTCTAGAACGATAAACAAACATGGCTAGGTAATGCTGGTAAAGCTATAAGATGCTATACGGAATCACGAGGTGGGAAAAAAGAAATAATGACGGGTATGGATTTCTAAGCGACGGCCCCATCAGCAGGCCCGAGGGTCCGGTCCCGGCAAAGCCGCAAGTGGAGATCTGATAGGACGTAGACAAGGAAAAGCGGAGTTACGAGGTTGGGAATAGGACTGGGGAAGAAGTAGAAGGACCCAGAAACAATGGAATAAAGGGAGGAGGAAGTACAAAGCTGCAAAGGTGATGAATGAATATGTACATAAAAGAATCGTGAGGGGCATAAAGGAAGAGTCGGTAAGTGACTCATTTCCGGCATAAGCGAGATGGTTTTAGTTCTTACAGAAATGGCGCATCGGGAAAAGGATTGAAAGTTACTAGAATAGACGAAGAGAAAAAAAAACTGGTTGTAAGTCGTGATATGGAATATGGATATACATGGGAAAGGTGGGAAAAGGTGGAAATATACATCCGAATGTAGAAAAGAACGTTGGGTGTTATTGCCCATCAAATGTGGCTGCTGGTTGCTGCAGGCGTTACTGCTTGCAGCTGCTGTTACCTGTAAAGAAAATACACTGTTGCAGTTATAGGTACCTAGGTAGGTATATGGAAGGTACTGTAGATTCGATACCTACAGCTGCAGGTTGTAATTTCCAATGCGAGGCCGGAAATAAGTGGCCATCCATGTGAAAAATTAGAGCGAGGCGCGCCCCGACCTCTCCGAAGAGTGGAAACAAGTCTTGGGAGGGGAAGGGGGAAAGTGGGAAGGACCGGCCGGAAGTGATCGTTCTTATTGTTGATTCTTTTCGGTAAACCAATCCGATCAATCAATTCGAAAGTCTAACCGTTAGCAAGAGCAACTTTAAAATGATCAATTTATTTATGCTAGCAGCTCCTACTAGGTAGTAGGCAACTAGGTAGGTGCACACACGTGTAAGTACTGTACCTTTATATGGGTACATCTAGCCCTCATGTACATCATACATACATCTATCCATCATTGAATGCTTAAGGTAAGGCAATCACCAGTCACCGGGCCACAGTCCACAGAGCAGCAGCGACCAGCGACCCGCGACCAGCACATTACACATTACACATTACATCAAAACCTGTACAATACATCGTTTTAGAAATCACCACATCCTATCAACGACAAAATCACAGTTGACAGACTACAAGCATTAGGTCACCGACTCGCCTTTGCCCGGGGGCACCAATTCGACATTCGAGCCTGGACCTGGATTATTTGATCATTGACATAATTAACCTGTTTTTTAATACTTAGACCATATCCATACCGGGGCTGTCTCCATCTGCCTACTCTTTTGCCTTCTTCGTTCATTTTCTATTACCAAAAGGTACACATGCATAGTTCTTGGCCTTCTTTACTCCTCAACTTGAAGTCCCTTTAGCTTTGCTAGCTAGTTCTTCATTGCTCTGCTTACATTGTGTGGCTTTATAGCTTGTGACCTGAGCCCTCTTTTCATTATTACCTCGAGGTTTCCTCCTTTTACCTGCACCCGCACTGCATCAGCTATATACCTACACATTCCTTCGGGTCGCTCGGAGCAAAACCCATTTCCCCCCCATCATACGACGGGAAATACTTAACATTTGAAGGCCGATCTGCCCAGAATTAACTGGGTCCCTCGGAATAAAAAAGGGATTATTAAGATAAAAACAACAAACTGAGTCAAGGTCAATTCAAAAAAACCCAGTGGCGCGTCTCTCTTTATATGAGAGTCGACACAACATCTCACACAACCTCCTCACATCCCTACCTACCTCTCCCGTAACAAGATCTGTCAGTCCGCGCAAGCAGCATACGCAATACGCAGACACAATCTCCTCTAGCCTGCACATACGCAAACGGATATCCTATTCGCAGACGCAGGTACAGCCACAGCTCTGTTGCATACCCATACACCACCCGTCGCCGGAGCTTACCAATCCTTAGACCCTATCCCTTCTTCCAGGAGTACAAGTAGTCGTGAGAAGTACCAATGGCTGCAGCAGTAACTGCATCACAACCTCCTATCGCGCCTGCGATACCAGGTCGGAACGATAGTAGCGATAGCTCTCGTTCTAGTCAGACAAGCACTGAGAAGGTGAAGCTCGCCCCTCAGCTTCGTACCTCCTCGTCGCTGTCGAAGCATCGCCGCAGCAGCCATGAAAGCAATTCTCAAGTTGACCGCTCGGCTCAGCCCAAGCGGTGGAAGACGATGCTTAAGGCCTTCAAGCACATCCACAACTTGACCCCGAAGGAAGTTGACGACTTCATGGCATCGTATGAGATCTACAACCTGGACTGGGCCAACGAGGATGAGATGATCAAGGCTTTCGGGCCCAACTACCAGGAGCGTGTCGGCGATTGTCTTTGCGCCTACTACTCAGTGTTAAACCATCTTTGCAGTCTTGGCGACGTCGAGAAGATGTACATCCCGCCGCTGATGGACAAGAAGGCGTCTGTCCTGGATAATCAGCTTCTCTACGAAGAGTCTATCGCGAGGGATATTGGATTGAAGGAAGGCATGAAGGTGCTGGATCTTGGTTGCGGCCGTGGGCGTGTCGCCGCGCACATGACGAGCTTTAGCGGAGCTCATGTGACTGGTCTAAATATCGATGCGAATCAGATCGCGCAGGCCGAGGAATGGAATACGCGGTGCGGCTTCAATAACGAGTTTGTGGTGCACGACCAGAACAATTTGCCGTTACCGTTCCCCGACGAGTCTTTCGATGCTTTCTATGAGATCCAGGCACTCAGTCTCTGCAAGGATCCCTCCGCCACATTCAAAGAGGTATATCGTCTGCTAAAGCCTGGCGCTAAGTTCTCACTGTTAGATTGGGTCAGCCTGCCGCCGTACAACCCGGAGGATCCTGTTCATGCGGGACTAATGCGCCGCGTTAAACCTCTGATCGGCGCTGTGGGCACTCCGACACCGGCAAGTTTTGAGAAGGCCCTTATGGATGCCGGCTTCACCGTCACGAAGTCGGACAATCCTAGCATAGACGGCCTACAAGCCCCGCTCATCGACAAAGTTGACATCTACTTCCGCTCCATGAGGCGTGTCATTCACGGCCTCGTCCGATTACACGCGCTGCCGCCGCACTTCAAGATTCTGGTAGACAGATTTTGTCTAGACGGCAAAGCATTTATAGAGATGGACAACATGCGCCTTATCACCACAACATATCGGATCATCGCAGAGAAGCCTTTAGCATGATGGAACTTGGAAAACGATAGAATGAGGGGAATGGGGAATGGGATTTTATTATTTTTCATGGGGGTGGATTCGGGCACGGCCATCGGAAGTCGGAGGATTCGATACCACCCCTAGTTTTCTTGGTATGGCGCTCTCGCCATCCACGTTTGCGCTTCACCCTTTTCGGCGAGGGTGAACATTAATTATTCATTACGGACCTACAATTATCGCAACTCCCACTCTACTCCATCGCAGAAGCCACCTTTACCTTCACCTTTCTATTCGATTTTCTTTCCCTAAAGCGATTTTAGACCTCGAAGCATTGATCGGCATTTTTACACTTAGTAGCATTATGCATATTGCGTTGCGTTTTACCGGGAAGGGAAGGGGTGTTCTGTTCTTGTTGTCTTTGCTTCATACCTAATACACAATCTTATTTTTTACGCTTACGAGCAAGGGTGGCTACCGAGGGAGTGGGGAGTTGGTTTCGCTTCTCTTCGACTTCCGACTATCAAGCACATTCGGCGTCGAGCAATATTTTTAACATGTTAGAGGGCGATCAGGCGTTCTCTTCTTCGCTTTGACGCGATACGAGTACATAGGCGATAGTGGTAGTGAATTCAAGGAACGTTCAATAATCTTGATCCGATATAACACGAGGTGATTTACTACGTAGTAGTTGGATATCGATTTTCGCATATTAGTCAACGCTAAAGTTGTACGATATTGAAAGAATGGCCAGACCACAATCTCCTACCTATTTACAAAGGAGTTAGACATGGATATTCTACTTTATTCTAATTAGGCTTCGTTCGAATGAATTTCTCACTAATTGTATTTAATTGATATCAATTTTAGGTCGTTTCTATGTGACCTACTTGAGAGATCCTGTGCCGTCCTTCAAGCGGGGCAGGAAATTTGAAGCTGCGCGAAAGACGCGAGCTTTCGTTAACCTTTAAAAAAATAATTGTATTGATCTGCTCATCGTTTTACGTCTTCTCAATCCGTGTGTTGTAGTTGATAAATCCCGCCCCGTTTGCGGTACTGCCGTTCTTTGTTGCGGAGGTACGGCGACATTCCAGAGGCGCATAGGAAAGCGTGATACTTACGGCGAGGTACCGGATAGAAGAAAGACGAAGCGGCAAACGCGCAGATAGAAACAAGCGATTGTTATTATAGCTCAACAATACCTTGTAGAAATGTATTCGTACATCTTACGAGATGTGGAAGAGAATAGTTAGCATTCCGAACGACGGTGTAGCCCGCCTTCTGTCCGCTCGTTAATAGATTGTTACATTTTCAGAGTCCTCTAGTTCCACATCTTGAATTGTCCTACTTCCGACTATTTTCGCAATACAGGCATCAAAATTTATTAAGTATTTCATAATTATAATTATTAATCTTTAATCTCTAGCTTTAGCTAGCAGCTATCATGTCGGTGACCGGAGAGACAAAGCTACCTTCGGAAGGCTTTGTTAGCGATGACGACAGGGGCATAACGACACCAGCAGACGATGATTCTTTTTTTGATTACTTCCCTTTCGAAGAGATCAATTCTGAGATTAGCACTCCTGGCGCTCCTCACGTTCCTCACGTTGATGACACAGTGAACACTGTGGGGGAAGAGGAGAGAGATGCGGCAGTAACAGCGGCATTGGAATTGATGAATCTCGGTCGATCGAGGTTGAGAAACTTACCTGACATGCAGCGGGTAATAAATTGGATTATGGGACGAAATCTTATGACAAATGGGGGCGCACAATTAGTGGAACGGCAAGCTAAGACAAGCGAGGGCAAGGCGGTTAAGGCCGAGGAGAGACAGGAAAGCGAGCAATTGTTCAGACAGCCAAAGCTAGTAGATGACGACTTCCTCGATATAGGAGACGTTCAGGACATATGCCCCGCTTGCACGACACCGTACTGCACCGCCCTTGAATCGCTTCCGTTCAAGGGGAGCCTACGACTCAGCTACAACGACCCCGAAACGCATACCTGGTCCATCAGCGACAAGTATATTCTGACCGAGTCGGTCGACGACGAAGGCCCCGAGCAGACCCAGGTTACATTGGTCCGGGCTACGCAGCTTCTTAAAAGGTCCAACGTGCCCGTGCCTAATGTGCTCGCAGGTTGGAAGGAAAACGGGAGGATCATCACGATCTCCGAAAAAGCGGAGGGAGAGCGGCTGTACGATATCTGGTGGGACCTCGACCAGGACGAGCGAGAGGAGATCGCTAAGGAAGTGGCGCGACACATGAACCGATGGCGATTATGCGTGGCAGATTCGATCTCAAGTTTGTCAGGCGGTGCGGTGTGGGGACACGATCATCTCTTCGGCACGAGGCGCGAAGGGTTTGGGCCGTTCGAAAACGACGAGCGATTATGGGACGCCATCCACGCGAAATTGAGGGAGAAGAACGTGCACGAGACGGTGATACAGACGCTCAGAGATTACATGCCGGAATCCGCGCCGTGCCTGCTGACGCACGGGGACGTATCGAGCTACAACGTGCTGGTGCGCGACGGCAGGGTGTCGGCGATCCTGGGGCTCGAGAAGGCGGCCAGGCTCCCCGCGTGGGCCGAGTACGTGGCGGCGCATTTCTGCTGCTGCAAGGAGGACGAGCAGTGGAAGGCGATGCTCACTAGGCACATGACACGTTACCCGCGCACGAGGGACTGGTGGGCCCTGTGGGCCGCCGTCCGCAGTGGCGCGTCGAATGGGAGCGGGATGCGTGTCGCCAAGCTGGTGGCCCGCTGCAGGCGATGGGAGATGTCGCCGCGGGAGAAGCGCGCGTACGACCTCGACGCCGACGATGGCGAGTGGCCGCGCGACGACGACGAGGAAGAAGGAGAAGAAAACGTACCACCAGACTATCGCCGCCAAAGCATACTGTCTGAAGAACTGATGCCGGGCCTGGACTTGCGACACAATACTTGGGAGGAGGAAGGCGGTGGCGGGGAGAAGGAGAAGGAGAAGGGGAAGCGGAGGAGAACGGAGTTCGAGCACACGCCGCAGCAGCAGAAGAAGCTTATGAAGCCGCGCCGCTACGCCGAGCTGCTCGAGGACCCGGACTGGCAGGAGCCGGTGGGCTCGCAGTCGGGGGACAGCGACATCATCATCCCGCTGAACGAGCTCGCGCTCTCGGAGATCGAAAAGCGCATGGAGGCCGAGAGGGCCAGGCTGCGCGAGAGGGAAGCCGCGGGCGGCGGGTCGCCGGCGCCGCCGAGGCGCATCAGCATCGAGAGGTGGCTCGCGGAGAGCGTGAGGGGCAGGAGGGCCATTCGCCCGCTGCTGAGCAAGATCACGACGACGGACCAGAAGGGGGAGGGGGCCCCGGTTATCGTCAGCCCGACGAAGAGCCCCCCGTGGAGGGAGAGGCAGAGGTCTTTCGAGAGGCCCCAGAGTAATAATAATGCGTCGAAGGGGCTGAGGCCCTTGAGCTTGACGCAGGCTGGTGGTGGTGGTGGCTTGACCGAGGCCGCGAAGAAGAACTTGAGGGAGATTGGCGAGAGGCAGGAAAGGCTGGAGGAAGCCACTGAGAGCGATAGCCGCGAGAGGGCACTGAGGGATCTGGAAGGCGGTGGAGAAGACGTTGACGCTGTTGCTGGTATGGCTGGCACCGGCACCGCCGGGATCCCCGTCGATAAGACGCCGGAGGATAAGGAGCAGGCTAGGCGCAGCGAGCCCGTTCCCCAGACCCAAACCCAGGGCAAGCGCGCCTCGATCTTTCGCGAGAGGACCAGGCCGGGGTCGCTGTACCTGGCTGTCGCGACTGCGGGGGCTGAGGGGCGGACTAGGCGATACCGGAGGAGCCTTTCCGAGGAGCGAGCTGAGGAGGAGGTGGTGGTGACGGAGGAGCAGGAGAAGGAACAGCAGGGCCAGGAACAGGAACAGGGTCAGGGTGCTGATCAGCCGCCCCCGCGCGCACGGCCGCAGAGTGTGACAACGCCGCCGCAGGGAACGCAACCGGGGCACATGGTCCACGATCCGGGGGCTGGGGCCTAGGCTAGGTGGCCCCTTTTCCACCCCCCGTGTAGAGTGACGTAATGGCCTAATAACCGGTTATTGTAGGTGGATCGAAGAGAGATATGTGGATGTCCAGGATGTCTCATAGGTTGGGATTTGTGAAAGATAGGCGAACGGAATACCGTCCTCTCATTGGTATACGGGGTTCACGACCCTTGTCGAATCCTGGTTGAATGTGGAGGACGAGGATAGGACCCTTTGAAAAGCAAAAATTCTTCTTTTCACGGATGGTACTTATTTTCTTTCGAAATGGTACAAGCACTTTCTTGAGATAAGGAGTTCGTCGTCAGGGTATTTCATGGTACAAATGCTTGCGGGTATGATTCCACGGAGAAGAATGATAGTACTACATATTTGATGCTTCCTAGTTCTACTAGACTGGGGATCAGGTCTCTAGTGAACTCTTGCCAGTATGTACCACGAGTCCCAGGCGTCCGTGCCATAGTATGCTATGATTATGCTGGTCTCCAAGTAGGTGGCTTTACCTGCGCAACCATGATCACCCAGGCACGCTGCATCGTGGCTTATTAGGTGTGCCGGATAAGGATTTGATCACCTCAAAAGCAAAAGGCACACTTTTCACAGCAAATACTTAACTTTTGGCTAACGGCGTGTATGACATGAGTCGTCGATTCTGGTTCTTATAGTAACGTCTTTTAGGCTTGGTCTCCAATGGATAAGACTGCGACAGGTCGTCATCTAGCACAATTGAGGCCATCGACAAGCATCTTGATAGTTAGTGAGTCAAATACGAGTATGTTGTTTTTGCTTATTGTGACGAAGACTACCTCGGTACCTAGTAGGCACCTAGGTAGGAAATCCTTCACATGATTCTGGTTTTATGCTAGTTATGTAGGCTCTATCACAGGACTACCTAGGTAGGTAGATGCCGACCTAAAGGTAGGCATCTGGGATAGTTGATAGCCACGCTACCTAGGGAAGTCTTATTGAAGCTATGCGCGCTTTTCAGGATACCCTGCAATGTTATCAAGGCCTCCATCACATCAACTGCTCACTTCGCTATTGGCTTCGAAAAACTCCTTGCCGACCCTTAGAAGCAGTCTGTTCATATCAGAGCACTAGATTATCTGAATAGAGACGAGTTGAAGCTGCTGCTCTGGAAGAAGCCTTCGCCGCCCAAACGAAAGTTTTGAGCGCTGCTGCGGCGGATTGGGTATTGCTAAGCATACCGAACATCACACGAGGGCAGTACTATAGGAGGTCAGGGTTAAACTTCATCTCGTCCTATTCCCATCTTGCCTTACCTAGCGAGATGAGTCTCATATCAACCAAGTGTCAATTATAAACTAACCTCAGTCCTATAGAGCAAAGTATTGGACAAGTCAGACCACAAAATGTCATCAGACACTATGGTGACTTCTAGCAATCAACATACCCCCAGAAGATGGATGAGCACTAGAGATAAGTATGGGAAATAAGGACCCATATATGAATCACCTGCTAAGACTGATAGTGAGATCATCAAAAGTCTTATTGGAATCAGTACGGACACAAGTCCGCTGAAATCAGCAGGTGATATAGGGAATTCCTTCAGTTCTCTATTCCAAGCTAAAGCCTCCTCAACAGCTTCTCCGACACAAACGCCGCTGGGATCTCTTCCCCTTTCCGGTTCGGAGAGAAACGGCCAATTTGCGAGCGATATTGGAGAACAAGTCGTCTCGTCACAGGCTACTGACAGCCAGATCGGGCCTATGGTGCCTAGATCCTCAAACTATATGTATGGCTTGCTGAGCCCAACTGACAAGGGCGTGCCGACATACGCAGTCGAGTCTGATACTTCTGAAGACGATGAAGTGCCTCTTGTTCGGCGGTTGACTGATAAGGATGGGTCAAGCGAGGATCATCCGATGAACCATATGCCAGCACTTGACGACGATGATGAATTAGATAACCTTCCTCTGAGTCTATCTAGGAGATCAGAGAGACTGAGTAAGAAAGCAGATCTTACCCCTGTAATGGCTAAATCAGAAAATTGGGATTACACCAAATGGAAATGTAAGTTGATCCTTTATTTGCCCATCACACACGATACCTATAGATACCAATGACATTGACAGCTCCATCGGGAGAAATGCAACCAACCGCGGGAGCGTTGATACCCCAAGGTTACAGACTCCATGATGACCCTCAATTTCCATGGGTCTGCCCAGTCCGTTCATGTCGGACGTTATATGCAAAGCTATGTGGACTTGGATCTCACTTCATTGTATGTCCCTTACCTCGAGTCGCAACTAGTAACCTTAAGATGCTTACTCTAGTATCAGATCACACATAGGGGCTGGCTATTCAACGATAACGAGGATGGTACAATATCCTCCGTTGGGAAGAGGGAGGGCGTTGGATTGAGGATGTCTCCTGCGATAGTCTCTAGGATGCCGCTGGACCCAAGCGAGCCTCCTATGATAGAACCATCACTTCCTCATTATAGGAAGTTGGTGGGAGCGAATTTTACTCAACCCGAAACCAATCCTAGAGAAAATGAGCCCGATAAAGGTATACGATTTAGGATATCATCTCCGTATAACATTTGTGCTCCGGCTCCTCCCAAAGGAGACACCGGTGATACACTTTGGAGATACATCCAGAGCCACCTAGTACACACACCATTGTCACCGGTACCAAAATACTTTCGTAAGTAATGTTCTGCTTAACGGAACCCACCCTTTCTTAATGTGTGTACTTGGGGCTAAACTTAGGCATTGTAGGCATACCAGAACTCCTAGAATACTTGTACCGCATTCGAGATATTGAGTTCAATCCTCATGCGCAAAACAAATTCAAGGATACAATGGACCAAGACATAGCAGCCATGATTATTCAAGTAACTGGAAGGAAAGCTAACAAGGCATGTAATAGATGTAAAAATGGGAGGGGGCCATTTAAAGGCTGTTATATCCTTCCTGTTACCATCCCGTTACATCTACGTCGATCGATTCTGAGCTGTGCCAATTGCTATTATAAAGGTAAACAGGCTTGCTGCGATCTGAAGCCATGGTCATTGAAGACTTATCCCGAATTATCGAATGTCGATATTTCCCAGAATACACTTAAACGAAAAATTGCTGAATCAAATTCACCTCGATCAGCCGAAACCAAACCACTTCCAGAGAGGCGATCGCTTAGGAACATGCTGAAGAATGAGCGCAGAAAAAAGAAAGAAATTATTCGCTCTAATTCCAATGAATGTCCACCGCACTTACCAGCCTGCAAAATTCAGCCCACGAATAAACCGAAGAGATTCAATGTCCATAGCAATGGAAGTACAAGTGCTATCGATCCGGCCCAAATGATTGAACTCGAAACGTGGGAGATTGCTCCTGGTCGTGTCCGAGATGGAGCGAGAGATATCATCGACAGTATGTGACCGAGTACACCTATTTCAGGGGGGGCTTCACTAACAAGACCGTACCAAGATTTCGCGTTTTCAACAGCCTATCTAGCGCAAAATCAATCAGTGCGCATATGTCGCGAAATCTCGTTCCAAGTCATCACTGTCAAGCCGGGCACTATCTACAGCTGGGAGACATGCGCGATGTATCTACGATTGTGCTCAGTAGCATCCGGCAAGCTCCAGGTCAAGATACATGGTCAAGAATTCTTGATGGGACCTAACGGAATGGTGATGATCAAGCCTGGTGTAGATTGTACTGTCATGAATAAGCTGTATCTAGATGCCGTTGTGCATGTCACGATAGTACCGAGTGATTTATGCGAATAGGGGCTTGGTTTCTAGAGAGTTTGGTGTTGAGTCTAGTTCAATGGCATCTAAACCTACCCTTAGGTACATATTACTAGTGTGGTAACCATTATGAAATTTATTCGGATACATGTTACTTTGTAATATTGGTCCAGAAAGAAACATGTTATGAACAAAGGTAGTAGTGCCCCTTTTGATATTTTCCTACCTACCAACGTGAGTTTATTAAAAGCAAGTGAATCTCGTTAGGTATTCTTATCTTAAGCTAAAGCAACATTTTCTTGCTCTCTGGATTCCCTGGGCCATCCTGATTACTCGTTTAGGTCCACATCTTCCAATTCAGATGGGTCTACCAAGGCCATCCTCCTCTGTGAACGAGGCTCATGAGCAGGTTCATCCTCTTTACGGCGGTAAGTTGGCTCTGGTTGAGCAGGTAGATCAGGGCCACTTATTCCTAAGTTAGGAGCTGGCAAATTCGGCCCGGGAGTTGCGGAATCTTGTCCTTGACTTGGCACTGTCTGCATTTCAACATCTACATTCTGAGTCTTTTTCTCGAGTTTGCGTCTTTTATACCCCACATAGTAGTGAAGTACAAAACTGAAAAACCCCAATCCTGCCACAGACAAGGTCGTGATTAAGGCCCAAAACGTGTAAGTACCGGACTCGGATTCTTCGAGATTGACAACACCGGAAGACATGGTTAATAAATGATGTGAATATAAAAAGATTATTATAAGGTGGTGATAAGGTAGGTAATCTTCTCGGTACGAGGGTTAAGTTCTATATACACTTCATTACAGGCAGCAAGTTCTCAATCATATTATGTGTTTGGTCACGCTAGCATTGTTTAATAAAGAATTATATGGTTGGATTTAAGATAGTATTATCTCTTTAGATGGCACAGGATTACAGTTTCCACAAAACCGGTAACTGTACATTGGTAATGGTGCAGGCGAGGCTCTAACAATTGTCTTCAGAGGTGCCTAACCAACCTGAAGTAAGCTTTTATGGGTGCCAGTGGAGCTCAGGAGCTGCTGGTAGTACAGTTACTAATTGTGGTGGCGCTGTAGTCTTATACCAACTAAAGGGATACAGTAGACGATTAGTTTCTGTCTTATTACGTCTGCTTGAATTGCTAATTGTCGAACAAACAAGAGCATTGTTCACAGTTGAGAGGGACAATTTTCTTTGTAGATAGGGGTACATATGACAGAAAAGACTACGCTTCATCTACCAATGTGTTCATGTCAGTCCCGACAATGGGTATTTATTTACATTATCTACCTACATATGCGTTGCTTCATATGAGCTCATTGAATTCTCCTAATTTAGTTATACCTTATGATATAAGAACCGTTAATTATATTAATTTCTACAAGGAGTAAACTCGCCGCATCCACTATGTCTAAGATAATGCCACAATTGCGGGTTCTCGGTGAATTCTTAGTAAGGTAGATATCGTAGATATTACGATAGCTAGTGTATGCGATCGGAATATACCAAAGTTAGCAGGTCTGAGTCCCTTTCTTATGGCCAAGACCTGGCACATTGAAATAATAGGACTGGATTATGAAGACCATAGTGGATATTTACATACTATTTGAAGCGATAGCCGGGTACATATGATGAGGCCCTTGTACAAGACTACTACTAGTGCAAGATATGAGACTTGGCGTAATTGCACTTCGGGGGGCCGCGGTATCATGTGGAACACGCCGAGACACTATTTCCAGGCCAGTTTTGAAGAAAGGAATTACCTATATTTTCAGCGAGAACGGAAATCCGAATGAAAATATCTAGTAACTACGGATTTCCTGATAAACATGGGACCGTTGAATTATGCTCGTATTATCCACGGATGAATAGGTACCTGCTCAGATACGTAACTATAAATATAACTATTTTCGTCTAATGGTATCTGCATGCAGGTAAAGGTTAATTCAATATATGAAGCTTACCGGACAGTCGAGACTGGTCGTTGATGATTACGTAATATCATGAAGGTAGAGGTTTTAGCATTGGTAACGAATCAAAGAGTAGATTAACCTCCTTCCAGAAACACATATCAAACTATATGGGGTAGGGCTCAGAATATACACCTGATTCGGGAAGGTGACGGAATGTCGGCTCGTTACCGGGCTAGATCACCGTGAGATCTAGGTTAGCATGCATTCGAGGTTACGCTGCTGTCAACTCGTGGAACTCTGTTCTATTTTCTGATTGCAGGAAGACAGGGGCACTTAAGAGCTGCGGACCTGTGCCACTAAGGAAAGTACACCCACCAGACGGTCCGATGGTCAGACTTTCCCATCCAAAACAGCTGGATTGGCTAGAGGTCGTGCTGATACACCTTACAAATACTATTGGTTCGCGTTAGATAGAAAAATTACCATTATGTATGACAGCATTCGCCTGGCGCAAAGTTGGGAATTGCGTAGTTAAACCACTTCGACCCTTAAGTAGCGTCATATCCGCTGGAGCTATGATGGCACCTTTCAAGGCTAAGTAACGGCCGGCCCCCGATCTTGCGTTAGCGGACGTGGTGGTCGATACCAACCGGACTAAAGACGGGGTTAGGATATTACTTGATAAGGGGGAGTTCTTCACTAGAATCTTAACGAGACAAAGAAATCCCATCTGAATTTCTAGAATGGCTAACCGGAGTCGCTTGTTGTCACATGCACCAACCTGTCATGATGCTTCCCTGCAGTGACATGCATCTGTTAGCATCAGCGTATGTCTCACCTACTATATGCGGTATCCAGCTCTGGAGTCTGATGTATGATGCGGGGCAGGGAACGGTACTTGAATATAGGAAGTCTCCGAAGGAACCATATGTCCAATTTCCTATAGAGCTCATACTTACACGCTACCCAGGATTACGACATTACCGTACCGCAGATCGCTAGGTGGAGCCAATACCTTATTTGATCGCCGAGTAACAGTTCACGATGCTAACGAGTACGGGATCTTAGATAAGCTTAATTTATCCTCCGACAGACTGTGGACCAAGTACGTAAGTGTTTGGACAGTCCAGTATGATATATTGGGGCTCGATCACGGTATAAGCACCCGTGACTTGATAATTGATAAGGGGTTATTGACTTACATGTTGATCATCGACAATAAACAATAAGGATATATATGAATTATACTTTGTGGGCACCGAGGTGTGTTGTGAGATACGGGCACACTTGCAAATCGCGGTTAGCAATGCCGATTTCTCGGTAATTACAGCGCGAAGACGTGATCCTATCATGTCGTATCACCTGTACTATAATATAAAAGCTTGCTAGACATGTCATTGAATTTCCACTCAAGCTACTATGAGCAATCTCGAGCCAGAAACAAGCTCAGTCTTGGCCTCTTGGCTCTTCTTATTGTAAGCCTTGATAAAGAGAATATAGGAGGGGGCTAATTGCCGGAATAGGAAGGCCGTGCATTGGGCACCACGCGACGTGAGCTCGAGACTCCTTTTCGCAGGAAAAGCGACGACTTGGCACAGCTGGAGGATACAACATCATGATACAGCCTGGCAGACCGTGGTAGATTTGCCATATCTACGCTATTGGGCTCCTGTCTTAGCCTGTGTTACAACCGGCCACCCGAAGACACCACATCCTAAGGCGACTTGATCTTATCCTTGCACAGATCCCCGGCTTGGATCTAGGCTCTATCCTAGAAACCTCTAAAGATCTTCTAAAGACCCTAGAAACCCCAGGGAACCGCCAAGAGGCTCCATAGACCTTACCCGTCGCCAATCACTTCCAATCAATGCTGGATGGTATCAATATACCCTTCACGTCTGGGAAACAAGCTCTGCCAGCTACCGCGCTTCCCCAGCCTGTGATAGCGTCAACATCAATGTCCTGCATGACATATTGGTGCTGCGAGGCGGTTGAACGACAGGGATCATAGATAAGGTACAGGAGGCTTTCTCCAGGTAATCAGGGTCCCCTCAACAGAGCTAGCCAATATTTTCTAGAAAGACTCCCATTACAAACTACGTCGTCATCTAGCCTCTCCGACCAAACCGCCGAGTAAGACCCTATGGGGAGTCAAGATCTGCGAGCTTCCTTCCTAGGAAAGCCATGATCTACCGGCACGAGATATATCGAAGGCTAGACGAAACCATCACCATGATAAATAGTCGCGATGCCCTCGTCCTGAAGGTAGCTTCTGTTCCTCATCACTCAGGAAGAAAGCCTCTTGATAACCCTTACCCCTTTCTTACCTTACCGTCTTGACTTGCTTCAATATGCGTACTGCCGCCCTCTTCTTCTCTCTCCTGCCTTTGGCATGGGCTGCCCCGGCCAAGCGGGCCGCGCCAGCTCCCCTCATCAAACCGCGAGGATCTCAACTCGTCGAGGGCAAGTACATTGTCAAGTTATACGAGAACTCCGCCATCTCGGCTCTCGAGGATACCATGACCAATTTTGAGGGTGATGCCGACCACGTCTACAACGTAGAGGGATTCAAGGGGTTCGCTTCTGCCCTAACGGCCGATGCTCTCGAGACATTGCAGAACCATCCCGATGTATGTTGCCTTATACCCCAATCCATTGTACTAGCTATGCCAAGGTTCTAATCATCTTATAGGTCGAGTTCATCGAACAGGACGCTATCATGAGCATTAACGCCTACACCACCCAGTCCGGTGCTCCTTGGGGCATTTCTCGCCTGTCCCACAAGTCTGGTACAAGCGGCTACGTTTACGACTCTAGCGCCGGCACAGGCACTTGCGCCTACGTCATTGACACTGGTATTTACACCGAACACACGGTACGCATGACTCGCGAAGTGGCTACTAGCTAGGTACAGATAGGTACTGACGATGTCTACAGGAGTTCGAGGGCCGCGCTACCTTCGCCGCCAACTACGTTGATAGCTCTGATACCGATGGAAACGGCCACGGAACCCACGTTGCCGGCACTATTGTAATTTCCCTCAGTCCCATGCTATCTTTTACCCCGTTAGCTAACCAATCAATTGTAGGGCAGTAAGACATACGGTGTTGCGAAGAAGACCCAGCTCTACGCTGTCAAGGTTCTCGATGCTAGCGGCTCCGGTACCACGTCTGGTGTCATCGCCGGCATGAACTTCGTCACTTCCGATGTGAAGACCCGGTCTTGCGCGGCCGGTGCTGTCGCTAACATGTCTCTTGGTGGTGGTTCTTCGTCTTCGATCAACAGCGCCGCCAAGGCCATGATCAACGCTGGTGTCTTCCTTGCTGTTGCTGCCGGTAACGACAACCAGAACGCTGCGAACTCCTCCCCCGCCTCTGAGCCCAGTGTCTGCACTGTCGGAGCCACCACCAACACCGATGCTCGTGCCAGCTACTCCAACTACGGCGCTGTGGTAGACATTTTCGCCCCAGGCACTAACATCCTTAGCACATGGAAGGGTGGCAGCACTGTAAGATTATTTTACCATCTCTGTCCTTCTTTACCTTTATTAGGTGTCTGGATTTAGGCTAACGTTCATCCACAGAACACCATCTCTGGTACTTCTATGGCCACCCCTCACATCGCTGGTCTCGGTGCCTACCTCCTCGCCCTCGAGGGCAAGAAGACTCCTCAGGAGCTATGCAGCTACATCGTCTCCACTGCCAACTCGGGCCTCCTGACCAGCATTCCGAGCGGAACTGTCAACAAGCTCGCCTTCAACGGCAACCCCAGCGGTTAAGCGCGGGATACATGTTGCGGAGTTGCCTTCGTTGACACGAGGTCCTCTGGGTTGGCATCTGCCTTCGATGCTCCCCAACCCAAGCCAATACAACCAATGTTCCCATAACGCAATAGTAATTCGAGGTAGCGGGAAACGGTGGGCATTTTTGGGGCATAGTCTTGGCAATCTTTTTGTGTCCACGGCTATTCGAATAGCCTAGGAAGGTAGAAGTACATACGCGGCCATTGGATATTCTCATCTGGGGCTTGGTTCACATCTTCCATACGAATTAGCCGCGAATAGAGTAATTGACTAATGCATTGAGCAACTCACCTCGTCAGCCGCCTTTTGAGTAAAACCAAATGAGAAACTCCCTGATATACGATAAATTAGCTGATGTACGATAAACTAGATGTGAATGATATTTTCAATATAATGGTGAAAATTGACAACGCGTTTTCTGAACAGGCACTTGGGGAGACATTGATGAGAATCGCTCCCTTGACGCGGTTCGGCATTTCGAACCTAGAAGATCTGCATGCACCCGGGAAAGGGTATGTTTCGTAATTATTAATGAAGTTACATAGGTAGGTACGCAGATGCAATTCCGATCGGATGGGGTGAATGCGATCCTAATCGTGTAGTAGTAGAGAATAAGGTACGAGAGAACTTACTATGCACCTAAGCTCAAGATCGACTTACACGGCACTTGCACTCCAAGTCCTACATTATTAATGAAAGTAATTTTCCTATAATGATACGATGGCATCTCTTTTTCCCGGATATTCTCAATCGCCAAGTGAAATCCCTTTAAACAGAATTATCGGGATTTTAGGCCGCCTAAAAAGCCCATGACATCAGACAAGGTCATTACGAAGGACAGTACCAGCATTGAGCTATCCTTCAGACCACAACATAATTAGTGGTACTGTATCTTGTATGCCTGAGATCAGTAGTATGGAAAGGATTAGGCATGTGCAACAAGTTAGAGCTCCTAAAATATTAAGAAAAGGCGGGTAGAAAAATTCTGGTTAAATATAAGTAGAGTCGAACATGATTAAATTCCAAATTTGCGAGTTTCTCTGGATGAAGGAGAGTCCTTGGACTTAGGTCAACATGCAAAATAAGTCAGCTTAACAGTGATGAACATTTAAGTATAGAATGCAGCCATCTTGAGTGACCTATAAGAAATTGAAATACGATAAGTTGACAAATTGTGGCTTCAATTCAGGGGTAATTCACTCCCCCCTATTGTGGGGCTGCTGTGTGACCAATGGACATGTACCCCGCTAAGACCCGAATTCGGGGATAAACAACTTCCCCATTAGGCTGGGACAAAGAACGCTAGAAACCCCCACTTTCGCTTGGACCCCTGTTAGAGCATATCGTCTAAACTGTCTTGAACATGGGACGACCCTTGAAAACCAACTCCTGAACAGAAACCTCGAACGCCTATCGAACGATTTAGGGTGTCTCTTGTAATACATCTTTTGACTCACGCTCCTTTACTATCATTCCTTTTTGTTCACAACCACGCGAGCTCTGGTCTCCATCTCTTTTTCGAATTATTTACCCTTGGAGAATATTCCCTACCCCGCGATTTGATTTATTCGAACAGGCCAGACTTGTTCATTTTCCTGTCTCCTGATATGGCGCGACATCTTTCCGTTATCGTCATTCTGGCGATCGCGGGTTTCTTGGTCCTGACTTTCACGAATTCCTTTGGCGACAAATCAGGACAGATACGACAAGTATTGCCTGTCGGGAGTGTTACCGAACGACCACCAGCTGATCCAGCACCAATTACATCAAATCTGAAACCAGATACGAAAGCAAATGTGGAAGCGGATGTGAAGACAGAAGTGAAAGAAGAAGTGAAAGCAGATGCGAAACCAGACTGGAAGTCAGATCTTGCCCCGCTGCAAGGCGATATTCTCACAGGAGGCGCAATAGCCCCAAAACTAGAGAATGCAACTTTGAAGTATGCGCTTGGGTTTCCTATTTGTCGCTACCCCCAATTTCGCCAAGGGCGATATCCGCGACTCTGGGGCATTTCTATACTTGGTTGGAATCGAAAAGCGCATAATGGATTTCTGCTAACTTGAAATAATCTTGCACAGGGCCGAACTTGGTCGCTCGACCTGGAAATTCCTCCATACCATGATGGCGCGCTTCCCCGATAAACCCACCGAAGACGACTCCCTTGCTCTTAAGACTTTTGTACAACTATTCGCACGTCTATACCCTTGTGGCGACTGTGCGCGGCACTTTCAAAAGCTCCTTGCCAAGTATCCGCCGCAAGTCAGCTCGCGCAATGCGGCTGCGGGTTGGGCTTGCTTTATGCATAACCAAGTCAATGAGAGGTTGAAGAAGCCCCTATTTGACTGTAATAGCATTGGTGATTTCTATGACTGCGGTTGTGGGGATGAGAAGAAAGAGACAACGGAAACCATAGGGGAACTCAAGTTAGAAAAGGAAGGGCTGACTAAAGGTGGTTGATTATACCATCGTAAGGGGTCTTCATTTTGTTTTGGGAGCATAGCGGCTGGAGTTCCTGGTCATCAGTCTTCATTGTTTCTGAGTAGAAAATATCCACACATCTCATTACGCATCCTATTAAATCTTTAATGCTTTATCGTGAAGACCAACCTTTCCTCCTTTGTATAGGTACCTTTGACTATTGCCGATGACTACCCATTTTGTATCACCTCCATATAAGTCTAACTAGGTACCTACTCAAACAGCGGTATATCTATATCTTTCTACTCTGGCTATTATTGAACATGCTCTTTCATTGGGGGAATAGAAATCATGATATTCTTTAGCTGAAATAAAGCTACATTACTTGCATATGCAGGTACTGAGGCACAGAAATACGTACCACGGAGGGAAATAGGCGGGACTGCACGTGACTCTGGATGGATCCATACCAAGGCTAGTGGCAGGCTAATCGTTGGTCCCGGCTTCCGATCTATGTAGCCAGTTCCAGGCTGGAACTTCCAGCCTTGCGCGTCGGAGCTGCCTTGAGCTTTGGTCAAGCAATCAACGGAGCTGCTCCTGCCATCATCAACCAAACTTCCTCAATTACGTACCTGGATAATTCCTTAAACCAACGACCGAACCTTAACTTACGACTATTATTCCGAACAATTAGTCTCTTCCGCCAACTTCCCCCAAAACAACTTCAACATTTGCAATATGGAGTTCGGCAACAGAGGCGTTTTGAGCGAAGGTATGTGAAGCTTGGACTTGACTTTCAAGAGCTTCAACCCAAGCGCAGAAGTGGGCTAATGGTTATCCGAATAGATGGAATCCATGTGGATATGGACCGATTAAAGAAGGGCGAGGTCAAGTAAGTAATATACCATCGGCCAACAGAATATCTTTGATAGCTAACCATCTCCTTCGCCAGTCTCGGTACCTCGATGTGAGCTAAACTATGTGGAACTCTAGTATAACGACAACGCAGAAATTAATTTGGTGTTAGCATGGCCGTAACTTTCAAGGATGGAGTCATTCTTGGTACGTCTTATGCCCACAATCATGCTCCCATCTGCCCTCCGTGAACACATATTAATAATGCAACTGTTCCTCAGGTGCCGATTCGAGAACTACTACCGGAGCATACATCGCGAACCGAGTTACAGACAAGTTGACCCAAGTGCACGATACCATCTGGTGTTGCCGGTCAGGCTCCGCCGCCGATACGCAAGCTGTCGCGGACATAGTGCAATACCAGCTGGGCATGTTTGCCATGAGGAACGGCAAGCCCCCCACCACCCAGACAGCAGCAGCCATTTTCCAAGAGATCTGTTATTCGAACAAGGACCGGCTGAGGTAAATACGATGTTCTGCAAGCACCTCTTTGCGACGATTCATAATTGGATGGTGCTAACGGCACTGATTTATAGCGCAGGTCTCATTATCGCGGGATGGGATGAGCGACACGGTGGCCAGGTCTATTCTATCCCTCTCGGAGGTTCTCTACACAAGCAGTCTTATGCAATCGGTGGTTCCGGTTCGACTTACATCTACGGTTACTGTGATGCGCACTGGAAGGAAGGTATGGAGGAGCAGGACGCCGTCAACTTCGTCAAAGGTGCGCTGCAGGAAGCGATTAAGTGGGATGGTAGCTCAGGAGGTGTTATTCGTATGGTTGTCCTGACGAAGAAAGGGGCGGATCGACACTTGTATCTGCCCGACGAGAAGTATCAGGTGCGACATTGATAACACATGGTATTGGAGGCGGCGACGTGGGGTAGTAGACCCAATGGCGCTTCGAGGATCGAGCATGAGTAGGTATGCTATGCCTTATGCCTTGATTATGCCTACCTGTACAATATTACACAAATCCACGTGTCGGCAGCGCCGCAGACTGCACGGCGGCCGCGAAGGTTATCTCTAAGCTTAATAGGAGCATTGCTATGAGACCACCAGGTTTCCAAACCCTTGGGTAATGGGATCGCCAATCCCTGGCGATACCCCGTGAATGGACTTCCCTAATACTGCAGGGTTGGAGGAATTTATTCCTTGGCAGCACGCACACAATCAGGCGGTGAGCAAAATACACGCACGGCATCGAACAAATCATCGAGCCCGGGCCGTCACATGGTCGCAAAGAAGACATCGCCAATAGAAATGGTGTATATCCGATAGATATGGTTTTCCGACACTAACCCTACATCCCCCGTCCTCGCTGATAGGGTAAGAATTATATCTCGGGGCGATCCGGGTTACGTAGGAGTGTTTTTTTCTTTCGGGTACATGATTCGTGCCGCTCAATGACATTATCGTCCCCGAAGACGGGTGAGAGATTCGAAAGTTGAAGCCTCCGCGAGGTGAGACCGTTTTTAGAGCTTTGCGAAACTGTGTGTGAATCTACACGTTGCGATATAATATCCGATCGTCGTCATCGGTGTTACGCCAACGGTGCCTAACGTTTATTTGAGGTGTGATCATGATCACCTACCTAATGTAGGCACGATACTTCGCTTTGCTTGATCCCATATAGTACCCATGCGGTTGAAGCTACAACGGGAATCGCTTCCCATCATTCCCCTTTTAGCCTAAAAGGGTTTGAAACCTGAGTGGGCGAGCGCCTTCGAGGTCTTGGCGGACATGAGAACAAGCAAGTTGGTTGACGCAAGGCGGGTTAGGTTGGGGTGTTAGGGCAAAGATGGGATAATTATGAGCCTTACGCGTTGAGTACATCGTTTTTCTTTTCGTTCTAGAAAGTCGCGGTGGATTTGGAAAGAGAAGAGTGGGAGATTATTAGCCCAAAGGCCCGTCCCGTGGTTAATTGCTATTTCTTATCTCATCACTCAATTTTCCAATCCGTGGGGGTTGAGGGAAGTATGTACGACTGACTATAAGGGCGTATTGAGTTTGAGGCGCACAGAGAGCTAGGTATGATGATGCCATCGGGTAACAAGATGTTTCTGGGTTACCGGGACGCCCTCATGTCAGCTTCCCTTCACATCTACCAGTAGGCATGTAAGGGTTGGACGGCAGGGGGTGAGCACCCGCCATTGCCAGGCTCTTGGCACGAGGATAGAGTGCGGGATGATATTGAGCTGCATGTCGAGGTACATAGATGGGATGAGACGAGATGAGATGGTACGTTATGATGTTATCTTTAATCTGTCTAATGGAAGTATACAAACTGATACATTTATAAGATCGTATCTTATAAATTGCCCGTAAAAGACCTTATAATCAATAGCACTGTGTGGCCCCGCGATCGAACCCTACTATGAAAGATTTATAGAAAGTCAAAGGAAGGATTAGCGAAGACTTCAGTCTAGAGACGGTCCCTGAATCGTGAATGCCGAGTTGGGACCGGACTAGACAAACGGCGGTCCCGGGTCTACCGGAGGCGCGCAACTAAACCGCTCGTCTTCTTAGCGTAGGATGGGAGCTAGGAAACGCCGCTATATTCCAAGATTGTTACGAGAACATTACCTACCTGAGTAACAGTCATTCGAACCGGTGAAGACTAGGTTCACGGCTTCTAAATTAGCTGACTCTGGCTTTCCAATAGCTGAGCTGGAATACTGGGAATTACGTAGGTGTACATATGTCTCTGGATATTGACATTGAAACATGTGAAGCTCGGTGTAACTTACTATATGAAGGAAATAGGCTTGTTGAAGAGCAGAAATGACGTATGCTCGATACAATACTTGCTATATGTGTGCCGAGATGTGCTTATACCTTATGTATCTAGGTACATGATGTGTTGGAATGCCGATGGCTCTTATTTAATAGTATTCTTAAACGAAATATCGTGTATGGATCGTTGGATATGTCTTCGTAATATTTCAATGACTATACATTGCCAGTTGGTAACGTATATTTTTATCTTCACTTAGGTAATCTTAAGGGGGGTTATGTAAAAAGCTCCCCCCTTTTCACCCCACGGCAAGAAAACGGCCTACCGGAGCAGAGCAAGCATTCTGGAAATGCTACGAACCAACGGGCTTGAAGGGTTTTGTGCATTAGTTGCTGACCGCGGTTGTGCACAGCCTCACCCCCTTTCCCTATTCCGGTAAGATGCCATTATTACCTGCAGCTTTGAGCCCGGGTCTTAATGGATCCTATCTGCCATCCATCCATTCCAAGCATTGCGAACACGTGCAAGACGGATGATTAGATGGCTGGTTTCATAGGAGATAGAGTTGTCAATTTTTGTTAGGAATCGATTTCCGGCCTATCGCGCGACGTCTTGCCGCCCTACCATCCCCCCCTTTTTTCCATCTTGACCTTGATACTTTGATACGCATTTTCTTTTGCAGCCGCTGTCTCCTTATTAAAATCAAGTCGATATCTTTTTTACCCCTTGATTCTTGCTTCCTTCTAATTTCCCATTATTCCTGCCATTTGCTTTTGTAGTTGGTGTTCTTATTTTAGGAATGAGATTCGTCCATTATTCTGTGGCTCGGAGTGTTTTATCTATTTTAATGATTGAATGAAGCACGCAACCGGGGGGCAACCGCGATTATCTAGCACTGTTATTATTATGCAAAGGGTCGAAAAGTCAATTACTTTTATTTGTGTACGACTTGGGCAGGGAGCAATTCTATTTCTTGCTGCTTTGTTTTTATTTGATCATATTTTCCGCTAGCAGTAGCAAAAGTAACAATTGCCTGTTGCTTGCTTGCTTGCTTGGTGGTAACTTCCCTTCTTTTATGTCATACATGCGCATCTTCCGCACCTTCAATCAAATATTTCGGTAGTCCAAGCGCCTATCAGGCAAGCACACCCCGGCCACAGACGCCGAGACATCTGAGGCTTTGACGTATGCCTGCACTATCTAGCGTATCAATCTTCGCCGCCCGCCACTACCACCTTTACCATTACCTGCACCACTATTACTACCGATCTTGAAACTGGCAACCCCCGACCGCCAGCGGCAACCTTACCAGAACTTTACCACTCCAAGGTTATTACCTTACGTACTACTAACTTACTACGACAATCTCAACCTTTACAACATCCAAACCACTACAACTACAACATCGACACGTTTCCCAGTTCTTCCTCAACAATTGTCTTCTACGTATCGTCGACGACATTGGAAGACTGTTACGACCGCGAGATAATCTTCATTAATCATATCCACCTACTAGTGTATAAACGCATTGATCCTTAGTCACTTATCTTTTTGAACCTGCTTCCTGTTGCGCGACCCCGAAATTGAGGCTGTCCGCTGCACTGCGCCGACGTCCGGTAATCTTTGCTGATCTACCAAGAAAAAAAAGCGCCTACGCCCACGTCTCGCATCGCATCCTTTCATTCGATAGCGACCGGGCGAACAATAATAAATAAATGCTTACAACGTCATCCCGATTAGCATTATAATAGGTAAGCATCAAGATTTTGGTTCTTAATTCTTCCTCTCCCCCCTCTCTATCGCTTCTGTTGCTCTCCGGAATCCGTGTGCCTATATCCACATATATCTACCCGGTCCATTAGCCATCTCAGGATGAGAATTCTGGTCTCGCCTCTTCTTGTTTCGTTCTCTTTCAGCCAGCCTTAATCAGCTTCTATTCGAATATTTCTATCCTTGCGATATGTATTGGCAGTTCCAGCCAGTCAAGATGGCTGGAACACGGTGAAATTTGTGAAATGTGCCTTATCGTTGGACGGCGATTCTGGCGTTGGGCTGTGTCTGCGTCCATCTCGTCACTCGGCGCCATTGCCCGCCCCTCGATCTAATTAGTCATTTTTTATTCGCTTGGCCGCTCATCCATTCCGGCCATTTCGTCCATCCTATTTCATTCATTGAGTCACCTGTGTCTTCTCTTCAGCGAACGTGGAACCGGGGAATTGTGATGAATATTGCCACTCGGGATTGCGGTGACAATACGGCCGTTCCACGGTCCACCAGATTTTTTTCTATTTTGGATTTTGGGCCTTATCTGTCTGCGCTCGTGGAGCGTGGAGCGTTGGGCTGTCCAGATTGTGGCCCGAACATTTTCTTGTTTACCCGTTTTTCCCCACTCATCGGACCCAGACCATTCTTCGTATCTGTCAGGCCAGAGACCAAGACGGTTTAACGAGTCGCTGTCAACCGTGGCTGGCTCGACTTGACTGAACTGACGACTGTCCCGAGCTTGATCGAGTCGCGCTCCCGAGGCTCAGCAGAGAAAGAGAAAAAGAAAAAGAAGAAAGACGAGCCCCAACCCAATAACAAAAAGACAATATCACAATACAACACAATACGCTACTAGACTGATTCACTAACTCGTATACCCGCTTCATTCAGGCCTCTCTTAATAAATCCTTTGCTAGACACGACCTTGTCACATAATAATCGACCCACCAAAACCACCAAGATCACCAAAACTACCAAGTTATTAGATCTATTTTTCTCCTCAAGGCGATGCAATGGCTGCAGTAATTGGAGACTTCGTTACCGACCATACCCGGCTGCACAACATGATTGCAGCCTCTGGTTTATCGCACGAGCATTCGCGACCTCGCGAATCCTCATTCAGATCAGACTCGAGAAACCGACCGCGCGAAGTGCCCCAGGCAGTCTATTCGCCTCCCAATTCCGCAACATCATACCGATCTTCGGCATCGAGTGCGACACCTTTCAAACGATCTTGGGAGTCGACAGAAACAGTAACTGAGCAAAAACACATCTCGTCTACTGGGGGTGCCTCACGATTTCCTACGCCACCCGATTCCTCTTCGCCGAACCCCGCTTCTGAACGCGTAAGAGCACAGGATGCGAGTCTCTCGTCGTCGTCGGAATACATGGCATCGGATATCCAGACAACTGCACCAGTGGTACCTGTACCGGGTAGTTCTACACCAACGCCGACTCAGCAACAGCCCTCTCCCGAGTCCGATACGTACACGTCGCCGACCCCGCGGGTTCATGCCGACGATGCCCCGCCCCCACAAGAAGGGCGCACCGTCTACGTGCGCGACCTTGCGCACATCCAGAGCCTCGCCCGTGCCGATCTGATGAACGGTGGAAATGGCCCAGGCATACTAAACGATCCACCGCTCCAAGCGATGAAATATGAGATTAGTCAAATGCCTATAGGTGATATTATTGAGATGGTCGCCGCTCTTCTAACAAAGATCACGACCACCAACGACCTGCAACATGATGCTCTACATAGGAATGCAACGCACCAGCAAACCGCAGCCACGCATAACAGCGAAGGCACATCGATGAGCCCTCTCAGCAGCTCCGTCCTTGCGTTCCATGGTAAAAACGTTCCCGCAATTACGATCTTAAGTTATTTGAGTAGGATTCATAAGTACTGCCCGACCACCTATGAGGTCTTTCTAAGTCTTTTGGTTTACTTTGATCGGATGACGGAACGCGTCAACACCATGGTGATGGAGGCCGAGGCAACACGGCGGCAGTCCCAGACTCAGCAACCCCGCGCCCCGGCGGCAGAGACGCAACCCGGCCAGGTAGCCGACAGCGAAATGCGGGATGATGATAGCGACAGCGACGAAGCTGAGACCGACCTTGTCGACGACAGTTCTGATGAGAAAGGGACATCGAAGAGACCTAGCGAAAAGAGAATCAGGGAACCGCCACCAGCTCCATCCGCTGCGCCGGCCACTTATTTCGTTGTCGATAGCTTCAACATACATCGATTGATAATCGCAGGTGTCACTTGTGCGAGCAAATTCTTCTCGGATGTTTTCTACACCAATTCGAGATACGCCAAGGTATGTAACTCGCACAAGCGTTTCCCTGCAGTGGGCCCCAAGTATCCAAACCGTTTCTCGTTGAGCCTAAGCTAACATGTGTATTGAATAGGTTGGTGGTCTGCCTTTAGCTGAGCTCAACCATCTCGAGCTACAGTTCCTCTTGTTGAACGATTTCCGTCTTGCCGTCCCCGTCGAAGACCTGGAAGCGTATGCTACCATGCTAGTCGAATTCTACGCGCGGGAGGTAGTTGCACAACGCTCGCGGCCCCTCAGTGGAACCGAGTGAATTCATGAGTTATAATATTTGGGATAAGACGTATTTGGAATGCATTATTACCCTCGGAGGAGATGCCCTGCTTGGACTATATTCATGCACACTAGCACGCATTCACAATAAATGACACGCGCCAGCTACATCGCTAATGCTGGGGACTCTCGAGGACGTGGGAGGTATGTGAGGACGTGAGGACGTCGAGCTCGGGGTGGAAGAGACCTGGACTCGGATGTCGTAGAGGTTAGGCGGCGGCTATTGTATCAGATTTATACGGGGCAAACCCTGGAGACGATATTTTTTGGGTCGGGCTGGTGCCCTCCCCTTTTTAGAGAAGCCGGGGAGGGCGGCAAAGCAGATAGGGGGAGAGTTATCATGTGCTCATATTATTTGATACCCGGATAGATTTTTACGTCGGGCTTTACCTCCCTCCTTATGAGATTAATTCGGGACCCGCATCAGGGGTGTGTGTGTAGCTGGCTTGTGTGGTGACTGTGTCGTGATGAGTGGTCTGTGGTCGAAGTGACGGACGTGACGAATTATGTGTTTAAAGGTGAATGGGGTGAATTTAGATGGTGATTGTGTGGATTGAGCGTGGGCAAAGGGGAATTTCAATGCAGCGAAGCGTTGATGAAAATGGCCTGATACGGTTTTAGATGAGGGTCTAGGGTTGTGTGCCTGGGTTAGGAGAGGTATTTATTTCCTTCGCTGGCTTACGTTGGAAGGATTTGAGATTGTACTACTGTTGTACAAGGGCGCGAGATATTGACCAACTTGCTGGGATCACGAGGTCACTTGTTTATGTGAAGTTAGTCAAGGCAAGACACGGGGATGGTAGGGTTAAGGGGTTAGTTGGTTACTCGGGTATATTATAGATGCTAGATTGGAAGGAGCTTATATGAATGTCTTATGAAGATCAATTCGGCTTATAGGAGGGTTTTCAGCGAATGTGTGACAAAATTCTGGGTTGTGTGATACCCCTATTTTTGGACGAGGGATTTGATTATCTTCAGCTTGATGCTTTAAGAGCTTAGGATATTTATGTTCTATTTCATTCACTTTCTAACCTGTAAGTGTCCCCTTGCCCCTGACAAATTCCATTCCTTGTCTATGCTTGAGGAATTTCTAGCTGGGCATTGATATCGATGTTCGAGATATTAGTACCCTTTTTTACCCCGTTATCATATGAGTAACCAGGTGCCTATTAGAAGAAAACATAGCAATCCAATGATTTCTGATCTTATGATACAACCGTTGGATACTCGATAAACTCTAGATCTGCCGGCCATCTGGGGGGCCCGCGCTTTATGGATGCTATCTGCCCCAACCATTCCTCCATGTCATATAAGACATGCGCCGCTAGCCTCTCGTCCATAGCGCACTGCTGCCAAGTCATCGTAACACACAACTCGGTCTCCTTCACCGTCACCAGCGACACCACGAGCGCCGCCCCGCTCGCTTCCGCGCTGCTGGTGTATTGCGCGTACTTAATAGACTCAGGCCTCCCTTCGATCTCCCCATCTATCACCCCCAGATTCGCAACGGACCAGGACACCTCCCTTGGCCGGCGCTCCGCGTCGCGCATCCGTCGCTGTCGCCCCGGGACGCAGCGCATGAGTCCCACGTGATCGTTCTTCGCCCCGAGGTCCAGTTTCTCTTCTATATCGCGCCGGGCGCGGGCCGCGACGATCCAGACTTGGTCTAGCATGTTGAGGGGGAGGGGCTTGGGTTTTTCCCTGCTCGAGTCGCCGTCGGTGGCGAGGCTCGCGCGGATGGAGCTGACGAGCTTCGCGTCGAAGGTGTGCGTCATGTGCGTTGCGTAATTGGCCATTGTCTGTTCGGGCTCGAGACACGGGTTACCTGCGGGTTTGGAGCCCATCCAGCGCCGGAGGTTGAGTGCCGTGGTGCTTTTGAACGCTTTCGCGGCTGTCGAGTGCAGACGCGAGGAGAGTGAGACGAGGACCAGGGCTTGGATGAGGCCGGTTACTGTGGTGTTGTGGTCTCGACAAGATGCCCGGATGAGGTTGACGTTGTCGAGCCAAATGGTAAAGTCGCGGGGTCGCGTCTTGTAGGGGGTTAATTGGATCGGTACCCATTTTGCTAGAGAAGCTTCTCGGCGGAAAATGGGTGGTTTGAGTTCGTGCCAGAGGCTTTTGAGGGCGAGTTTTGGCGTGACTGGGAGTTTCATGACTTGCTCGATTGGTGGGGGGAGCTCTGGGGGTGACGAGGGTAGTTTTAGGATATCGCCGTCTATGAACCGATTTATGTCGTCTGTACCGGTTTCGATTTGGGCGATGAACTCTTCTAGTAAATGCTGGTGGAAGATCTTCGCGCTCACGCCGTCGCTGTGGGGAGGGTTGAAGACAAACATCACTGCAAAAGTACGATTTGATTCGCACCGTTGGATCACGACTCTCCAGCCTGGGCGCTTTTCCAGCTCGTGAAACTCGGCGTCGAGCTCGGGACCCAGTAGATTGTAATAACACAAGTTCAGGCCTTGATCGTCGTCTAGGATATGTCTCCATTCGATGTGATTGCTCAACTGAAGACTGTCTAACTGGACGAACCGAGGTGCCTTTGTATCTGCGCCCGCGATGCCGACTTGCAGAATGGGATGCTTTAAAATCACTGCAGCAACAGCGGTCCGGACTAAGCTCTTCAGCTCCCGATCAGCATCGACAAACGTTAGTCTAATGGGTAAGTAGTATTGACACGAGAGAGTTGTGCCGCGATGATGGCCCTGCATATACATTGCTAATTGGTGTTTTTCGCTGTATTCGTTAATAATTTTCTTGGATATCTGGACGTAGTAATTCAACACTTACTTGTTTCCGAGATAACGAAGCATCTTTGTTTTGGGGCCATCTTTTGACGACTTCTTCCCCCATGGAGTAGACATTATCGAATATCACTTGAGAGATGTAGTTACAAGTCAGAGAGAACGACCTTTCACACTGGGTTAAATAGTTGATAGGAAGTTGACGTATGATTTTCAGACCACACGAGCTGTGAATCCTGACAACGTTGGTTACACGAAGAATGGGAATGCAGATGAACATGATCCATTTTTTATGTACATTTCCTTCTAACAATACGATTGAGAAGCGATGAAGACCGGAATTGTATCCGACAAGTCTAAATTCCGAGGGTTCCAGTGCCACTTATACAGGTTTAGTAACTCTATAAGCGCTTGTTTGTACTGCAGATATATATTTTCGCCGTATTATATCACATCGTTAATGTAACCATTAGGGACATGTATGAGAAACCCAGGGTATCCCTCCTGGGCACCTCGTAAGACCTGTGCTGTCATAAGTGATGGGTCGTATAGTGTCAAATAGCAAGGGCAAACCACCCAGCTGGGAATGACCAGAAATCCTCATTGGCCAAAATGGGCATGGCTAATACTTACATACCTTCTTGGGTAGGTGATACACTGGGAGTATAGAGGTTGGCTACCCCCACCTATGGATCTTCGTAATTGTCGAGATCCATTTAATTCAATGATCACAGTTTCCCGGGTTGCTCTTGATACAAAAATGAGTGTTATTGTAAAGTTTTTACTACGTATGGTGATGAAGAAGCTCAAATTGCTTTCCTAATCACCTTGGTTAGGTATGGTGTGAGTGAGTGAAGTCTTGGGGTCTTCCAGCAATGCAAGCTAATCCTGTCTCTATCACTAAATATACCACAGCCAGACGTAACGAAAGCTTGGACTGTAGTTGTGGTTCTATATTCTGGTATTCCCCTCATCCTTGGTAGGTGACTAAGACGAGTTGATTATGAGGCATACGCTTGGCTTTACGATGTGCTTTACACTCCAGTCAGTGGTTGATTATAACTACCAAACTATCAACGACTCGACCTTGAGTAGGTAATGAGAGAGATCATTAACTGGAATTCGAGCATTTCATTTTATATATAACTTAAGGGTTTCTCTAGTGTGTGAATATGGATAAGTTTTAGTTCAGGAATATCCATTATCACCTATTTACGACTTTTCTGCACATAAAGCATAAATACGCACCGCAAATAGACCACAGTACAAAATACAGCATCAGAAAACATGGAGGCGAATATTGATAGACATATCCATGAGTTCATGAAAGATGTAGACGGATATCTCGACGCGAAGCAGAAATTGGAGGAACGTTTGGACCGGCCGATTCTCCTATCTCTCCACTTCACCTATAGAGACGAAATGCCTATCGAGGCGAGGCCGATCGCAATCAGACATAACATAGCTCCGTATACCCATGTGGAATCAGAGTTAGAGTGTTTCCCCTGGAATTTGAGCATCTTATTTGGGACCTCGGACGGAGTAGCCCTCAGTGAGGTAGTACCGCTATTGCCGACTAGAAGGGAGAAGACGATGTATGGCCCTCGACTTGCGAAGCTCTATCCGCGGTACGATGAGACTGAGAAGCCCGTCGACTTCCACTTCTTGGAGAACTACCATTATCGAACGATCCAGCGCCAGGATTTGGCACCTTGGGAGAATGAGATTGTATGGTGGCCTAACATCGTCGTTCGCCTTGCGGAGGTATACCATGTCATGAACAAGATTGGTGAGAATAATCCGGTCGGCGCGTCAAAATTCTTCGGTTTTCTATCTCGGCCATATGTCCGCCTTCAGGAGTACTGGATCCTGATTGACGACAAGAAGGTTGGTACGCCCGAGGATGATCTCGATAGGACTCAACAGTGGGAGGAAGAAATGGGAGATATCGATGCCGCATACGAGAGTGAAGATTTCTACGTCAAAGAGGCGTTGGAAGTATATGAAGAGGCGATGGGATGGGACACGATTATGAAGACCCCGGAGGACCTTATTGGGGTCGACAACGTGGAGACACTCAGTGATCGCGACAAAAGGAGACTGCGAAAAGTAGCCCAGTGTCTAAGGAGTTGGGGCACCCGCGTCCCAGTTGTACCTCGCGTCGTGAGGTGGGCAAAGGAGGGCGAAGGGAATCATAACATGCCACCTACTATCTTTGACCTTGCCGACCAACTGAGACCAGAACAGTCTTATAATAGTATGGGGCTGAGGACGTTTCCTGATATTGAGTTCCGCTAAATAGGGGCCACATACGGCCACACCTGAGACGGACGATCGTGCCTGAGCCTTGTTATGACATTTTGGAAACGGTTGAATCTAGGTATCTACTAGGTACTTACTACTAGCTATTAGGTAGCCTTGTAGATATTCATTCGACTACTACCACCACACCATTCCGTTATATCTCCCTTGCAAGTCATGGCGCAATCGCTTTCGCTAGCCTCCGTAGCCCCGTTGACCGGACCATCGTTATTGCAATAACACTCCTGTCCGTACTCGACACCCATGTAAGCGTAGCCTTTCCCTGAACAGTAACTCGCGCAGCTCTCGATAGTCATGCTGGAACCTGAAGTCGAACTACTGGTGCTGGCTGCACTCGCCCCTTTTCCTAGAGCTCTCCCGCTAGTCCCCTCGGTATAACACCCAAGGTATGCGTAACCACCGCTGCTGATGGTAACTAAATTGTGAGTCGCAACATAGAGCGTGTTGTTCCAGATAGAGATCCTCGAGCTCCCGCCGCACATCTGGGTCGAGTTGCCCTTGCATGCCATGTTGCAGTCCGCCTCGGCAGAGACGACCGACGAGTTTTTAGCGGCGTTGCCGCAGTAACATTCTCCACTGTATTCAACGCCGAAAAGGGCATAATTCTTAGCCTGGCAGTATGAGGCACACGAGTCGACCGTCATAGAGCTGCTGGTGTAAGAGTCTTTGGATAAGGTGCGTCCATCTGAGCCGCTGTCGGTGTAGCAGCCTAGATAAGTGGCTGTCCCGTTTGATGCCGTTAGGATGCTGGTGCTTGTCTGAGCGGATTGAGTCGATTGAGTCGTAGTTGAAGCAGATTGAGTTGAAGATTGGGTCGACGACGACTGGGTTGACGATGATTGAGTGATGTTCCAGACACTCAGTTTGGAGCTTCCGCCGCAATATTCTAACACATTTCCCTTGCATTTCATGTTGCATTCACCATCATCGGCAATAGTGGCGCTCGTAATGGCATTGCCACAGTAACACTCCTGAGAATATTCTGTCCCTGCTAGCGAAAAGCCCTTGTCTTTGCAGTAAGAAGCACACATCTCGTTTGTCATGGCTGTCGTGTTGGACGTGCTGGCCCCCGACAATGCCCTGCTGCTGCTGTCTGTGTCGCCAAAGCAGCCCAAGTATGTCGCGCTACCATTGTTAATAGTAGTGCTGGCAACTACGAGTGCCGCCACGGAATAGGAGGTATCATTCCAAATAGTTAGTAGGCTTGGTGCACCGCACCACTCCGTTGAATTACCTGCACATACCATTTTGGGCGTGCTGGAACAGTCATCCAAGGTTGTGCTGATCGAGCTACCGCAGTAGCATTCTCGAGAGTATTCGAGACCAGCAAGTTGATAACCCTGAGCCTTGCAAGTCGAGGTGCAGTATTCGACAGTCATATTGCTCGCCGAGAAGGAGTATCCGTTCAAGATTCTTGGACTGCTGTCTGCTACACAGCCAGAGTAGGCGAAAGTACTTCCGCTGAGACTGTCCCCTACAGAAGGGTCAAACATGGTGAATGGTCCTTGTTCGTCTATGTTGTTGGTAGTGGGTGTATCGTTAGGGCACACGAGTTGAACTGCACGATCGGGCCCAGTTGTGACAACATTGCATCCGGGGAGACATTCCACCATTCCCTTAACTTGCTCGTTAACAATTTGCTGACGCTCCGGGCAGTTAGTTGCGTAATAGGGTGTTTGCGACTTCGCTAATGGCGGACATTTCGAGATCTGGCCGTTGAAGCTGGAATCATTGGCACATAAATCTAGCGCCTCTTTGAGGACGGTCTCATTCCAGCCATTCATAAAATCGCCGTGGAAACCGAAGCCTGTCGGGTCGCCTTGTGAAAACACGAATCGCCCGCCTTCCTCCTTCTGTATATCATTTACGCCGTAAAGAACTTCGAAAAACAAGTGGACCAACTGCCGTGGGTGTGAAGGCGGACAGACACCATTGTCGATTCCTGACATGTAGGCCACATGGGACTGGTCGGTTTGGTAATCTCGCCCATCCCAGCATGACGGGAATTGAATTTGAGCGCGGAGACCATTGTCGCAGTCTGTTGCGAACATGTAATTCTGCTCCGGAAAGCCACCTGAACTGTTAAGGCAGTTAAAAGACACACGATCAGATATTAGACGGCCTGAATGGCTGCTATCCGAATAAGTGACGGATGTCGTGTCGTTCGACCGGAGATAGGGGTCTCCCGACACCATTCTGAAGCCGGCGGGAAAGGGTTCGATGTTGGAGGCATTTTCGCCTCGTCCGAGGTAGTATACGACTGTCCCGCCATTGGGAACCTCCTCGAAGCTTCCGTTAGCATGCTCGTAGTAGAGCTGCGGCGTCCAGTAGGCCGACTTGTCATCTTGGATCTCGCATGACGTGCACCTAGAGTTGAGGAGATCTTCATAGCTGTTGGAGAGGCCGAAGTTGCTTGCCCCTGACACCTTGTGAACGTGAGGTGAGACCGAACCTGGAAATACGTTGGGATCCAGGCGACCGGTTTGGATGAGGCCGCATGACATACGCCAGAAGGCGTCTACGCCGGGAAGGCAGACAGACGACGCTGTTAATATGCCTAGGTAGACATTTCTCGAGCTGAACATATTGAGAATGGGATGCTAGCTTACTTAAAATGAAGCTAACTATGGAAGAAGACTTCGACCTAAACCGAGAAGTCTCATATAAAGAAAAGGGGGAGGGAAAAGTTTAAGTACGCCATATCCGCCCCGTTGTAAGCACTGACATATGACTCCATCACAACGTCGCTTCACTCTAGGATAGAGCTAAATAAGATACTTCGTATCTTGGCATCATATAACGTGAGATTTATAATCTTGTTGTGGGATAATGGGCATAGAGTTGGTCCCGAGTGGCTTTTAGCGAGGCCATGGAGGCTTGAGAATCCATAGTCCAAGTCCCAGAAGTCCAGAGCTACCTCGTCCATTGATGGCCGAGAACTTGTGAAAGACCGTAGCGTGCTGTGTGACTGGGCCTAATGGAAGTAGTCTCACTATCTATGAGCGATAGAGTTCCGGGAAGCACAGGCACAACTGGCTAGTGCTTAGAGACAGCGCACGTGGATATACTGTTGATTTGAAGAGCCGGTATGATTGGTGAAAGTACGCTTCGGTTAGAACTTTTCTTAAGCTAGACCGCGATTTTAGTATAAAATTAGATATAGGTCTGGCGTTTAGCAAGCGATATCTGAGATAGCGCCGGTGGTCTTCCAGCTAGCTGGGTGTACGAGTCAGGTAGGCAGAGCACTTTTGTCACAACCTCTGCTATGGCCCTTGAGTGCCTCGGTTTAAAGTACTTTTTTCGTCCCATCTCGGGGAGATCGTAGCAACCTTGAAGCTATTCTTATCGCCGGGACGAATAGTAGAGCTAAACAGGTGTAAGCTAAGAATCGCGAGCGAGTAACTGGGACAATTATAAGGCATACTGTTACCTTGAGTTTATCTGAGGATATGCTGTCATAATTAATAGCTAGGTTTTATTGGTTCCGTAGCATCCATCTTGTCTAGTTGCAAGATTTTATCGTGGGCTCTGTAAAATCGCTTGACTACGAGAATGTCGTGATGCGAGCGGCTGAATTCAAGTTAACAATTTGTTATAATATAACCAAACATAGAGTCTTTCTTCGTCCTAACTATTTCAGCTAGGTGTTACTAGTATATTGCAATACTCGTATATATTCATGTTCATAATTAATGATCGATAACCTGTCTCGTCCGGTGTTTGTGTTTGCATTCCCGCGTGGTGTTACAATCGGGCTATCGGATACAGTAAATCAGGGGATGTTTAGATGGTTTAACTCCATTGCACTTTTTCATGTTTTCAAGACATATTGCGGATCGAGAATGCTTGATTTCTGTGTTGGACAAGTCGATGAATTTAACTATTTCGATGGATATAATCGAAACTAGGTAGAACCATCAGCTTTCAAAAGACGAAAATATTTTATTCCGAAGCCAACAAGATGCATGAGGATCTTCCTGTTTAAACTGTTTTGAGTGGGTGGGTTTCGGCATTCGTGTGGGTACTTCGTTTTCTTCTCGGCATACCTATTCTGGGTTAGAAAACTGGAAAATCGTGTGCTTTTATCGGCTAAACATGTGCTGAAAGACTAGGATCCTAGGGATTCTAAGAATATTAGCCTAATGATTTTTCTTTTCAAGATATTTAATTGTGATAAATCACTTCATGCCTGAGTAACTTGTGTCATGTAATTATTTCTTTGAGCCTCTTCTAGTAAATGGCAGCAAGGATTCATGGAGGTAGGTAAATATAGCACATATGACGCTATTCGACCGGCAATCAGCCCTTGTTGGCCCTAATGCAGGGACGGGATGGGTGCCAAGGACGGGATAGCTAAGGCTCATGTAGATCATGACGCGGGTAACGATCTGCTCATATCCCAGTCAGTAGTACGCGTCAGAACTGCCCCTTTCCCTTTTTTCAAAAATGTCTTTCAGGGCTTGATTTTTACTGCGATATTCTATTGTAGAATTTTGGTATGAAACATCTTTTTCGGGATTTTCGTTCGTTCAGAATTTGAGGCTGAAGAGCTGGTACCTATTAGAATGGTTTAGCCATTTTTTTCTCTTCGTTTCTCCACAACATAGCTTTTTAGTTATAACTATGGCACTCGTTGGTAGCCCACGGGGTTTGCGATCTCTTGTTCTTCCAATTGGGCTTGTTACTCTTGCTCTTGTGTTGGTGGCTTTATACCGTGGCATAGGCGTCAGCGACAATTTCCTACCGAACCTTCCCATGATCAATGGTGGCGGACCTAAGCAAGCTGGCGCCCATGAGAATCACCGTCCGACAAACACTCACCCACCTCCTAAATATAAACCTACACCTACCTTTGCCGCGCCATCCGTAATCGACCCGTTTCCTCTCCTTTCCCAACCGACGACGACACCCCCTCCTATACCAGAGTATAATATTCCGCGGCCTGGTCTCCATCGAGAGTATGGCCTTTCGTATACGCCACCTCTTTTCATCGGCTTCACACGCCAATGGCCGATGCTCTTGCAATGCGTGATCAGCTATCTCACAGCTGGTTGGCCTCCAGAGTCCATCTTTGTCGTCGAGAATACGGGCGTACAAGACTCCAATGCTCAAGGCAAACTCAGCCTACAGAACCCGTTTTACCTCGACCACGCGGCGTTGCGCAAGCTCAGGGTCAACGTCATACAGACCCCCGTTTTGTTAAGCTTCTCACAGATGCAGAACTTTTTCCTGTCGACTGCCAAGGCTCGATCGTGGCCGTACTATTTCTATTCGCATCAAGACATTTTAGTGTTTTCGTTCGAGGATGGACCTGATACGCTCGTCCGTCCTGGTGACAGAGAGTGGTTCTTTTATAACGAGGAGGATGAGGCGGACATAATGCGGCCCGCCGCAGCGGGTCAGGAAGGATATCGAACTATTTACGAAAACTGTCTTCGTGAACTAAACCGGACGTTGGAATCCGAGGAACGTTGGGCCTTCCGGTGGTTCCAATATGACCATCTCACCCTAGTGAACCGAGCAGCGCTGGACGCTGTAGGCGGTTGGGATTCGTTGATGCCATACTACGGCAGCGATTGCGATATGAATGCTAGGTTGGAGATGGATGGATGGACCATGCGACATCGTCGTGTAGGCATTATTAACGACGTGTCGACAGTATTGGAGGACCTCGCAGTTTTGTATCGTGATCCAAACGTCACCCCTAAGTTCATTGATCCGAACCCGGTGCCCAAGGTAGACGAGAAGCCCCAAGCGAAAGACAAGAAACCATCAAAAGAAGAGCAAAGCAAGAAGACCGAGAAGAATCATAAGAATGGTAAGAGAGACCAAGAGGCGCAGGAACAAGATGAGGAGGTCAATGGTACTGCCAGTATAAGTGTGGCCAGGTCAGTGGAGTACTTCAGAGAGCTTGTTAATGTCGGCAACGATATGGGAGCATATAAATACCGCGACGATAAGAATGCTCGCAATTCGTGGCAAAACAGCCAGCACGGAGGAGTAGGCGAGCCTTATTATTATAACCCAGAAGGGTTCTCGACTTCGTTCTGGATTCTGGCTGAAGCTGGCCGTGAGATCTTTCGCCAGAAATGGGGTCACCAAGACTGTGACTTGGTGGAGGGTACAGCCTTGAAGTTAGAAGATCAGTGGCTCGTTGAGAAGGACTGGGAGGAAAAATGAGGAAGCGTTGGTGGACCGTACGGGTTAAAGCGTATAGCTGTCTTAGAGGCGTTCTGATTTTTAGGACGGATAGGATATTGCGATGATACCACCCTCTAGATCATAGATATCTAGCAGAAAATTAGACGTAATTACGTATATATAAAATAGTAATGCCATACCTCAAATACTGTTGCTATGGCTTTTTGTGAGTACACATCTAAGGCTGGGGAGTCCTCGTCCACGGTACGATCAGAGGGAATCTTTTTGGGGGCAGTACAGTTGTAATCTAAACTTAAAATACCTATGTAAATCGGGCCGGAACTTGCTTTTAGCGATATGACGATTGATGACGCAAGATTCGTCGTTCCTGAATTGAATATTGATCTGACATAAGACATTCTTGGACAAGTAAATGATTAGTAATTACAATGATATTGCCTCATTAACATCTACCCATATGGCATGGCAGCACGTGTGAATTACCTCTAATCCCTGTATAAAACAATTTGCGGGCAGCCAAAGGGATATCTTTAAATTTGTACGAATTTATTTATTCACTTCCGGAAGTGTTTTTAGATTCTTACTCTATTGGCTACATATCGGCTCCAGTCCATATCACTTTACCCATCTCAAACTAAACACATCCGTCCCCGCCTTAGAAATACCGACTTCAATACTCCCATCCTCACTACGTATACTTGTAGGGATCTTCTCCCCTTTCCTCTCCAATACGATCTTACCCGAAGCTTCAGGTAGCTGATAGAATCGCCGTCCGAATTTGCTCAAGAAGCCTTCTAACTTCTCCTGAGTCACGTCTTCTTCCGTGATCACCCCTCGCTCAATCGCCTCTTCGAGTGCTACTATGACTAGCTGCGTCACAAAGGGCTGCGTGTATACACCCGCCGGCGCTTTGCCCTGCGCAGCCGAAGTCTTGGATTGGAGGGGATGGGGAGCGCTGTCGCTTCCACTATAACGGCGATCAATATTCTAAGAATTTCTGGCGTTTTATAAGATGCTAATCAGCTGGATGAATAACTCACAAGAAGAACTTCGGATCACCGCTGACTACAGTCTTAACCAGCGCATCTCTATCTGTTGGCTTCTTTGGGATCGGCTTGCAGAAGGCAAAGGGGTCGCAGCAGGCGTCGTCGGAAGTAAGGTACAGGTGGTGAGCGGTGATCGTCGCACCGACGGTAGGTCCGCAAGCTCGCACGGCTTCTACGGCTGCTGCAGTAGTGCAGTGCTCGAGCACGATGCGCAGTTTTGGGAACCGCTCATGGAGCGTCTTAAGAGTTGGAAGAAATGCTTCTTCTAATGTTGTGTCTTTTGGCGCGAGAGACTCGAGGACCTCTCCATGCAGGTTTAGCACCAGCCCGTGCTTCTCCATGGCAGCGAAGGTATCGTAGAAGGACTCAAGGTTTGAGACGCCAGAGTCGGAGTTAGTGGTCACCCCTTGCGGATACATCTTCACACCTGTAATGCCAGCCGCGGCAGCTTGCGCAATGACATCTGGGGTAACAGACGGGTGAAGCTATTTGGTTGTCAGACGAATAACTATTTATAAGACCTAAGATATATCGGGAAGACTGACGAAAAGTGACATTAAAAAGTTGACATCTTTGGCGATTGCGCGTAGTTTAGATTGGTAGTCGAGCACCTTAGTTACAATTAGTCAATTGCCTACTCTGATGATGATGGCCTTCTGTCACTAAATTGGCCTGCTTATAAATACATACCTGTTCAACAGTGGTAAGGGGAGGCACCTGGTTCCAAATTCATTAGTATGTACTAACAGAAACATTTGATGATATTGACACAGCTATTTTAGAATTAATTGGAATGAGACGACACCAAGTGAGAAGTCCACATACAAGATTGGGCATGCTACATTCCATAGTCAGCTCACACAATAACCCTTCAGGAGCTTGGATGAGAAGCCATACACGAACGCGGTGTCCACCCCACCTTGGCGTACAGTAGGTACCATTAACTCCATCAATTCACCCTGGCGCAGATGAACATGCATGTCTGCCGTAGCCGGAAGCTCCAGCTGCTTAATACTTTTCAACTGCATTTTTATCAATTCGTCAATGCTGATTTGGCTTTGAAGGTTTGGTTTTTGATAGCGAGAAAAGCCCCGCAGATCTAGAAATGTTTTTTAGATGAAGTATGAGGGGTCCGTAGTGGGGTACCTAATCCCGGTATTATGGTTAGGCCTTGCCATTTTTGTGGGGGTCTCAGGAGTGGGGGCTCATTTTGGGGGAGGGAGGTTGGGGGCGTCTATTCTAGGTACATCCATAATAGGGGTATTTTAAAACCCCCGAATTTGCGGCTCTTGCTGTGTAAAGGTAAACAAGAAATTTAGGCAAGAATTTCTAGTCTTATATAACTGATATGTCATCATTTATCCATCGTGATGAGACTTGTTGACATTCATAGCAATAATAGGTTTCAGAATCAACTAGTTATCTCACCAACTGGCATGAGTCTTCAGCTAGGGATTAGAAGGTAGACTATGACTTGGTGGACTAGATCTAGTAAATTGAGGAGGCAATAGTATGAAAGGCAAATGGATTTACATTGTACCAGTTGTGCTAACAATGCTCTGAACTGCAAGTGGTGCTCTTGGTCAACTAGAGCCGAGCTTTTCCGGGTGTTCTACATTATAATCCCTGACTGAGGACTTACGCCGGTCCAGGAGATGCAGGTTGGCATTTGGTCTCTCACGCACCTACACCAAAGTGGTTTCTGCGGGGTTTTCAATGATATACCTCGTTGCAATCATTTAGCCGTTCACTGGAGAGTTATAATATGATCAATCATGATAACATTGGGTAAATCTACTCGTACCATAAAGCTTCAGACACTTCACCGGCCTAGAAAATGCTGTGATTAGAATGTTATGGATTGTTTTCCATCCACATCAGGAAAGTGTCACGTAGGTAGGTATCTAACTGATGATACCTCGCAGATTGTCACCGTGATGATGAGATGGCGCTTTTGATGGAACAGTATCATTCGTCCGTAGAGCATATGATACCACTTTCTTTTTGGTCGTCACACCACCCATCTTTGCTTTTTTTCCAAACAGTTGGTGCAAGATACAGTAGGAGATGTCATACTTAAGCTCGGATGAGGGTGGATAGAATTCCGGAGAGAAACACAAAAGTACATATAAACATTTTGAGCCATTTTTCTGTACAGATGAAATGTTCTGGTTGATAAATCATCGTATATACTGCTTCCAATACTATCTCTTAACATCATGATGGAATTTCTCAGAAGCATCATTCATATTAAACCGAAGACGCCGATTTCCCCAGAAGTTAGGGATATTATCACTAGCAAGAAACACCAGTACTGCCGATTTGCCGATACTAATCAGTGGCAAGATATGTTTAAGGTCGCGCTACCAGAAGCTACCTTCAGATTTACCAAGGCAGATGGTACTTTCATCAATGAAGATGGACAGGACTACAACTTCTCATCGACAGCTGAATTCATCAAATGTCTAGGAGGAAGGAATATGCAGGGTGTTCACCTGATTGGGCCAGGGGAGTTAGAGCAGACCAGTCCTGACGAGGTGAAAGCAATCTGGTCTCTCATCTATCACGCCGGCATGAAAGAATCAAATCTCGAACACAACACGGGTGGGGGATACTATTATGAAACTTGGCGGCGGAAAGGCAATGACTGGTTCATACAAGATTTGATGCTTGAAAGGACATACTTCCAAATTGTTGGGTAACTGATAAGATGTAGCCTTTCATCTCTGTTACGAAGCAGTGGTAGCCCAATTTTGAGGACGAGCTTCTATGCCTGCCTAGGTTAATACGCTAAGGACCTCGCAAGAATGGAAGGTTGCGAGCGTTGAAGTTATGGCTACGGCGGGCATCAACTATGGTTGGCTTCGGCTATCTTCTCAAAGACGAATTAGAAGAACATAGAGATTGAAATCTGGTATTTAATTTGACTGAGTAGGGGGGAATCTGAGGAAATGAAAGCTTTCTGTCGTAAGTCTAGTAGGTTAGCTAAAGCTGAGTCAAATATTAGAAATGTGGAAAAGGGGCGTCGAGGTGGGGGATGCTGCTATATAAAGAACAATATTGGATAGAAGATGGATAATTACACATGGAATTGAGTGACTGAATTTTCACCTGATTTTGGTGGTGGTTGTCGATGCTGTTAGAGGATTCGCTACATACCTTATTAGAACGAGTTCCATGCTTTCCATTGACCGTTAAACTAGAATCATATCTAGTAATTATCATGCGTCATGCCCGCCGAGCAGCGAACCCTTCTCCCTCTTCGTCCGTTTCAAGTCACGCGGAACCGTGATCATCTCCTGGTCCTCAATATTGCCTTGGGCGCCAGCATCGGCATTTCTTCCCTTTCTCTTTCTCTTTCCAATTTTCTCTGTCGGATGCGATCTTCCACGAGCCTGAGCGAGCTCTTCCTTGTGCGCCTCTTTAACCTTCTGCTTCCACTGCTTAGATCGTGGGATTGACGAGTTCTCCGCGCGCTGAAGGACTAGGCCTTCCATCATGTCGACAATTTGCTGGGGCTCGGTAGTAGTTTGCGGGAGAGCCAAGTGCGAATAGGGGGCGTAGTCACTCTGCGAGCTGCGGAGATAGTCAATCCACGTGTCGACGGCCTGGAAGAGAGATTCGTCGCAGGTATCAACATCAGGAGATTGTATGATTTTGAATGCGTGGTATTTCTCTCTGGCTTCGCTGATTTTCTGGACAAGTCTCTCAAGAAGAGTCTCGGTAATTTCCGCATCGTTCTTAGCCCAACTAACGTGCTGCTTGACGTCGGACCAAAAGTTGTCCCAGCCAAATTCGTTGATCACGTCCCGACGAGCATGGCAAGCTCGGTAAAGGTCTGTAAGTTCGACACGTATAGTCGATGCGATAAATTCTTTGCTTGGTATATCTCGGTAAAGAGCGGACTTCAGATCTCTGTTCCACACACAAGGCAGAAGAGGTGCGGGAACGAAGACAAACCCCGCTCTTCCGAGCACCTTCCTCAAGGATTTGCGAGGCGGCCACATGGTGGATGAGTTTACTAGTGGAGAGTGTCTCAAGTCTCCATGTATGGGAAGAATGTGTTTTGAAAAGGTTGATAGTTGTAGGTAGGAAAGTTGTGTGAGAAGTAAAGTTGAGTAGGTACCTATGCTCAAGTAATTTTTTTTTTTTTTTTTTTTTTTTTTGGATAGAGATAGCCTATGCTTCTGGTGACAGCTTGCGGATGAGACGTTTTTAAATTGAGAATGGTGGGTTGCTTTATGATACATGATAACATAGAGTTGATCACAACGACGTTGTCGAAGAATTCACAGAACGGAACATGAAGTTAGTCCACACGACTTGGTCACACGTCAAATTACCCATGAACTTTACCTACCTAACTGTTGTCCGCAATTTTATGTATATACGTACTTACTAATATAGGAATACTACTCTCATCAATACTGCCGAGAGATAATCTCTATGCTCAGTGCTTAGGTAACTAGTCCTTTGATTTATTCTAGGTATCTATTACATCAAGATATTTAAGAAGACTCTCTGGTGGCGTCCTTGCCTTGCTTAGGTCCTGATCGAACCTGGGCAGGCTCCAAGATCTCCTCTTGGGAAGGCGATACATCCCTAGACTCTTGAGAGATCTCTACGACTCGAGCCAAGTCGAATGCTGTTCAGTTATATAGCGGCGCAGGGCCTATAATACGTAAATACTGCTGGAGGATGGTCGCCACAACATATGAACACGAAGTCCTGTAACAAATATGTCTATTGGTTACCCAGTGAATCAGACCTGGAGTATCATACCTATTGTAGTGCGACATTTTCAATCCATGACTTGATCACCATTTTGTGATTAAATACCTACCCATCTGTCGACGATGGAATTATCACATATGTAGAACAAGAGCACAAGTTATAACCTACGCCCGGTACTACAACAATGCAAGTTTCAAGCTGATCACAAAGATCATGACTAGCTGGTGCACGGGATTCAATAATTGTGGTCTAGAAATGTTATTAATTCTGCAACAGAAATAAAACTAAAGCACATCTATCTAGGAGAATCACATTGCAGTTTAACCCCAACCCCAACCCCATGATTACCTAATCATAGGCCTAGGATCGGGGTTAGGGTAGGTAGATAACCCCTGACGGGTAGTTTTCCTATTCGTTATGGAGTCTGCCATCTCAGACCTGGTGCCAAGCCTTTGTGTTATCACAGCCGGCCACATTATTCAAGGGATTTGTGGATGTGGGGGTGGTAGGTATCTGATGATCGTCGAGCGTGAGTGCTCTGGATTTATCGGCATTATGTTCAGACCTCCTCTGTGGCTATTAATACTAGCCATTTTATAGGCGGGTTACTTGTTGGACGAGTCCCGTGGGTTGGCTATCTTATATCAACCTTCCTATTGCTGGTGCGGCTTGGATAGCCCTGAAGTTAGTTCTAAGGGTGCGTTACAGGAAGCTTAAATGCTTGGTTGGGTAGTAGTGCGTTTGCGTGGTGTTACTGCTGGAAATATGATGCCATTTACAACATCTTTCTATTATGCTATACTGCCAAGAAGCCATTGATACCTTATGTTCGAACATGGGAGTCCCGGAAGGACAACAAGGGACGATTTGTCAGAACCTTCAACGATTTCCACCATGTAAATAATTATCTATAGCACTGATGACATCTAAAGCAGGCCACAAGAATTTCAGACACCTAGTTCCTGGCATGAGGAGTACGTGTAATAGCGATACATAATCTTTGGAAATGTTTGATGGAGTCCCGAATACAAAGGTGTTCAATTCGGCTAGACTAGAAACAAATATCTTGATGATCCAACTCTAACAAGTTTGAAAACGAACAATAGTGCTCCCGATTAACCCATTTATGATAGCGGTGGCGATGTTAAAATGCATAAGGGCGGCTTAGATGATACAGAAGTCGCACGGTAGCGGACACGGGATGCAGAAGCAGAAGCGCCCCGGACAACAGGAGCTCCGGTCTCCACCGCGTAGGTTTCCGACCTCGGGCTGATCGGGCTGGGGACGTTGCGGATCTGCCGAGAGGGTTAGTGAATCGGTACGGTCAAAATGCAAAGGATTTCTTACCCATCGCCTGAAGAGCTATGGGTTGTGTGCTTTGAATCGACTGAGAAGCTGTCGGGCCGGCGGGTTGCGCGGCTTGGTTGTTGGAAGTCTCTGGCTGCGATGATGACGGCGACATATTTGATACGTAAAAAGTTGTTATCAGTTAACAGTAGGTATTGCGGTATTGCATAGGAATTGGGGAAGTATGTATGTTGAAGGTTGAAATGAAACCCTGAAAATGGCATCTGGAGTGAGCGGTGAGTACCTAGGTACATACTTACATCCATGTTTGGTGGCACCAGGTTCCGCGTAAGGCAATGACGTCACGTTTTATGCGCTTGCCCAACCACCTTTTATTTTAGCTCCTACTGCTCCTAGAACTTGACTTGAAGCTTCGTTGTCTAGTAGCTTGGTTTACGTAATTCAACAACAGTGGAAGTATTGGAAAGTACGGCCCGCATATTGAAGATCATATTGAGGCGATTACCTCTCGAATTAAAACCAGCAAAATACAAGATTTTTATTGCCCTCATCGTCTATGTAACTTAAAAATCCCGTTTTTTACAATGTACCAACCCTCAATCATGACTCATTAAGGCTCAAAACTGGTTTACATACCTGGTATCTACCTACATATCTATACGTCTGTCTTGATCCTATTCACTCTTCTGAAGTGAACCTCATCAATTATATATCAACCGCGGAAAGCCTCGCTTGCGTTGATCGTGGTGTTGGTGCTTCTTTCTCTTCCCTCGAAGGCTTAGCTATGTACATAACCTTTTGCTGGCTCGTTGGCATCGCACACGCTGCATCGCCGACAAGCACACATTTGCACGCCCATTCAATGCGATCTAGTTGTACAATCTCAAGGGGCTTTGCCCATTCTTTGCCTCCTGGATTTATAATAAAGCTGCATTAATACCTCACTATTACCTACTAACATTATAGTGACACTTTGAAGTAGCCAAGCCGCTATTGGGTTGCATTCCAGCCTCGAATTTTCATGACCACGCTGCGGTTTATGAAAAAGACTGCCGGTAATAGCTATCCTACACACCATAATTTCTAAAATTTCTTCAAAATTCCCCGTTGGCTTGTTCAGAAGGCTACGTTCTGTGTTTCAGGGTTATATACTGTAGGTACTATCCATGGACATCTACCTACTCCTAGTAACAAGCCTAACCTCCCAATACAACCAGGTGACACTCATGACGTGCGTCTCTCTCAACAATTCATGTCTTACTATTGCTTGATTGACAATGTGTCTATATCATTATAACATTTTACCAGGTATCATACCGGGAAATTTCTACGTTACAGGCCCTTCAACGAAGGCTCATCTACAATTAAAAATCAACTCCTCCACACTGTCCGTAATACTTCGAGGTAAACGAGAGCATAATTTAGGCAACTCTTTCTCTAGAAGACGGGCACTTGAATCAAACGCGGCTGTTCTTTCTCTTGTAAAATACCCGTTGAGTAAATAAGTACTCATTTTCTGTACATCCAATAATATATAAATATATGGTTACGAACCTGATGATTGAGTGTGAGAATACCCAATGAATTGTCTACCCACACCTTTGGCCGCTCGCTTAGGGAGAGCCTGTGGCTTGTTTCTGATACGCAATGTCACGAGGCGGAACCAAGAGGCAAGGGAAGAACGACGTTGTTGCGCGAAGGGCTCTAACCAATCCCTTCCAGGGGATGCAGTATACATACGTGAACCTTCCATTGTCTACAGCCAAGGGCCAACTGCCAACAGGGCGGCCTTGTACAGGCCGACTCCCGATCCTTCTGGGCTACTGGCTAACCCTGGCGAGACCTCTGACTACCAGCTCTCGCGGAGGAGGCTTCTGACACGCAATCTAATATCTCGTGACCACGGTCATCTAACGCTTGAAAATATCTTTTCGTTCGGATTAATTCGCTTTGCTTCGGCACGTCCGATGTCAAGGCAACTAGGTAGGTGTATGGTGAAGCACTCATGTTAAGAGGCTGTCAGGTTAATTCAAGCATGGATTGAGCTAAGTCAAACATCCTAGTCACGGACCACCCTTATTTGGACCGCCATTTTCCCATATAAAACCACTAAAATTCAACATTTGTAATTAATTTAACAAAATAAATATAAACATTCCGTTACAAGATATAAGTTCTTTATTAATTTTAATGTATATAATTTTAATTTTATAATTTTTATATTTTTTTAAAAGTGTTAAATTAAATAATAAAATTACGTTAATAATAATATATATAAAATACGTGAAAAATTATTAAAGGTTATAATTTTATAAATATTATATATATAAATTTTATTTTATTTTTAATTGTTAGGATTATAATACGTGGTTTCGATTAATAAATTAAAATTTTATAACCCGTACGATTTAAAATAAATTATTTTAATTTACCCTTACCGTTTACGTAATATAATTTTAATTTTATATATAATTAATTTAATTAATATATATTTTATACACGTTATTAATACATTATTTAAACTTTATTAATATTAATATTTTATTTAAAATTTAAAATATATAAATTTTATTAATATTAAATAAAAATTTTTTATTTTATTTTATTATATTTTAAAAACGAATTATTTTAAAAAAAATTAATATTTAAATATTATAAAATTTATATATTTTAAAATATAAAATTAAATAAAATTATTATAATTTAAATATTTTAAATATATATATTTTATTTATTAATTAATATAATAAAAATAAAAATAATTTTATATATATAATAAACGTTAAATTATAACTTTTAATAATTTTTTATATATTTTATATATATAAATATTAATATATTTTAATATTATTATTTTATTTATTTACGCAATAAAAAAAAATAAAAAAATTATATTATTTTTTTACTTATAATATCTAAATATTAATAATAAAATAAAATCTAGTCGTATATTTTTAAATAATTTATTTATTTAATTATAAGCATCGGAGTTAAGCCGTTTTATATGGGAAAATGGTGGTCCATGTGAGAGTGGTCCGTGACTAGGGTGTTCGACTTACCACATCCCGCATTATCACCCACTTCTTATTAGTCCAGATTGTGGAGGAGATGCATCAAGTCCGCATTGCGCATAAACACTACCCTTCTTCACCGAAGACGTGCTTTCCCAGTTAAACCAGCCTCATTAATAAGCATTATGTATCTTGCGTAATGGTGTTAAGCTTGTAGCTTCCTTCCCCTTTTTGCCAGTGGCTTGGTGAAGTGGAAGCCGCCCATCAATACTTATTCGCTAATCATTCCCTAGCATCAACACCCGAATAAACCCGTGTGCTAGGGGAAAGGCCTTGACCCTTTAACTCTCGAGACCCCTTTGTATTAACCACCTGCAGGTAGCGCTTTGGTGGGGCCGCCATGTGCCGTCGCCCCTGACACCATAATTCCACTTCTGTTTTCTTCAAATTCAGATCATATTCATATTCAAACACACACCGTGTTTATATCAGAACGTTCCCATATAGTACTTGATTAGCGAAGAATGTCATCGCCCACTCTTCATCCATCAACTGTACGTCGGACCTCTTGTCAGTTTCATCAAGTATCAGCATCACTCTCTTTATATCAGGTATCTTCCCATCCTGGACATTGGCAGCAGCCAAATTGACTTGGATACGCTGTGTGATTCCTGAAGGAAATGTTGTCCAATATTGTCGATTATCAAGGCATTCTTCGATGAACGCTATACTCATTGATAGACTCTTCATTGCGACGTATAGGGCAAGGGTCATCCAGGCTATCTGGCCGATATCGTCGATGTCGATGACGAAGGGCACTTGTGTAGAGAATCGCTCACGATATAAATCAGCGACCTTGGCCGGGATTCGGAAAGTCACGACCACGACGCTGATTGTTTCCACAGAGGAAAGAAAACCACTCTTGATCTTTCGACTTGCAGGTATGTCGTCCAGGATATCCAGGGCAAAATATTCGTCCGCATCCAGTATTAGATGCCGTGCATTTCCGATGAGACAGTCCGGTGACATCCAAAACGCATCAAGGTCGATGTCGCTGTGGATCATCAGAGAGTCGAGGTGAGGGTCCATATATGTTTGCATAGGTGTATGAGGCCAAGCGCTAATCTTTAGGGGACCTCGAATGATCTCCCACGCCTCGTAGCATGCTTGTGCCACCTTCATTCGAGTCACATCCATCTTGACTTTGAAGACGGCTAATTTCCCCCCCTGCGGTAAGGGGTCCTCGGAATCGAGTGGTTTGATCTCGAGAATTTCCTTGAACCTTGGCCCAGCAGCCAACTTCCAAATCATGATGCGAAGTTCAGCTGGTAACATCATAAAGGGATGGAAAGTTTGTGGCTCGGTTGAATTATGGCTAGTGTCCTGGTCTTCTCCGGAGGTGCAGTTCAGCTTGGGGAATAGGATTTTGCTTTGAGGGTCGTGATGGACAAGCGCCTTGGACGAGGCATGATCGGGTCCTTCCGTATTGGATGGGTCGGACGGGTCGGACATGTTAGTGGTGTTTTGGTGATATGACGGTATCTTAATGATGAGTGAGTTGCTTTGGAGGGCAAGGCGTTTTGTTGATCTACTTTCTAGGTAGATCAAGCTATATATATGTTGTTTTCTACCCTATCTTGAGTATTTACCCACCTAAGAAATTGTTGAAGTGTAACGCCTACCACGACGGGAGTCAGTGCACCAGCTCACGCCACCAAACTCAAGAGCAGACTGAATAGATCTTAATCGGTTACTATTACGTCCCCATAACAGACTGATATAACTCATAGGTTGGGTTGGTGAACATACTGATAGAACTCTAACCCACCGAGGTACTTAAGGGACGAGACTACAGCTTGAAGGTACCTACGTGACTGAACTTTAATATCCTTATTACTTATTCATGTGTATACCTGGATACCTAGTATTTACCATTGACATCCAGATATGCGTCTCAGTGTAATAGTAGGTAGAGGACGTTCAAAAAACCCCTGAACCATGATTATTAGTCATAACCACTGCCTTTCCCCTGTAAGTACCTATGTACATGACCTTGAATATACCTAGTCTTACACATAGTCCTCACGAAATGAATCACAAGCAAAGCTTGTATCTAGACTCATTCGATGATATCAATAATTGTTAAGAAAACTAATGTTTATCTGTGAATTAGGTGGTTAGATATCCAGGGTGGTCATTCAAGAGCGATATGTGTATATGAAAAGGGGTAGTGCCACAGAAACCCTAACCCCGTTCTGAGATAGCGTCCGCCCCATAAATCTTAACGCCCCACATGGGGTCTCAACTTTGTTTCCGGAACTTTACCTGCCAACCTCTCAGGTATCCATAACTTTAAATTTGGTACATAATTTGCTATGTTGAACCACATATAATGAGCTTGTTTCCATCAAATGTTCCATCAATTGATGTGTCGCAAGCTTCATCAAGCCCCATGCCTGGGCAAATCAAACCAAGTGATTGATTCTACGTTATTTCGTCCAATGTCGTGTCATCAAGCTTGTGGAACTTCAACTGCCAAGGTGAGGTCAGTTTACTTGGCTTACGGAAGTAGCCACTGACCTTTGCCTTGGCTACTGCAAGTAAAGCTTGAAAGTAAAGTTTGACATGCTATCCATCGTGCGAAGTCAAAAGGATTTAAGTTCATTATATTCGTCGGGCAATAACCTTTCGAAATCTAACGTCGGACAGTTTACTATCATCAAATCTTCATCTTCTACACCTACATATGTTCTACAACGCCACCTATAGCACCTAGGTACACTAGCCTCATTTCTAAACTCCCAAAAAGAACTCCTAAAGTGATGACGTAGGGACATCATCGCCACTATGACTACGGCCACCATGAAGCTCGCCGTCTTTTCAGCCAAACCCTACGACAAGAAGTACCTCACGAGTACCCGTTCCACGGAGCTCGACGGAGCTACCGACGTCGAGATCGTCTATCACGAATTTTCCCTGTCTCTCGAAACCGTGTCCCTGGCCAGGGGCGCCTCCGCCATCTGCGTGTTCGTGAACGACGACCTCGGCGCCGAAGTCCTCGAGTCGCTACACGCGAGTGGGGTCCGCGCTATCCTCCTACGGTGCGCCGGGTACAACAACGTCGATTTGCAGGCTGCTCAACGCCTCTCCCTCTTCGTCGCCAACGTCCCTTCGTATTCCCCCGAGGCCGTTGCTGAGTTTGCCGTGGCACAGATTCAAACCCTAAATCGGAATACCCACCGTGCCTATAACCGTGTTCGTGAAGGTAACTTTAGCCTCCAAGGTCTTTTAGGACGCACTTTGAATGGCAAGACGGTCGGTATAATCGGCACGGGACGTATCGGGGTCGCCTTCGCGCGCATCATGAATGGCTTCGGATGCCGACTTCTAGCTTTTGATCTCTACGAGAACGACGACTTCAAGAAGTACGGCACATACACCGACCTGGACGCCGTCCTCTCCGAGAGCGACTTCGTCAGCTTGCACTGCCCGCTGACGGACAAGACGCGGCAAATCATAAACGAAGAGTCCCTATCCAAGATGAAGGAGGGAGCCATGTTGGTGAATACGTCGCGAGGCGGTCTTATTAAGACGAAAGCCGTCATCGCGGCCCTCAAGAGCAAACGCTTGGGCGGGCTGGCGTTAGACGTATATGATGGCGAGGGCGCGCTCTTCTACAACGACCACTCGGGCCACATCATCGACGACGACGAGCTCATGCGTCTCACCACCTTCCATAATGTACTTGTGTGCGGTCACCAGGCCTTTTTCACCGAGGAGGCGCTGCGCGAGATTGCTGACGCCACGATTCGTAACTTGGCCGACTTCGTTCACGGGCGGAAGTGCGAGAACGGACTTATTCAGGACCACGGAAAGGGCGGGCTGTCTCTGGTTAGGAAGGACTCTGTTCCGATCCGGATTTAGAGGTTCTGGGTTCCGAGTCGTAGTTAAGTAGGTGAGAGATGGGGTAAGAGTAGCAGCATGCAATGGCTGTCTGCCGTCGTATTAAGTGGGGTTACAGATATATGGATTCCCACGCCACTCAGTCTGATTAGTTAGAATACTATCCAGTCGATATCACATTATGAATATACGATAGATATGATCTCTGGCTTCGTTATATTTCACTTCTAAATCACCTGTCTAGATTAACTCCCAACTGTCCATCTACCCAAATTCACACCCACCAACAAACCCCGTTCCTCATCTCGTGTAAACTCCATCAATAGTATAATCCTTCTTCGGCCCCTGAACCGTGTATCCCAACTTCCACTCCCTCAAGTTGACGGCCTTGAAGTTGAACTCGTAGTGCACATCGTACAAATCCTCAACACACAAGTGACTAGCCTTCGCGAGCCACCCCTTCCCATCTCCATCCTCATCGGAAGGAACCAAAAACTCCACCTCATGAAACAGATAATCCGCCCGCATCTGATCATCCGTCCGCGCAAACCACACGCTCAGCTTATCAGCCATCTCGTCGTAGCGCCACACATAGCGCCTCGTCGCGCGGAACTTCAGCCCCGGGTTATCGCGCGCCGTGAACGTCCCGTCTTCCTCGTACAAGTACTCCAACCCCAAACCTAGACCTAAGCCCGCTTCGGCTTCGGATACGCGCGAGGTGGGCAGTCCGTCCGCGGTCCCTTCGCGCAGGTGGAACCGCGCGACACCTTCGAAGCGGCCGCTCGGGTGCGAGGGGAGGCGCGAGCTTAGAGTCCGCGAGAGTCGCCATTCGCCTAGCAGGGAGCGGAATACGGCGCCTGCGACGAAGCGCGCGTGCGATAGCCCCGCGATGGCGGTTTCGCGCGTCGCGCGTAGGTTCGCGGTTATTTCCTCTTGTCGCTGTTGTTGCTGTTGCTCGGGAGGAGGAGAGGGGTAGGGGTACCGCGTCGGGGTAAGGATGTCCATGGCCTTGCCGTTGCCTAGGGGTGGGGTGTCGCCGAATGGGATGATGGGGATGGATAGGGCGCGCGCGAAGTCTTGCATTAAGAAGGTGTAGTCGCCCATGGGGAATTGGGAAGTGCGCGGGTCGGCGCGCAGGGATAGCGTTCGAGCAATGCTGTCGTCGGCTGTGAGGGCATCTTTCAGGGTTGGTGTGTTCGGAGCTGTCCATAAGCGTGCCATGAAGCGGGCTTGCATTTCCATGACGCCCCAGTACGGCGAGCGGTACATGCCGACGAAACCGAGGGTTGGTAGAGAAGGGTGGTGCGTCCCATGGAAGGCGAGGGCGACGGGAAGGTTGGGGTGCGAGGGGGAAAAGGAGATAGTCTCGAGGACTGAAGAAGGTAGAAAGGAGAGGGAAGGAGATGGGTCGAATCCTGTTGCTAGAACTACGGCGGCGATGTCAGAGATCTGCTCGTTGGCGGAGATGGTAGCAGTGTTTCCGGAAAGAGATGATAGCTTCCCCTTGCTGATTTTGATAAGACCTGATCGCACGAAGTCCGAGTAAAACTGACTCATGGCCAAGAATGGTTGCTCATCAAGTAGGTTGCCATCGATTTTTGCCTCAGATGAGAATTCGGATTGGTTGGTACCTAAAGCCGTTTGATATAACGAGTTAAAGATACGTGCTGTTTCAACGCTTATATGCCCTTGGGTGTTTGTTAAGGGATGGGGCCGGTTGGCCAGATTGTATGAAGGTAAGTCGCACGGGAGGAAGGGCGGTGCCGGTGACGCTGGCTATTGTGCTCATTAGTATTCATTTTAAAAGTACGCTCATGAATGGCGGTTGAAGTTGTCCATACCTTTGGAGAGGTAAAGAGCGGGAAGACCCACGATGGTCGCTGGACAACATGATGTATTGAATATTTGTCCGGTTCTTCAATGACCTTATCTCCCGATGAATGGACTGCTGATGACAGATGCGTTGCAATTGTTGCCGATATTTCTATCCCCGACATCTGACCGCCGATGACGAGGATCTTGCCCCCACGACGGTTAGATTTCTTTAGGAGGCCCTTTAGATCTCGATATTTGCTGCTATGAATAATCGGCACGTCCGCCTCTTTCGGCACATATTCCGGCCATATCGGTTTTCCGAAGAAGCCGGTAGTTACCAATAAGTAGTCAAATATGTCGGTCTTGGACACTCCAGCAGACTCAGTTTCTACCTTCCAAGAGCCATCACCCTGTAAGTCGGCTTTTACGACTTTGTGATCAAGCCGTATATTAGCACCTCCGTACTTGGATAGATATCGTTCTAGATATTGGCCCACTTGCCATGCCCTGGGGAATTGCGGATCGCTGTCCCGCCAAGCAAGATCGCTGAACTGAACCGTATGTTTACTCTGGTTGGTCACCATGAGTGGATGTACAAGGCCGTCAACATCGTCCTTATTTGTGGGCCAGAGCCCGCCGATTCGGGACTGAGCCTCAAAGATGGCGACATGGTATGAGCCCGGCGATGCATCGTGCAATAAAGTCTTCGCTGCTACGAGACCGGAGGGGCCAGCGCCTAGACTTCATATAAGCAAATCGAGAGTTTAGATCGGAGGGGGCGAAGCATTAGCTGTCCTACCGACGATACAGACGTTCTTAGCCATGTTCACGGTTAGGACAAGGGGCCGGGATGCGCCGTAGGACCTAGCAAGAATCGTGGGTACCCCGCAACGGGAGACGGCTCTGATGACCGGACGAAGCAGTTTTAATTCTGTAAAATGCCCGGCTTAATGATCAAACTCTAGGAAATTTACATGGATTCAGTCGTGACGAGGTTTGTTTATCTCACACTCAACAAAAATTGGCGCACATATCAACAATTAAGCAGACATAAATTAGGTAGTTAGTTACCAGGAATTACACTAGCACTAGTAGGTAGGTACTTTAGTATTACGAAATCCCACGTGAGTTTAAGTGGCGCATCAATAAAACGCCGAGCCCCGGCGCATATTGAAAAGGGGGTTTAATGAGTTTCCATCTCATGGGCTTTCCCTCAATGTTGCCATATATATGAAAGATTTTACTGCCTAGTTATATATATGGCGTCTCTTCCTGTTCGTCCCTTGATTCCTGAGGTCACTTAGCAGGATTTTGGACTCGTCTAACCATACGTTCTAGAACGGAGGCGAGAAAGGGGGTCTTGGATAGATCTTTCTCTTGCAGTGACTGCGGCAACTCTGTCGCGTAATCATGCCACCGACCGATACATGTCCAAGACATCATCCTAACATCTTGCTGTTCCCAGAGGTTACGCGCGCTACCGAATAAATTGATCCATATCTCAAATATGACCGTGTTCTCAAGTTTTGAATGACCAAGAGCCTACGGAACCCTACACTTTATTAGCCACCGCCACCTGCTATACTGAACCAGCGTGCTGGGTGGCGTTTAACGAGGGTTGAAATGTGGTCCGACGGCAACTTGCTGCAGGAAGTAATCTCAATGGGTACTTTGATCGATGGCGGCAAGTCACATGTAAGAAGCAGACACCCTACCCGAACAAGGTCTTTGGCTGTTAAAGAGTTCCCGCGGATGCTTCCGAATGTGCGGAGTCGACACGTGCTCCGGTGAGCACGACTATGGAAGTACTAGGTAGCCCGAGCAGGTTTCCGTTCGGTTTCGTTGCAGTTGTTCTGTTCTGCCATGAGTATCTTCGGATAGCATAGTCTGCTGGACAGTTTGCCATCCGAGGGAAGATGGACCTCAAAGACACTTTTGCATATTCAGTTTCCTCTCTTGGAATAACCAACGTTCACCGAATATGCTTAGGCCCGGGAAGGGTTGGTTCGATATATCCTGTTATAATTATTTCCAACATCACACTGTGTTAGCATCTTCTGGTCTTTGCATGGCGCATTTTGATGCTCGCGAGTTTTACCGGCCGAAGATACCTTCTCAAACAGTAGTGTTGTAAATTGAATTCCTTTGGGCAGGCTCGCGGGAAGCTAAACGGCATCAGCTTCCTCGTCGGAAAATATTATTTCGATGCACTTTCGTTAGGCCTCAGAATTCATCGACGTGCATCGGACAATCCTATCTTAAGAAGGTAAATAGGTAAATACCTGATGGAAAATTGCATTAGCACCAAGCTGTCCTACGCTGTAATCCTCGTCTAGAAAGGATGCGCAACATGGTATATCCAGGGACAATATCGGCACCCAAAATTGAAATTCAGACTTGTATGAGGATGCGTCAGCTAAAGTTATTTAACTTAGTCCTCCCGTGCGACAGAGGGATTCCAATAGGGAGCCGAAAAGCTGGAACAGCGGAGCCGCGAAATACAAGGTGGTTTAATGTCGCGTGAGTCTGGCTGTCATACAGGGCTGAATATCTGGCGTGGGAATGGACGCCAAAGATGCTGAATACCCGCAGCTAAATGAGAAGATGCGGTCAACGGTAGGGTCGTTCTGTCATTTCTTATTTCTTGATAGCTGGAACCTCATACGTTTATCGCACCGAATTCGGAGGTTTCTTTGATGCCGTTGTTTTGGTCACGATTTTAACACGATGATTTAGAGAAGTTTGATTTGAAATCCTAGGCGTACAGTAATTGAAGTTAAATGGTGGAGAACCCAGCAAACAAGGTTTACCAATCTGTTCGGTTGAAGTCTTATAACCCGTACCTGCTTGTATCTAGGTACCTGTGTAGCAAGTGGTTGGGGTAATCAGGGTAATTAGATCCTTTAGAGCGAGCTAACCCCACTGATCTTTGGTTGTCCTCATGCGGGGTAGCTCTATGATTTCCCTTTTTGTTGTAGTGTCGCGAAGAAAGTGTGGGTGTGATCAATGTGGCAGGGAATGAAAGTGCGATCATTGGATAATTGGTCAGTGGAAACAAGAGGGGCAAAAGTCCCTGATTCGGGACGACAAGCTCGAGTCCTTAGCTCCCGTCCTACCAACTAAATATTATTTGAGTCAATGTTTTATATTTTAACCTCATCGCCGCATAAATGAATCAAAAGAACTATTCACACAGATCTGACCTTAGAGAAAATGAGATCGGCGTGCCTTACATTTATCTCTAGTTGCTTATCTCCAATTGCTCTTCTCTCGGTATATCTTTAAGGATACGAATAATAGCACACTTGTGCGTGAATGCAAACATGCATGATTCACGATTCGCGATCCGTACTATTCCCAAATTGATTGACATGTGTTGCAAGATGCTTACATCATTCCCCTGTAGGACCGAATCTAAGACCTGCCAGAATTCTATGAAGAATTTTGTGGAATATGGTACCCTATAGTACCGAAAGAGTCTTCCGACCTCCCGTCGAACACAAAGACGGAAGAAACCATGGGATTATGCGAGGAGACTTCCTAAAGGTAAGTCTTAAGTGTCGCGAATTCAAAGGACTTTTAGTTTATTCGGCCGCAATGCGATGTTAGGTAATGCGGCTGATGTATTCGAAACGAGATTCTTCAGCAGGAATCCCACGCCATGACACCACAGAGCCAGTGCGAATCACTCGTCCCTGAATATGAGTCGCATAGCTAGGTATGTATACCTACCTCCCCATATTTGCCAATCTACTTGGTTGGAATATGCGACTCTGGAAATAATCGGGCACTACACTGTCGATATACACCATATTCCCAACATTGTTCCAAGCACAAAATCCTCCCTTCCGACGATGTGTATCGTACGACAACCACGTCAATATGGATACAACAAGATAGGAAATAGTAGCAACTAAACATGGTTTCGTTCAATTCGATCTAACGGGCACATTTATGGCCACTTTAAGGTGCGCCGGGGTTAAGGTACTTACATCCTACCAGGTATTCCCCTATAGTAGCTTCCCCGGTGCTTAGTGCCCTTGCTAGGCGTAAGCCCTATTAGTAAACGTGCGTCACAGGGGTCCTTCGTCTTGTCTTGGCCATTGTTAGGTCTTAGTCCACCGCCCACTTGGGCAGCTTCTGGAACGCTACCGTAGCAATAACACTAAAACCCATCTTCATCTTTCAAGGTTCTCACCTTGATCATCGCTTAGGAACAATAGTACTACATGGTAAACTTCAACGAATATCCCTTCATCACAAATCTGCTTGATCAGACAAACATTCATATCCATCCAACATCCACAGCATCGTCGCTAGGAAAACAAGCCGCAATGTCTTATTGGATACGTTGGTAGGTCCGACATACAGGGCCGTATCTTTGTCATCCCTCTTGGTACTCCCTTTCCACACAACGACAGATCCAGACAAACCAATATAATCGATGCATATACAATGCTAAGAATAAGAGGAATTTCGGTAAGCCATTATGGTTTTTATCTTTGGGTTGTGGGATTGGGCAGATAATGGCCCACCTTGACGAAGCCTGCTTCTGAAGCTCATACATAAGGTATGGATTTAAGATAAGTCAGTTATTATTGCCCCCCTCCAAAAAAACCGTCCCCATACTCTCCATTTAATAAACTGCCGATCCTTCTCCTCCATGCTTTCCTCCACATCATCCCGGTCCCTGTCATTACTTATTACAAACCTCCCTTCTCCCACTTATTGACCTCTGAAGCCCTGCGGCCGTTGTCATTCGGGCTATTAACGCCTTCCGTCTCCTACTGTCCACCACCGTCCACCACCGTCCGCCATCATACATAACGCCGGCAACTTCTTTCATATTCCTACGCGTACACCTAACATAAGTTCACACCCCGCCATATACCAGTCTTTTGTCAATCTCATTTCCCCTTTTTGGCCTCATCAATTCATTCCTATCCTCTCAATCCTTTGGTATCTCCTTGGATTGATTATCTTCGGTTTCGTGTATTATATCTGAGCCCAATTGATCGCACATATTGATTGTGCCGACCCTTAGTCCCGAGATCCGACGATGAGCAGGACGATATCTCTAAGATAGCATCGACTTCAGGCCTCGTCTCGTCCAATAAATTTTACTCAGCCTACTTCGTCGCAATAAAGTGAGTAAACCTAGACCAGTCATTTCTCCATACGGCGGAACACGACCTCGAAATACCATGAGCGACGTGGAGAAGCACTCCGCCTCGCGGGACTCTAGTAAAGAGGCAAATCATGTGGAATCCTTCGATGGTCTTCCTCCTGATCCAGATGCCCATCTTTCCCTTGAAGAAAGGGACAAGATAGTGAGTATTATCGCATTAATTCGATGCCTTTTCGCGATAGCTGACCATTATGTTAGGACAAAAAACTCATTCGAAAACTTGATTGGATATTAATACCTTGGGTAAGCTCATATTCATCGCGCGCGGTCGCGTCGCCCATGGCTGACATCAATCATCTCAGCTTTGCATTCTATATTTGCTTGCGTTCTTAGATCGGTCCAACATTGGCAACGCGAAAGTCGCGAATCTGCCGCAGGATTTGCATCTGAGGCTTCCAGATCAGTACAATGAAACACTTACGATTTTTTTCATTTCGTACTCGCTCTTCGAGCCTCTCACCAATGTTCTGCTAAAGAGGCTGCGGCCGTCCGTGTTCATCCCAATTATCATGTAAGTCTTAACTATGATTACCCGACTATCGGAATCCTAGCCGAAGGCAAACCAGCTAACGTCGTGACACCCTAGGGTGCTATGGGGTGCCTCAATGACAGGCATGGGCTTCGTATACAACTACTCCGGCCTAATGGCAGCGCGTTGGTTTCTCGGTCTGGCCGAGGCCGGGCTTTTCCCCGGTGTAAATTATTATCTATCATGTTGGTATCGCCGATCCGAGTTCGGCGTTCGTGCTGTAAGTCCACTCACTCCTCCTGTATTTCTCTGTTTCGATAGTAATGTCACTAACCTCTCTTAGGCTATTTTCTTCTCGGCAGCAGCTATTTCGGGTTCTTTCGGTGGTCTCCTTGCTGCCGCAATAGAATTGATGGACGGCATAGGTGGCCGACCCGGTTGGGCTTGGATCTTCATCTTGGAAGGACTCCTTACTGTGGTGTTTGGCGTCGCATCCTTCTGGATGGTGCATGACTTCCCTGATCAAGCCCGATTTCTCTCGGACGTGGACCGTATTCGCGTAGTCCGTCGACTCAAGCTGGACCAACAATCTTCGGCCGAACATGAAGAATGGAAAATAAGCTATCTCATTGCCGGGCTTAAAGATTGGAAGATGTGGCTTGGTATGGTTATCTACATGGGCTGCGACATGCCTCTATATGCCTTTTCGCTTTTCTTGCCCAGCATTATCCAGGAGCTAGGCTGGAGCACAAGTACCGTCCGCTCCCAACTTTTGAGCGTGCCGCCATATGCCGCGGCCGCTTTGCTGACCGTTGTCATTGGTTTTGTCGCCGATCGAACCCGTCAACGAGGTCTGTGCAATATCGTCGTCAGTTTCATCGGTATTGCTGGATTCTTGATGCTTCTCGCCTCGACCGACGCCAGGGTTAAATACGCTGGTACCTTCCTCGGCGCTTTAGGAATATATCCATGCATCTCCAATACCATCACCTGGATGGCAAACAATACTGAAGGAGTATATAAACGGGGCGTCGTGCTCGGTTTTGTGATTGGTTGGGGCAACTTGAACGGCATTGTCAGTTCAAACATCTACTACAACCCACCGCGATACCTTGAAGGCCACGGTATTATGGTCGCGTATATGACACTTTTTCTGTTAGGAGGCAGCGTGCTCATGACGACGCTACTTCGCATCGAGAACAAGAAGAGGCGCGAAGGCAAGCGCGATTACCGTATCGAGGGCAAGAGCGCGGCCGAAATCGAGGCCTTGGGTGATGCCAAACCTGACTTCATGTACACGGTCTGATGGAAAATTGGGTCGATATGGATGTATAGAATGGCGTGGCCGCGGGGTATGAAGATGCTCTGGATACCTTCCCTAACTTGTCTTGGTTGTCGACTGGGTTTAGTGTTGTATTAAAGGGGAAATGGGGGTGGTTTTTAGACCGGCACTATTTCTACGGACACGAATTACGATGCTCAAAACTGTCGGAAATGATGGCCTCGCAGCCTGGAAGTCAGAGGTAGTGGTATGGAAATGAGATTGTTAAATTATCGCCTTTATATATAATACACAGTCGCTCTGCTCGGTTATGGTCCTGTGGGCTCTCCTATTCTTGTCTTTGAGTAGGGATTATGGGTAGACGACGCCCTCGTGACATAAACGCCCAACGCTGACAATTACAGATTTCATAAGTCGTATTTTATCTGTGAGAGATACTCTAATAAATAAACGTGTAGAGATAAGGTCTCATGCACATTACTGCCACCCCCTTCCTCTCCTTCCTCAGCCCACCTATCCCCTTTTTTTTCGTTTTCCGGCATAATGATTCTTTTCGCCTCTCAGATCCTAACTTGTAATCCGTGAGAGCTTTGGAAATATGAAGACTGTATCACTGACATATCGACTTATGTTGTCTGTTTCCATCCAAGCGTCGGTACCATAATCTTAGGCATGAACTAGGCTAGTAATTAGCTAGTAGATATTTCACTAGTCTCTAGTAAAACATCAAATTGTCGGGGTAATTAATCATAATTACCTCCACACGATGTATAGCTCTTCCACAAACTATATATCACTGAGTGACGTTTGACTACCTATGTACTGTAAGACGCTGGAGAAAAGGTACAAATCTAGCGTCGTTGATAGATGGTCTACATAATCGTGTCGGTATGTAATCATTGTATTAAGCGCGCTTAACGGCTTTAACTCACTTCCCGTCCATTCCAGTAGCTTTTTCGAAATTTCGGTGCTTCGAGCCACGCTTGTCTCGCTAATTTGTATTTCTACGACCTTAAAATCATTTCTGCTCGCAATTTCGCGGCTAAGTACGGCCCATAGATGATATCTGACCCTATCAGACACCAGTTCATGGATAAGAGAGCAATGGATGTCATAAGGCGGACGAGCAAACTTCCTTTTTTAAAAAATTACAATACCCGTTCCAACCAAACCGGATTGTATATAAAGCTACTTCAAGCACTTATGTTTGAGCATGTCGAATTGGTTTTCTTCGTTCGGGGTCGTAGAATCTCCCTTCCCTGCAATGGCCGCAACATAGAGACCTATGGTACCTAGTTGCTACTTTGCTATGCGTAAAATCAGCGTTGCCTAGGATAATGGAGAACAAAATGGTCCTCGTAGCCTTCATTTCCGTTGTTCCTGACTTGAAGACGGGAAAATCAGGCCATCCCCCCTTAGCAATGGAGCCGGCTACGCACTTCACAGTATTATTTCTGAACGATATGAGGCCCAAGTCGAAAAGCTGAATATTATCGAGTTTGAGCACTGCTATGAGTTTTCATACTCGTCATTGGAAGTGGCTCATTCTTAATACACTCGGGTATCTTCTTTGTTTTCTCGTCTGTGGGAGAACTGAGAGATAGATACGTACATATATACATACGCAAGATTAGAAACATACCACGCAAGTTCGACAGACTGGCCTACCAAGGCTGCTTGTGAACCTTAGAAAGGCCCACTCGTATTTTACCACAAAAGCTGGGCGATGTGAGCCTTTGCTTAAAACTCGGGGATGAGGAAATCGATAATGAGAATAATGAGAATACCAACACTATAGCGCTGACCGCCGCGATTTCAGTGGCTATATACGGGATAGATCTGAGTAGGTGGTTGACTACGGCAGTGATAGCAATCTTTTATTGCGGTGTTTTTGATGGCAAACAGGGCAATCTAGCACAGGTAATTTCCACATGTAGGTTGGGGGCTTGCTTGGATATGCTCTCAAGGTCGTAATGTTCTTTAGAATGCTAAAGTAATGATATGATCGACATCTTGAGGACTCTTGGGTTTACTGACGAATGTTTTCCCAAAGAATGAACATCGTTGTAGTGTTTAAGTAGTCTTGACAGGACGGCCCCATATCTGTGAATTTGAAAACATTGATTGTTCATATAACTCTCGTCAATCTCCTTGATACTCCGTCTATGTTCCTGAGAGTATTTACACCACTCTCGGTTGTTAGTTCTGTGACTTCATTAAGTATCTACACATATTTTTCTTTGGTCGTAGGTAAATCTTTTACGCATCATTACATCAAACATCCCTGATACTTTCCCTTACACAATTCTGATTTACCTAAATACATCCATTGATTACCTATACAATACCCAGCCTCTAAGCATTCCAGACTCAACCATTCGATCCTGACACTGTCACAGAGCCCAGCATGGCCACAACTTATCAGCGGGTATTTGCAGTGGGAAATATGTCAAGAAGTTCAGATATCGCGACAGGCTGATAATTTACCGAAATTCCGAGCTGTTGGAAAGCGATGGCTTCATACTGGACTGGGAGACCATCCCTTCATCCCATTACTTGCGGAAGTAAGTCTGTTCTCGACTGAGACGTGTCATGCGACCTCGCTTCCACTATTACAGTCTCCTTAACGTCGACTCCCACGGACTCGTTTTCGACGTACTAAACGGCTGTCGTAAAAGCTAACGGCTCTGTCATTTCCTTTAGGTCATATCATGAAGAAGATAGCATATATACCGCCACCTATTCTTTCGTTTGCTACTTTCTCTCGCTATATCGCCATATCGCCATATCGACTTAACTACCAACATAAGCGGATGATATCAGTATCATTATTCAAGGAATTCTCACTGTCGTACATATACATGCGGCGGATACAACCTTATTCCCTTCGCCTTGTGGACCCGACCGCGGCATAATCATTACGAACACTCGATATAATCATAGGAAGACACCCAATGTGTTATGAGCATAATTGCACATAACTATCGAAAAGAACATAAATCTCTACTTTGATCCCGGAACTCTACCATATAACAAGGTGATCGAGTGAGGTTATCGTTCCATTTCAGCGCCAAGCAATGCCTTATACAGTTAGGGATTCCGGGTTCAGGGTCATTGGCCAGGTCAAGGGTTCTTGATTCGGTTGACTTGCCAAGGCTATCACAAGCAATTTCCAAGTTATTTCCAAGAACGGGTTGATATTCAAAATTGGCAGCCACGGGTGAAGTTATAAAAGGTAGATCGCACGCCCCAGTAGTTTAATATATTGTTCAACCAATCATACCGCTTGATAGCAATGCTACCCACCACAAACGGTAATAATCTTAGCGCTGAACTTACTTTCCCCATGGGCAAATACGTCCATGGGTCACACAGCGGGGGCTCTTGCTAACATTTAGGGCTCTAAGTCAGCAGCTAGTGGATACATGGAAGTAGATACACGAATACTTTATTTGCGCGAAGTAAACGACAAACCCTTTCTCCTAACACAACGCCTAAGATATCGTTACGAGGTATCAGCGACATGATATATTTGCAACCTTCAGAGTCGGAGCTCGGTGTACAGCCCGAATATTGCACTCGAAACATCGATTACGATAGGCTCGGAAAGTCGGGTCTAAGTCAGTCGCAGAAAACCGGAAATGTTGCGAAAAACATTGTCGCTAAATGCAATCTTCCATAGGCGCTGAAGTAGGTAACCTTGAGGTTATCTTAGACAACTAATTCCGTGACCGAGACTTTTGTCGCCGCATGGATTTGGTTGGGCCAGCACCTCGAAGCGGCAGTACTTAGCCTCGGTGCATTTCATTGAGATATGAGAGCCTTTCGCCATTGGGCCGCTGTTGCAGCCTGCGTCATGCAGTGTAGCAAACAGTCGCCCGTCGCCCGTCACTCTCGTTCAATAATACCCTTTGTTCACCGCGGTCCTCTTTCTCCTCCGCATTTCGAATATTCCTATGACTTGAGCTATTGGAGGTTCTTCAACCCCGGTTCAGTTAGGATCAACGAAAACTCGGCAGTCAGCTAATAGTCCGAGAGCCTACCAGCTAGTAGTAGCTTCAGGGCACCGTCTAAGAGTAATTTACCATGTCCATCCTAGACGATTTACATGCAGGGAATTGCCCTGTCATATATCGTTCCGATCAAACCAGGCTTTTCTAACCCGCGCCAACGCCCCTGCATCCAACCTCCAACGATCCACGTGGAGAAAAATTGCAAGACAGACGGGATGGATTTTCGCAAATTGGGGAATCTCTTATGTCTCCAAATCTTCATCTTGTCCGTTACACCGCCCAGGAGTTTGCTCTCCGCCGCTGTCTACTAGACAAAGGATTTACAAGCAGGTAAGGCAGCCACTCGCCCGATTGTTCTAGATTATAAGCCCCACGATTACTAGATAAACCAGTCTAAGCCTTCCAAGCCTACCTTCCAATCCTACATTGCACTTTTATATGTGCTTATAGTTGCATGTAGCTACTTCTTCGGTAACCTTCTTTAGTATTATTTGGTGAGGCCCGCCGGAATATGCAGGCTACGGCGACCTGCGGGGGACTTTATGTTCGATGCAGATATTGCGTTATATATCTCCTTAGTCACCAAACTACTTTCAATGCCCTGGGTAGCTCCCATTCTGGCAATACGTCCATGATAATTCTGTTCGTAGGTACGGATCAAAGTCGCCCTTACTTCCACCCATCTGCATGGCGTTTCTTGCGGCAAGCTCAAACGAGTTTTATTCGGCAAAACAATTGGCGCACACATATGTAGCACTGCATTAGGATCTTCTAGAAGGAATATGTCCTTTGAACTCTTTAGGCTCTTTGGTAAGGCTGTAGATGATTTAATACTATTCAAGCTTTTAGACTGCCCGGGAGCCTCATATCTCAACACATCTATCATACGAACATTAAACATTGTCGTGGAGGTTTCACAGAATCTAGCTCTCCTAAACCAGATACGAACGATTCTCTTATTCTCCACCTGGTATTCTCCTTTTCCTCGGGTAACATCACTTGCTGTACAACATTATAGATTACTGGAAGGTCTGAGTCTGGCTTCTGGGAATTATGGAAGGGTCCGATAAATTATTACCCATATTGCTGCTACCAACCTACCAGTAACCCGACTGGGAAAGGAGGGACATCAGCGTGGCCTGTCCGAACCTGCCTTTCCCGTCTGCCACGAGACGTATAGTCATGTACCCACCTCATGGCCCATTACCTCTCTCAATACTCCTGCACGTTGCTCCTACGTCAGCTCCCTCCTGTCATAATTGTTGAAGCAGACCACCTGAGCATGCAGCCACTGGCGTGGCTTATATACGACTAGCAAGCGAAGGTTGCGGATACATGCGTGTATTGGCTTTTTCTAACTCACTTCCATTAAACTTCGATATTACTCGCGATATAACTCTCCTATCCACGGGCACTTGGACCAATAACTCAAATGCAATTCCTAAATCGACCTATGTCCGCGAGCTTGTCAAATTTTGAGTCATCCACTATCTGGTGCTCTTTCAATACCTAGGTGATCTCTAGGGCTCCCAAACCAGCTATGTGGTCTACCTAGAAAGTACCTCAAGTATCCTCCATATATCAGTTTTGTTTCCGTCCCATATACCCTCCCACCCAACCCACCAACGACACCGTCCACCGAACCTTCATCTTCAAACTCCTTTCGATTATCAACAGTTTTCCATTACGATTTTCATTTGTCCTGAGAAATACATGCACATTCTACCTAATTCATTTTTTGTTCCTAAATAAGTCACCGACTATTCATTTACACACATCCCCATTTCATACTCGACCGCCTGTCTTCAAGAACCTACTATCCCATTACAACCCTACCTGGAATGGTAGTATCTCGAATATCCCACCCGTTCATATCTACCCAATCGCCGTGTATGAATAGAGGAGGGACCTACGTAACCGTAGCCTAACAATTCCTTTTATTCGTCCATGGCATAGGCACGTTGACATCCGCTGGATTACTTAACCTTTCCTACGAACTAGATAATCCATCAAACTTACACCAGGGGAGAGCTGTTTAGACGGAATTTCCCTAACCGGTGTAATATCATTCATCCGATATTCCTATGACCACCGATCCATCCTAACCAAGTCACGATAACCGTGATGGGTGGTATAATACGCACGGATCCCGATGGCAGCGGAGAGGTGGTCGCGCCTGGAGCGCTTACAAGACAACACATCGAGACCATCGTGGTATTCGAAAGACTGGGTGCCGCCTTGTCGGTCACCGGCGTCCTCTTGATTTTCATCGCCTACGCTTTTCTTAAGCGACTCCGATCCGTGCCGAATACCTTCATTCTATTTGCATCTTTCGCGAACCTCGGAGCTAGCATTGCCTGCTTGATGGGATACTCAGGAGTTCTGGCAGGATCTAACAGCCACCTATGCCAGGCTCAGGCCTTCATGTTTGAACTGTGAGTTTGCTATCGATTCCCCCTGATACGCGGATCCACAAAAGGGTCACGAGTACCGACGAACTTGAGCTAATGCGCTCTCAGATTTATGCAATCAGATCCATGGTGGTCTTTTGCCATGGCAGTCAATGTATACATGGTATTCTTCTTCTCCGCGAACCCCAACAGTTTTCTTCGTTACTGGTGGGCCTATTTCTTGGTTTGTTATGGTATCCCATTCATACCCTCCTTATGGCTACTAGTGGTGCGCGGCGGCGATGGGCAGAACGTATACGGTAATGCAACGGTAAGCCCGGACCCCCTCATCTTTACATTTCTGTCTCTTTGTCGTGATATGTACTAACAAAACCCTCAGATTTGGTGTTGGATAGATAAGGACTGGTCCAACTTGCGAATCTATACTTATTACCTCCCTATATGGGTCTGTATCATCCTCTCGACTTGCATCTACGTTGCGGTTGGTTATTATGTGTTCAAACAACGTAATCAACTCCGCAACCTATCGCTGAGCAACCCTGCCCGCGATGTGCCGACCGCGCGTGATTCAGGAGAGAAGGCAAGCCCCAACCCCGCACAACACCAGACATCAGAACCAGATAACTAACTAAGTCAGCAGACTCTATTCGGAAACGCAGCCATTATGGGTAGCATCAACCGGGAAGTAGTACAAGTAACCACCGTCAACTCGTCAACCGCGCACCCCATCTCCGGCCCCTCATCCTCCAGCGCCACCGCCACCGCCGCGCCACCGCAGAACTGGTTCGACGGCCCTCCCGACAACCAATCGTACTTCGACGGGCCCGCGACGCCCATCTCGGCAGCAGCGGCGAACCCGTACCAGACGACGGTGACGCAGATCAGCGCGGACCCGGCGCCGCGCACGGGCCTGCGGGCCCGCGCCCGCGAGAACTGGCGGCGCTGGCGCGCGCGCCTCGACCACATGGACCAGGTGAAGCTGGCGTACCTGCGCACGTCGTTCGTGTTCGCGATCAGCGTGTTCGTGACGTGGACGCCGAGCAGCATCAACCGCGTGCACGACCTCGTCTACGCCGAGACCGCTAGCTTCGCGCTCAACCTGGCCAGCGCCGTCGTGCTGCCGCTCCAGGGCGTCTGGAACGCGGTTATCTTCTTCTCGACGTCGTGGACGGCGTTGCGCGGCGAGGTGCGCGATCGTAGGGATGCGAGGCGCGGGATCCCTAGGGGCTTGAGGGATGCGAATGCCGTCAGGGATGAGCGCGATCGCGATCGCGCGCTGGAGTTGGAGAGGAGGCGGACGAATAAGATGGGGAAGGGACATCATGATGATGCGGGTAGTGAGATTAGTACTGAGAGCACGATTGCTGGGACTGTGGTCAGCGGGGGCGCGGTTAGGGTTATGCGAGGCGGTTCGCTGACTAGTCTTTGAACGTGTCTACTATTAGGGGTACTCGGGACGGAGAAATCCTCTCACGTGGTGAACGACAACTACCTACGTTATTTGCGTTACGACGGATATTAGGGGTTCGAATGGACACATGGATCGAAGGCGGATGCATATTCCTTATCCACGCTACTAGTAGGTGGGTACTGGATAAGTGTACCTACCTATTTACTCCAGAGGGTTTGGTGTAGGTATCGGTCGGCGCAGTGTGTACCCAGGTCAGTCAGTCAGTCCGCGGTTATTCGACGTGCGGTTTTCGATTCGGGTCAGGAACCGCAAGTTCGAATAAGGGGGTGTTTGGCTAAGGCGGGCCTAATAGTCCGCCACTTGTCTGTTGAATGGATGTAGGGTATACAGGTCTGTAGGATACCTCTATTGAGGTCAATGAAGATAAATGCAAATCCGCCTTGCGTCCGCGTAAACGCATCATTGCAGTCTTTGAGTAACTTGGAATAGCTTGTTTATCTCATACTTGGGCTTAATGGGAGAAACTATATTGTTTTCTCTGTGCCATTCACTCTATGATGCTTTATACCTTCCCCATGTGTTTCGGTTTTTTTTTTTTTTTTTTTTTTTTTTTTTTTTTTTTTTGGTTCATATAGTGGGCGAATTTTGAGATGCCACTCCTTTTCCCTCGTGCTCCGACAGAGACGTAAACCCTGAGAATTTTGACGTCTTCCCATTGGAGATTATATACGATGTTATAGCCTAGTTTCATACTAATTTTGGCTACGACCTAAACTCATAGCCAGCAGCCCTGTCACTATAATCCTCATAAATTGGGTCTCGGGGTTGAGTTAACTGACGCGGATTTAACCACAAACTCCATGTCCGCAATGTTCTATAAGTACTCTACACATAATTGCGAGATGGATTTAATGATTATAGAAATCTATCAGAGGGTTAGGAACTGAGCTAACTTAAATCATTATTTACATTATCCGGGAGTGTCACAAGTGGAAATTCCTTGTTTGCCAAGCAACCGTATCGGCTCGATCATCACGATATTCTCCACCATGAGTCTAAGCAGGAAACCGCTCACTATGGTCTGTGGCAAAGAGGTCGGCCCTGTTGGGTTTGGCTTGCTAGGTAATTAATATAAGTCATTGAGTGTACTATGGCTACGAAGAAAGGTACCAGGCTAATATTATTTGATCTAGGTATGACGAAGCCATGGGCGCCCGTCGAATACCCCGTAGCAATTAAAGTAATGAAGGCGGCTTTGGAACAAGGCGCAAACCTCTGGAATGGTGTAAGTGTGATTTCAGAAAAGGCTCTTTAGGGGTTTCCTGTTCGGTCTGCGTGTTCAAGGTTAACTGGAATGCAGGGAATTCACTATGGTACACCTGAGGCCAACTCCTTGCATCTGCTGAAGTATTACTTCGAACAATACCCTGAGGATGCCAGCAAGGTTGTCATAAGTATTAAAGGATGTTTCACTTTCGATAACGGGCCAGACGGAAGCCCAGAAGGAATCCGCGCAGCTGTAGAAGAAGCTGTCAGAGTGTTAGGTGGCACCAAGACCATCGACGTCTTTGAACTCGCACGAGTCGACCCTAAAGTCCCCATAGAGACATCCGTAAAAGCCATGGCCGAACTGGTCAAGGAGGGAAAGATTGGCGGAATTGGCCTGAGTGAGGTTAGCGCTACCACGATCCGGAAAGTACAAGCTATTCATCCTATCTCTGCCGTCGAGATTGAGATGAGCTTGTTTACCCCCGATCCATTGCGTAATGGCATCTCAGATACGTGTCATGAGCGTATGTAATTTGATTATTCGTGAAAGGGAGAATATTGACCCACTAACGACATGATATAACAGTTGGGATTCCCATGGTGGCATATACCCCAGTTGGACGTGGCTTGCTCACGGGCGCGTTCCGTACGCACGATGATCTTCCGAAGGACGGTTTTTGGCGTACGCTCCCGCGGTTCCAGCCTGAGGCTTTCGATCAAAACATTAAGCTCGTCCAGGCAGTGGAGCAGATAGCCAAGCGCAAGGGTGTAACAACCGGACAAGTAGCCATTGGCTGGGTGGTAGCTGTTGGCGCTATCCCTATTCCTGGGACTACAAGACTTGAGCGAGCCATCGAGAACACCAAGGCTGCCTCACTGACAGATGAAGATTTGGCTGAGATCCAGAAGATCATTGATACCCTACCTATCTGCGGGGAGCGATATGGTGGTTGGATGGAAAAGTACAATAATGCATAACAATGCTTTATCTTTTGCAGGGGTTAGTGTGTGCTAAAGTTGAAGGTATCTAATCACACATGGGGAGTGATTTGGTTAAGATATTTATGTTGCTTGATGTTATTAACATAGGTAGTCTTCCACATAAAAGAGCGAGATTACCCCTGAATGAAAATCCAAAGCCAACCTTGAGACGAATTTTAAATACATCCACAATATAATATCTCTACCAGTTCCCTACCTACTATCACAGGACTATTTTAGACAATTTTTACATCATTTCTCATCTGGCGTCTCCAATAGAAACCGCTTTCTAAGGCAAGGGTTTCAATCAGGGTCGAATCATGTTTTCTCTCTCTTTTTTAGAAGAAATAAAAGCTCATACGAAATAATAATTTTACTTCATACTTGAGAATTTACTATAGAATAAGAAATCCGTTTTCCCGCACACTTCAAGTAACATATAGCTTCAATGATACGAAGTTATGTCATCAAAAGGTACATTATTTCATAAAGCCCTACTAAGAACCAGGACTGGACCACCGTAGTCATAAGGTAGAAAATATTGATAGTAGAGCCAAATCTATCCTAGGAGAACACATGAGTGAGTAAAATCTATAGCCCAACCGTAGCTTCATAAAAATATTATTCCCTCCATACCGTGACCGTGAGACTGGACAACGCCGTAGAATCAATCAGTAGTTATAAAAAAGCCGGCTAAAACCATATAAATAGCTTTATCCAGGTCGTTGGTCTGTCGATTCTGTTTTTGCAACGAGGCTTTCCGGTATAGGAGCTGATTCTAGGATAGTAGGGTCTTTGCGGAATTCTGGACTCTGTACTACTCCTTTAATGACAGCTAGGACATTCCTTTCTATAACGCTCACGGGACCATCCGGCTTGCCAGGAGCAGACATGACTTTGCATAGATAGCGGAGCGCACTCTTCATTGCTCGTTCCTTCATCTCGAGGGCTCCCGGGCCGCTAACATCGACCGCCTGGGTAATAAGGGCTGGAATGTACGTGACTTGCACTGCTGGCTCGGCGACAGAACCATCTATGTTGAGCGATTTCCGCAGAGATTTCCTTACGTCGTCTTCAAGGGATGTCCATACGCGGTTATACAGTTCGGCAGTTTTTAGATCGGCGACACTGCCCATACATAAGAGTCGCGCGAGAGCCCGATCGTCTTCCACATTGAGATCGAGCGGCCGAAATTTCTTTTCGATGAGCAGGTTAAGCCGACGCGTCAATACTAAGTCGTAACCTGCGCGCAAACTCAAACCCTCCGAAATCATGCCCATTCCCACATCGTACACAGTGCGGTAAGCGTCGAAGTTGGACTGAGTCAGCTTTTTTGCGCAAGTCCAGTCCAGATGACCAGCGGCGCCCGCGATGTCTAGCAGCTGCTCCTCAAATCGAAGCCGGAAACTTCGCGGGTGACCTCTCATCGTCGCGAGACCCGCTAGGCATGCAGGCGCATTCTCTGCTTGGGCTAATTGTCCAAAGTTGAATTCGGCTCCCAGTTCCATGCCGCGAATGATATCATCTCTGTCTTCTTGCGAAAGACGGCATCTGGTGTCGGTAGGATTTAGGCACTTGACAAGGCCGGCTCTGACTGCCTTTATGAGGATCATATCATGGTTCTGGTTAGCGATATTCTCGCCAGTTTCTTTCTCGTAGTCCAAAGCAAGCTGGTCGTCCTTCCCTATATCATTCACCACTATAGAAGTAATAAGGGCATAGAGCTCATTTGGATATGATGGATTTAGAAGCGATTCTTTGTAGAATGTACGCATCCATTCAAATGATTTGCGAGATAGTTTCAGCGCTTCAGCTTGGTTTGCGATCAGGGTATCGTATTGTCCGTTCCAAGTCCACTTCAAGGTGAGAAGTCCAGTAAGGGTGCGATTGACCTCGTCGTAGTCTCGTCCATATAAATATACCGAAGGCGACTCGGATGATGGTCTAGTGTCATCTACGCCGCCGACAGAGTAGGCGCGCATAAGACGGCCCAGTTCATCCTTAAAGTCGCCATAGATGAGAGACAAGAGGCTTTCATCAGACAGCGCAAACAGGGTATTAGGATTGCGAGATAGTTCGTAGAGGGCATTAGAGGGGGAAGACATCTTCAGAATTTGCTATATCAAAAGCGAGAGTGAAGAGAGGCTCGGGGGCTTCCCCTACATGTATGTCATAGGTATGGTAATAGTATCGAGAGCCTAATACCCTGGTCCTACCTCAAGGTGGGCTATGCCAGACAGATGGGCAAACCTGCAGGGATCTCTGTGGCTTGTGGCTTATCAGCTGAGATAAAGATTTAAGCATTTGCAGGGGATGATTTTACGATTAGCACGGGAAAATCTACTTCATTTATCAGTTTAGCGAGCTCACCTCACCAGCTCGCCACAGCTGGGAACAGCTGCGGCTGTCCCCTATTAAGAGTCAGGTAAGGGGTACGAGTTTCAAGCAAACTCCGAGAAGTCAAACAGCTGCGCTAATCATTTGATTTATATGTGAATCCTACCTAAGTTCTACAATTTAACCGATTATTAATCTATGACATTGCATTGTGGACATCAACTCGCAAACCTGAATCATAGGTATTCAAGACCTACATGTTCCCGCGTCAGATGATTTTGAAAATTCTCATACATGTTGGAAATTCAAGTCATTTAAACAGGTGATTCATGCAGCTTGTGATCACCAACTTCATGAATGGACAGGACTAAGCGATGTCGTGACCGCAATACTCATTTCGAGGGTAGAAGCTTCGCTAATTCCTCCCCGGAACCAACTAAGGCAGCTTTTGAGATAGGGGGCATCGTTCAGCTTTTGATTGGTCAATATTGGATGGCGCAGTTTTTCAGGCGCCTTTTAGGGCTCCCCTTTCAATTTAGGGCTCCCCTTTCAAACCAACACTATCAACTGCCACCCAACAACCTTAGCGATTACCTGAAGGATCCATTTTCAACTCATCAGCCCATCTCCATTTTACATCTAAATGGAAAATCGGTATCGTCACTCATTCTACTATGTCGTCTAGCTTATTCGCTATTGGTGCCACCAACGACCCAGCTTCTCATCCGCAACGCCCAGATACTCAATTTCCGTTAGTCCTAATTGAGTCAAAGATACCACAGGCAACAAATTTGCGGGCGCCATCACTAGCATCTCTAGGAAACGAAACCATTTCAATAATAGCAGACTTTTTACAGAGCACAAGCCCCCAGATGATCTCTTCACTAACGTTGGTGTCCTCAGCTTATTATCGCATCGCTAAATGCGCTCAGCATTGAGAAGTAATTCTCATTGATTCAATTGCAAAATGGGAATATGTTGAGGAGTGGAATCCCCGAAGCTGTTCGGAAGTTGGAGGTCCGCGGCAATGGGAGTGGCGAATTCTCGTCTCAACCATTTGGGCATGCAAGCTCATCCAGGACCATGAAGGAAAATGGTGCCGGGAGACTATCAATGTTGACACGCTGATCAAAATCTGCGACCAGTGTCCAGAAAATTATCGAAAATTTGAGGTTGGATATCTCTCGAAATCGTTACTGGCCATATGGAATGCTAAAAATACTCGCGAGCTTCATTTCTCTCAGTTCTTTAACTATATGGTTCTAGCTCGGAACAACAAATAGGAGTGAACCTATTCAACATTACGTCGCCTTCTCAGCCGCTGGGAAGCTACCTACCTATTTAGGTGCCTACGTGAGCACACTACCAGTCAGAATACTTGTCTGCGAAGGGTAACATTCATGTCCGGCTCACCACCTGGATCCGGTATTGGTTTGCTATCCAATAACGCCTTTTGGGCATCATCTAACTTGTCTACTTTCGTCTGTAGCCTCTCCGATAGAGACCGTGACGGTAAAAATAATATTTTCAATGTCTAACGTACAAAGCTAGGTAGGTCAGGATCAAAATGAGTATCTTCGGAGATTCGATGCTGGAGAGAAGCATCTAGGGATTCCTTCATACTTTCGCCAACCGCTTCTAGTCACACGTGATGGTCCTATCCCTTTACCAGAGTGGGGACAGGTATGGTCATGCTTTTAGTACGAGCTCTCGAAGATCCAGTTATATAAAATAAATGGAAAGAATTTAATCAAAACACGAGGATATTACTGTTTCTAAATGCTAGATAATAAGACAAATCCGAATAATGAATGGTTACATGATGTGGAACGTTCATAGAGAAGAGGGATAAAATTAAATTATTAGTATTTAAGTAACACGTTCTTATTGCGAGTTATAATATCTTCGTAGATAGCATTGGTATCCTAACCCCTAAGAATTAAAAGTTAAATTGCATAAGTCCGACTCCATATAATCTATAGAGGTTATTGCCCACGTAGGAATAAGAACATGACGCCGAGGAATTAACCATAACACCGGGTATTCGGATTTGATAAAGAAGCAAGGAGTAATTATCAGGGCAATGGGAAAGGTTTCGTTCGCGTCAGCTCCGTTGGTAAGCTCGAACTCCTTGGAGGATACGGCCTATCGTATCCCCTGAAAGCTGGATGTGCTAGTAAAGGAGGTGTTTTAAGTCGAATATTCGCCAGGCATGGATAGTCTCTCCTACTGTTGTCTTCGATATGTTGTATGTCCCGTGTCGGCAACGGTGACCGACTTTCGGTGGCTAGATCTTGCCTTTTATCCATGATCATAAAATCAAGGGGAGAGTCGTCGCTGCGGCGTGTCTTTAACAAGATCTCGCCTTCTTCGCCTTCACTTCTCTTGCTATCGACTTCTTGACCAACTCCTACTCTTTTAGTTACAATGGACGTGCGACTCTGTTGCGACTTGCGGATTATGATGCTGCGCTGGAGTTCTTGCTCGAACAGGAGCCGCGAGTGCGTGAATCTGCGCCTTCGAGCGTATACTTCCCATGTCAAGGTCGGGTCCCGAAGGCGAGCGGCTTCGAACTCCCGGAAGGCAACTTTCCGTCGTCTGCGAAGGATTGCGTGGCCGACGAATGCGAGAGTCAAGATAACAGCGGCGCCTATTATAGAACATATAGAGACGATTATCCATAGGATGCGGCCGCCCGAAGAGACATCGGTAGCCGCCGTCGAAGTGTCTCTCGAAGAAATGAAGGTATTCATTAGAGTAGATGGCGTTTATGGGTCGTATGATGTGTAACCAGTCCGTCCTCTGATAGAGACTCTCGCACAGAACGGGGTACGGAATTCATAAGTAACCCCATCCTAGGATAGATGGGGTTTCATCGTCTATCCGCGATGTGCCGACTGGGGTTCTTTAACCCGTGATGGCCTTCTTTCGTAGCTGATACAACGCGTCATACCGCCATACCTGACTACGGTAAATCTAAAATTGGAATCTCCCGGTTTGCAGGATCCGGTGACACTGTACCTGCTTCGACGCCACGTTTCTTGAGTTGGCATTGCGGGGATGGTTGATTCGCCGTTTGAAGGATGAAAGACGGCAATCAAGTTTGTGATATCGCTATCGTCGGATACGAGTCCAAAACGACATAGGAAGTCAACGGATTTGATTTTTAGCGTGCTATCGTGGTATTCATTCTAGCGTACCTGCTTGCTTCCCGCATACATGGTTGCTACGCCAAGGAACAGGAGATCGGTCCCTTGCGGCTCGCCAGTCATAATTGGTCCGGTTTCTATATAGCTCAAGGTAGTTAGTCAACGATACGAGGTGCGAAAAGGATCATCCCGAATATCATCACTTACGATATCCCTCGAATATAATCCTGCCATTCAGATTTCAACATCCTCCTAGACTCTTTCCGATGGCTGCGAAGTGTACCACTGTGGCGGGTCAATTCCAGCGCCGATCCGTGTGACACCGAATGAGTTTAACCAGTCAGACTACCCCTGGGTTCGTATAGTTCAATCAGCTACTAGGTTCTAGTAACTAAGCTACAGGAGACTCGGAATACTGTATCTAAAGTTAGGGATATTTAACCAAAACCTAGGCTAACACACGACATCTCTTAACTTTTATTCCGGCTCATAACGGCTTACCTCGACGTAAGGAAGTTGGTGTTGATAAATTCATATCCGTGAGAACAGGATGTAAAAATCATGAAGAAACTTGAAGTAAAAAACTGCCATTAGCGTACCTACCATGCTTATAACATAAACCCATCGAATTTACACATACAGGTAAGTACCTGTCGTTACGTACCCACCTAAGTAAGTACCAACCTATGATATAGTTGTCGGTGAAACATGATGTTGACCATAGATCATGCCGCATATTTACCTGTTAAGGAGATATTTTTCAACTTATAACTGTTTTGGGAGTTCATAGGCGCTATCTTCATGTTCCTTACCCCCTTTTCCTCAGTCTGATACAGAGTACCTAGCTAAGAAAACCGAATGCATTATGTAATATCTATATCATTATATATGTTATAAAATAATGCGGGTATCCAAAGTATATCAAGCGTTAAATATGAATTGCTGCACAATTTTGCGTATAGTATTGTCTCTCTCAAGGGTTATATTACCGTACTTGTCCGCACCATAGGAGATCCCATTAACAACCCAATTCTCTAGCTCAGCCAGACTTGGACGCTCGCCGGGGTCACTAGCCATGCATGCGGCGGTGATAAGTCGAAGGTGTAGATCAACCTGTGGAAACGGATCTGGGGTACCCATATCTCTGTCTTCTAATAGATTGGAGGCCGGCGACAGCACAATTTCAGAACGGTTAAGCGCGGATAGATCGACTTCGATTTCTTCTCCCGTGTATTTTCTGTCAGTTTGAAGTCCGATAATCGTAGCCATCATCTATCACTATTAATTAGCTCTCTTTCCTTTCGCAGTCATATACCTAATAGACGTTTATCACTGACTATGCCTATGTCCAAAATATTTCGTTGCTCTCCTGTCCCATCGTCGTGGTATGAAGAACTAAACTGTAAGTTAACTGGAAGGTTCTTAGACACGTACTGACTGATTGAAATTAGACTTACATGCGCGTTGCCAGTCCAAAATCCAATAGCTTCAAGATAGGGGTCCTACCATGCTCGGGGTGGTCCATAAACGACCCGAACATGATATTACCGCCGTGTACGTCATTGCTACACATTAAGAAATCCGATCAGCACTTACTCCTCGAGATAAGTCTATGTGCAAAATCCGTCTTTCTTAATTTGCGAGACTTATACGTCTCATTAAAGGCCAGGAGCATGTAACTTACTGTGACAGTCCAGTCGGTCTAGCTGGCGTCCGCGCAGTTGACTCGTTTACATCTTGCGCGTCTCTCGGCCACGCCATCGCAATACATGCTCGAATCACTATATTCAAAGAGTATTAGCTTACATTTTAACTCCAGCGGTAGATAGAGATACTAACTACACAGGAATATCGGCCAAAGCATGCGATTTGGCAACCTATTTATGCCTCTATCTTTTATTCGTTGCATAAAAGTCGTCAAAGTTCCATTCTCAACCCGATCCAAGTACACCCAAGCCCATCCCAGTTCCTGCTCGGCCGGGGCCAACGGGTCATTAGGACCTGCTATGCAACGTACAATGTGCCTGCAACCCTTCAACCTCTACAAGCGATGGGAAATGAGTCAGTTAATCCATCTAATGGTCAAGGAACGTTCATCTAATACCATCAGAATATCTTTCTCTCTCCTTAATCCTGCAACGTCCGAACCCCTTTCTGGATCTGCAATTTTAACCACCAGTGCCCGAGCAGATTCGATATTAGTACCGGGCGCTACAAACTTGACCTTATATATAGACCCTTGGCCGCCCCGACCATGAAGGCCTTCAAGGCGAAATTTTCTCTGTGGGTCAGCATCGAAATATCTCTTGAGTCTCATATATTGTCGTTCTGGCATATTCGTAAACTTCAAGATCTAATTGCCTAGAGAAAGATGAAATGTGTTTATCTTCAAATGCCTAAATAGGCAGGTATTCGGTTTTACTACACGTACAAGAGAATGTTTGAAACAATAGCTTACATCCACCTATGTTTATTGTCTACTCAGGCTCTTGTCAGTAGTGCTTCCGTTTCCGGCATGTTGGTTTTCTAGGTTACCATTCCATTCTATTTGTATTGAATTGTTTTTAAGCGTTATATGGGGTTTTACGTCGGTCGATTCTTTGTTTACCTAGTTACTAGATAGCTAAAAAGCCATGGACTTATGTCGATTTACTACCTTAAGCGAGTCAAACAAAGCTATTTATAATATCAACCCATATTACAACACACGAACTCTTAAACTACCTACCTATATCTGGGCTTCGACAGATATTTTAACAACTTGTATAATATGTCAAAAATCGCGACAGTCGTAGTATTTAACTCCTTAAATAGGTACCCCTGAGGTACCCCTGAAATACCTCTATTATAGACTATGGGGTTTATAATACTTTCATACTATGGATATATATGCATATACATGGGTATGCATTTAATGAAGCTCCTTCGTCTTTGAGAAGCGCGTAATATCTTAGGCCGAAGATTTGATGACAAATTGACGTGATACGTTTGATTATAAATAATTACGGCGATTTTAGATATTACTAAATACAGTAATTGATGAGGTGTCCGATTCGCAATACTGGTGCACTCTGTCGTCATGAGGAATCAACCCCTCAGTAATAGTGGCTACTAGGTAGATAGCGCGTATATCCGTCTGCGGATGTTCATATATATACTCGTCTTCGCCCGCTAAAGACATACCGAAGACTTCGTTCTCTAGACTTCGTCGGCGCATCTTATCAACAACGATCAAAAAGCCCAGTAAGCCATGGCGGATAAGCTGTATATCTCTGAGACACCCGAAGAGGTCAAAAATGCCAAGGGTCTTCATATTATCACCCAAAATACCCCCAACGGACAGGCCGTACAAATTCTACTAGAGGAGTTGGGCGAAGCATACGGAACATCGTGGACTACTAGTCTCATCGATATCTCTACCAACGAGCAGAAGAAGGAGTGGTTTCTGCGACTGAATCCCAACGGTCGCATCCCTACCCTGATTGATAATAACCAAAGTCCCCCTTTCCCCGTTCATGAAACCTCGGCGGAATTATTTTACCTGTTAAATGTTGCGGACAAGGACAACAAGTTCGGTTTCGCGGATGCGCTAGAGCAAAGCGAAGCTCTTCAATGGACCTTCTTCTGGCACGGGTCGGGGGCGCCCTACCAAGGGCAAACGAATCATTTCAATCGCGTTGCTCCGGAAAAGATTCCATGTAAGTTGTTCTTCGACTTCGAAAAGAAATGTTGAAAATACAGCGTCTAATGGATACCTATGTGAAGATGCAATCAATCGTTTCAGGAATGAGACACTTCGAGTCTACGGCGTGTTGGAGATCCGGCTCTCCGGCAAGTACACCGGTGAGCCTCGGGATTACTTAGCCGGCAAGGGGAAGGGCAAGTACTCGGTAGCGGACATCAAAACGTGGCCCTGGGTCAAGGGATGGGAAAGGAGCGGCTTCACTCGGGAGGAGATCGAACAGTTCCCACACTTACTGAAGTGGATTGACCGTGTCGCTGCGCGCTCGGCTGTTCAGAAAGGAATCGGTTCCAAGTATATCAAGTCTTAAGACAGGGGCGGTTGATGTTGAAATAGTTACCTATGATATCAGCAATTATAAGTTATGAACCGTCAAGTCTAGCAGTGAGAAATTGTTGGCGTCGCATATTTGTGAGACCTCTAGACCTGTAGGATCACTGTGGCTTCAAGGGGGGTAAAAAACATTATAGCGCGGTTAAACATTAATTACCTAACCTTAGCGCTCCTTTGAAAGCCGTCTCGGGCACCGCCGGGTAGTTTCACCGAGAGGGGAAGTCAAAGCAGGATATGTCGGGGTATTTCACCCTTCCGACAACCCTCTAGGTAACCTCAAGTACGTTGTTTTACTCTATTTCGTAGGCATCGGCATATCCCGAGAATTAATCATGAGTGGCGACATGATACAGCCGGCTGGCGTACAGCCAAAGACGGAGATCAAGATCGAGGATATCTTTGAGCCTCACGTCTTAGAAAAATATGATCCGGACGTCGTGGAATACGTCTTAGAGACCAATAAAGCCGGCGTGCCAGCAGCGCATGAATGGCGCATCGAGAATATTCGTGCCGACCCTGCGAGGTTTGCACCACCGTGGTCCAAAGACGTCACTGGCTTCGAGAGAGTTTCCGATGGAGAGGTCACATCTCACGACGGTGCTAAGATCCCAATCAAGATCTACCATCCCGACCCTGCACAGTTCGGCGATGGGCCGTATGGGTTACACCTGAACTTCCACGGTATGGTTTCTTATCCGATTGAATGGTTCCAGGGCGATCATCTAACAACACCATAATCGTTAGGTGGTGGCTTCGTCCTGGGTGACTTGACCACCGAGTCCCAGTTGTGCTTGAGCATGCGCGATGGCGCAGGCGTCGTTGTGATTGACACGAACTATCGGCATTGCCCTGGTACGTCTCAATAGGCAATGATCATGAGACTTACCACGACTAACATAGCCCTCCTACCTATCAGAAGCTACTTGGGGGAAAGGTATTGAGGATGCCTTTTCCACGTTGGTATGGGTAAGTGTTATGCTACTGATATTTCCCGCCGTTACTCTCGTCTTAGGACACTGATTGGGGGGAATTACAGGCTCGAGAGTCGGCATCCTCTCTTAACATAAAACCGGATTCGATTTCGATCGGCGGCATCTCAGCAGGGGCGCATATCTCCCTCGTCCTACAACATATGGCGCGAGACAGCGGGATTCCGCTTAAATTATGCTTGGCAACCGTACCCCCTTCAGAAGAGACAATGTTATATAAGAGCCCCGCCGAGTCTCCTTTTCCATCTTTCACCGAATACGCTAATGGGCCAATCTTACCTTGGGCACGAATCGGTTTCTTCGGAGAGCAATGCTTTCCTGATGACAAAAGGGTAGAAATCCGCGCCAAAGTGCCTGAATGGTGGATTTCCCCCATCAGAGCAAAAAATTGGGCCGGCCTATGTGATACGTTCATAAGGACGGGAGAATGCGACCCGCTTCGAGACGAAGGTGAGGCATATGGGTTCAGGCTAGTACAAGGTGGAGCAAAAGTCACGATCAAGAGATACATAGGATCACCACACACCTTCGCGTACTTCGGCTGGTTCAAGAAAAAGCATGAGTATGACTTGGAAACGATTTCAGCCTTGGTACAGGCCCACGGGAAACAGTAAAGGATTCTATATGTGCAATATATGAAGGGTACATAAGGGTACATAAGGGTATATAACAGGTATAGTACAATTGATTCTTCGAACTGACTGGCGCTCGTGAAGATGGGTATCAGAAGCGCTTTCCGAAGCATGATCCAATCCCGATTTCAAAACCCGGGCCTGCTCAAATTTCTTGACCCATTTGAACTCTCCTCCGTGACAGTATACTCTGTCGTGATGACGATTTGGTGCTCGGCGCTTGCTATTCGCTTCGACCCTGAAGGCGGAGGTGTTCCCGCTGATGAAACCCCACCGGTCCGATGTTTTGTTAGATCTATAGATGCTTCTTCATTTGATGCGGTGCCGTTTTCTGTATCAGCCATTATATGTTCGTTCGATCCCCACGATCCGTTATTTGGGACGTAGATAGATCGCTGCCGTTGGCGCCCTACGGTCTCGAGAGGACCAGGCACGCTGCCGAGTCTATAACCCCTGCTATCTTCCAGGCTGCTCTTACCCGGCGATCTGCTCATGTTGATTCCTCTCTCAACGAGGTTTCTAAACATCGGGTAGATCATCGGCATATTTGTTAAAACGACAGAGACGAACGATTCTCGAACGGACCAGTAACCTGATTGCGCAGGATCGACATCACCTAGCTGTATGGGTTCTATCAGTAACTCCTCTGTATGAAACGTAATACGGGGCGTATTCAGGGGTGTCAAGTAATCGTATGCGTCAGTACTCGATGCGACATAAGTAGTGTGCTTGCCGTCAAGATGGAGACGCATCGTAAAATGCCAAATGTCATCTCAAGAAAGCCACCACTGAACATGATCAGGAGCACGAGCTTCCTTCTCCACGGTAGGCGTGCAATCCAGACGACCTTAGAGCAGCAGGCCTTGTTAGTCTACGTCGTGTGAACTATGTTAATGTTGGTACAATTGACTTACTGGTAACGGTATGGCCATTAGATAGAAGTCGGTGATGGTGTTCATGACCATCACGTAAACGGTCTGGAGGGTGGAAATGGCTGGCATACAGTGATCTAGCGAATCCATGTTTATTATTATGCCGGAGTCACTCTTCGGTAGGTAGGTCGGGGGCGAATGTACTTACTTCCTGGGGAAGGATTAATTTGCCACTGGTGATAAAAAGGGATGCATTTTAAAAAGGCAACGAGCAGACATGAGATGTAAGTCGCTCCAATGATAGCGGTGCCCCAGTGTATAATTTTATTCATGTGATTAATTCCATCGCTGTGTAGAAGTCAGTATTCCGATATGGTGTAGAGGCCACCTAAGAAGGCATACGTCAAACGAGAGTAATATGATAACCAACACGCCTTCAATAGCCATAGCAGCGTGGTATAGAGAAGAAGGCCGACGACATGAGTCTTTGACCCATTGACTCGTAGGTACCACTCGTGCGAGTGTGGGTCTATCTCTGCACGCTGTTCATCCGTCAGAGCATTGTTGGCAAGACCATGCCAGAATGCCACGACTAGGTATGCCATCAGTGACTCTGCTGTATAAACCACCTAAGCCCTATGTTAGAGAGTGATCATCAAGAATTGAAACTGCTCGTAGGGTACCGGCCAACTCACAATAGCCAAGAACATGATAACATCATCCAACGATAGACTCCGCCACCCTAGCGTTGACAATCTACTATAGTAACGGAGACCAACTACGAGGTATGCGGCTCCTTGGAGGCCCCAAACCTCGCGGACGAAAGCCGCCTCGGACTCGTCTCCCATTGTGGACTTTTATACAGAATATCAGATATCCTGATAATAGCTATGCAACTGAGTGTTAGCCAGATATTTAAGTAGTTGAGTAAGTCCTGAGCATACCGTCCACTTGACTACAGCAACCCAATATTCAGGGGTTACTCTCAAGTATGACTCTGCATCGTTAAGGGGATGTGATTTCACGCGGGTCGCCAAAGTTCCGGAATTGGAAGTGATAAAGATATCAGTTATAATAATGATTCCATTAGACCTGAAAATATGTTCCTTTCGTGGCCATGATCCCATGCTCCAATATCTGTTCGCCGTCACCTTTTCCCTGCTAGTAAGTTGCGATTAATCACAAAATCAGCCCATACCAGTTTGCTGAAACAACTATCTTAGAGATGTGATAATGGACGGGAGGCAAATATTGTATATAATGTTTGTCGTCTCGTGAGAGGTAAAGAATTTGAAACTACATCGTAGTTTAAGGTTGCTAGGTAACTAGTCCGAACTCCATGCATGCGCTCATCGACTTATCAGTGCGGTCACCAAATGTGGACTTGATCTGTGGACTTTGCCTGACGCCCGGATGCGTGGTACACAATCCATGACTCAATTGCCTTTTCTGGCAAGACTACCATGATTAACCTTCTACAGGGCTGAAGAAGCATGTTATACACGTTTTAGTAACCTTACTATGACGTTCCAATGAGAGGGATCTAATTATATTGAGGTTGAGTCTTTTGACAGTATGACTTACAACTTGACGGGAAGATAGAGCAAACTTTCTTAATTAAAGGATATTTTTAACTACCTAGGATGGTAAGATTTGAGACCATCGTTGCCAAGTCGGCGAACCATTCCGCGTGGCTGCACAGCTGGAAGGCAATGCATAGAGATCTTAGATTCACGCTTTAAAGGTAATACTTATAGCGGACTAATGTCCGCTAGGCTTCGGCTAAGGCGAGACGTGATGAGCCACAGCATCCGACGTTGATGGCACAAAGTGAAAGAAGATACGTCGCAATCCGAATTCAGTAAGATTTCCTTAGTTCATTGTAAGCCTCATTTCTTGATCACTTGCCATATCAATTAACTTTTTCCTCACCGAGCTAGCTAATATAAATCGGTTGTCGGATGTCGAAATTGCGGAGCTCGGAAGTAGGTGGGAGTGGCGAGTAGAGGTAGGGGGTGAGATGTTTAGATACTATTAGCCATTGATGAATCGACTACACAGCAAACTGCGAAGTCAACTAACGACAGAAAGACACGACAGCTTCGTGTAACGAGATATCATTAAAATCTCACAGATGAGACAACTTCTAATCAGTGATCATTAGGCCGCAACAAAGAATCGATGGCGGTGGCGTCAAGCCGGAGCAAACCGATCCTGACATATGAGCTTCCTCAAGAAAACGATCAATTCACCGATGACTTCTGAATAATGATTACGATACATCGCTCATATTTACTTTCTGTGCCTCTATATGATGACAAAGGACCTTTCTCAGCATTGGTCTTGGCTGATTATAGGCTTACTGATGTGCTCAGCAGGGCGTGCTGCAGAATCGGATATTGCCTAAGCGTCTCTTACACGCATGCTGTTCTCCATATTTGAGGGGTGCCACTGCGGATTCATGTTTATCCCTTGCTCACCTAGAAGTCTCAAGAGCGCCGGCATGCTGGTCGGCATCCGTAGCAACCAATGAGGTTCCGTTTAATGGGTTTAAGTGTGGAGGTAAGGGTGTGAGTGATCGCCCAAACCTGAACGCCCTTGACCCCACGATAGTGGTTTTGACCTGTCAGGGTTGCTTCTGACTGGGGTCGCATCCGCATCCTACCTAGCTAAGATCGTATTAGTGGCGCTTCATGGTATTACAGCATGTCTTCCAACGATATCAGTTTTGGAATAATACCTCTCGCGATGTCTCTGGCGATCTTCTTCACGTCGGTTATGCCCGGCGGCTCGCTCGGTGAATGTCTTACTCAACCTCTACCCCTATTCTTTCATTCTTAAGCTGAACGTTTGGGGTATTCCGTTGCGTCCTTTTTGCTCTTTACAGCGTCAGCGAATTCTTTGCGACAGCGCGTTTTAGATCTTGAAAAGCTACCAGAATCAATATGGCCACCGACGGAACATTGCCGGACTCGAAAGTTGATGTGTACGTTAACTCGGGCTGTAGATTCTGTACCTAGTTGAGGATGCTGACCTATTTCCAGACTCATCATTGGTGCTGGGCCCGCGGGGTAAGCTATGCTCTTCGTTCCACACGTTGTTTCTTTTAGACTCCGGGCTCACCGTCATGGTCGCGCAGGTTAATGTCGGCTTGCTGGATGGCCCATTGCGGTGTCACAACTCGTATAGTCGATAAGAGAAACAACAAGATCTACTGTGGGCAAGCCGACGGTCTGCAATGTCGCAGCTTGGAAATATTCGACAGTCTAGGATTCGCAGACAGGGCATGGAAAGAAGCGAATCATATGATCGAGGTAAGGATATCTAACTAATCGACGAGCTTCTAGGCTGACCTTATTCGTGTAGATATGCATGTGGGTGAGTACAGCATGCCCACCTAGTCCCATGCGCATGGGATCCTGTGCTAACCACCTACCTAGAACCCTGGGCCTGATGGTGCTATTCGTCGTTCAGACCGCATTCCGGACACGATCGTAGGGCTTTCGCGGTTCCAGCAAAGTGTCATTCATCAGGGACGGGTTGAGCGCTTCTTCCTCGACAACATTAAGAAATACTCAAAGAACACCATCCAAGTCGAACGTGGGGTTCTCCCAGAGTCCCTAGAAATTGACGAGACCAAGGTCGAGGATGATTCTGCTTATCCGGTCACTGTGAAACTACGACATCTCACCGAGGAAGAATCTACCCCTGAGCAGCAAATCAATGGAAGCAAGGTTTCGGACGGCATTTTCCGAAGCAACTTGATCCAGGAAGATGATGAAGATGACTTGATTCGGAAGAGCAAGTCAAGGGCTGGAACAGGCGAAGTTGTCCATGCTAAATATGTCATCGGGTGCGACGGTGCGCGTAGCTGGACCCGCCGGGCCTTGGGCTTCGAATTGCAGGGCGAGGCAACCGATTTCATTTGGGGTGTCCTGGATATTATCCCAATCACCGACTTTCGTAAGTGGCCCGATCATGAACCTGTCTATAGACTTGAGCTTTGTGGCCTAACTCATGGAATTTAGCCGACATTAGAATGCGATGCGCAATCCACTCTGCCGAGGATGGCAGCTTGATGGTCATCCCTCGAGAGAACAAGATGGTGCGGCTGTATATCCAGCTGAAAGAGGTTACCCCTGACGCTTCGGGCCGCGCCGATCGATCTAAGATCACCCCTGAAATCATTCTGAACGCTGCACAAAAGATCATTAGTCCGTACAAAATCGACTACGAATATTGCGATTGGTGGACTGCCTATCAAGTATGTTTCCCGGCTGACGCGAGCATCTTATAATATCCATACACTTACCAAGGCATTTTAGATTGGCCAGAGAGTCGGCACAGACTTTGATGCTCACAAGCGAGTCTTTCTTGCCGGAGATGCCGTGCATACGCACTCTCCTAAGGCCGGCCAAGGCATGAATGTCTCTATGCAAGATGCTTACAACCTTGGGTGGAAAGTAGCCCTGGCTTCAAAAGGCATTGCGAAACGGAGCATCCTGGGCACCTACGGAAGCGAAAGACGTCGCATAGCTCAAGACCTCATTGATTTCGACCATCGATTCAGTAGACTATTCTCTGGGCGACCAGCTAAGGATGTCATGGACGAGGAGGGAGTTAGCATGGAAGAATTCAAGGATGCCTTTGAGAAAGGCAATAGGTTCGCATCCGGCTTAATAGTTAACTACGGACCCAGCGAGCTCGTCATCAAGGCCCCTGAACCGTCTGAAGAAGGCGATCAACGCAAAGTGGACGGCTCAGCTGTAACGGGATTATCGGCCGACGCCTTAGCGAAAAAGCAAGCCCTAGCCCCTGGCCTTCCCATAGGGATGCGCTTCAATAGCTATAAAATTCTCAACCAGTCAGACGCCCGGCCATGGCATTTCCAAGAAAGGCTCAAGTCGAATGGTCGATTCCGTGTCGTCCTCTTCGCCGGCAATATCCTGAACCTCGAACAGGCAAAACGAGTTGAAAAGTTTTGCGAGGCTCTCGACGCACCGACCAGTTTCTATCGGACCGCCAACCCCGCCGGCTCGTCGCTGGACACGGTGATTGAAGTGCTGACAATCCACTCAGCCAAGAGGACGGAGACAGAATTGCTACGAGACTTCCCCGAGGTCCTTCATCCCTTCGATCCACATACCGGATGGGATTATGACAAGGTATTTGTAGATGATGAGAGCTACCATGAAGGTTTTGGTGACGCCTACGCGAACTACGGCGTGGATAAGGAGCGAGGTTGTGTTGTCGTGGCGAGGCCTGACCAGCATGTTGGATGGATTGGCGAACTCGAGGATTTCGAAGGCTTGCAAAAATACTTCGAAGGCTGTCTTGTCCTCGGCCCCAAGGTATGATTTAGACAGTATTTATATCCAAAGATCGTGTTCGATGCGAGGCATACATTAGCATGGGCATGTATAAGTCATGCCTGCAAGATTATAGAGTTAGAAAGTGGAAGTATTCACTCCTTATGCATCATTCAATACTCGTTTAGTTCAATCGCTGCACGTTTTGATTTAAGTAATGGCGAATATGGCACCTAGGTAATGTTCCATAAAATTTGCAACTTGAATTATCGACGGATGACATTTAATATACAAATCTGAAATGTAGCTCGTCATAGCTATCACGTTGAGCATCCGTCATCTTTGCACGAGCCGCGTCACGCCTTTTATTGCCCAGAAACAGGAGTAGGAATGATGTGCTTGTGAGAATGAAGCCCAGTATAGTGAACGCAAGGCCGGTGTGGGACCCTGTCGGATATCGCGGGCTCTCAGTCGTGATGAAGACATTGGAGCTGATGAAATTGGCACAATTACCAAAGCCAACCATCCAAGCCATGCCAACAGCTAGGTATTTGCGACCACGCAGATTAGCACTGAGCCAGCCCATCAGAATCGACATCTGCGGGAAAGTACCGGCCGTCATGAAGAACAGTGACATATACCGTATCCCAGCCGCTTTAACATACGCTACCATGATACCCCAACCAATGAGCTGTAAGCAAATGGCGAAAAGAAGGAAGGGTGTGCGTAAATTGAGGCGCGACGAAAGCCAGGTAATGACAAAGGTTGACACGATGCCCGCGCCCCAGACCGGCATTGTCATGAGCTGAGCAATAGTCGAGACATATCCGAGTTGCGTCAAGATAGTGGGAGCGAAGGAGGCTACCGAAGAGGCCGTAACGTCGCAACAGAAGAAGCAGAGAGTCAGGAGGTGAATCCTCCAGTCAGTTAAGACTTTCCAGATCGGCACGTTATCGGCAGCTGAGCCCTTATCTTCGGCGCCGCGAGAGACCTCTAGCTGATACATGAGGCGATCGCGTTCCTGGGCCGTCAAGAACCATGATTGCGCATGGTGGGGGAAATTGGGACATAGCCAGATGACGAAAAGGGATATGAAAACCGTCACTAGGCCTTCGATGATGAATATCCAACGCCAGCCCTGATAACCTCCCGCCCCGTTGATATTCTGAATAGCATAGGCTAGAAGACCTGAGAACAACGGCCCCGCGAGAGCAAAGTTGAAGAACCAAGCGAATCGGACAGCTGCTTCGCGTCTCGTGTAATACATCGATATCATATAAGTCGCGCCAGCCGGAAGGGCGGCTTCGAAGATTCCTAGGAGGAAGCGGACCGCCAGCAGTCCACCGTAGCTCCTAGTTAAACCCTGGCACATACCTAGGACACCTACAAAGTCGTCAGCATCGAGTAGAACGAGGGCGATTAACTTGGCCCCGTTGGCCGGAGGGTGACAAACCTAAGAGGAACATTTGGCCGCCAAGCAAAATACCAGGACGAATCTTGTTCATGTTCAGAATCAAATTGGCTGGGACTTCGGCTAATACGAAAGGGATATAGAATATCCACAGCGCGGTGTTGTAGCCGTTGGATGGCATATTCAGAGCCCGTTCTAAGCCATCGGGTTTCCCGATACCCAAGGCGCGCGCGTTTGCGATGTTCGTCCGGTCCAGAAATAACACCATGTATAAAACTCCCATTATCGGCACGATAACCAGATCTCTCTTCCATAGAATTGCACGGTCTAGCTTCTGCTCTTCTTCTGTCGAGATACTCGGCACGTCGCTAACACTGCTTACACTCGGGCCATCGTTCTTCTCATCCAGCTTCACCTCCTCCTCCAGCGGATCGGATTTCGGGAATTCGCCCATCGTTGTGATCTGGAAATGGCGTCGCGTGAAGAGCTGATAGAGAATTATTATTACCGAAACCTTCCGTGCAGATAGCTATGTAGAACACCGGCTTCGTAGCCGCGGGGCTCGCGTGCGACAAGAATCGAATAAAAGAATGAAGAAAGGAAAATAAGAATCATAAAACTTCCCCAATCAGCTAGAAGTAGGCATCAAATGTTCATAAGAGATATGTAAGTACATGCATATTACCAGTCATATTTCCCCTGTCATTTCGGTGAATTAACCCATCCTGCCCATCCCGACACTGAACATAACTCCCATGCGATATTTTCGTCCGGCAAATCAGACCAAATCAGACCACTCAGCCTTCTGCATGTCAATCCGGTATTGATCAACTTTAGTTCTGATGGCGTGTGCGTATCGACATGGGGTTGCATGGATACAGACGATCGCATCGTGACCATCAGCTACCCAGATAAGACAAGTTCGCGCTGTAGCGCAATAGTAGGCGTTGTATCCTAAGAAACGGCCAGGGTTGCGAGGATCAAGGCTATGCCTAATGGGAGATGGGCTGCATGGACTAATATTTGCTCCCATCATCTCATGTCCTCATTAGCGTTAGGGCACAATGCTTCAGAACGGGAGGAATGTCGGTGTTTTCTCTTTTTAGCATTGCTAAGAGTTGCGAACCAGACTTCGTTGAATTCGAAATGAATGCGTAGCATTTTCACTGGTTATCCATATATGTACGCACGTACACTTCCCCTGATCCTACACTTATCCCCGTCCATAACTACGAGATTCGTTCGAGTCTGGATTATCTCCACCTTGATTCGATATGTGGAACACCGCGCCGCTTCTACAGTTATCTTGGCGTACCTAGATGTGAGCATCTTGATGATGTTCTCAGCTTGCACCAGGTACGGATATTACGATAGTGTGACGAATTCATAGCTACCATAACTATCAAATTAGTGTTTGTTACCACCGCTGATAATGTAAAGCCACGTGGGGGTGTTTCGAAGATCAAGGATCAGATATTTTATCTGCGTCGCATCGCCGTCGGAGGAAAGCGAGCTTTTCAACCGTATAAGCCGGCGAGTAAAACAAGCCGAACTCACTGCCGCCAAGTAACCAAACATCACCGTCCGATTTGAGAGTTTCGTTCCCGTAGTTACATTCAACCGGCCACCATCCCACACGTTTCAATAAGCTCTGATAAGTAGTCAGATTTGGATTGGGTAGGTAGGTGCTAGGTAAATCATGTCCTATGCGTTCCAGCGCGGCGGATACGCCAAGAACACGACCCCTTTACGACACCAGGTACACAAAGGACCTACCCATGCAACTTGGATGAAACAAACTCAAATATACGTTTAGCAGTTCGTCCGTTCTTATATCTATAAGTTGTATGATCAACATTGCTAAGCATCATGTTCGATATGTATACTCGATGATCCTATGGGAACTGCCGTTTCATGACCGCTTCTGACCCTCAAATACCTACATAATAGTTAATAAGCATTACCCCTTCGGCATACTCTCTTCAGTATAGTACTTCTCCACACTGCTAAATCAAGTATGTATCGTTGGTTCGTCGTTATTTTCGGTAGTATCTCTGACTTGCGTGCCGCAGCCGTGTGGCACAGGCCGCTCAGTACATGCAGCGTACGTATGTGGTTAGAACTGTAAATCTACGACTCGACTACTTGAACATGTGACCGAAAGGAGGGGGCATGGAATAGTTACATTCTCGCGGATGTTCGCGGATGAAAATCTTGGAAGGGGCAAAAGACGTGGAGAGAGCCTCTGCATGTTTATGTACTAGGCATGTAGCATGCGCTGAAATATTATAATATTATTGGGGTATGCTAATGTGTGCTGGGGTATAGTATAAGGTAATATTCATAAACAGCCAATCTAAGTCGTTACCCCAAGGGTGACTACGTACGCAGAGGAGACAATTAGCTCATGGTGTATTCAGAATGGTTGCCCATGGCCTGTTTACGTACATTCGATGATATCAGAGCCTCCCAGCTTCTCGAATCTTATCGTTGGCATAGCCTTTGTCGTGTTATTATGGCGTGATCTGGCTTGAGGCTCTGGTACTAACCTGCGGAAATCATCCTCGGCTTTCTGGATGTCGGCTTTAAGGTCATGCTGCCAGATCCAATGCAGTCTTTGGTTTGCGTTGTCCTTGATGGCCTCCATATCATCCCCGATATCCGGATGTTGCCATGTGTAGATGAGTCCCGCCTCGAAGCTCGTACGAACCACCTCCTGCGCTCGCGGCCGTCTAATCGCGTCATACACTTGAAAAGCCGTTTCGAGGTCATCGGGTGTTTTGACAAGAGTAAGAAGCTGAGAAAGCACAGCCGCATCTTCCAGTCCTTGGCCGGCTCCAGCCGCCTGGTGGGAACTACTGGCATGCGCAACGTCACCCAGTAGACAGATACGCCCATTATAGTATGTTGACGTCTGCGGATGATGCCAAGTCGGCCACCTGAGAGGTTTACAATAGTCTAGGAGCTTCAGCAGTTTAGGGTCGAACCCTTCTAGGTCTTGAACCATCTCCTCCTTCGTGCATGATATAGCATGATCTCCCTGAGTCCAAGGCTTGCTGTCCGTCACGAAGAATACAAGGTTCATTTCTTGCCCGCGGGATATCGGATATGCAGCTACAGCCTTTCCCTTAGCCATAAAGAATTTGGCATCTCCAGCATGGGTTCCAAGTATCTCTTTTGCTCGTGCCATCGGGATGATACCTCGGTAGATATACATGCCCATGAATGTCGGTTGGACTTCTTCTGGCGCAATATCGCCCAAGACAGCTCGACGGGTAAGTCCTTTCACGCCATCACAGCCGATGACCGCGTCAACCGTCTCCGACGTACCATCTGCGAAGTTGATGCGTACTTTCTTTTCCACTTGTTCGAATGATACCGCGCGCTTTTTGAACTTAACAGATCCTTCGGGGATGAAGCTTTCCATGATCTCTAATAAGTCTTTGCGATGTGCACTGCTTCGTGTGAAATAAGGGGCTCCGACGAGACCGCGTGTCCATCCCCGCTTTTCGCCAAACCCCTCTTCGGCATACAACGCGTCGAAGATGCTATGTTCGAATTCCAATTTCTCGTTCTGCGTCTTAACCTCGTCATACTTTTCTCGGAACACATTATCGACCAGGTCCATAGCATTCAACGCGTTTGGACCTAAACCAATGCCAGCTCCCACCGTAGAGAACTGATCAGCTGCATCGTAGACGGTGACGGGCACATTGCGCTTGATAAGGCCGATGGCAAGGGCTAAACCGCCGATACCAGCACCGATGATGGCGATCGTTGGACGGGCCTGATTTGGGGACCCCATTATCTAGTCAGATGACCTTTTCTCTGTCGTATATCGTGAAGTATTTCGATAAGAACCCACGTTTAGGAAGAAAAAGATGCCCTAAAAACGCCTCATAAGATGTTATATCTCCAAGATGAATCGACCAGTTGCCAGATGTTCTAAACCCCCTAATGAATGCAAATGCTAAAAATGCTAATGGGAAAGTTTCTTCGCGTCGTGATCCTCAAGTTCAATGAATTTTAATGAATTTTGAAAAGATCGTTAAAGTGTCGTTACTCGCCCTATAAAAGGGTCGTTTGTGACGGAAGAACTTCCAGAGACTCGGTCTCGCCTAGAGAATATCTTTCCCGACTTGAGGAGTCGGGCCAGGTACCGAAAAGCAACATAGGGTAGCCATCGGCATCATGCCATTGAAGGGAAAGACACTCCGAAAGTGCAACCGAAGCCGATTCGCACAGCGACTCAGCGGCACATTCGCAATTTGCAGGATAACCCGGCAAGCGGGAATGCGCTGTATTAGTGCGTTCGGCCGCGCAAAGACACCTATTCACTGTGACTAACGGGAGCCAGGTTCCGATGGGGTGGCCCCGTAAGCCACGGGACTCAAGACTCAATTGGAGATTTCTATACGTGTATAGCAATCAAAGAAGAGCGGTGGAATCGACCGGATTCGAAGCAAACATGTCCATGTTATACGTACAGCAAGGTGACAAGAATACGGAAGGGTCGGCCAATGAGTGCGACGTTGGCGGTGCCCTGGACGAGCCGCAACTACGCATCGCTCCATTGTGGCTTGATAAATCTCGACACAGGAGATTCAAGCTCTGTCGTAGGATAGGTATGCTGTAGGGGGGGTAGGATGGGTAGTGCGATAACTAGACCAATGACTCAAGAAGGCATTCGGTTCGCCATTCCAGACGAACGTTGATATATACCCTGAGTGAAGGATCGAGTCCAATCGGTACATACATATCATGATACCGCAGAAATAGGAATTCCGTGGGGGTTGTCGTGCAGGGCTTCTTGCGGGGAACCCAGGACAATGGCTTACCAGGTAGTAAGACATGCCAGGTCAGTGAGACATGCGGCTTTTCTTTTTTTGTTTGGCCTAACAGCAAAATAGCGCCAGACTCAGCGGCACCTTCATGCAGATACATATACGATCAGGACATCTGCATCATTGGCAAGTGGTATTCTATACGTTTTGATATTACCAAGGGGCAAGTACCGTCCAAGTACCGAGGAGGGATCCTTCGGTGCCGGATTTAGTCGAAACAGAGCGCGTAGATGTAGAAGGTGGATATGAGCTGGATGGTACTATATTTCTGACACGCAAGGCACTGTAACCTGGGTAATATTTCTAGAATCTCACGCTGACCTTAGGCACATTCACTAGCGGGATATGTAGGTACCTATTCAGATCGGCATACATACATATTCTCAAGCTGCCTGGCTGCTTTAAATTCTCGTGAGGAAGACTAACTGAACTGGTGTTAGGGCTTTGGAATTGATGAGAAACGGACTCAGGACTGGGCTGACTGGATAGGAAAGTTTCCTTTTTAGTCGTTGGGATATGCCGTCGGCTACAGCCCGTGCAGGGACTATCGAACTGGTTCCAGTGTTTCTGGTGCACGGCTCGTCTCCAGGTAGCAGTGCTCGCTCCTCCAAGCGCCAGTCTGTGGGTTATCCGCCCACACGGCTCCAGGGCTCGGTCTGCCAATATTCCTCAATACTCCGGCAGTCCGATCACGACACTGATTGTGCTCCTCTTTCAATATGAGAATGACTTATACTGCTGCTACTCCTGCAACTTTCTTCAAAATACGTAAGCTCCTTCGTAACACACGTTGACCATATTTCCACGGTTATAAACATATTGTACAGCGAGCTGTAAGCCGTCGGAAGAAGACCACCACACCGCCAATCATCCACTACTAGTCGCTAATAGAAGGATCCAATCCCCTTTTGAAGAACCGAGGATAGATCCTTTTTAAGAAAAATCGGTACGAGAACTCCCTAAACAGGATCTTTAGGATTTATATAGGCATCGTCAATATCGAAGATTATTAGATACCTACTCCCTAGTTCCCCGCTTGCTCAAGCCCCATCGGATTCGACACTCCCGCATATACAGGTAAGTTGATCCGTGGTCCTAAGATTCCTTCTTTTTTTGTGACAAGTCATTATCCACGCCACCTTGGCCATGCTCGTTGGCTGTCTGGACTTACTAATCTCCCTGATTACAGAGCTGAGAGGATTTTTTTGCGGTTTTCGGAACTAGGAAGCCTTCGGAGGCAGTAACTGCGGATTCAAACAGTTTGGCGCCGGCTGTACTTTGTCCATAACCGCCGTCCACGCATGCTTTTTTCGCTTGCCTCGTTCCGAGGCTGGTCTGAACTCTGATGGAAATATCCATCCTCACGGACAGATCGAGCTGAGCTCGGAAGATTCCAGTACTCCGATCTCACTTTCGATTGGACATCATCGGCTAGGTCACCGTACCCGCGGAACTGCCGCACCGTCGTCGCTCCTCATCGCACCCACCTGGCCCGCTTGCTTCCGACGCTATCGTAGTCCGTCACCTCTTAGGAAAGCCCTTACCGAAACCCCTGCTTCTGACAGAGATCATTACCAATGTCTCATCTGGACTCTGGCTCTTCTCCGGACGCGACCGGCTCTGGTCAAGGCACCTCACCACCTGCCCCGCCTCCGGACAACAAATCAGCGGCGCATCGTAAGCCTGCCAAACGAGAACGTGTCGCTTTAGCTTGCCAAAGGTGAGATGAGTCCATGCCTACCTATCTACCTATCTACCTACATAGTACATACATATCTTTTGAATAAGTTGCCAATTACTAAATATTTCAAAGGTGTAAAACCCGAAAGCAAAAGGTATGTTGATCATGATAACGATCCTACGGCGCCGGTAAACATGTCATGTTGCATGTGGCAAATAATCTCATCTAACATATCGGTGTCATAGTGCGATGGCCAACGACCAGCCTGTGGCTCGTGTGCTCGACTATCCCTGAAGTGCGGTATGTGACTTCCATCGGCATGATCAACTTATGCTTCTAGATATGCTAAACATAATTCCGCGATTAGTTTACATTGTTCCGCTTGTACCGGCAGCTGGAGAAAAGAAGATTTACATCAAAGCGCTCGAGCATCGAATCGCCGAGCTAGAAGCATATCTCTCTGCACTGGGTCATCCAAATGTCGGTACTAGTCAGCTAGGACGTTTAGGGCAATCAACATCATCACAAAATGTAGCAATGCTACCGGTTGGCCAGTCTGGTCAAGGACAGGTGCCAGCGCTAATACCCGAACAGACCCAACGGAATGACGAAGAGGAAACCAATGATGTTTTACTCGCTGTTAGAGACTTATCACTTTCAGCTTCCGGTCACTACGTTGGGGCCTCTTCGAACATAACTATAGGACGGGTGCTCAGTTCCTTCGTGACAAGCCAGAAGACGGGTATCCATGAAGATCAAGGAGAAGACGACCCGGCACCAAAATCCATATACACGTCAAATGCCGGGGACGTGATTGGCGTTCCGTTTCTGACTCCCCAAGTTGCCGGAAGGCTTTTACATGGCTACTTCCGGCACATTTGCACGAGATACCCCATGTTGCACTCAACCGAAGTGGTGAGGCTTCACAACAACCGGGACCACCTCACAGACGAATACGAGCAGACTATATTACACTTGATATATGCAGTGAGTGGTAGGTGGCTAGAATCAGCAGGCGAGATGGGGCATTTTTTCAGTGACCAGCATTATGAGTTCGCTTTCGAAGAGATGGAATCCATGCTCCGCCTTCGGGACGGCCGCACAGTGAATTACTTGTTACTGATGGCTTTATACTGCACAAGGGCTCCGAAGGACCCTGGGGCTTGGACTTACGTGGGAGCTGCTATGAGACTATGTATAGAATTAGGGTTACATCGCCGACCCCGGAGACAGCAACCGAGCGTCGAAGGCGAGATGGACAAGCGACGATTTTGGACGGCTTATTTCCTCGATCGTGATATTTCGATCGCTGTGGGACGTCCCCCTACCATATCGGATCATGATATCGACGCAGAATTGCCTCTCGATATTAATGAAGATACGCTTGATACCGAGGTCATACGCCAGGCGTCAATGCGTGTCAACGATATCCCAGTCTGCCCTTCTAGCACGTTAACATCCTTCATCCACCGGACCCGACTTAAGCGAATAGAGTCGGAGATCCAACATAACGTTTACAGAGTCGATAGACCAAACGACGTCTCGGACGCCACCATAGGCGAATTCCTCAACAGACTAAATGCCTGGAGAGATGCTATACCTTTCGAGACGACCCACTACGTTCACAAACAGGAGAATCCCTTCGAGGGCGCCGAGTTGTACACGCTTCACTATTATCGTTGCGTGAGGTTTCTACTATACCCTCAACTCGCTAAGAACCCGGTAAACATGCACTACTTGAAACTTACCGCGGACGCCTGCATAGGCATCATCACAGATTATCGAAAGCTACACCAAACTTTCCCTATTGGTTTCTCTGCGTTGTCGATACAATCTGTTTTTTTGGCAGGTAAGTGATCTTCACTACAATATCGCCTACCATTCCACATAGATACTTACTAACATGCAACAGGGTTAACTCTGATATACTGTGCATGGCTGGCCCCTATGAACTTCATCAGCGTCGAGGGCCCGCTGACAGACTGCCAAATTCTCCTATATATCGTCACGGAGCGTTACCCGTCAGCTAGGAAGTATCGGGACGTATTCGAGCGCATCAAATCTTCCATAATGGGTATTATTATGCAGGGGAAGCACGAACCTCGAAACCCAGTGCAGATAGACCCGAACGTTCAGAAGGGATTTGCGAGCTTCGAAGGACAGTGGGCTCCGGGCATGGGCGCTGACTTCTCTTATATGGTCAACGCGATGACAGGGAATATGACGGTTCCTCAATTTGACTTGTCCATGGATCCATCGACAGGGTTGATCGGCGGGCACCCCGACCAATCTACCTCGAACCTGGACCAATATCAAGCGGTCTGGTCCGGGATGCCGCAGCCGATGCCTCACGAATTAGGCGATGTGAATAATCTTGGTTCACTATACCAATGATCACATTCACCCTTCAAAAATATCGAATTCAATATCTACCTACCGGAGTTGAGGAAGCGGGATATACGACTACGTCGCGATACTGCTAGAACGTGTTTTAATGGCTTTGTTAGGAGGCAAGATCCGTCCTAGAATCATGCAACGAAACATTAGACATAGATGTCGAATCCGCCGTGATCCATGTTTTTCCTAGGTGAATAGTGACGCTGATGATGACACGCCCAGACCACCCAGATACCCGGTCTCTATGAAGTGACTTCATCGAAGTCCATATTGCCCCACCAAACCCCATATTGAGCAAGCACCTCGGGACTCAACTCTGACATGCGTAGGGGTGGTATCTCCGGCTTGGCACGTCACTAAAGCCTACTAAACGAGTAAACGTGCCGAGCCGCAGACGCAGCTGCTTCACTGTCGGATAGGGACTCCCGATGATGACACGCTAGAGTAACGCCAGTCAATGGGTAGCTTACCAAGATCTGTCTCTTTTTCCCTTCTACTCGCAGTAGTATAAGAACCAATATCTTCACCTAAGTTTCCAACGAATTGTCGCCGTCAAGGTTCCCCGTTTGTAAACTATCGTCACTTCTCCTCTCAGGGTATCTCCCCCGAGAGGTGCATCGACATATAAATTTCGGCGCGGGATGTGCGGGGAGAACTAGACATTCCACGGCGTCCGCTGGCTTCGAGAGTGATTTGTGAAGCGAGAGAACTTGGCAATCGAGCTGCCAGCGGAAAGGGGAGTGCCAGTCAGAGCAGCGATGCAGATTCCTGTGAATGGGCTGATGGGTAGGTAGGTATAGACCTGTCGAGGTGCTCAAACCTGGCAGTTGTGCGTTACGACTGTTGTCTCGGCATCACATGTCACGTACTGGCATGGTGGTTTGATGCAGTGGTCCCAGTGTGAGAGCTGTCTCTCGCCACTTATGTCCTATATCACGCTGCTTGCCCCGTAGTAGGGCCGGTGTAAGTTCTGGTGGGGAAGATATACACGATGGAGGTGATGATGGCTGGCAAGGTAGGCCATATACCCTTCACCGGTCTGAGGCAGGAGGCGCATAGAAGCTGGCAAAGCATCCACTTACCATCATCTTATCCAAGGGGGTCGCCGTTGCTTAGACAGAAAGGTGACCAATGAGTGTGATTGATCTGGGTGACTCTGGAACCAGGCTTCGTGGCCCCAAGTCCAGGGGCTGTGAATGAGCATGTGAGAGAATATACCTAAGAGGGCTCAGAAGTTTCCAGTACATGCAGTACCTACCGTAACAATACCTAGTGTTCACTGAGATAGGCAAATAAGACATGCATCAGATTATAAAATGAAGATCCGAGGAGAATATTCCAAACTCATCCTATTGGACCTCCTACTACCTACAGGGACAGCTATAAGCAGCGAGTACCTTGCTGGACATGTGAGATGAGATTACTCATGTTAGGTACCTATCCCAACACCGCAACCTTATACAATTATCACTTCCCTCCACTCAGCAACTTATTCTCATACTGGCCTTCGGGCAGCGGACCATAATCATCTGCGTTTTCCACCTTGGCCTCATAACCAACAGCTTTAGCGAAGTCCGCCAGGAAACCCCATCTGACTTTCTTGACCCATCCTTTCTTCATGAAGTCGTTCGCAGGCTTAGGGAAGAAATCTGCCACACCTAGCAGGTACTGCTCGTGAGCCGGAACGACGAGGATATTGTCGTACGCATCGACCTCCTGAAGCTTCCTGATACTCTCGATTGCTTCTTCTACGTTCTCGTGGACAGTGGGCTGGTCGTTCGGGGAGGTGGCAGAAGGGACGTAAATCGGCTGCTCTTTGCCGTCGCGCAGAACCTTCTCGAATATTTCGCCAGGGCACGGCGTCGGTGCTACCGGGTCGAAGGGGTGAGGCGAGATCTGATCTGGCAGCGGGTGATAGTGGTGCGGTCTGAGTTCGCCACCATGATGGATGATGTCGCCTCCCATCAAGATGAAGCTGTCCGGATTACTGGTCACGCGCGCCAAACCGCATATATGGCCGATGCAATGCCCTGGGGAATCGAGGAAGTAAAACGACCCGTCGCCGAAGTAGTCGATGGCGGGAAATTTCCCGATCTTGATTGGCGAATTGCTGAAGTCCAATTCATGAACTTCTCGGCCTGCATAGTCGGCCTCGAGAAGGAATCTGGACTCAGGGTTTGCCGGATATCCCGGGAAGACTTTGGTCTTGACTCCGGGTCCCACGATCAGCTTCGTATGAGGTTCGAAGGTCGTCGGGTCTCCCGTATGGTCCAGGTGCGCATGAGACCATATGACGGCCTCGAGGCTTTTGGTATCGACACCATTATCATCCAAGATCTCTCGTACATGTCTGGGTACGATGATGTTGACATTGACATTCTTGAATTCCTCCACGAGAACAGGAGGCCAATTCCAGATATCTTTCCTGAGGCCGAGATCAAAGACCATCGACCGGTTCTGAACTGGATGTTTAATTAAGAAGGAGTATATCGGCGCTGCCAGGTAATCATGTCCGGGGACCGCAGGCGAGATAAATCGCCCAGGATGAAGCCCACGAATGGTCTGCTCCGTGTTTATGATGGAGACATCCACGATGGACGTCGAGGCGGGGATGTTTAGATCCGGAGCTTTCGCCATGATTATTATTATTATTTGCCCAGGTACTGATGATATTTCAATAATTGCGCGAGTCTACCTAGGTTTGAATTTCTTGACTTCGCCCTTTTCAAGCTCATTTGAGTGTTTTTATACTCCGCAGTTCTAACATGGGTTATTGTATGATGCCCAGACCCCTAACAATACCTACCTAGGTAATTGTCAGCACGGGACAAGTCAAGCACCGTCGACGCAGCATATCGGATCGCTTTCGTGCACTTCTCGGCCTTGATTACCTCACACGTTACTTACCTAGTCCCGATCGGGTGGCGATGGTAACGAGTCCCGCACAAGGTATAGGTCGATCTGCATCACGCCAACCACTCACCTATGTTAGCACCTTACCTACTAGGCATTGTTAATGCAGGTTGGCTCAGCTAATACTACTCAAATGCGCCTTGGAGTTATCGGACATACTGTATAGGACTTCTTGGGTACCTACCTAGGTACCTGACAGCATAATGTTCCCTCATCACATCTATCATGATCAAGTTAGAATTTTACTTGCAATTTTCTATTCGACAAGATCCGCTTAAATCAGAAGACCCTGATTCCGCAGTCTCCTAACAACACCCGAAATATAGAGTACTAGTCAAGTTGCCTATCAGAAACTAAGTGCTAGTGTGTGGCTCGTTACATTTCGTCATATTGCGAGTGAAGCCAGTAGAAGTCGTCATAAGGGGGGATTATATATCTAAAACCATCAGGTCTCTGTCAAGAGTATCCCCGGTTTTGGGGAGTACCGTGACGGTAATCTATTTCATGATCTACGGGCAGATAAAGGTTCTCGATCACTGTAAATGATTCAATTACCCCTTTCAAAACGTGCTTGGAGGCCTTTACTCTTGAGTTTATATCTAGCGTTTTCTCTCATGCGTCTAACCCATGCTTGAGTTAGGCCTTGTCGACATGCTCTGCGGTAGCCAACTTGTCTGATCCTGGAATACGGCCTCCGACATCCTTCAAAGCCTCGGTAACGATCGTCGTCTTGAAGGTCTTGAAGTTACGGACGGAAACGCGGTTTGCGAAGAGTTCATCAATTTCCTCCAGCGTTCTCCCTTTAGTCTCCGGAACGCACAGATAGAAGAACACCAAGCAACAAAGATTTGACCCGGCCCATATGTATGCATATTTCGCTCCCTGTTGAATTGAGTTAGTTGAGTAGTCTTGTGATGCAGCTGAATGGATGTCAAGCTTAGGTCTACGCACCCAATTGAGGTCACCTGGGTTGATGAAATATGGAGAGCAAAATCCCGTAAGCCATGCGAGGAAGTATCCCAAACTGATAGCTGATCCGACAGACCATGATCTCAATCTTGTGCTCACCATTTCCGTTGCCGTTGGATATGTGGCGTCACCAACAAATGCATTGTAGCAGAATTGGTAGAGGGCAGTAAACGCAATGACACAATTGCGAGCTGGGAGTGTACCATAGGCAACAGTTGCCGAAACGGCCATTCCAAGCATCGCGAAACCTTGAGTGACTGCACCTATCATTAAAACCGATCTCCTACCCAGAACGTGGCGCATCAGATACATCCCGACGTTGACACCGATGAAGCCTAAACAAGTGTTCATAACCGAAAACTTGAAGGCGTCGTCGACGGATAGTCCTGCCACGATCATGAAATAAGTTGAGTAGCTGATGATAAACCACGAGCCTGCGCCGGTTTGAGTAGCAATGATACCATAACATAAAAGTGTACGCCTTAGTTCAGTCCCTGTATTCTTTTTGTAAGCATGTTCATAACCTAGGTAGTAATAGAGAGAAGGGGAAGTCGATTGATACCTCTGAACATGTCTAGTGGCCCAATTGTACTAGCTGTATGCTTTTCCTCTTCGATACCCTTGACCATTTCAACCCATTCAAGCTCAAGGTCTTCGGGAGATAACGAGTCCCCTCTTAAACTTTTGAGTGATCGTCTTGCCGTCTCGCTATCCCCCTTATATAGCAAATAACGGGGCGACTCGGGTACGAAGAAGAGTCCGATAGTCAGGAATGCCGGAACGATGAAAAGGGTTCCGAGTGGAATTTGGTAGGAAGCCTTATCTAGTCGGTTCTTGGTGGCGTTGGTTACCGCAGCCCCTATAATACTTCCAATATTAACCCATTCCGAAAAGAGAGCTACCATGACGGCGCGAAGGTGGGCTGGAGCTGCTTCGGCAGTCTACTCCTTGTTAATACGTGAACATTAGCTTAAGATATCTTACTCTTGGGATCTATTCTGTGGTGGAAAATAAAGTAGGAGCTTATATAGGCCACACGTACTGCGAAAATAGTCAGCCGCTGAGGAGAAACTTAGAAAGGATAGCGATGTGAACATGAAGGCCCCATAGGGTAGAATTGTACATACCATAAATGTTCGAGAAAGTTACTAGGAAGCCATTGGCCAACCCAAGGACAAGTCGGCCGACATAAACGGCAGCTTTGTCTGTTGTAGAGATTTGTATGATGCACGCAACCGCGTTCAAAACACATGCAAGCCACAACGCAACCTTTCGGCCGAAGAAATGGGCAAATGCCCCAGCAATGAGGGAGGATAGGAAAGCACCCAGTGTAAGAAGCGAGCCAATTAGTCGCTGGAATGTCCCCTGAGTATCATGGTTAGTATAGTGAAGAGTAAATGATGAAAGTAGGATTGAATTACCTCTATCGCATAACCACTTGGCTGGCTAGGATCTTTGTAACCAAACACTTCAAGAAATCCAGGCATTGCCTGTAAGGATCCTATTGCCGCTGAGTCAAGCCCATACTGCATATTTGCTATTGCAACAATAGCACATATGAGTAAGCATTTTCGATTCGCCCAGAGGGATGTTTCAGGTATTTTCGCCACGGCCTCCATGTTTGATTTCACTTGTTCCAAGTCAGAATACAACATGAACCAAGAGAAATGTATAACAAGATAGCTTCTTGGTTCAATACCAAAGGCCAAGCCATACTGAATATTTATAGAGACGGACGGCTACCCCAACTTTTTATGAAGTATCCTTGTATGGGGATATATGAGCTTACCCTAAGAAAGCGACACGATCTTCGCATTTTACCTGTTATTGACATGGAGTTTCCGAATTGGTCCTCCCCGCATTTCGGTACTTACTACCCGGACAACGACGACGCTTCTGGGCCAGCAAGTATTATAGCTGAGCATAGACCCTGCCAATAGGATTTGTGGTATCAAGAGGTTTCGGTAACGTGGTAGCTATTAGCTCCAAGTACCTAGACGTCAATGTTCCATGGAATGGCAAGTTGCGAATTGGAGATATCTCTAAGCTTCGCCGAGGTCAATAATGAGACAAGGTTCGCTGGAAGCCTGAAACTGACTTAAGTGACTGTGAAGTCTTATGATGTCTCCGTCTTCTATCAAACATTCGCTCGTCTCGTACTGAGTCTTCAATGAAACAACTCAAGGTATGTAAGACATAATTTTCGTTGTGAAGGAGATTGAATGCCATCGTTCCGCAAAAATGTTGCGTAGGAATATTAAGTAATCCCAACTGACTTAATGATTTTGTTTCCTTTCTTTCCTTCGACATCATAGAATCGAAATGTTGACTCTCCCCTATTCCAAAAAGGAGAAAGTTCATGAGATGTGCTGGACGTTAGCGCAAGACTAGAACCCCACAGAATGACCGTTCCAGATGCGGAGAGCTTACGTTACGGATCAACCCCATATAAAACATCCAATGACGGTTATTCCTAAACGCTAATTTTACTCCGCGATTATTCCGCAGACCCCGTAAATCAGCCATACCAGCTCATACGTGGGCTTCGATATCCAAAAATAACCGTTTATGTACAGTTAGGCCCCACTTCCAATGTCGACACCTGGCAATTGACACGGGCATGGGTTGGGAAACAACGAAGCTCCAGAAAAAGACAAAGCCAAAGAAAAAAAAATCTCCGTCTCAGAAACTTATCAACAACCAAGAAATCTATCTTGTATCCTTGCTTCACACATCATTATTGATGCATTGAAGGCTCTACCACGGCTCGTTGTGCCCTCTCGGCATCTAACCTATGGTGGATTGTCTAGCATATCTAATATCTATTATCTATTACCTCTAACAAGTATTTTGACGAAGCTTCTTTTCTTCCTTTCCTAGTCCGGAGCCCAGACTCCGACCTACGTAATCGTATGCGACGATGAGGTTCTCAATCCTCTCCGTCGGCCTCCTGGCCGTCCTCACACCGCTGACTTCGGCGTGGACGAAAGAAGGCATGTGTTGACCTGCAGCACTATTTCGCAACTATTTACTCTGCCATCTACCTTGCCACATGTGTTAACTTTAGCTATCCATTCTCTAGACCGCGAGATCTTCCGCCTCCGCGACGAACTTGCCCAATATGAGGGTCCCGACGTAACCTTCTACGACTTTCTCGGCGTGACCTCCCGCGCGACCCAAGACGAGATCAACAAGGCGTACCGGAAGAAATCACGATCCCTACACCCCGACAAAGTCAAGCAGCAGCTGACCGCCGAGCGCGCCCGACAAGCCGCCAAGTCCGGCAAAGGGGGGTCCAAGGGCAAGAAGCCCGGCGTAAAAGTAACCAAACCGCCCACGCCGTCCGAGATCAAAGCCGCCGTCAAGCTGGCCGGAGACCGGCAAGCACGCCTCTCCATCATCGCCAACATCCTGCGGGGCAGCGGCCGCGCCCGCTACGACCACTTCATGGCGAACGGGTTCCCGACGTGGAAGGGCACCGAGTACTACTACAGCCGGTACCGGCCGGGCCTCGGCACCGTGCTCTTCGGCGTGCTGCTCGTCGGCGGCGGCGGCTTCCACTACCTCGCCCTGTACATGAGCTGGAAGCGGCAGCGCGAGTTCGTCGAGCGGTACATCAAGTTCGCGCGGCAGGCCGCCTGGGGCGAGAACTTGGGAATTCCCGGCGTCGAGACCGCGCCTGTGACGGCGCCGCCCCCGCCGCCACCCGCCGGCGACGATGATCAGGGCCCCCCGATGGCGATGAATCGCAAGCAGCGCCGCATGCAGGAGCGGGAGACCCGTAAGGAGTCCGCTAAGGAGGGCAGACGCCAGCCCCGTGGTAGAGCCCGCCCCGGACAGCAAGCTAGCGGGAGTGCAACGCCGGTGCCGCAGAACCAAGGATCCGGTCCCAGTGGTGCGAAGAAGCGTGTCGTGGCCGAGAATGGCAAGGTCTTGGTTGTGGACTCGCTTGGTGATGTATATCTTGAGCAAGCGGACGCCGATGGAAATGTGGAGGAATTCCTTCTTGACGTAAGTCCAGCCCACACTATTCGCCCTGACTACTTCAATGGATGAAATCAAGACAAAATTGAATGACTAACAATCAACGTTATATAGCTCAACGAATTTCCTAAGCCTACAATCCGTGACACCGCACTCTTTAAGCTCCCGAAATGGGCCTATGCCGCAACCATCGGAAAGGTGCTCTCCCCCAAATCCGCCGACAACCTAGACGAGCAAGTAGACTCGGACCTGGACCTCGAAGTCCACGAGACCGAAGCCCCCGTCGACGACGACTCCTCTTCTTCCTCGCCGGCCCAGCGAACGCCGTCCACCGACTCGGCCGAGGACTTCGAGCTGCTGGAGAAGAGCGTCGAGGAGCTCCCCAGCAACAAGCAGAAGACGGCGACGACGGGGAGCCAGGCGCAGCAGCAGAAGGCCAAGAAGAGGAACAAGAAGAGGTAGGACCTGAGGGATCTCGGGCCAAATGGAAAGAAGTTAAAAAATAGACGAGATAGGGGGAGTCTTGGGAGTGTCTTTTTTGAGTCCTTGAAGGAAGGGGTTAGGGGCGTAATGTGACGTTCCCTCCCGCCGACGGGCTCCGTGGTTTCCGTAGTTTGCAGCATAGAAATAAAATGAGTTCGTCAAACTTGCAGACTCTCTGGTGTTGCTTTAGAGTTATCTCGGGTAGCCGCTCAGGAGGTTCTTTTGAGCTTTCTAGATGATGGATCTCCTGTTAAACGTGGTTATGGTCGTGTAAAATCGCAACTCCTCGAGGGCCAAATTAGCGCTCTGTAGACCTTTCGAGATGATACGCAATCTGTTCATTTATTTATGTACCGGAAGATGACCAGCTTGTAGATCGGCATTCTTTCGTCAAAGTTGGTATCCTACACTATGGTACAGAAGTAATGTCTACGAATATGGTCTTCATCACCTAGACACAACTAGAGAACATAGATCAAACTGTAGAATAGCATTTATTTATTTCGTTTTTACGCTACCTAGGTAGTATTCAACATGGTATAGGTCGTCACTTGATCGTAGACATGCTTGGTGTAATTTGAAAGCGGTTAAAGGGGCTGGATTTTGTTTACTGTGATAAAGTCGTAGGTATAGGGGACGGGAGAGGGCTTTTGGGTAAGGGAGATGGAGTCATAGATGTGTATTCTACGGCATGGGACTCTGAGAAGGGCAATGGATATACATACCTTGATAGGGCGTTATGATCTCCGGGTGACTGGAAGTCAGAAGGGTTAGCCATACACTGAGCCAATGAGAGGGGGTGGGGTAGAGAGATATAAAGGCTATGAAGGGAGAAATCCTCAACTCCGTCCCATGATGACATGAATTGATGTACGTGCAGTCCAATCTGAATGCTCTCCCATGCCACCAAAATCTCTCTTCAGAGCTATGATATGCCGTCGCCTCCTATGCTATTCGTTCCCAATAATCCCTCATGATCTAGCTATTTGGGCTAAGTAAGCTGTGCTAGTCTGCTGTGCTGGTTTGCTAAGAAATAGATACAGGTTGACTTATATTTCCATATTGTCCATCTGTTGAAATGCCCCGTATTGGTTCTCCATGGCTTGCTGTTGTCTCGTCCAGTCGCTATCATAGACAGGATCCGTCGCTGGGCGGTAGGTGGGCCCGCCGACAGCGGTACCAAAATGGCTATACACGTCTTTCGGTATTGTCATGGCCTCCTCATATTGCTGTCGCGCCGATTCTTCATATTCTCGTCGAGCTAAAGCTTCGTAACCAGACATCATGTAGGGCTCGACATCAGTCATAGCCACCCATCGTCCGTCTCCTGTTTGAACCGGTGTCAGGGGCGTGCCGTCCATCGACATAACAGTGTTATTTTGCGCCTCTTCCGCCAATCGACGTTCATAGCGGAGTTGAGCTAAGAATTCCTCTTCTTCAACTGTCGTAGTAGACAACGCAACGGCCGGGTTGTCTCGGGTGTTTGAAGGAGGGCAAATCTGCCATAGCTGGATCAGACGCAGTTTCTGGGAGTCGTCGGCAGTCTTAAAAAGTTCCAACTGCGCCGCGGACAGGCCTGCATGATCAATGCCATGTTTGTTTAAAATAGACTCGGCAGATGGCTCTTGTGTCTGCGGAGGCTCCGAAGAAGGACGCCGGTATTCGACCGGATGGTCGTCTTGGTGAGCAAGATGGGCGGAATGGTGATAGTGTTGAGAAATAGAGTATGTTATTTCCCGTTCTGGTTGTTGGAGTTCCGATGTTTCTCGAGGAGCCTGAACTGGTTGAGGCTGTAATGTGAGGTTTCGAGAGAACATCGCAGCGAGCTCGTCGCTGGTCTGTACGTCTGACTGAGGATACGTCATTTTCTAAAACACGACCGGGTTAGAGATGTCTGGAGACTTGGGAACCGAAGGGTATTCACCGCGAGCAAATTGATAGGCCGACTGCTTCGCTTGTTCTGGGATGAGCGAAGATATCTGCGTTGAGGTGAGGATTCTGATTTATGTACCAAATATGAACAGACAAAAAATGATCTGAATGCTGTAAAACGAGAACTGCAAGAACTCTGTCTTATATTGACTATGCTAAGTACTTGAATTGTGCTAGAAGTCTCGTTACGCCTTGGAAAGGAGGATCCAAGAAAGCACAATAATGATGATGAGGACGGGATGTCCTTTTTCTTTCTTTGGTTTCTTTGGAGCTGGTGACTCGAAAGTCAGTCAATGCAAGGTAGGCAGACAAGCGGTCAATGTCAGTGACTCTGAACCCTGAAAGGAGTCCAGGTGTTGTTAGAAGAGCGGGGGGGGGATCGAGGGTGCTGGCTAAAGGGATGAACTCGAGAAGTGAAACAATGGATATCTACAATGTAGAGGGAAATAACAACGAAGTATCCGATTATAATAGGAAATCTTAAAACAGGAAGGTTTGGGAAGTAGTCACTTGGAGTAAATAACCTTCAAATGTAGAAGGGAAGACTGAGGTTGATGATGAAAGCGCATTGAGAGACCCGCCGGGAGATGACGGGGATTCGACGCACGAATCAGGAACGATGGAGGGGAGAGGGGTAATGTCTGAGATCCCATGAATCCATCTGAATGCTGAGATGGCAGGCTCTAGCGTCAAAACGAGGGGCAATTTTAGTGGGCTGAAGGTCGCCGGGCCGGAACCATTGGCGCCCAAAGCAACCCAAGACTCCACTAACGTTTAATAAACTCATTCGTGGCAGCTGTGCGTTGTGCGTGGCAATCGACAACCTTGGAACATTCAATCCATATGTACCTGCGTCCTTATAATTTTACCCCTATTCTGCCATCGCTTCATGCAACTCTAAAAAACATATCCTAGCACTTCAGGTGCTCATGCGCTATAACTAATGCATGCCATGAGTTTATCATCAGACCGAGATCGCTTACATACATATTATGGGTTAACTATCATATATCAAACTTCAATATCTACGCGTTAAAAGGAAAACTACTTCGTATCCCAATAGATCCAAGTGAGGCCGGGAAATCCCGTATTGAAGTACGACTGACCTCGAGTTCATCTACAATGATAGGCTTCCAAGAAGCTGGTATGTAACGCTAATATGCACAACATTTGAGCCCTGCAGTTTTGCCTAAGGTAATCACAGAAGCATTGCTATGGAGCCTGCTATTTCGTACCTCTTTCGTTTCTCCTGATCTCCGTGGTCCTTACCGAAATTAACTTGCTACGCGATGGCGTACATTCACACGTACGTAAAGTCAGCCCTTGCATAACACATAAGATACCTAAGTCAGAAACCTAGGTACCTAGGTATGGATGTATATTGAAGTCTGGAGAAGGGAATCAGTGAAGGCATGATGTGATCCTCTTAAACCACACATCCATGACACATAATCAGCTAGTTTCCATGTCAATAAAGCGGACTAGGAAAACATAGTCAATGGACTAACTTCTGACGCTGTGCGAAACAAGTTTAGGCGATCTCCCTTTCTGGTGAGCATAGTTTGAGTTTTGATCTCGCGACCTAACTGCGTCCACCAACCAATACACCTATCTCGTGGACCTGCTAGGTACGTTCGTGAGTGGCATGGTTCCTGACATTGCGGCGTTTAGTACCTAGGTAGTTATTCATACCTAACTTCTCATCTTCTCCGCTGCCGCTTTCCCAAGAGTCATAGCCGTGGCGCCACCCAGGATTTCAAAGATAGCCAGGTCGACTTTCAGGACTTTAAGAAACCAATTCCGTAGTTCCACGGCGATCAGCGAATCGACTCCATAGGTATGTAACGGTTGATTTAGATCAAAGTTGTCCCGCGGCAGAGAGAAGATTGCGCCGAGCCTTGTTGCAAGGCTATTTGCTAGGATATCTGTGGCTTCGCCTAGTGACTTGGATGTAGCAAGCTGGTCGACCAGCGTCGGACCGCTAGTACGTTCGATTTTGGAGTTGGTATTAGATGTAGTCACCTGATGAAGGTTGGCGAACATCGGTTCATACATCCATTTCGAGGGCTCGATGCCACGATTGATGACATTGGCAGGGAGTTCAAGGCCTAGAACAACCTGAGATCGTGTGGGATCGATTGGAAGAGATTTATTGCAGAAGACTTCCAGAAGGGCAAGTACCTCTGCTTCATCGATTGGCAGCATCTGTTTGATATTCATAAACCGGAGCAACATTTCTTTATTCTCTGCGATGTATCCATCGCTGGTAAGGATACCAAGGTCCAAAGATACAGCCTTTTCTCCTCGACTCAATCGATACTGGGCCAATCCGTCCTGGAATGTGTTCCCAGTCGCATAATTTGACTGTCCCTGTGAGCCGATTATTCCAGAAATTGACGAAAACAGGATGAAAAAGTCCAGATCTCGTGGCAGTTGTTGATGTAGATTCCATGATCCGAGGACTTTTGGTTTCGTCGAAGCAATCCACGACTCGTAGCTCATATTCTCAAACATGGAATCCTAAGTGATGTTAGTATTATATCAGCAGTTTCTCGGAACAGTTCTTACCCTGATGTCCATTGCCGCTTGTATACACCCTTTGATAGGCGGCATGTTGTGGCTGCAATAATTCAAAACCTCCCTAAGCGATTCTGGACTGGTAATATCACACTTGGGGATATAGACAGTAGCACCCTTTTGCTCTAAGTTTCGTACGAATGACCTCGAACGATCGTCCTTTAATCCGGTACGGGAGAGCAAGACGAGATTCCGAACTCCTTTTGAGACCATCCACTTGGAGATACTTCGCCCCTGTCCTCCGAGGCCTCCGGCTATCACAAACGTCTCCTTTTCATTGAACTCCCAGCCTGGCTTGTGCCTGACGATTTCCTGGGCTCAAGTTAGATATAACGCAAGTATGTTTTAAAGTCAAAGGGTTTAGGTACTTACCGGGACAATATCGTCCGGATTAATCTCGACGACAACTTTCCCAGAGTTGCTACCACTTTGTAGATAGCGAAAAGCAGGTTCGACTTGAGATATCGGAAAAGACTTGATCGGCGACACCAACCGTAAGATGTCGCGATTGAAAAGATCCGATATGGCGACTAAGGCATTCTGTATCAACCTTGGCTTTTCTGCAATTATGGCCGCTACATCGACAGCACTGAAGGAAATGTTCTGAGCAAATTGATACATTGGCAACTTGTTGTGGGAGACGATGTCCCTCTTCCCGATTTCAATGAATCTGCCGAAGGAAGCGACACACTCCCACGAAGCAACCAAAGCGTCGCCCGCCAAAGAGTTCAGCACAACATCGACACCCTTACCCCTCGTCAGACGCTTGATCTCGCTAGCAAAGGAGAGATCTCTGCTATTGAGGATATTGTCCGTTGGTATATCATATAGCATATTTAATAGCTCCCTTTTCTCTGGAGAACCAACAGTTGTGAAGACTTGTGCGCCACAGTACTTGGCAATCTGAATTGCAGCCTGGCCTGTTCCACCAGCACCAGAGTGAATCAACACTGATTCACCCTCAGAGAGCCTGGCGACGACGACCAGCGAATGATACGCAGTGACGAAATTGATGCCCAATGAGCTGGCATTCCTCATTGTCATCCCGCCAGGAATCTTCACTGCTAATTCCTCTTTACATCGGAGCCGAGTCCTGAAAGAATCCAGAGCGCACGCGACAACGTGGTCGCCTGGGCGGAGTTGGCAGCTAGAACCTGCTTTGATGACTACCCCAGCACATTCGCATCCAAGATTATCATCAGGAATGCGTCCAAGAGCTACGAGGCAGTCTTTGAAGTTAACCCCTATTGCTTTTATCTGAACTTCGATCTCATCGTTAGCAAGTTGTCCAGCATCAGGAACCTCTTCGAAGTATAGCGTGTCCAGAAGCCCATGCTGTCTCACTTTGAGTTTCGTGTCGTACGGACCAAGACATCCAGGTTTTCCGAAAGATACCGACGAAGTTACATGAACTTTTTGATTTAAAGAGTCATTTTCGTAGACTCGGGGTATATGAAACATGTCTCCAACTTGAACCAACTCCGGTTCATAGGATCCTGAATCTACCCCGCGAAGATAGTTCGAGAATGCATTTTCTAGATTTTGTTCCACGACAGCTGTGCGAGAGGTGTCAATGCCGACCGTTGCAAAAATATGGTTGTGATTCTCCATCCGCAGGGTCCTGGCTAAGCCTTGGACGGTATTAATAAGAGAAACATCCTGCGAAGATGGAATTATCTCCGATATCCACATGATGTATTTGCATCGGTTAACTGTCGTATGGAATAGTGCATACTCTTCGGTGCTTAGCGATTCAAGTAATAACCAGCGGCGATCTTGAACAACGATGATCAACTTAGATCTGGCATCCTCCTGTGCTGCCACTCCACGGAAACTGCTCTCAGTTATGTCTGTAATGCCCATGGCTCTTAACTTCGAATAGACTTGCTTTGTCAGGGCTGAACCTGAAGGGTTGTCGAAGCTGCTGATGATCAGTACTGTTTTTTCTTTGGTGAGATTTGCTTCCCGAGATTCCACTGATGACCCTATGTTAGATGAAACGAAAACGGTTGATAGCTTGTTGCCTTCGATATTAAAATCATTGAAGGCGAAATCAACTCCAGTAAAGCCACTTTTCTTTAGCTCTGGAGACCAGCGTGTTTCAACTACATTAGAGCCTCCTTGCTGTAGAACTTCTTCCCCTGAATTTTTATTTTAGTTAGACATGCATGTGCTCTGGTTTGACTGGAGACACCTACCGTGCCACCATCCTGGAAAACAACCAAGAATTGAGCGGCCAATTATGGAGTCTGGGATGGTGAAATCTACGATAAGGAGCTTCCCGCCACTGTTCGCATCATTAGTATCAAAAGCGTGTGTTTATTGAACCGATTTTAGCATACTCTCGTAGTAATTTCCGGAAGTTTCCAAGTGACGCTATTAGGGGTTCCGTGGTGTCAGGCACCTATTGGATTGAATATGTAAGCGCCATCTATTCGGAGGTAATAGAGATTTACGTAGGCATACTTACATTCACCACGATCACTAGATCGTAAAAATTCTCTTCAAACCCTTGGTTTGTCGGTTTCTCCTCGAAATTGAACAGGCGAAATTGCGTTTTCGGCAGTGTGCCGACTACCTCTGAGACTGCCTCAAGTGTAGAACCCAACGAGTCGGTGATATCGTAACGTGAGAATCTGCAGAATGGACCGTCGGATGTTTGTAATCTAAGTTGAGACAGAACAAACTTCGATATTGAGACAATACCGGCTCCTACTTGTAGTATTCTCATGGCAGGATTCTTATGTGCTAGAGTGTCAATATACCGAATTAATGGGTGATGGAAATTAGAATCATCGGCCAGCAGTCTGTAGTACTCGTCGATAATATTGTTTTGATTAAGCACTTGACTTGCTTCTGTTTTTCCTTGGAGAATCCGTGTCATATGGGTGTCAAAATCAACATATATATCTCCAAGGCGGCTAGTATGTGTTTTGAGACGGTCCCTGAGATTGTTCAACAGGGGTTCATTCATATATTTCATCCAATCCGAGGGTATTTGCAATGAAGATTGTTGTTTGGTCGAAGATATTTGCTTTCGCATCCAGGAATATTGCTTCTGAAGATGTGTTTCGAATGTTTGTGAAGTAGGTATAGCTATCGCATCTACTGCTCGACTCAGTGATGTAAGTATGAATAATTTCAAGGTTCGAAAGAACTCAGTTGTCTGCGGGTTACTGCGAGTATAGTCTTGTAGATATTGTATTATCAAGCTGGGGCCTACCGGGTCGAGATCTGGCTTGTACAGAAGGTCATGGCAGAGCTTTTTCACTGACGGTTGGTTTGTTGCTAGCTCTTGAATGCTGTCTGTGATGGAGGTAGTTTCAACGCCTTCGGCTTCGAGAATCCAAGTCTTTGTGTCTTCACTCATAGCATGTATGCTGAAGACTTTTCGCCTAGAGCTCATGGCACATCTATTCATGTAAACCTCGACCTCGTCACTTTGGGTCGCACTACCGCAACCGACATTCGAAATTCGTAGGCTAGCAAGAAATGTAGGGATCCATACTTCGGCTTTGTCACTGCCACGTTTCTGGGTGCTTTTGGAAACACATAACTGGAAAATACTGTCGAGTGTGCAAGGATGGAGTGCCGAGAATTTCTTGCTAGGTGAGTCGATCTTAGGGCTTTGCATTGACACATTCGCTACCGCTTGGTTGTAGTCGTTCCGGAACAACCACTTCACCCCCTGAAAGGACAAGCCGTACTGATATCCGTCCTTGCGTAAATCTGCGTAGAAGTCTCGACAGTGCATTTCAATACCACAATATGAACGAGCTTCTTCAATCAGTTCGTGTACATATTTAACCTGGAGTGCATCCACGGGATTTTTGGAAGGGTTAGGCGCCGATATATCTGTCTTGATAGAACCTCGACAGATTTCTGTGAAATTCTCCTTGCATAAAAACAAGGAAAAGGATGCCGAAGAACTCGCCATTTCGGTAGCGTCCTGAGAAAGTTTGAGATGGAATTGCACTTCGACGCCGCTGTCATTCTGGGGGATGACGAGTGCAGAAAAGAATCGGACATCTTTTAACTCGTATCCTACAATGGTACGGTTCTCCATAACCTGAGTCATGCCTTCAATTGCCATTACAAGCATACCAGCTGCAGGGTACAATATTTCGTTATTGATCTATTCCTGGATTAGTGACACTGTAAAAAGACGAAGCTGTGGCGACATTAAAAGGGGGCAAAGTCAAATTATCATTACCTGGTGATCCTTCAGCCATGGAATTGATGATACCCTCAAGGTATTCCGCCATCGCGGCTCTAATGGGTTCCAGTCGGCTACTGGATGTCCTATGAATTCACTGTATGGGTATGGGCAAATCCGACTGTTCTTCGCAATACGCGACTCGCTCCAGTATGACCGCGAGTGGTCGTAAGGGTATTCAGGTAATGTAGCCAACGTTCTGGGTACACGTTTAAGTTCGTCGAGGGAGTTATTGACAAGCCCCAGATCGATATCAAAGCCACGGCAATGGAGGTTGCCTATTAATTCGAGTAAGGTAGTGTCGGCTGGCCTTCCTCTTATTAACGAAGAACTGTACGAGATCTGATTTGATGCGGCTGTCGTTTTGTGTATCCCAAGGACTGCTCCTCGCAGGACACTATGCGGACCAATTTCAACTATATCAGATACTCTAATATAGTTACGATGGCTCATATCAATCTTCTTAGTCGCATTTTTTGCGGAGTTTCGATATAAGCGTTCAATGGCTTGGCTGAACCGTACCGGGGAAACCATATTAGTAACCCAGTATTCAGGTTTTCGAAGTTCAGTTGCAGATATATTGTCTCCGGTAACAGAAGATATCATATGGCAATACCGCGAGGGGTCTTCCCCCTTTTCCAGGGTTCCAATGAGTTTCCGATAATCTGATGCAATCGCGACCATGTGCGAACTATGATATGCAACCGGTACATTCAGTACCCTCGTGAAGACTCCATCCTTTTCAAGCTTGGTCCGAAGGGTCTGGACTAGTAATTCGTCGCCCGCAACAGTTAAACTTCGATCACTGTTGAAGCAGGCTATAGCAAGAACACCCCCTTGCGTAGTTGATAAGGCTTCGTCAAGATACGGGCGTAATGAAGCTTCATGTGCTCCAACAGCCATCATGGAACCTCGAAAGCGACCTTGGGAGGACTCGGCAAGTTCACTCGAAAGGAGGCCGCGGAAATAGGCAAGTTTCCATGCAGATTGACGACATATGGCTCCAGTGGTGTAGGCTGCTGCGATCTCTCCACTTGAGTGTCCGATAGAAATAGCTGGATGGATACCGAATGAGCGCAGGAGTTCGACAACGGCAACTTGTAATATGGTACAGAGAGGTTGCGCAAATCGAGGCTCATGAATATTCAGCCGAGTTTCATGCCCTTCGAGTAGACCTAAGAGAAATTAACTGGTAAGAACCAATCTCCGCAATAGCAAGACAGGTGCTTGGGGACTCTTACTGCTTGCCATCCAAAAACACCCGATAGTTTGCAGAAACCTATCTGCCTCAAAGATAGAATCACGAAAGACTGAATAGGAGAGTAGCTCTTTGCCCATGCCCACCCACTGTGCCCCTTGACCTGTAAAAATGAATGCCGCATTTCGTTTAGGTGATGATACAATTGGAGTCTGAATAACCGTTAATTGCCTTATCAGGTGAGGTATTGAAGCTGCGACAGTAAACGTTCTCCAGGAGTGTCGGGTACGTCTTTGGGTTAGTGTATGTGCCAAGGCTACGAGGTCATCTTGCCTGACTTCATTGTTGATAAGCCCTTTCTCAAGATATTTCTGGTAGCCTCGGATCATACGTGACGTGGCTTCCTGGTCGCCTGCGGACCATACGAAGAGCAGTGGCCTGCTGTGGGAAGTATCGTCGTTTCCCTGGTGAGGCCCTATCGTAGGCTTGTCCAACAACTGGGATGGGGCGTAATATCGACCCGCCAACCCTCGAGCCTCCAGATAGTGAAAGGCGTCGTCTAGAACAACATGCGCATTCGTTCCTCCAAACCCAAAACTGTTGATGCTCGCGCGGCGCAGCCCTGACCCGGGCCATGGGATGGGGACTTTCGGAAACTAAGGGATGTGTCAATATGCGATTAACTAAGGCGTAATACGTAAGGTGTACCTTGAGATGAAGAAAGTCAGCATCGATATTTTCATTAAGCTCATCAAGCCCTGCTACTGGCGGGATAATGCCGTTTTCCAAGACCAAGATAGTCTTAATTAGTCCAGCGATTCCAGCCGCACCCTCGAGGTGTCCTATATTGCTCTTGACGGAGCCCCTGAATTAAGAATATGTTAGATTGTATCATTCGATTTATTTGATATATGATAGACGGCTAGGGGTATTCTTTTCACGTACACAATCAAGGGATCACTTGGATCCCTCCCAGGGCGAAACACATCGCCAATTGCCCCAGCTTCTAAGGGGTCGCCTGAAACCGTTCCCGTACCGTGAGCTTCGAAGAACCGTGTTTGAGACTTATCGATATTAGCCTTGCGATATGTGTTCTCTATCAACTCTCTTTGCATCTGTTTGTCGGGCTGTGCTAGGTTAGTTTTTCCATTTTGGTTTGTGCCGATGGCCCTAATGACGGCGCGAATAGTATCCCCATCTCTAATAGCGGCCTCCACTGGCTTTACAATTAAAGCACCAAAGCCTTCTCCTCTGCCATAGCCATTTGCTCGAGAATCAAAGCTGTGACAGACACCGTCTGGGGACAGAAAACCGAGGTTAGAAAGACTAATGAAAAGATCCTTTGTCAGCAGGAGATTAGAACCAATCACGATACCCTAGCAATGCGTTAGCCAAGGTAACGGAGACCTTCGATACAATATGGTGGTAAGGCGGGTATACAGACCATATCTGATTGACCGCTCATGAGCGATTGGCATGCCAAATCCAAGGCTACTAGGCTACTTGAACAGGCTGTGTCAACAGTAATACTTGGACCCGTCAAGTCGAAGAACGTGCTAATTCTGTTTGACAACAAACTGCCCGCTAAACCGGTAGCAGAATACTTTGGAAGGCTGTCTGGGTCTCTTGCTGCATTCATGGTATAATCCGCGGTAAAGCAACCGGTATATACAGACGTATTCGATCCCTTGATCGACTCCATTGGTATTCCGGCTTCGCATGTTAGCAAGACGATAAACCTAAAAGGACCAGCAAGATATGGGCTGACGTACCATTCTCGAGAGCCCTATAAGTAGTTTCCAGCAAGATTCGTTGTTGCGGATCTGTCGCGACAGCTTCCTCCGAGGTCATCCCAAAGAATCGGGTGTCAAATGCACTGATGTCCCTCTCAAGAAAAGACGCCTTCTTGGGACGGATCTATAGAAGGGTTAACATGCCATGAACTAGCTGTAATGTATTGAGCTCTGGTTGGGGCTAATAACTGCACAAGAAAATGTAAGCTGAGGAACGAAAAAGCGACTTACATTTGCCGTACCATCATTGCCGCTCTCATGTAGTGCGATGTTATGGAAACGGCTTGGGGGGAACTCAGAAGATGCACAACTGCCAGAGATTAAAAGCTCCCAGAATGACTCAGTAGAATCTGCCTGAGGAAATTGAAAAGAGAAGCCAATAATCGCGATATCACGATGTGTGTCGTCGCCGATGGGACTTGGCGGACGATATTTGGGCGTGGATTTAGCATTATTTTCAGGAATGACGCTTGATAAAACTGGTGCCATCATAGGATCCAAGTCAAATTTCGTCCAAATCACCCCGTGATACACTATGATCGTCACCAAAGCACACGGTAGAAGGATAGAAGCATTCAAGATGTCAATTCAAGGAGACCGGTCATACATAGGACATAGTACGGAATAAAGGGAGCCTTTTTTCCGAGAAGATTTCCGCGATCAATACATTTCTGCAAGTACTGCTCAGCTACTGACTTCTGCATTTACGCCACCAACGGTATGAACAAAAGATGTTGGTTACACATGCTTCAACACGGCATCTCTAAATAGGGGGCCGAGAGCCAATGGATACTCAACGTGCTACTAAGTAATACATACTGTGAATATGAAGCGAAGTCCGTAGTCAGCACTAAATCCTTCAGGTCGTTTCTCCTATTCACCTGCAAATTCATATTTTGCCCAAGTTAAATTCCAATCCCCGTATTATCGATATGCGATTTCTCTGTCTACACGGGTCGGGGACCAACTCGAAGGTAAGCCATCGTCAAGTAATGTGTTACTCATATTAGATTAGCAACTAACGAACTAGATGTTCGAGACACAAACCGGTGAGCTGCTAATCGCCTCGTTACAAAAACTACAAAGCTAAGTTATTGGCTGTCAGCCGCGATACGCTACGAGTTAGGGGATCATCATACGTATGAGTTTGTGGAGGGTACCTTGCCAAGCCCAGTGGCCCCCGAACTCAACGGGATGGCTGCTCCAGATGATGAATTCTTTTCATATATTGATCTAGATGATCTAAATACTTGCGTCTCTTCACTTGTCAACCTCGATACCTACATTTCGGAGGAGGGCCCATTCGATGGGATCATGGCCTTTTCGCAAGGAGCTATGATTGCGGCGACGTATATTATTTGGAAGATGACACAGAACGCGGTGCTACAGCAGGATTCTCCCACTTTCAAGTGCGCCATATTCTTTTCTGCGTGGGGTGCATATGACCCTGAGCTACTTTGGCAGAGCCAGCTTCGTCCAATGACACCACTGCTTGACGGAGAAGCCATTCATATTCCCACAGCCCATATATGGGGTCAGGATGATGTTTCGTCAGCTAAAGCAGCCAGTCTTAGTGGCATATGCTCACTCCGTACAAGGCAGATCTATGTACACCCCGGCGGCCATGAAATTCCGGGGGCTAGGATGAATGCTGCTGTCAAGTCCAGCGTTCGAATCATCCGGAGGATAATTTCGTTAGCAGATGAACTTGCTTATAGAGATAGGAAATAGACCGCCTGGGGCGTTATTAGAGACCACGTAATTCATACTGTTGGCAATGATTCATTACCCACCTACATAGCATCTTAGATCATGTGAAATCTAAAACGTTCATTCGATGGATCATGCTACAATATCACATTGAATGTCAGCGCGTGTTAATTCACTTTATCAATTCAACGTACACTTCCGTAATTGACATACGCCCAATTATTTGTTAGCGGGAAAAAGACAATACCTCCTCATAGTGATGATAACCGCATTACACCCAGGTAGAAACTTCGCATATAAGAAATGTATGGATATCTAGGTGATATCAGAATCTCAGTGCGTTTAATCTACTCTGATCTGGGACCTTCGCCACATCAGCGCTATGCTGAATACAGAGGCAACCGCAAATCCAAGCACGATATGCATTTGGAGATTGAAACCTCTCACAAATGTACTTCTAACAGAAGGTTGTAACTGCTCTGGGAGTTTATCTATGGTTGCTGTCGTTTGGAAAATTTGCTCGATCTGTGAAGAAGTCAAGTAGCTAGATAGTTGATCCTTTATCCATCCATTTCCCACAGCAGTGGTAATGGAAACAACAAGCGCGCTTCCTAGGAAGCGAAACTGGGTTCCAGCGGCTGACGCCACAGCTATTTTGAACTGTTAGCCAAAACGAGGTCTACTTATGTTTAGTGGTATATAGTAAGTTTTACCTAAATCTCGCTTTTCCGCGATATACGGTGTCAGCAACGTAACAAAGCCGATGCTAATACCCATCCCCATCCCGGTCAAAACTTCGAGCCCATATAGAGGAGTCCAGTCTGGATTATTTGGGGGGCCTCGAGCCATGAAAATCAATCCCAGCATTTGAAAAATTGACCCGACGAGGCCAATGTATATAGGGGGCACACGCCGCTTTTTGGAAAGCATAGCAACCAGTGTAACACCAATAGGGCCACACATCACGAACGGCAGTAACCGTACACCAGCTTGCAGCGGACTGGCTCCCACTGTTGTCTGGTATCGGATTGGAAGTTGAATGATACAGGTCACACTGACTGAGCCCGTCATAAATGAGTTCCTTCAGACTTCAGGTTAGCAAAACTTCATATCATATGAACTAGAAGAACATACACGAGAAGACCTATTATCTCTCGGTTTTCCAAGAACCGCCAAGGGAATACGGGCTCCGTTAGGCTTCCAGGACGAGAGAAATACCACTGGCTACCAAAGAAGGCTAGCCACACAACCACGGAAACACATATCGGGGCAATAACGGTGGCAGATGTCCAATATAGCAATATCGCAGCTTGTTCGAGTCCGCTAATAAGCAATGCCAATGCTGCAAGCATCAGAAAGGTTCCAGTGAAATCAATGGCCTTGAAATTGGTTTGCTGTCTTTGCCGGCGCAGTCCTTGGTACGGATAATCGTTTGGAACTACGAAAAAGACGACTATTGCTGCGACTGCGCCAGACGGGACGCTATACCGCTGTCAGTCATTTTAAGCATATGCTAATCATAGGTAGCTTACTTAAGTAAAAATACCCATCGCCAAGTTGATCCTTGTGATATCAAACCACCGAAAACAGGCCCCAGAGCATTCCCAAGGGCAACTGCGCCGGCGGACACGGCCGCGATCTGCGGTAACTTGTTTGGTGGCTTCAATTCGTAAAGCATGACGACGGCCACCGCATACACACCCCCGGCGCCGAGGCCCTGGAACGCACGACAGACGATTCTAAAACCAGGGTTAGATAGGGCAACGTAAAACAGCTTCCGAAGAAAAAGGGACCAACAATTGAATCATGGTCTGGGATGCGCCGCTGCCCCCGGCAAAGGCGCTAAACATGATTAGACAAATAATGTAAATAGGCTTGCGTCCTAGGTGATCGCTGATTTTCGCCCAGATAACTAGCCCAGCTAATAGCATTGTTAGACAGGGGGTATAACGGAATAAAAGGCCGGACTTCTTACAGGTGTAAGTTATCAAGTATGCCGTGACTACCCAGCTAGCTTTTACGAAGTCGTGGAGATCGTTCGTTATTGACACTAGAGCAGTTCCGATGATGGTAAGTTCGAGGTTTGCAAGGAAGAGAGCAAGTCCCAATCTGCATTTGAGTTAGCCGACATGACGTTTTGAAGAATGCGACTGATCTCGCATACGCTGCCATAGTAACATGCGATCTCCATCCGGTGAGGTAGTTGAATCGGTCCCCTTCCTCGTACTTCATGGAGTTTTCTGTGCTATTTTGAGGCCCATCAGTCCATTCCTCCATCGCGAACTTGGCGCCGCGTTCAGTCAAAGAATTACTAGAATCCATCGTACCGGTCGCTGGCGTGCTTTAGGACGTGAATCCAGATAAGTTGTTGTAACAGCCGGTATTGATATCATGAGCGAAACAGATCTCTACCGGAGTCCTAGTTATTGTCTAGATGTTTTAAGCTTTAGGGGTATATACACGGAAGGAAAAGGCAGTAATGAGATATGGCTTCAAGGGAAAACACTGTTAGGTAGTTACACCTAGCAGTGTCCAATTGGATGTGCTGGAGCTTGCACAACCAGCACAGTACAAAGGATTGTGGTGGCTGAGACAAGAAAGAATTCTTAGAGCGGCAAATATTAGAGCTAGAATGAAACCTCCGATGCACCAACGTGCTTTACACGAGATCCAGCCATTCGCCGCTAAAGTCGGTAGTCTCTAAGTTTGTGTCACCGTAGAATAACAGCTCGGAAAGAAGTGGGTAAGAAGAATAAAGCCACCATGTAATAGGTAGGTACCTGGTACCTTCCTACAGGTACTTCATCAGGTGCCTGTAGTTGCCCAAACCAATGGCTTAAGCCGCAAGAGCATGACTTCGGCCACCGAAAAAGCAGTGACGGTAGTGGGGGATCGGCAGGCGCAAGGGCGGCAAGTTGCTACTCAAGTTGTACAAGGACATGCAGTCAGAAATCAACGAAATAAGCTGACAGCTTTGTTAATGCAAAGGCAGTCGTAGCTGACCAACCACAAGTTGTTTCTCACTTAGACGGCACATGATCGACACCTTCATCACATGAATCTAGATTCTAACAGCCAGCCTTGCGCTATTCTAGGAATCAAATTAATACTAGGATTCTAATCACAATATGTACAGGTCCTCTCAGTTTATGTCAATCTTAGGTAGGTAGGTACTCTATCACGCCCCATTCTCTTCTCTTTCGGGGAGCCATGGGAACTGATTCCTCTGCTGGCCTCTTCTATGATTGTTCTCATAGGCTTCTGTTACTATGATGTCAGTTGTGCAGATGATACCGTATTGCTGGTCTGTTGGTCTACCAGACCCAACTCCCTGAAGTATAATGGAATTTGGCTCGTCGATGGATTGGTATTTGCGGGGCTTCAACGATCCGAGAGCCGTACGAGACCATGTGTCTTCTTTTCTGATTGTAGATAGCCTCTTACGCTTCATGAATGAGCCAGTCCATGAGCCGAGCCTGCTCAACCATGCCCGAGGCTTCAAGCCGATAAATGCCTTAGGTGCTGCGGGGACGCAGAAGATGAGAATTCCACACGTTGATTCCGCAATAGCCCAAAGCGCTACAGAGGAATAATGATAGGTCATATCGTCCGACCGTCTCCATTCAAGGATAGCATCTAATAAGCATCCAGCAGCAATACAAGCACTATGGGAATTCATCCAGATACAGTTAGTATTCATAACCACGCTCTCGAGTTTTGCGTAGGGCGGGCTTACAAAATACCCACAGCAAATACTGCTGATATTCCAACCTTCTTGACCGTCGATAACTTCAGATTCCAGATCATTCTCTGTGGTAGTAATAATACTGCGATGTCGAGGGTAAAGTTGATAACCGTAGCCACGAGGTTGATAATTTTTATATCTATGCAACTTCCCGGAACCGTCTTATCCCATATCCTTCGATACGGGAAACATGTTAAATTCAATGCGACGAGTATCGATACGTAAAAGAGTATGTTGAATGCCAATAGAAATTTGCAGCTCCGGTGGAAAAGAGTTCGTGTATCCATTGGCGCAAATAACCGAATCCACTCGATGAGGATAGATGATTTGACTAGCATCATAGTGACTACCCAAAAGTTCATACCCATAAATACGATCTTGGAGTTTTAGTATCGAAAGGATAATATGTGTAATTAGGTTAGGACGCACCTGGAGATATCCAGCCATATCCCTTCCACGCATCTCCCATTGATGTACGAATAAGCCCGTAGATTCGGTGATTCGGCGTAGAGATCCCACGATTACAACTATCCAGAATAGCTGGTAAAATTGATCAGCAACTGTATATCAAACTTATTGTTTAGAATCAGTCATCTCCTACATATGCAAAAGCCAACGCATCTATATGAAGGTAATCAGTACCGCATGAGGAGAATGCTCTGTCGATATCACTTACAGTCTCCAAGATGTTGTTGCCTCGTTTTGTAAAACCTCACATATATCCTAGTTGCAAGTGATATTGATGCCACGACTAGACATATAATGAGCCCAACCAGAGACACGGCGTTCTTGTTTGTTGGATGATCGAAGTCCACCGTCACGCCCTCCGGTGGCTTGAGGGCACTGCCGTTAAGAGCATCGTTGAGTTCGCTGGGGGACAAGTTAGAGAAGTCCAGATCTGACATGTTGAATTGCTTATTGGGATGAAAGATTAATTCGAATTCTGAGTCTCGAGAACGAGAGACTAGAGGCCGAACTTCGGTAAAGCAAGCTCGGACGAGACACATACCGGAAGGATTTGAGAAGTCTTGTTGGGCCTGTAAGGGCTTGTTACATTAGATATCAGCACAGCGGAGTAGAAGTGTAGGTAGCTACCGTTAATTGTATTGGTCAATCGTCGCGCAGCTGTAGTTGGTAAGCAGCCCCATTCCATCGTCTTCGAAAAATGCAGATTATTGCTTTTAGAACAGGAGGTGGCGTGACTACAGCGTTGCGGTTCTCTCCAGGCTACATCAACATGCTGCTGGAGAATCTGCCATATGTTCTAACATCCTACATCCATCTACTCGTGTCCGTATATCGATCCATTTTGCGATAGGAACAGGCCTGTTACCCTCCATCAGCATTCTGCTGGCGTGATCATTGCTTGTTTTTTGTTTTATTTACTTGGTCTTCAATAACTTTTCCATTTATTAGTATTCTCTTCTAAGTCCCTTTTATGTGATAACTATCTAGGTAGGTAGGCACCTAGGTATGAACATCGTGAAGTGGTTCTAATTTCTAGTATGGCGAGTGGTTAGCTCGTAGAAGTATTTATGCCTCGGTGCTTCAGCGGTGTAATCTTCCTCGTTATTCCACGAAAGGCAAAAAGGAGTAGATCTTGGGAATAAGTTCTATTTGAAATTTGAGTAACACTGAGTGGAGTGAGTTGCCAATTCTTGAAATATCTATTATATCATGCGGCTACGATACATCGTTATCATACTGTGCGACAATGTAACTAACCTCACACTGTCTACCCTCCTTTATGCACAGCTGACTACCTGCTTCTAGGACTTCGGCTTGTGTTCGAGATCCCCCAACCACAATATGGGGTACACTTCCATATCGATTGTTATAACCTAAACTGGCCATAGCCAACTTCAGTACTTAATTCTACGCTCAACATTAGCTAAGACATGTGTTGACACAGTCCAACATCACCTTTATCATTGTAGTTGGCCAGCTTAAAGTATTATAAACTCATAGCTACTAGATAGGTACCTGAGTATTGAAGAAAGAAACTTACACAGGTACTTGACCCTCTGTTACGAGGCTAAGGCGCTGTAGCCATCTCTTCCTCGAATGGATGTGTTGCAATGTCGATAGTACGCCACTAAATCCTTTAAAAGATCGGCAATCATATATGCTTATTAACCGTTCATTGTATTAGAACTTGAGAGAACTAATCCCTAGCCGTAAGTAGAAATCAAAGGTTAGGTTGAGTTCGCAGCGTTTCATTTTAATCCCAATGGCCGATCTTAAATGGTTCATATTGTGTCAAGATCCTTAGCCCCCATTTCATTGCCGTCTGGTGTAACTGCCGAGTTCTAAGAATATCTAGGTAGTACCTATCTTTGGTGCCCCCGGTAAGATTCACCAATTAGAGTCCAGCTAAGCTAGCTTTCATCTTGAATTTACAAGCCGTATCCAACTTCAGGGGAAACAAACTTATTGAAGAAATGATAGAAGATTCCTACTTGAGTACATACCTACCTACTATGTAGGTATCTGGGTACTCGAGTCTTTCGTTAATTCTCTCGTCTCGTAAGTTAACCAGTAATAAAGATGTGTTTATTGGGTGACCCGTACCTAAGGGTCTGGCACGATCAAAATTTGGCTCCCATAAAACCGTGGAGACTTATCAATAGCCAGACGTATAGCGGAATTTTCACAGGAATCTTCCTACAAATATAGTGTGCGTACTAAGCGAGAGTAATAGAGCTCTCTACGCCAGAAGACCCCTTTTCATGGCTTGTCAGTTCCGCCTCGCGAAAGTGAGAAAGGGTCTAAGTACCTGCCTACCTTAGTAGACTTCGCTTTTTATACCGAGTCTACTCCACCATGTTACACGAGTAATAGCAATTACACCATCAAATCCTTGACCAATACAATTTACCTGTCAAATATATACATTGAGGAGATTGCGAAGGAGTCACTACCCTTGATATTCAAGTCTTCAGCAGAGTTAGGCTTTTCTGCTCAGCTATCACTTTTAGGGAAAGATATTAACTTTCTCTCTTTCTCTCTTTGCAGGTATTTATCGGAAGTAGTCATGGGAATCCCGAATCTTGCCTGAAGAGATTGCCCATCTATGCTTAGATCGACATGACTTGCCCAAAGTTGGAATATCTGTATTGGAACCGTGGCTCTCGCGGTTTCGACCTCTTGCGGAGTGCGCTTCTTAAGCTCCAAGTTTCTGCCAACAACCCTCGTGATCTCAGCCCTAGCTTATCCGATTGTAAGGCTCTCATCACCTAGCTCAATCTCCTGATTGCCAAATTTTGCCTGGTCTAGGAAAGCTGCGGCGGCAAACTTGCCAATATCCAATTCATCTATCTCTTTGGTTGGCATAAGACTACAGCTCCACCACGATTAGTACCTGTACTTCCAGCAACCCCTGAGTTCCACAAAATCTTACTTCTAGTTGGTTAGACGCCTCCGAAGATCACTGTGAAAGCCTCAACGCTCACAGGCTTTAAGGGCCTGCACTATCGTCGATGTATAGTTACCGGTTTTGTGGAGACTGTAGTCTTATTCCGACCAAAGAGATATGTGATATCTTGACTCTGTCATCATAAGAATGTACAAGCTCGTTATCTGTAGCCAACCCAGGATAGTAAAAACGACTGTTTGGTAGTAGATAGTTGGAATGAATCCAAGCCGGTCGGAGGATGGTGTATTGCAACCCAGAATTTCGAACCATGTCCTCGACTTCCGCTTTAGCTTCGAAATAGGCGCGCGGACTTGGGTCATCATAACCGTTTCCACTCCTATCCCATTTGCTTCTATCCCTGGTAAAGAATGCCGTAGAAACAACGATGATCTCGACTTTAGCATCTTTACAAGCTTGAATAATCCCACGTGCTTGCCGCGGCATCGCCTGTCGGTTTTCGGCGAAGGGAATCAAGTTTAGGGAAAGGCCATTGCACCCTTTCGCCGCTTCTAAGAAAGTATCGAAGCTCTCGTGGGTTCCTTGGAATATTTTAACCCCTTTTCCTTCCAACTCCCGTGCTGATGTTGTCAGGGGATTTCGAACCACGGCGTGAATCTTAGCACGGGCTTCAAGTAATGTGACAAGGGGGTCACAAGAGAGACTTGGAATAAAGTCAATTTACTAATGATTCTGTTTTAGTCCTAAAGGTCCTTGGTTCCTGCAATCTATAATACATACCTAATTCCTTTAGTCTCATGGCCCCTCTTTTGAGGCTATGTCCAATTAGTATCTGCCACAACATGCCTATTCCCGTAAATGCCGTCCTTATCTGCTAGGTATCCAGTAGGGTTCGTATAAGTTGCATACCTTCTACGATGATCCTGTACACGGAGCTATGCAGCATGAAGCACGGATGGATCTAATTTTTTCGTGTAATATAACAAGAAATAGATAAATAAAATGCCCAATAGAAAACATATCAACACTAGCAATAATCCACCTTATCTTGGCTGCGCCTTGGACTCTGTTAACTGAGGATTAGTCAGCAATTACCTAATAATCGACTATATTCCCGTCACACAGTCTGTGAGTGCCGGATCTCTGTAATCAAGGACTAATCCCTATATGGATGGATTACTTAATTGCCCTGTGACAATTCATATAGTTAGATAAGAGGTAGGTAGGTAAATAATTCTAAACCGTCTCAAATTCATCACGAAAAGAACCAATTCGGTGTAGACATGGTTTTCAGTTTGGAAGATGGCTCATACATTTGGCGGAGATCCGATTATCCCAAGTATATGCCGGAGTTCCGTCCATCTCCAGGGCATTAGCGCCTCAATGGCCCAACTATGGCCAGCCATAGCGGCAAAATGCCTACTCCAACTCCCTTTAGCGGAGCTTTCTTGCCTTCAGATTTCGTGGACTTCTCTTCCCGTTCTTTGAAGTCAATGAGACCATCTCTCATAATTAGCCCCGCTTTGGCATGCCAACGGTCTAATGTGTACCTAGCAGCCTAAGTAGGCATGGCGTTATCCGCTATAATGGCTACAGAGAGGGCCTCTTATAACAGGCATACCGTTATAAGCTAGACCAAACAGTTGCCGTTGCCAATGGACATAGCTGTTCCGCTGTGCTTAGTCGCGTGTTCAAATGGAAGGTATATGGGTTTGAGCAGCCAAAATATTTACCTTCAAAGCTGTACATGAGATGACAAATCGTCGAGCCAGCGCGGTGGAGGATATATCTACCTAGGTAGGTAGGTAACATTTGATGTGCATCTTGCAGGTTCCCCTTGTTACAAATAGAAAACGAATACGAACCCCCCCGTCAATCTAGTAGCCGACTTGTGGCTAGATACCGATAGGACGATGAAGTTCTGGATCGACCCATCAGATGTAGGAACCGTATGCGTACCGAGCTACTTGCTCCATACAGGTACGTAACTTTTGAAAACACATAGAAAGGAAAAGCAGAAAGGGTCTCGCATAAGTTTTCTCTAAGCTTTTCCCAAGTCTAGCAAAGGTAAGGAAAGTTGTAATCTCTATACCTATATCATGGAGAAATTTGCAAGCATTCAGGAGAAATACACAACAGAAGCGCAGAAGCGTCTGCGACCTGATGGCACTGACCAATATCAAGTACTGTCGCAAAGCGATTCTGACCATTTGCGCCACTTAGTTGACGACATCTGGGCAGATCATGCTGTTCTCGATGCACTTCCTCCGCCCCTTGCGTCGGGGGCTTGTCCAAAGTTCCTCATCATAGGCGCTGGAATGGGCGGGATAATGAGCGCGGTCCGGCTCATCCAGGCTGGTTTCACAGCAGATCAGATCCGAATCGTTGACACGGCTGGCGGAATTGGAGGTACTTGGTATTGGAATCGGTATCCTGGTTTGCATTGCGATGTCGAAGCCTACGTCTACTTGCCCCTGTTGGAGGAGATGGGGTATATGCCCTCCCATAAGTACGCCCCAGGAGTTGAAATCCGGAATTATCTCAAGAGCGTGGTGAAGCGCTGGGATCTTGAGGACAAAATTCTCTTCAGGACCAAAACAGATAAAATAGAATGGGATGAGCCTGCTCGTGTGTGGAAAATAGATCTCACTACTAGTCGAGGGCCAGGGGGAGCGGAAAAGGTCTCCCTAGTAGTGAACGCGGAATTCGTGTGGTTAACAGCCGGATTATTGAGCAGGCCAAAAATCCCAAAATTACCCGGCACCGGGATCGAAGGTTTCAAGGGCGACCTCTTCCATACGTCGTTATGGAACTACGACGTTACCGGGGGCTCATCCGAAGAGGTCTTCCCGGTCTTGTCGAAGCTGAAGAACAAGAGAGTAGGCATCATCGGCACCGGCGCAACCGCAATCCAGGTAGTGCCTTACCTGGCCAAATATGCTAAGGAAGTCTACGTGTTCCAGCGTACACCCAGCGCGGTCTACGCCCGAGGTCAACGGCGCACAGACCCGGAAGAATGGAAGAAGATAACCAGCCAGCCTGGTTGGCAACTGGATCGCAATAAGAACATGGCTTCGCACATATCCAACAGCGCGCCTCCAGGCACTCCAGACTTGGTGAACGACGAGTGGACCAAGCAACTCGCGTATTCAGCCTTAGTTGGCGACGAGAAATTCGCGCTCGTGGCACCGGACAAGATACCAGATGTCATTAGTTACTTCATGGAGCAGGACGCGGAGAACAGCGCGAGGCTACGAGCCCGAGTCGCCGAAATCGTCAAAGACAAGGAGACAGCTCAGAAGCTAACCCCATGGTATCCAGCCTGGTGTAAAAGGAACACCTTCAGTGACACATACCTCCAATCGTTCAACGAGCCGCACGTCCATCTCATCGACACCGACGGTAAGGGCGTTGACGGTGTAACGCCGTATGGCATTGTCGCCAACGACCAGGAGATTCCGCTCGATGTCCTCGTGCTAGGCACGGGGTATCAATCCCCGGGTGTCCTGAGCGCAGACGCAGCCGCGCACGCAGGCGTCACGTTGCTCGGCCGAGAGGGTAAGACGATTCCCGAGCGCTGGGCGACCACAGGCCCCGCCACGCTGCACGGTTACGCGAGCCACGGTTTCCCAAACCTGTTTTGGCTCTCGCCCTTACAAGCCGGGGTCGGCGCGAACCACGTCTTCACGCTAGACACGCAGTGTCAGCAGATCGCGTACGTGGCGGCCGAGGCACACAAACGGATGGGCGGGTTCACTCAAAGCGGGTTCACGGTCGAGGCCGAGGAGGCGGCTCAGGAGGCGTGGAGCCAAAGAATTGTGCAGGGCGCGGGGCGGTTTGCGACGATGGCAATATGCACTCCGAGTTATATGAACAACGAAGGACATGTAAATGACCCCAATGCTACGCCAGAAGAGATGTTAAAACGGGCACGGGCGTCGCCGTATAGCGGTGGCATATTGGGTTTCCTGAAGGAGCTGGAGGAGTGGCGTGAGGGAGATAAATTGTCCGGGATAAAAGTTTCTAGCTTCGAAGAGGACTCGCTTCAGAATTGAGAAGTCATAATCGCGAGAGAACTATCGTACACTACCTAGTATAGAGCGATTAGCACTACTCAACGCTTATGTATCTATATACTTGCTGTGAGTCACATAAATATGGATAGATATGAATAAACTGATCTTAATGAAGGTCAAAATTCGTAATCAATCCATATTTGGGTTATAAATCTAGTTTATATAGAGCATTATGGTTCATCCCACATTACATGATTCGGCATCAGGTAAGAATATCGGAAATCGTGTGCGATAGGGTTATGAGATAAACCAAAAAGGCTTAAAATATGACCTAGATAAGAATTTCTCTAGCCGTGTGAGTCGCTATTATAGCTTTATATTCGTATGGGGCGTCTTCGCCATGTCCGGTCGACTCATATGGCATGTCTTCGCATAAAGTGTATCTGCAATTCATGCCCGTACGCTCCGCCTAGTCGTACGCTTCCTCATACTCATCTTCATATTCTTCTCGAGCTTCCTCGAGCTCTTCGAAGTCGCTGCTACTAGCATCGGAATCTCTTGCTTTGGCAAGAGCCTCTTCGTAATTCTCGCGAGCGGAGCGTACGGACTCGCGGTCGCTGGCATCGACGTATTCGCCCTCCGCATTATACTCCGGCTCGTAGACCGGCTCGGAATAGACAGGAGCAGGCGGAGGGGCTGCATACTCGGGAACCGGCGCATGGTTTTTCTCTTCATCGGAAGAATCGTCTACATACATGTCAGCACAGGCATTTGTATAGGCGTTAATTCAAATGGCAGAAAGATTAAGGACGTGAAAGAGACTCACCGAGAGCATTAGCGATCAATGCACCACCGATAGCACCAACCGCAAGACCACCGGCGGCACCTAATAAGAGGCCACCATGTCCACTTTTCTTTTTCTTCTTCTTTTCCTCCTCTCCATATTCGCCACGGTTCTCACCAGAGTACTTGCCGTACGCTAGATCATCGTCTTCATACCTATGGCTGCTCTGCTCTCCGTGACCACCATAGGAGCCGTACCCACCTCCATGCGACTCATGAGAGGAATATCCATAGTCACCAGGGGGCGCGCCGTGAGATGAGTAACCGGGTTCACCGGATCCACGATCATCTCCAGAGTGGCCTCCGGCGTGATATCCGGGTGCTTCCCATTGAGAGCGGCCGGTAGCTTGCTCGTAATAATACCACCGTTGATATTGCTGATCATATTGAGGCACCCATCCGGATGGAATTGGCGGTTTATCCGGTGGCGGCGAGTAAGTTGGCCCGTCGCTTGGGGGAGCAGGACTACTTTGATAGCTCTGAGGTGGAGGAGTACTATAAGATCCCTGTGGCGGCGGGCTATTATAGGGACCTTGAGAGGGGTACGGAGCTTGATAGTTGCCTGGAGATGCAGATTGAGGAGGTCTGTCGCCGTATGGTGGATATGGCTGCTGATGGTAGCTGCTGCCGTATTGTTGAGACGGAGGCGGGTAATTATGCTGGCCTACTAGGACCTCAGCATTACTTTACTTCGAAGGCAGGTGAGACAGTGGTGACTAACCTGGATATCCAGGACCTTCTCTTTCCCTCGGCTTCTCGGAGCCGAGGTCTAGGCCGTCCAGCTTACTTGCTAGCTTGTTAAGAAAAGACATCGTGTTGTGCTCAAGCTATCCTCCTTATCTCGATATCTGACCTCTTTCTCGAGCCGTACTAGAGAATAGGACAGACGAAGGTATAGCGCACCCGACAAGGAGAGAGAGGTTGCGAGATGGAGTTCAGATATGACAACAACCTATTTTACCTTCGCCGCAATTGGCCGCACAATATATCTAAGGAAGGTCAATGGATGGGTTGCCAAGGCTGATAATCTGCGGGCTGACAGCGTGGTTCAGCCCACAGTGGACGATCTGCCAGCCTGCAAAATTGATGTTACCTCGTACTAAATATAATGAGAAGTCGAAGTATTAATGGTGAACTGTTTCAATTCCCAATTGAGTTTATGGGGTATGGATGTACTTGCTCAATCAATTAACAGACATTAGCTCTTGCTTTCAAGCTATTTCGGGTTGTTCCAAAGAGACAACCAACTACAAGCTCACAATAGAAACCCAACTCGGTTACACGGCAACGTAACCGCCCACTAGGAATTGGCGGCCTCCCCCATTTTTGCCCCTCCTGCCCCTTCTGCCCCTCCAACCCCCCGCTTGATCATACGCCAAAGAACCCCCTTCCTCCTTCTCTATGCTAGCCACGATCAGCCCTAACTCAATTCCGGGTTAGCAGCAGCAGTTACTAAGTCCAGCTCCCTTGCACTTAATAAGGATCTTTCTCTTTAGCTTACGATTCTCAGCCGCAAGTATTCCTTCGACATACGTAAACCTTAACGAGGCATCCAACCCTATCAATTCCATAAGTATCAAACAGCTTCATTTCGGACTAATTGGGCAATACTTGATTACTTCTCTAGTGTTCCTTCTTTAGCACAATTTATATTCAATTAACACAATGTCGGGTTGGGGTCATAACCAACACGGCCATCATGGTCATCAAGGTCATCAAGGCTACGACGAAAGATATAGTGGTGGATATCAACAACCTCCCCCCCAATCATGGTCATCGCCGCCGCCACCTCGAGGTTATGACCAAGGACATGGTCAATATCAACAACAGTATCCGCCCCAGCAGTACCCTGGCGGTCCTCCTCCAGGTCAATATCCCCCTCAAGGCCCACCACCAGGACAATATCAAAACCAACCCTACCCACCTCACCAGCCACCGCAGGGACAGTATGGCCAACCCCCTGCTCAATATTCCCAAGGTGGTCCTCCTCATCATCACCATCCCGGCCATTATCCTCCACCATCGGGCCCTCCGCCGCCAGGCCTAGATCCTTACGGCTATCCCCAGCACTCCGGTCAGCAGGGCTACGGTGGCCCTCGCCGTGACGGACCCCCTCCGCCAACGGCTCCGCAGCAGTTCGGTCATGGTGCCCCTGAGGGCTACACCTTCCAGTACTCCAATTGTACCGGAAAACGCAAGGCATTGTTGATTGGCATCAACTATTTCGGTCAAAAAGCCGAGTTACGTGGTTGTATCAATGACACCAAGAATGTCTCTCAATTTCTTATAGAGCGCTACGGATACAAGAGGGAAGACATGATTATCTTGACTGATGATCAGCAAGATCCTATTTTGATTCCTACTAAGGCCAACATCCTTCGAGCATTGCAGTGGCTTGTCTCCAACGCTCGGCCTAATGATGCCCTGTTCCTCCACTACTCGGGCCATGGCGGACAAACTAAGGACGAAGGTATTTGATTCTAGTTTATGTTTATATCTATGATTGCGAGCATTTACTTATATGACAATGCAGATGGTGATGAAGAAGATGGCTACGACGAGGTTATCTACCCTGTTGATTACGAGAGAGCCGGCCATATTGTAGATGATCAACTTCATCAAATAGTCGTCAACCCTCTTCAAGCAGGAGTGAGATTGACGGCCATCTTTGATTCCTGCCATTCCGGTTCAGTTTTGGATTTGCCTTACATCTACTCGACCAAGGGCGTTCTAAAAGAACCTAACCTTGCGGCCGAAGCCGGCCAGGGGCTTCTTAAGGCATTCACCTCTTACGCCTCGGGGGACACAGCAGGAGCTGCCAGTGCCATCTTCAACTTCGCCAAAACTGCATACCGGGGAGATGATGGATATAAGAAGACTGTTCAAACCAAAGTGAGTTGCTACAGCTCAGTATCATTCAGCCATCCTATAAAAACTAACCTGGAGTGTAACAGACCTCACCTGCGGATGTAATTATGTGGTCCGGTAGCAAGGACGACCAGACATCGTAAGTACCTAACCAGGACAGATGATTCCGGACTAGTGCGATTGACAATTTCGTAGTGCGGACGCGACAATTGCATCTCAAGCAACAGGGGCGATGTCTTGGGCTTTTATCACGGCGATTAAGCAAAACCCTAAGCAGAGCTATGTCGAGCTTCTCAACAGCATCCGCGATGTGTTGCAGACCAAGTATTCGCAGAAGCCACAGTTGTCTTGTAGTCATCCTCTTGGTGAGTCATTCATACATTAGAACATAGACGCGTGCTAATATTCGCAGACACAAACCTTCTCTTTGTGATGTAAATTGGGATAATGTCAAAAGTACTGTTGAGCATTGGGTATCTAGTTTACCCGTAGATTAGAGAAATCGCGTCAATTCAATGCGATTTAATGTTATGAAATAACATGGGCCAGTTTGATAATCCCGCGACTTGGTGTCCATTTTGCGGGATAATTCAATTATTCCGCGCGAATTTACTACATCGAGAGCATTACGATCAATGACTTCCAATGTTCCCTAATGCTCCCACAAATGCTCGTATGGCTAACTCAGTTATATAGATATTTTTCTATCTATAAGAAATAGTTGGTTATTCTTGCGCTAATAAACTTGATTATATTTTCATGCACAGGGGTTATTCCGCACCTAACAACATAGGCATGAATAATAAAAAGGCTATCTTGTGCCTTTTGTCCAAGCAACCTTACTTTAAGTAATCTTTCGCAACGAGGCATCCGTCAAGTGAAACTATTTCCAACATTTCTTCAAAGGGGCTGTCCATGCAACAAGATGGTTGAGTCTAGTTTATTGCGACAAACTAGCCTTTTGTCAACCACGCTTGCCAGAATACCATATTCAATGTCGCCTGCTTTACACTTTACTCATAGCAGTGGCCGGCCTAACACTTAGCCACGGCAGGTCCCGGATTCGTGTAGCTTGTCGGTGTTGGCTAGTACAGCTGGAAGAGGATACCAGGGCCAGAGGCCTAAGAAACATCAGAGCCGGGTATTCTTTAGGAGAGGAATATTTGGACAGGTTTATCTTATAAGCACCGGCACTTCCCGCGATATGTTCAACGCGATATGTTCAACGCGCAGCAGGTAATAACCCCCCCGCAAGACACGTTGCGTTCTCCACGATAACCTCGAGGCCCACCGACGGCCAGGTAATCTCCTCCCGGGACATAGGCCAGTCCTAGTAAATCTTGAACCTCGAAGCGCCCTCGCCATTGAACGACTCGGCCGTCTGTCTCGCAGGAGCTTTCGCCTTGTAGAAAGCGAAGGGACCGGGGTGCTGGTTGTGCCGTCGACGCGGAATCCGACAATATCCCCCTGCTTTCACTGTCATCATGTTTCCGCCGTTAGACTCCGGCTCTTGGAGCGCGCGCATGTAGATACCACATGCTAATACCTACAATTTGGTTACCAACGCACACAACCCCATTGAAAAGATAACTTTCTTATGTACTCTCTTTTATTGCTATGATTGGTTCTAGGCACATGATTGAACTCACGCTCGGCAATCCCAAAGTACTATTGAGATCCTTTCTCATCTCCCCCGTACAAGTCCATCGCTAAGTTATTTCTAGAATAGAAAGTCGACATACGATACTTAGTCTCTCCGCGATACTGCTCTAGCTCCTCAAGAGCCTGCTTGCCCTCCCGTTCTATGGTCTGCCGGATCTCTTCACTGCGCGGCGCGATGCTGCACTCGAACGGTTGGGGCCGCATGTTAAGTCCGTTCCTGGATTCATGTTATTTCCTCGGCCGTAAGTCGATTCGTCTTTTTTAGGGGGCTCACTTACGTGTAATTGAAAATATCAACATCAACTGTGCTGCCGTCCGCGCGCTTCTTCTTCTGGATGTTAAATCCCCACAGTATTCTAGCTACGGTGATCCACGTCCCTTGTTCAGCCAGTGCCTGTCCCGAACAGACTCTGCGGCCCCACCCGAAGGTCATGTAACCCCTTTCGCCCGGGAACGGTCGACTGTCTGGGTGGCCGGGAAGGAATCGATTAGGGTTAAATCGATCGGGATCGGGGAATTCGCGTTCGTTATGGTGAATCGCCCAAACATTCCCTTGGATCCAAGCACCCTTGGGAATTAGCCAACCCTTGTAGTAGTCGTCTTGTGTCGGTGCGTGCGGTTGGCCTCCAATGATAGCTACAGAACGCCACCGCAGCACTTCCTTGACAAAAGCCTTTATGTAAGGCAGGCTATCCTCGTCTTCCCAACTCGGACTCCGGTACGGGCCGACCACGCGGTCAAGCTCCTCCCATGCTGGTACCAATGCCTCCGGAAATGCGCAGCAAGCTAGAATGAACGTGATCAGGGTACTACTGCTCGTATCGGATCCGGCTCCGAATAAGTTTCCAGTAAGAGAGGAAATTTCAGCTTCCTTAAGGTTATATTTCGGACCCTCGGAGAACAAATGATTCACAAAAGAATCCTTGTGGCCTTCCTTTTTAGCTGCCTCGTCTGCGAGGGCATAGAAGAAGTGGAAAGCACGTTTCTTTCCAAGGCCATACTTCCAGGGAGCAATCTCGTTAGGAAACTTAGCAAGCCAGGGGAAGGTCTCCATGAGCATGGGGAATGTTTTGCCAGGCACATTCAGGTCGGCGGCTAGGTGCATCATGGCGATAACTTCGGTAATGATAGGATCGTCCCAACTCTCGACGCGGCGCCCAAAGGCAATGATGGAAACGACACTTGTGGCGTACCGCTCGAAGTGCTTGACATAGTCATCAGGGCGTTTAAGCAGATCGTACGCAACGACTCGGCTCTCATTGTTCTGAAACTCTCGATATCTGCGGACGGACTGCACGCCAACGCCGTGGTGAATGAGCTTGCGGTGGACACGCCACCGATCGCGCTGCTCGGGACTCGTCGTGTACATGTTCAACAAGTTGTCCTGGCCAGCGCCTAGCTCTGCAAACACTAGCATCCGCGGTCGCGATGAGTATATACCCGCGCGTTTCTCGAAAAGCTCCGATGCCGCCCACGCATCATTGATCCAGATAGTTGGGTTACTGGTTTTCATACTCAGTGGTTGGTTCCAATCAAGCGTGGCAGGGTTATATTACCGTCCGATCCAAATCGTGATTAGAGGCGCGTCATATTTCTTTGACAACTCCTCGAACCATATCCACGGCTTATTATCCGGAAGCATAAATGTGTTGCCGACGACAGGCCAGGGGAACGGACCAGGAGGCTATCATCGATCTTAGTGATAAAACCCTCTAAGTGGTTATAGAATCCGCTGAAGACTAACTAGTTTAGATCGCATATACAGCATATAGGTATAGTCGATTATCAGAGTAATTATACCGATTAGCAGTATCGATGTGACAAGGTGCCATACGGAAACATGGCCGAATGATTTGCTTCCGTCGCTGACCCTGAGGCCAGCCACGATTTGGTCGAATAACATGATAACGAGACTTAATAACCCATCCAGTTCTAGGATATCCGAACACGCAGGTAAAGAGTCAAACTAGCAAAGACTTAGGTAATGGATGTGGTGAGGGAGTTGGCGATGATATTCACTCCGACCCTGAGGCTCGTCTGGGGAGGGGGCGGCTTGTTATGCCACTCGTCAATCGAATAGAGAACAAGCCATTACCTATCACACATCTCGGGGCCTCAGACTCGGCATTTATCCAGTTGGATGCCATTGGACGATGGTAATCTGCCGGGGAGGAACGTGGGGTAGACGACGGCGATACTCCTCATCCAGCCTGACTCAAACTCTTTTAAGCCTTCACTTACCCACTTTATTTACTTCCCCAGACCTAACCCCGGAATGTGGACATGTGCCTGTGTGACATATTCCCGGTCTGTCGGTTGCCCGCATGGTAGAAGATGTTCTTTACCCCGAAAGCATTGTTCGGGTGATAACTCTCCTATAGAAAGAGCAGACCTACCCACCATCGGAAATATTCTACCACGTAGTCGAATACAGAGTTAATAATATAAGATGCATGAGTATCTGTACACAGGAGTTTTCTCCTATGATGGAAGAAGCCGACAGTATCTATGTATTCATGTAAATCGACTAGCTTCCAAGGCTATGTGTATAAATAGCCCCGAGTCTGTAGGAATCTGAGTTTTGGTAGACTTGGTACATACCTAAATTGGCAAACGTATGGGTTAGGTAATGCCCTATTGAAAGAATGGCCCCATATATTTTTAAGTGGGGATTGTCCCACCACGGGTAGGAGCTGGTAAAAGCTTGATACAATCAAGCTTCCCATTTCACCTTCTTCGCCCACGTGGTGTAACGAAACATATCAAGGTTCAAGATGTGACTGAAGTCAATCTCGTGCTGTGGCTGCAATTGCATTTGCGCTTGGATTTGCAGAGTGATGTAATTCAAAATGCTCTTTTGTGGGTCGAATATGATTTGAATCGTTGTCGCAGTTGCGCCAAAACACCATTCTTATTTTATGCATTACCTCTTGTTTTGTATCACTTCTAAACTTTCGATAGGTGTCTAGTATGTATAAATGTTTATGTATATATGCACTAACGCGTCACAGCATAATCAAGTTATGAATATCTTAGATCTCTTTGTTATTTGGCTGGTTCCTGTTTTTAATCCCGTGTGAGACGTGTTCTCTCCTTAATGGTACCCGCAAACTGGGAACCTTGAAACTCGCTACCTCGTAAGTTGCCAATTAAGGAGATAGCCTATTTTTGAGGATCTCGCAATTCTGATAAGCAATTGATCCCTCCAGTTCTGGCAGGGCTGGCAGGCCATCAGTTACTCTTCCGGTTTAGTGGAGTCGATTGTAGGATGCCACCTTCAGAAACGAATAAACGGGATGCTAATCTGCGTTTTGGGCAGCACATAGGCCGTGCTCCCTAGGACTTGATCAAAAGGCAACCTACATAAGGTCCGGGATGTGAAGAAAATTTTATCGTCGCTCATTAAATTTCCCATAACTATCTCGAAACTCCTCGAGTTGTCGCGGCGGGACCGAAAACTTGGCGTCCTTTGACTTCAAGTGCACCCTACCATGGGGATTCCGCGATGGAAGGATTTACCCGCGCAGCATCCTAGGGCATATGACCGATTAAGCGCTATCGGGCGCGCCATCAGGCCCTATCTACCGCCCGTCAACTACATCACCCTACACTATGCATACTTCATCGTCACCTCCGTCATCGCCACGCTCATCTTCTGGGGCTCTTCCGTCCCAGCCTACAGCGTTGGCTGGTGGGACAGTATGTTTATGGTCGTCTCGGCGCTTACCGCCACTGGTCTCAACACCGTCAATCTCAGCCAGTTGACGACGTTCCAGCAGGTCATTTTGTGTGTATTGATGATGATCGGAAGTCAGGTCTTGGTTTCCTACGCCACCATAGCATATCGCCAGCACATCTTCGAGAAGCGCTTCGAGGATATCGTGGAGATGGAGCGAGAGAAGAGGAAGAAAAAGATGTCGGGAACCGGTGCCGTGGTTGGTATGACAGGTACCATGTTCGGGCTGCAAGTAATGTCGTCCTTTGGGAGAGGACGGGCACAGAGTAAACCGCGGCCCTTAAGCCAAACGAACGCCTCGGCTCTGCACGCAAGGAAGCGTTCCGATGAGGTGTCTGTTTCGGAGGTCCAAGCAGCAGGTCTAAGGGGCCAAGGCCAACAACAACAACAACAACACATTGGCTTCCTCGAACCCGTCCATGAGGATAAGCCCCTGGAAGGACAAACAGCAGAGACGACCGGTCACTCTATCTACCAGACTCAATCTCACCAAACTGGGGCGACGAGACGAAGATCTCAAACGGTGGAATCCAGAACGATATCTGGCGGGTTCAACGTCCAAACCTTCCTCAATGAACAAAAGCGCAACATTGGAAGGAATGGTCAATTCTTCAATTTGTCCGAAGAGGAACGAGAGTACCTTGGAGGGGTCGAGTACCGCGCCCTCAAATTCCTCTCCTGGTTTGTCATCGCCTACTTCTTGCTCTGCCAATTCTTCGGTGCCATCGCTCTCGGGGCCTGGATGTATGTCTACAAAAACGATCTAGCCGCCGTCAATGCCCAAAATCCGTGGTGGGCAGGCATCTTTCTCGCCATCTCCGCATACAATAACGCCGGCTTCACGTTGTTGGACGCAGGATTTATACCCTTCCAGGACTCTTATTTCCTACTTACAATCGTTACACTGCTGTCGCTGGCAGGCCCGGCGGCGTTTCCCGTCTTTATGCGAATCATAATATGGACTATGTCGTGTCTGTTGAATCTTTTTACCAAGGGGAAAGAGTATGGCGTTTGGAAAGAGGGATTTGACTTTATCCTAAAATTTCCTCGTCGCGTATATACCAATCTTTTTCCTGCGAAAGACACTTGGGTTTTTGGGCTCACATTTGGAGCCTTCGTGATAGTGGACTGGATATTGATTCTGATTCTCAGCATTGGAAATCCGACCTTCGAGGCTATTCCCCTGGGCCAGCGGATCTTTGATGCTCTCTTCCAAGGATTCTGTAAGACCCTTCCTAACAATATCCTAACGATTTGGACAAGATTTTGAGCTGACGGGTTGCCGCTACTCAACAGCGATTCCTTCAGGGGGTTATGCCATAGTGTCACCATCGGCCGTCTATTTCGATATCCAGGTGCTTTGGCTAGTCGTATATTTGGTATGTATACACTGTTCGAGCGATATCAGTATTTCTGTAGTATAGTAGCTAACTACATGGCAGTGAGTCAAACAATTTTCATGTCAAGCTTATGAGGGCAATGATCTAGACACAAACGTCGAAAATGCTAACACAACTTGTCTTGAATGCTAGCACAGCGGCTTACCCTCATATTATCACTATCCGAAACTCCAATGTCTACGAAGAGCGATCCTTAGGGATATACGAAGGCGACCAAGCATCAGAGGAGCAACTTCATTCTGCAAGCATTAGTCTTGTCGACGCTGATGATATAGGCCTTCAAGATGGAGGGGAAATCCCGCCCCCTACGACCAACAAAAACTGGGACTCGGTCTCTCGATCGCCGTCTACCGTATCGATCAAGAAGCTCTATGTCGTTGGCCGACGCGGAACCGCATTCGTAGGCCGCCAGATTCAACAGCGTATGTCCGCTTTCCAAGGTGTTGGCGTTAATACTACCGCACCAGCGTCAGCATCAGCGCCACCCAGGCCAGGGATCCGCCGGGCCCAGACTATGGACTTCGCGCGAGTCTCTGTCCACTCCCTCCACGACCACCCACCCACAACCGGTCCGCCGAGTCTCGTATCGCAGCAGGTGCGCGGTCAGCTCAGCCACGACGTGTGGTGGATTGCGTTAATGTTGTTCCTTATTACGGTCATCGAGACGAAGCATTCGCTCGCCGACCCGTTGACGTTTAATGTTTGGACAATTCTTTTCGAAATTGTAGCAGGTTATACAACAGGTATGTATATCTTTGAACAACTTATAAATCTTGTCGATTAGACGCTAACATCATGACAGTGAGTGAAACGTCCATGCTCCTTTTTGCCAAATTAGGCATAAAAACCCCCGCAGTGTACTCCAGAGAACGAGTATGGACAGTGCTGACAAAATATTTTCACTCTAGATCGGTATCAGCATCGGGCTGCCTGACCAAAGCTACAGCCTCAGCGGAGGCTTTTACACCGGGAGTAAAATAGTCATGATTCTGGTGATGCTGCGAGGCCGACACAGGGGCCTACCCGTCGCGCTAGATCGAGCCGTTCGGCTGCCGGGACATAAGCTTGCTGAGGATGAGGAGGAAGACGCTGAGATTCGGAGCATGTCGGCCTTTTCGCATTGACCTCCGCAGCGTGATTGCCCAAAATGGTGTCAGCATCGCTGGACGGATGCTCCGTAGATCCTAGCAGGCCTAACACACGTATCACACGATACTCGAAACAGTTTTCATTTAGCGATTTTCTTAAGATACCAACATAATTAGATCTCTTAGTTAAATTCATGTTAATTTTCTTGACCCCAACGATATTCCGTTGTGGAATTCAGCGAGGCAGGCCGAGAGTGTCACGGGGCTATTCACAAGAGTGGGGGCTAAGGAGTTCAGGAGGTGGCATGGCCAATATTTTCGTACCTATAGACCTGACGGCGCCTAAAATATTCCTGCTTGCCTTACATATTATCTGGTCCGATATGGGTTTGAAATAGTTTCGGCGTAGAATTAATTAAATATACCCCTTCTTATGTCCTTCTACCTAATGAATAGGTACTGGCCAGTAGACTAAGGCGGAAAGCGGATTTTCATAATCTTAGGAAAGAATCACAATATAAATTGCATTCATGTAAATACGGGAGAGAACAATGTTAACGTGAGAAACACATCTCAAGTGTTCTAGTGTACAATCGACAATGGATGCTAGGCACATCATACCTTCAAGAGCCACCGATCCAGGAATTTCCTGGTTAGGTAAGTGGACCATGGACTATTCCAGTGTCATTGGTTAGAAGGTTGCCAAGGAGGGTAGAACGTTGGGTTAGGATCAACGGACGCTTTGCTCAATTTGAATGGTTCAAATTGACAATTGGAAGAACTCGGTATTATCGGATCATACGCTAGCGGCCGGCGACTCAATGAAAAAGACTCCTCTTTCTAGAACCTCCAGGTCAGGTCCTAGGAGGCGGATAACTGTGCGAGCCCGTTCTCCGGCACCAATGGAAGCCGAACCGGCGCGCATCGGCATCAGTGCTGGTATATCATATCTTGGTATGATTGTTAACAAGGGGAATCGCCTCTATTTGATTAGAGCCCCTTCCCATTCCTTTACCAAGCCGCTTACACAATGTAAACATCAGATACCAGCAAAACGTCTTCATTACGTGATATCTGCAGAGAACAAGCGACATTGTAGCCTTTGAGATATACTACCCCGATTAAGCATCTCAACAAACGGGGGTGGGAAGGAAATGGACATGTATTGTGAGTTTGCGGCAACGCAGGAAGCGTGTAATTACACCCACGGAGGTAGAAATATCGGCATCATGTGTATCGACCTGCCCGTTGAGCTCTTTGACGGACTAATGACGATCTCATGCTCATACCAGTGGTTGAATGAGCCGTCTTAGCCGTGCCCAGGAAGCGAGATGCCAGAATATCCGATGCCAAGAAATGCACGACGTTTGGGATCTGTAAGATTTGGCACACGATGTTCGACGTGTGAGGGTTCTATACGATGGTAAGTACCTGTAGGAATTATGACATTAGCTTCGGCGACGAGCTGAACTAGGATTCCGAATGGTGTTGAATCCGGCAGACCATATCCGGGACTACCATAACCTCGTCAACTACCTAATAGTGTCAAGTGGGTGTAAAAGATGCGCTTTCTTGGCAGTATGCCGAAAAGCCGGACTTGGAATACGCCAGCGACCACGACCTTCCCTCACTTCTGGATAGTAGTACCGCAATAGACGCCGCAAAGAGGGATTGATATCTGCCCTTCTAAAACCCATAAGGGTGCCCCAAATAGTTGTTAGGTCCTTTCTAGATAGACGATATTGATTTGGAGAACTCAGATGCGGAATATTTGAGGCGTGAACTTTCTGTGGCGTAATGCCTCGGTTTATGAGGACCGCAACTTGAAGCAACGGTGGCGGTGCTCTTCGTAGTGATCTCCAGGTTCCGGGGTCCTTGAGGATGGTATCGCCGCAGCGATTGATCTAGTGTAGGTAGGTAGCGCAGACCCAGGTAGGTAGCTAGGTATGTAGGGTTTCATGCGGCAATTGCTCAGGTGGATGGTCTTGCACGTGGAATAGAATAACGTCCGGGTATTGACGATAAAACGTCAAACTGCGAACTGCTAGCCCTGAACATAGGGCGATTCCTAATCTAATAATGTTACTATCGTATGCTCGAGTTTCAAAACATCCCAAGGGGTCTTCTCTTCATGTCTATGAATCAACCATTTCGGGATGTCGATCTTCGAATTCAACCGTTCTGCCGTTCGCAATGCAATCCATACCTCGGTAAACATGGTAGGTAAACATGGTAAGCATAAGATATAGAACGTACGACGATTTGTGTCCCATTACGCCGTCGTTTTACTTCGAAGCGCTATTACATGTAGGATGTTGATGACCTACGGGGTATCCCACGATATTATCTGGTGCAAACCGTACGTAAGTATTGTAGGCATTTAGAGAATTCCACCCACCCCAGGCTAACCTCGTGGACGGATTACAAGTCCAGATGACGCGTCCTGAAAAAGTGATTCGTACATCCTTCCTATTCTCCTTTTAGCGAAGCGCATTTCTGATATGCGGAGTTATTGTAGAGTACATGCCAGCTGTCAGCTTAGAACATTTTTGTCGCCCAGTAATGCAGAATTGTTGAGCACGAATTTGCACATCTCTTGTCGATCAATACAAATTGATAGGATGTCGGATAAAAGAATCAGAATCAAACATTGAAAATCTTAGGCGACATATAGATAGTACCCATGTACCGGAGTAAGACAGGATTGGCTGGTTCCAGGTTTAAAGTTCCAACGTTTGTTTGCGGGTTTATTTACAGTAGGTACGTACCCGCCCACCGGCCGTACCTAGTGCCAGGCACTAAGACATTTAGAGCAAGGATAAGCCACAGCCGCAACTAAGAATAATGGAGACAGCCATGGTGGGTCGGGTCGGACGGCTCAAGGTTCTGTACCACGTCTGTACCATCAGACTTATGCACAGCGCCGGACGCATGGGCGTCTCTCCCGGTCATCCATTGGATGATTTGGGCGCTAGACGGCTCGAAATGTGGGTCGACCCGCGAACCACGATAAAATCCAGCTGGTTTCGGATGTACGTACGGCAGGAAAATACGTCATCATTTCTGTCTCGTTGAAGATTGTCCAACAACGCTGAAAATCACTGGTCAGTAGATTGAAACAAATAACATCATTTATGTACGTAGGTCTCTGTACGAAATACTTAGATAGATACACACGCAATCAGGAACTCCACCTACCCCCTCTTGACCCTTACGTACTCAGTGTAGGTACCTAGGTATCTAACCTACTAGTGGCGCTATACTAGGTACTTTAGTAGGCATAGAGAAAAAAAGATAGCCTTATCCAGAGGAAGGAATGATGGCAATGGACTGTAGGTTATATCCGACCCAAGATCGTCGTTTCGTTTCGATTTTTCCTTTTGGTTCGTGTTTATTCTTGACTCACATTTTCCCGTCCCTCCTCTAAAAAAAATTAAACACATCCGCAAGTTCTACCTAGTCGGATTCTCTCCTGTTTTTTTGGTCTGTCCTACACACATATTTCCCTTCCCCTCTTCGTGTTGCTCTTCTTGTGAGATCTCATCTCGCCCCTTAGCTTCTGTCCTTACCTCCAACATTTTCTTCTACCTACCTAGGCATTATTTCGAATCTCGAGGATCGATAGCTTCTCTTCTCCCCAATTCGTCTAACTATGCTGCCCTTACGATAAAGGGAAATAATTGAAGGGCTTCCCCATGTTTCCGTCTAAGGTGCCCCGCGTCTTCGTCCTCGCCAGCGTTGCGCTTCTGTTCCTCGTCACCTACACCACTCTCCACCTCTACCACCACATTCCGCCATCCTACCCGACGGCAGACTCGAAGATCGTCCAGGTTCAAGATGCGGTGACCATAGAAAAGCAGCCAGACTCTAACCATCATATTGGAACAGAGGGCACGACCGGCGACCCCTTGGACCCGGGTTCGGATATTTCGACCTTGGAACCAGCCATCCAAGATGGAGAATCGAATCAAAAACCGCCAATCGAGACTGGAAGTGGTACTAACGCTGGGGGCCAGTCCGAAGAGCATTCGTTACCGCTGCCTGATCCCAAGCATTGTCGCAAGGAACTGGATTTTCTGGTTCGCTCCAGTGTCGACTTGGAACTAACAGAACGTGTGCGCTACATCCGGCGCTATATACAACCAATATTTTCCAGTAGTGTCGATAGGGACGACGTCGCGAACGTTACCGAGCCACTCATAAGAGACGAAGTAGAAGTTGACTTGTACGATTGCGGAGACGTTAAACTCCCCGAGTTCGCGCCGATCAAACTCCAGGTCCCAAGGCCTCACCCCGAGGAAGACTTTTCTCACCTTATATTCGGCGTAGCGACCAACTATGATCGCTTAAAGGACTCGATCGGTCCTTTTGCGCATTGGATTTCTGGCACCGGCGCAAAGCTCGTGGCCGTCGTCATAGACGCCAAAGAGAGGTCGCATAAAGAGATGAGGTTATTGCAGCATGATTTTGACATTGCCGGAATCAATGCCACTTTAGTGAAGCCCATCAACAAGAAGTTTACGACGTCTCAAAATCACTTCACTGTTCTAGTCAACATGCTTGAGAATAGCAACCCCAATACCCAGTGGTATGGCCTCCTAGACGATGATACCTTCTTCCCGACTTTAAAGCCCCTGTCGGATGGTCTCGCCACGCTGGACCATAATGTCGACGCCTACGTCGGCGCCCTCTCGGAGGACTTTCAAGCCGTCCGAGGCTTTGGTTTTATGGCTTTCGGCGGCGCCGGCGCATTTCTGTCAGCACCTCTCGCCAACAAATTAGGGAACCAAGCATTAAAATGCATCGATGAAGCGATCGGTAGAGAGGGCGATACCATTCTTCGCGATTGTGTATACTCCAACTCAAAGGCGAAGCTCACTATCCTCCCGGGTCTCTACCAGCAGGATATCACAGCTGATGTTAGTGGTTTCTTCGAAGCAGGATTGAGACCGCTGACCCTTCACCACTGGAAGAGTTGGTACAGAGAACCAGTCGAGAAAATGGCCAAAGCTGCCAAGTTCTGCGGGGATTGCTTCTTACAGCGCTGGCGGTTTGGCACGGATACGGTCTTTTCAAACGGCTTTTCTATTGCCACATACAAAGATGGAGTAGAGTCGGTCAACCTACAACTGATGGAGGGTACGTGGGGCCATGCCGATAGTAAGGATTTCGATTTTTCGCTCGGTCCTCTAAGAGCACCGTACCCCGCAGATCAGAAGAAGAGTTACAAACTCAGAGAAGCGGAGTTTGCAGCTAACGGGGATCTGAAACAATTATACGTCCGGATGGGCGATTCTTCGGCGGGTGAATACGACCAGGTGGTCGAACTGGTATGGCAAAAGCATTAGGTCATTGGCGTTATGGATCGAGGAGTAACGGGATGCATACATTGTTCTGGTTCCGTGAAGGGCACCGATTGGGAACGGTGACATTGCATAGGCATTTTTCGCAAACTGTCTTGGAGTTTTGATCGAAACTCCTATTGAATTATACCCAGATATTTTCTTCATGACGAACATGATTCCGACTTCTCATGACTATTATCGATCGCCTTTCTTCGCCGTATTGTTAGTGACGTGTTATTGCCTAACTCATGATCCTACAAGGGTCGCTATCAGACATCTACTACCATGAATGTCAGGTGAGAGGCTGTACGAGGTGTATACGCGTAAGACAAGTGATTGTTCGCGCAGATGTATAAGGATTGTTCATCCGTGTTTATCTTAGTAAGGAACTTGTCAAGTTGAATCATCTCCCAAAATCAACTACCAAATCACAATTGATTCTATGTGCTCTAGTGGACTAGGAGTCTATGCCGCGCAAGCACATTATCCATACTCATAAAGAGCCACATTGTTGCACATGAGTTGAAAGGACTTGTTTTGCTGTTACAGCACAAGGAACAATGTGCTGTTACGTTTCTGCATGCTGGTCAAAGAACAACATGATTGATGATAGAGGCCTTCATTCATAAAGAGGGTTTATGAGTCTCGCGATGTGCATAGGTAGCTGGCCCCTTTACTACAACGTTCAGTGACTTGTGTGTTCTAGATATCACTTCAACATAAGTTTTAATCATTCGGGATAGTGACTGGTTCCTATCATCGAAATTATCATATTCGATCACCCTCGTTTTACTATAACTCTTGACATCGATTACCCAGCTTAAACTACATAATATTAGAACGAAAACCATCAGCTCATTTTACCATCTCCCTTCCATTATATTATCCGGAAGCTTAGTAGAACGATCCGTAATGGCGTTCCCATATGATCCCTTCCAACCCTACCCGCCAATACACCAACACCAACAACATCCGATCCATCGAAATGGGGAAGAAAGTTTTGACGTCGACTCATCACAGCAGCTTCTCATGATCGCCAATTGGACAAATGGTCTGGCAGCGCGGCTCGAAGAGTTGCGATATCAGCTTGATGCCACGTTCTACGCCCCGGACTATCAGTCAATTCAGTGGTTGGCGTGGAACGATTACCTGGCGCACCAGTTTGAGCTATTGGCGGACGGAATAATGGTACATCGATCATGGTTACTGTACCTGCGGCAGGAAGAGGAACAGACGAAAACCATAGACAGCCCACAATATAAGTACAGCTCCCGTCTGAAGAGACTGAACGAAAAGCTCAACCAGGCATATATAGAGAGCACGAAGGAAAGGAAGGGAACAAGGAAAGACGGTTACCCATATTAGCCTATTATTGCTGTTCCTATTTTGGAAATAATAGCCCAAATCGCTTACTCCTATTGGACAGGAATAGAATTCGCTGCACACCGTATAAGGTAGGTTAGACGATATTGTTACAGCATTTCATTCATGGCCCATTTAATATATCGTTATTTCTTGTATCTACGAACGTCTATGTGGCCCCTTTACTACGTGCCTACCTAGTTTTTATACCAATTTTATCCTAATACAGAAAAGCCGAGCCTACTCAACGTTTATTGGAGGCAAATACACTTTACAACGTCTTTGTAATCGATATTGAGCAATATAGTGAAGTAAAAAGGACAACGAACGAATTCTTTGTGTCTTACAAGTCTAGTAGTCAGGATTTTTGCGCGTATTGAAACAATCTTATGTTTTATGATATTACATAAACTCATTGTTTCCGCCCTCGGCAAAAAGGAAATTTGGGAAGATAAAACGTTCCCTCCTGTTGACTCTCACTGGAAGGTCTTTTGATACATTTCGACATCATACCTAACGTTATTCCCAAACCTTCACACTTAAAGTACTCAGGTACTTAGGTAGGTAGTGCACGATTCTCACAGTCACGATGGCATTCACGAAATTCATTAAGAGAGCGGCAGCATTCTGCGTTAAGAAAGTATCCATCTTATTACCGTTCAAGAAGACACGCAAGTTGCGCAATTCACCCAAGTTGCCCGAGCTATGTATGCCCTGCAAATCATGTAAGCCCCTTAAGTCTTTTAAGCCTTATAAGAGCCACAGGGTTCGTAAGACTCGTAAGACTCACAAGTCTCAGGAATCTCTCAAGTCTTGTGGGTCTCCTTTTTGCCATATGGATAGAGAAATAAATCAAGCCAGGGCTTCGAATGCCAATGTGTTCAAATTTGAATGCCAGAGCCAAAGCCGAGCAGACGAGATCGAGGACTTAAATTCTGTCGTAAATCGGCAAGCCCAGACAGCGGCGCAGGACTCTGGATTGATTCAGACATTATTCAGCATTCAAGAGTCTCAGCAACGCATTATCGAGACACAGAACGAGTCCATGGATAATTTGAACGACGAGTATGATAAGCAACAATTACAAATAGAAAAACTTGAATCAAGAATAGAGTCTCAAAACGAGTTAATACGAATTCTCCAGCAGAAACTTGCATTAGAACATTTAAAAAGGCAGGATTCATATACGGATGTACGCGGGCTATTAGGAAAAATATTAGAATCTTAAGCAGCCTTGTTTACAAGACCCTTTTACACAGCTAAGTCGCCCGTCAAGGGTTTAATCCCAAGCGAGTAAGAAGTACAAGCCTGTACTAATATCGGCAAGTTAATATCATGGATGTTAACATGTAATTTCACTTGTTTGATTATATACGCGCTGTGGGCATAATTATCTATCTCTTTGGTTGGCATAAGACTACAGCTCCACCACGATCAGTAACTGTACTTCCAGCAACCCCTGAGTTCCACAAAATCTTACTTCTAATTAGTTAAACACTTCCGAAGATCACTATGAAAGCCTCAACACTCACAGGCTTTAAGGGCCTGCGCTATCGCTGATGTACAGTTACCGGTTTTGTGGAGACTGTAGTCTTATGCCAACCAAAGAGATATAGCCCCCGAGATATCATCATAAATCCCTTAAACTATGAAATAAGGGTAACTAAGGATAAAGACCGCATGGTAAGTTCAAGTCATAGAACGGTATTGTTTAAGAATATAATACTGCTTTCAAGTAGATAAGGAATAAGCTGGAGGTGTAACGGTTAATTCAAATAGGAGGACAGGACAATAATGTTTAATGTTTAAGTATATATAATATTTCAAATACAACTGTTTCATGTCACCAGGCCATCTTTACATGTATGTAATCAGGAAGATTTAATACGTTTAATGCCGTTACGACGTTGTCTCTAGTAAAGACAGCCTTATGGACCCTCCAAGGAAGGGGCTCATCTACAACGGGGAATCCAACGAACCAATCGCTTTTCGTGGATATGATAAATCAAGCAACCCGGCTTAAAATGCCTAAAACATGAACCACGGCCTTGGTATCAAGTCATGCATGTGTAGGTCAGGTAACTATCCCGCATACACCACAAGACTTGGGGGTTAGGGTAGATGGCGATGCATGATGTTGTATTAAGGAAAAAGTTTACGTACCTAGTGGTCTGAGAGCAAGTTAGGAAATACCCCTCGCGGGGTGTTACTCTACTCAGGGACCAGCTGCGGATCACCCGTGTTTCGTGCGGGGACCATGCGGGGACCTCCCGTACTATGTAGTACCATGCCACCAACTTCAAATATTTAGGTAAACCTTCCTGGCATCAACATCTTTATTAATTTGAAAGATATCAATCACTCTTTTTTATCAACGAGTTCTTAATAAATGATTGAATACTTTTCTGTTCTTATTTAAAGAACTTAAACTCACGAAAATCACAAAATCAATTTCAGTTCGATATTTGCGATTTCCCCAGCGTGTACATTTGATACACTGTTAAAAAGATACCGCAAATCTTGTAAGGCTGTCGCAATCCACAGATGCCCCCATCGCCGTGCACCACATACTTATAGATTCTCTTGTGGATGCTCTGCAGTCACCTCCTTACAGATCTGTAGAATGCTGTCGATCTCTTCAGGCGGAGTCCGACCTAAGCCGCATTCTGTCGCCACGCCGAATGGGAATGAAACATTGGCTTGTGCAGTCTCGATGCGTTTCTTCGTCCCAGCCTCGTCATTGGCATGTACTAAACCAAGATATATATAAGGCGGCTTTGACCCTGGATAACTATCCAGCTTGAGACCGGTCAGGGGTTTGAAGTAATCAGAATCCGTCCGCTCTTTCGGCACTGGCAGGTGAATCCATTCAGTTCGCGGGCCGATAGTCTCGTACGCGAGCAAGGCGTTGGCGAGCTCGACCAGGAGTGACGTATCCTGGGGTTCAATAAAATGCATGTGCCGGAGATCGCCATAACAGAGATGGAAGGCAAGTTTTACGTCTGTTGGAATTCTCTCGCATAGACGTACCATACGGTCCACAAGACCCTGTAGCACGCCTCCGGGTGATGAAAAATAGGCTTGATGCCGCGTATCAGTGAGTCGTCCCTGATCGAATTCAAGCGCCATCATTTCGAAGCATAAGTCCCATTGAATCACTACATCATCGCTAGGGATATCCTTGACGATACGATCAATCGTCTCTGCAAAACGTTGTTCATATAACGGCTCAATCGCATTTACCAGCTCTGGTTTTAGATGGCCAATCAAGACGTTGTACGGTGAAGGCAGGCCGATCTGAAAACGGACCTTTGGCGGGATAATATTTTGCTGGCGGAGTCGTTTGAACTCGGTGTACGACGACAACGCTACCTCATCATAGCCTGTTGGCTTGATGTCCGCAAGCGTAAAGGTCGGCAGTCCAGACCCAGATTCAGGCAACGGTGTCCCCCCTAGTTCAGCTCGCCGGGCCACGAGAGGAAAGCGTTGCAGTTGCCATCCAATGTAATTCAACCGCTCGCCGATCTCGCCATCGGGTACGGCTTGCAGGCGGCCAGGGAGCGCAGTAGTTAAGCGCGTGAAGACCTCCTCCGGCGAGGCTCCGGGAACGCTGCCGACCATTAGCACTCCGGCAGGCTGCATCGTGACTCAAAAGTTGATGCAGTGTTATATGTGGACGAGAAATGAAGCTTCCGACTAGCGTTGATGAGTGGGTTATTTAAATACAAAGCGGAGGCTGCTCCTATCCCTTACCCTGCCAAAATCTACTGCAGCACCGACGGAGATAGGTTTGTATTGTAAGGGTCTTTTATGACATAAGCTGGAGCCCGAACGGCCCGCGCGATCTTACGCTTTAAAACGTGAGTATCGCAACGTACTGCTCCTTCGGCACGGAAAGAAAGGTGAAGTAGTGTCAGCCCCCATGTTACTACTATTCATCTCGTAGAGCATTCATCCTATCAAGCATTGAAGCTATTTTTAGCTTTTCAAATTACGAAGTTCAATGTCCAATCGACGTCCATGCTTAGTCAACTATTAAACAGGCCCAGCAAAGCCCCGGTATGGCCTCTGATCCCCACCATCGGATCCTTTCTCGGATTTCGATTGCCTCGCGATGACCTTGTTCGTCTATATATCCACTATGTCGCTACCTCTAGAAGAGATAGAGTACCTACTTCAAAGAGTATGCGAGTGATAATTTATAGCCGAGCCTCACTGCGTCTAAACGCCGCAGGCTTGATTCTCGCCTACGTCTTCGTGGGTTTGCGCATCTGGGCTCGCAAGGCGGGAAAGATGTCATTTGGCCATGACGACTGGTTCATTATTGTGGCGCTAGCACCACTTTCGACCTACGCTATCGTGGGTTGGTTTGCCGTCAGTTTTAGCGAAGGCAAGCACCTCATCTCTGTTGGCAACAGACCTGGCTTTATTCATGCCTACGTGTATCATGGCGTATGCGACATGTGTTGTCCTGACCAAGCTCTCCGTATTGTGCTTCTCCTGCCGCATCTTCCGGGACGTCAAATCAGACGGACCTTACGCTAAAATCAGACGGACCCCCCACAACACTAAACTTAACTTGGGCTAGTCTTGTGGGTACCTAGTTCAGAGTACAGTTCTCATATAAATTTAAGTACCTATTAGACTTGTTTCCCTTTTGTTGACCTTGCTATCTCATCGCAGACCTTGCTGTCGCTTTAACAACCCTCCTCAACCTAATCGTCGTCGCTGGCAAGGTTGCCGGGGAAGCTTGATAATAAGGTTATAAGATATAATAATAAATAGATTGAAAGTTATTATTAAAATCGATTTTATCGTCGCACGTAAAATAATATAAATAATAATAAGTTATTTATAATATAAATAATAATAAAAATTATAATAAATAAATTAAAGTTTTTTTTAAAAAATAATAAATTTAATAAATATTTAAGTTATAATTAAAAAAAATTTTAAAAATAAATTTATAATTAAAATTAAATTTATAAATTTTTAAAAAAATATTTTTATTATATTAAAATAATATTATATTTATTTAAAAAATAATTTTAATTATAAATTATATTTATTAATTATAAATTTATATTTATTATATATCGTATTAAATTAAAATTTAAATTACGAAAATTTTTATTAAAATAAATTAAAAAATATTATAAATTATTTTTTTATATTAAAATTTTATAAAATTTAATTTATAATTAAATTTTATAATATTAAAAATAAATTTTTTAATTTATTTTATAATAATTTAAATATTTTATTTAAAAATAATTTAATTAAATTAAAAAAAATATATATAAAATAAAAAATTTTTTAATTTTATAATAATATTAATTTTAAAAATTTTTAAAGTTATTAAAATAAATAAAAAATTATTTTTAATATTATTTTTAAAAAAAATTATTATTAATTTAAATAATTTAAAAACCGTTTAAAAATTTATATAAAAATATTAAACGGGTCGAATAAATAATTTATTAAATTTTTTAAAATATTAAAATTAATATTTATTAAATTATTAAAATAATTTAAAATTAATTATAATTTAAAAAATAATAAAAACGTTATTATTTTTTTATAATTTTTATTTTTTTTATAAATAATTATATATAACGAATTATAAAAAAATATTACTTATATATTTAAAATAATATAAAACATTATAAATTATTTAATTAAATTTATTTTATTTATAATAATAAATTTATTTTATTATTTTATTATTTTTTTTAATAATAATTATATATTTTTTATAATAAAATTTAATTTTATTATAAATAATTTTAATAATTATATAAAAATAATTAATAACACGTATATTTATATTTATATATTTATTATAATTAATAAATTATAACGTAATAAAAAAATTTATTTTTTAAAATTTTTTTACCGCGATTTAATTTAATAAAACTTTTAATTTTATATTAATAAAAATTAAAAAAATTATATATAATTTTAAATTTTATAATTTCGTTTTTAAAAAAAAGTTTAAAATATTTCGTTTTAAATATTATTTAATTAATAATAATTTTAAAATTTATTAAAATATTATAATTTTTTATTTAAAAATTAAATATTATTTATAAAAATAATAATTAAAAAAAGTTAATTTAATTTTAATAAAAAAATTTTATAATTTATATTATAATAAATTTAAAATTATAATTAAATAAATTTTTAATATATTAAAACGTAAATTTAAAATTATTAAAAATATAACGTTTAAATATAATTTAAAAATATAAATTAAATTTATTTATATTATTTATAAATTATATAATTTTATAAAACGCGACGGTAAAAAAAAATAAAATTTAAAAAAATATAATTTAAATTAAAAAATAATATTAAATATTAAACGTTAATAAATTAATAAATTAATAATTAAACGTTTAATAATTTATATTAAAATTAATATAATTTTTAAAATATAATAAAAATATAAAAAATATATAATTAATTATAAAAAAAATTAAAATTATTAATATATAATTATTTTTTTAAATTAATTTATTTATTTAAATTTTAAAATATTTTTCTTTATTTAAAGTTTTATTTAAAAAATTAAATATAATTATAATTCGTATTATTTATAATATATTATAAATTAAAATAAATTATTTATTATTTATATTATTTAATAAATATTTTTTTAAATATATAAATATTTTTTTTATATTTATTAAATTAAATTCGCGGTTTATTTCACGAAAAGTTTTATTAAATATTAATTTAAGTTTTATAATTTTTATTTTTTTATTTTTTTTAACGTTATAATTAATTATTATTTAATGTAATAATTATTAATTTATATTTTTTTTAAAAAAAAAATAAATTTAATATTTAAATCGTTAAAAATTTTATCGATTAAATTACAATTTTTTAATTATTACGGTACTTATATTTAAATTAAATAAATAATTTTAATTTATTAAAATTAAAACGTTAATTAAATAAATTAATAAAAATATTATTAATTTAAAAATAATTTTTTAAAATAATATTTTTTTTTTACCTCGTTATTTTAATATAATTATTAATTAATTTATTTATAAAAAACGTTTAAACGTAAATTTTTTTATTATTTAAAAAAATAATTTTAAATTATTTAACGTTAAAATATTTAATTATAAATTTTTTTTATTATTAATTAAATATAATAAAACATTTATTTTTATTTATATTATTATTATTAATATAATCGTTAATTAACGTTTAATATTTTAATTATTATTTTTTTTTAATTTTACGTTTTAATTTTATTAATTTAAAAAATTAAAATTTAATAAATAAAATTTTTTTTATTATTATTAAAATATAAATAAAAATTAATTATTAAATAATTTTACGATTTATATTAAATAAACTTTCGTTAATAAATAAAATTAAATAATTTATATATAACGTAATTTTTTTTTTTAATTATTTTATTTTATTAATTTTATTAAAAATAAAGTTTTTAAAATAATTAATAAATTTATTATTAATAAATTTAATATTTAAATTTATAAAAATTCGAAACTTATTATTATTATTTAATAATAATTAAAAATTTTTAAATTATTTATTAAATTATTTATTAACTTAAATAATAAAATTTTAATTTTAATTATTAAAATTAAATATAATAATAAAATTAAAAATTCGGTTTTTTAATTTATTTTTAAAAAATTATTAAAATAATATAATATAATTAATAATTTAAACGTTTAAAAATAATTAAAAATTCGTAAAACTTTAAAATATATAAAGTTTAAAAACTTAATTAAATTTTTTAAAATTTAAAAATTAAAATAATTAATTAATTAAATTTAATTTAATAAATATAAAAATATATATATATATATATAAATCGTATTTATTTTATATAAATAAAATAAATATTTTAAATTTTTATAAATTTATTATTAAAAATTTTCTTAATTATAACCTTAAATTTATATAAGAATTATATTTTAAATTCGGTACTTATAGGACTAGCTTAGTTAAGTTTAAGCTGGTGGAAAGGTCCGTCTGATTTTAACGTAAAGTCCGTTTAATTTGACGTCCCGGCATTTTCTTCTCTATATAGAAACTATTCGATATATCACGGGGCTTCGACATGTTTATTATGGCCTATAATTTGACCCTCATCTTAGTCACCGCGTTCAAGTGCAATACAGATAAGACGCATATATATATATATATATATAATAATGAAATATATATCGGTGTAAAATTGCGAGTTCTATCATGTGATCCTTCCATTGTTCATCGTCTATAAGGAAGGGGCAACTAGAGAGAGGAGATAGAGCTGACATTGCACGGAAGGTGGAGAGCGAGCGAGTCTCCTAGTCGCGTTCACCTCCTCGGATTTACGTAACGCAACCGTGATATTTCTGCTACTCCCCCAGTTTCGTATCCCCATATCAATGTATTATACCTAAAGTACCTCTATCATCCCCGACACGAATATGCGTTTCCTAAGTACAATTATTACCTATTTATCCATTCTAGCAATATCAACCGTTGCTCCCGCTTTTGTGTCCTCGGTCGGCAGCTCGAATTCCGGTGTCATTGGCAAGAGACCCCGTCGTGTTCGATCTTCTGCATCTAGTCCTCGCTATTGGCAAAACAGTAGCGACACCCAAATTTTCTGTCATAATGAATCCCAAGCACCTATCTTTACCGGTAAATGGTCATATATATCTTGGTGTTGTTCCTTGATACTGACCATTTCGTACCCACGATTAGAGGGTGATAAAGACCTCGGTGGACCCGGCGTCGTGATATACAATTTCGATCCCTATGACCACGGTGGCGTAAATGGGGCCATGTACTTCGTCTACGAGAGTAACCACGACTTCATCCCCTATAAATACCTGATCGTAAGCTGCCCTACCCTAGCTTACTCGCTCCTCTGTGTCTCGCTACTCCTCTTCCCAGAATAAAACGCTAACGTAGGCCATTCGCCCGTCCTCTTAGATCCCGCCCTGGTCGAGCGTGTTCTTGTCCGTATGCCCAACTTTTCGTGGGCGAATCGTGCGCGGCAGCCCCTCGAACCTCGACGGACGGAAGCATTTGCTGGGCACATGGGCGGAAGTAAATTGGCACGCGAATGAGACTTGGTCGGCATGGGGCGACATCTCAATATTGCAGGGCAACGACGGTGCCGCAACCATCCAGTCCCTCGACGGACTCTTCAAGTTCAGGGGATTCATGCTCGATATCCTATCTTACGCGCCGGCGAATGCGTGGGCGCAGAAGGCGACGGGCTCGTGGTGCCTCGACAAGATCATCGGAGAGGATGCGAATAATGCGACGATGGAGTGGGAAAAGCAGTTTATAGATCCGTGGAACGTATACTTACGTGATGACATCGATCCTGTCATCAATTCGAATAATGGCAGATTCCAAGTTACGTTCTACGAGGGTATCTTCTAGATGCCTACCTACCTGAAGTAATGGTTAGCCAAGTTTCTAGACTCTAATAACGGTTGAAGTTGCGGATCCCTGAGGCTTGGGATATACATAGGTGTAAAATTACCTAAGAATTCTCTTCGATTCCGTTAAATGTTATTTTTCGTGTTTGTGTGCCTATTAGGATATATGAAAATTAGGATATATGAAAAGCGAGATTACAGCGTCGTGCGATAATTCAATCTGAAAACCATAAAGGGGGTAAGGGGAAAAGGGGCTGGCGGCCAGCTGGCGTCACGTGGCTGAAGTATCTAGACACTTATGCACAGTGCTACGATAGGTAGAACTAATGGACGGATACTTCCACGTGGGAGGTAAGTTTAGCTTTAAAGGCTACTAGGAAAGTGGGAAGACCATGAACCGGAGGAAGATCTCCTCATTCTAATAATAATATTTACTTAATAATGATTTCAATGAACCGGGATAAAATGAACCAAGTTACATCGCGCACAACCAAAATATGAAAACCCTTGTCATCTTGCCTCCCCCGTATCCCCATATCCAATCACTTGGGATTCTTGTTCTTTTTGGCCAAACTGAGGCTGGTATTCGTCTAGATACCCCAATCTCTGATCGCATACCTACGATACGGCGGCACATACGGCGACAAGAGTTGGGCCAGCTCACATATTTGTGACATTTTGCTGGTATTGGCATTCCGTTTTCAGAATCCATCTCGCCAAGACACCTCGCCTCTTTTCGTCGTCCGTTTAGCCGTTCTAATCCCTCTTCTTACCACCTGCAGCACCTGGCACCTGGCAAACTGGCACTAAGTAAATTGTTTGCATGCATGTCCAGAATGCTGACAGCCTTGGCGACATCGTCGTGGTACCTTATCTGGTAGCCCTGCATCACGAAGCCGTCACGATCAAATTTCTCCCGCAGCCATGGCCTACGACAGCATTCTGATGAATTAGCTGGCTAGGTTACAACTTGTCGCCAGTTATGAATTAAAAACATATGCCCCTCCGAACATAAAGAGCGCATATGAGCACACTCTTGAGTTTATCTGCGCCCGCATGTCATATAAGATGGCTCTCCAGCAGCAGAAACTGGTTGTCTTAGCCGCCTGGTGAGTAGCGACGCTACGGCCTACTGGACGGATAGGCTCATTTTCGTCCCGTCCCGTCCCTTGAAGTTAAACTCAGACAATTAACGAAGTTCAGCATTCTTGGCTTAAGTACGGCCTTCATCTGGTCCCGATATTACAAAAGCGCAGCATTCGGTACGGCCCGCTGGCCCTTTAAGCTCTAGAAAAAAGAGTAAAAATTCTCGTCGGATGATTAACTAATACATTCTAATTAGAACGGCCATTCCATTTTTCCATCTTAACCCTCCTCTTCTCCGGCCTCGCCTTGTCCTCGTATGCAAAGTATATACTTCGATCCGAACCGAGCTACGCGCCGTTGACCAATGGTGCTGGGAATGCTTCAGCCAAATCTCTCTTCGTCGATATCCTGAGATACCCACTTCGACTTCGATCACAATCTCCGTCCTTTGCTCTGCTGCTATTCTGTGTGGTCGCCCGTACCATCTTGTATTGGAGGACCATTCGCACCATCCACTGTTCGTGGGATGGACTTCAGGTTCGCGCTTGTCGTGATCGCAAAGGGAAACCGAATAATACAGTCGCTGACATTCACAAATAGGCTTTTCTTCCTTTCCTCCTTATCGTCTATGATATCGCCGAACTGCGGCCCCTAAACCTACCGAGACACGAACACGATACACATGGCCGAAATACGAGCGCTTCATCTACCCTCGCGAAATATGGGTTGATTGCGCTACTCTGGGGCTTGGCCGCAACCGATACTTTTCTACTTTCCGAGCGCACGACTGGCGCGATCTGCCCTGCCGGAACCTATATCGAGCGCTTGATACCTCTCGCCCAACTTCTCACACTAGCTCTCGATGGCGTCTTCATGTCACAGATCGGGAAGCTTAGGCAGGGAACCGAAGGACAGTCAAAGACGTGGCATTTCTTGGGCACCCTGTTTCTGACCTCGGCAGCCGTATTAACCTTCTTGGCTGTCTGGTCATCGGTCGACCGAGCCAACTTCCAATGGAATGTCTTTCTCACCTGGCTCGCCATCGGCGACCTGATCGTTGATAGTATCGTCGTAACAACGGGCATAATCGCCGCCACATATCTCCTTGGATATTTCCATCCCTTATTTGTGAGCTTGTTGCTTACGGCACCGAGTATCTTCGTCTACCTGCAATGGAGAATTATGGACGGAACTATGATCAGGGTCTGGTCTAATTGGTGGGGTCTCATCACTGGTGTTTGGCTATTTGTAGGAGCAAGCCTTCTATTGCACTTCGGCAAGACTGCCAATTTTCAGCTTCGCTTTTCCGGCGAAGGCGCCATCACAAGGAATCGATACGGTTTCTGCGCTCTGGTTGCCTTCATTATCGTCTTCGCCCAGACGATCTTTGTGAGCCCTGGTGGGTTCAGGCCTACTCCCACCCAAATTATTTCCGACGCCAGAAGCGAGTCGGATGACTGGATATATAGAGCTGGGAAGAGCAAATCTCTCCCAGAAGCTGTCTCGGAATACAGAGAACGCTACGGGATACCGCCGCCTCCTAATTTCGATAAGTGGTATCATTTCGCAACGTCGGTAAAATCCCCTGTTATCGATACATTCGACCAGATTCACGCAGACCTCCTTCCATACTGGGGTACCCTACCGTCTGTCCTGCGACAGAGGACAACTCACTTACTCGAGCACCCGTCTCTTTCCATGGGTGGTATCATCCTCGAAGGTGGCAAGGTTGACGTATCTCCACATATCCTCGGCACTCATAGGTGGATGATGGACGTTACCAAGGACATGCTTGAACCTTTTGCCCAGTGGCTACCTGATATGCAGCTCGCCTTCAACCTCGACGACGAATGTCGTATATCGATTCCGCTCGACCGTATGAAAGCCTATACAGAGGAAGGGCTTAGAGCTAGGGCAAGGTTGGGCGCGAAACAGGAGCTGTTCCCGTTCAGTGATATGCAGGAGCCGCCTTGGGTAAAAGACTACCTGAATGCGGACGAGAAGATCTGGAATGAAAGATCACCGTGGTTCTTGGATAGGTCCAAGCGTCAGATCTTCTATGAGTGGATCTCGCCAACATGTCCAGCTGAATCTCCGGTGAACAAGTACCGCTGGTGGAACAAGAAGGCAGAGTGTCTCGGTTGTTCTGCTCCGCATATGACACACGGATTTGTATCAAATTGGACGTTATCTGGCGACCTATGCCATCAGCCTGATCTTGCGTATTTGCACGGCGTCCTTTTGTCGCCGTCTGCCATGGCTCCTTCTCACACGCTGTTTCCCGTCTTCAGCCAGAGTCGATTATACAACTTCGCTGACATACTGTATCCGAGCCCTTGGAACTTCGGCGAGAAGGTAGAGATCGAAAACAACAAGAGTATACCTTGGGATCAAAAACTAAATAGCGTATATTGGCGTGGCGCTTCTTCGGATGGCTATGCTGTCCACGGCTCCTGGCAGACGTTCTTGAGGGCTAGGTTTGTTAATATGGCTGCGAAAGCCAAACTATCTGTTAGGGCCAAATCTCTCTTCAGCCTCATGTATTCTCGAAGAGATATTCTTTCCTCGTTACGATCCACCTCGACAACCACTCCCACACAAACAACAACACCAACGGAAGATCACATTACCGTGAATGCCTCATTCGTTGGCAAATTTAACCGTTGCGACGACCGCGACTGCACCGCCGAGCACATCACCTTCTATGGCTCGGCCACCGCCGAACCACCTCCTTCGCTCGATTTTCAAGAGCACTGGCGTCATCGCCACCTTATCGACCTCGACGGTGCCGCCTTCAGCGGCCGCTTCCTACCATTCCTTAAGTCTGGATCTTTACCATACCGCGCCGCGCTCTTCCGCACGTGGTGGGAGGAACGTGTCCACGCATGGAGGCACTTCGTGCCGCTCGACGTGCGGCTCGGCGACCTGTGGAACGCCGTGAACTACCTGGGCGGGCCGGGTCTGTCCGAGGCAGACGAGATCGCGCAGGCTGGCCGTGACTGGGCCCAGCAGTCGCTCCGGAAAGAAGACATGCAGGTCTACATGTTCCGTCTACTGCTCGAGTGGGGGCGTCTTGTGGATGATCGCAGAGAAGATCTTGGTTTCGTCCTCTAAAAAGGGCAGGTCCAAAGTTATAATAATAATAACGAAAGGCCAGTTACACCTTCGACGGGAATTATACACATACTAGGTACTGTACATACATATACACATACACGGATAGATGGATGGGCAGGCATATGGGTATGTTCGCCTTACTGCTTGTTTGCTTGCTTGCTTTCTTGTTGCTTGAATGGACGATTTTACGCTTTGATACCACCCGCGGAGAATCGGGACGGCGGCTTAGGGTTATAGTAGCGTGCGTACATACATATACACATCTACATACACACCGATGATACCACACAATGAATAAAACATATTTCAATTTCGATAGTCCTGATACGGGTTCTCTGCGAGGTAATTCGGTATGCTAAGTGACGAAAGTGTATCGAAAAGTACGAATATAGAGCAGAATAAGGCAAGCCGTTAGTTAACTTAAAAGTTACCGTAAACCACATATAAATGTAAATGAATTCTTCAGTTGACCCGAAATTTTTAAATTCCCTTCCAGTTCAAGTTGATCAAGCAAATCCATTTCGATTCACCAAGAGTATCAAACATTGCACATTGCATTTCAAATCGAGCAATCGGCTCTTCGTCAATCATTCACTGGGCTAAGGGGTGAGGTTACACAAATCGAAAACATCAAATAAACTAGCCTAGTTCCTATATATAGTAGATCTAGAAACGAGGCTATATACCTAATCCGTCGCCGAGAAGGCAACAGTTAAAAAGGCGGAGAGCAGAAGAGAAGGCACATAATATAGAGTTTGTGCGCTTGGTTAATAGGTAGGGTAAAACTAGCAATTAGGTCCTCTTCGCCCCCGTCTATCACCTTAAGTATTCTATAGCTCCTTTCCCATTTCATGATTCATTCCAGGGCCCTTTTCTTCCGCCAGCCCATCTGCGCTAGATTGAGCGGCTCTCGTGTCTCTACTCCGTCTCCTATATGATCCAAACTCGCCTTCCCACAGCAAACCCAAAAAGAGGCCGCTGGTAAACATCAGGAGAGTTCTAGCCATGTCTGTAGGTATAGAAATAACTTCTTTACATTAAGATCGCGTATTAGAAATATATAGTAGCTGGGCGCAGATCGATTAACCCTAGCTGAGCTGGTCGAAATGGGCTCATGATTTGCCCGCATCTCGAACCCTAGCCATCCATGCATCGACTTTCTCCTGTTGGTCTAGTTTATTCCTAGACTCGATCACCCTCTGTGCCTCAGCGGTGGTGTTAGCGTTGAGAAGGGGTACTTCTAGATCTAACAACATGGCCACGGCTGCGCGGATGAGAACAGCATCCCCTTCAAATACGTATACATCCCATAGTCGGGTGCATTCGTCAAGACTGAAATGGCGTGTAAAGCAAGACGTGAATATCTCGCTAAGATAGTCATTCGGCTCAAAAGCGAGCTCTGGATTGATGAGATGTTGATGAAGTCGTGGAGACTTGGTTCCTAATGTCTGAAGGAGCAGGTTGAATGCTGATGCCTTAGCCCCGACGTCAGAAGCATAGAAAGAAAAAGGAAGAGGCCGATTCAAGACGTTGGCTAAAGAGACAAAGGCAGCGGCAGGTGTAGCAACATTAAGCAAAAGCATCGCTGCGATGGTCTATGCAATATAGTCAGCACACAAAATACACATACTAGAAATAGACCAAAGTCAGAAAACTCACATTGCAGCCAGAGACGTAACCGATGTCACTCCGATACATGACATATGCACTAAGGACATCGATGAGGCCTTTGTTCAGTGGAGCGCCAGCTTGGAAGATTTTTAGGTCGGCCCAAGTTCGCTCTTCCACATCTGTCTTGATCTGAGTAAACCAAGCCATCTTGCGTTCATCCTCAGCGCTCGCTTTTCCAGCCGCGCAACGATCTTCTACCTCGCGAACCCTTGTCAGGGCAGCCTGGAATGACGTTTCTGTCAGACCGAGCTCGTTTCCGATAGCCCGAGTCCATACAGCACCTCGACTGTGTGGCGCTACACCTTTCCACCACAGTTCACGGGTCCGACGTTCGCGTACGGCAGCATCCCATCTCTTCAAGACGTCATCTTCCCAAACTTGCATCAGAGCCTTTGCAGCATTATCCTTAGTGCGTTCTTTCTCCTTCTGGGCGGCCTCTCGTTTCTTGTCGGCCTCGATACTGCTTGCCATCATTCTCTTGTACTCTCTAAGATGTCTCTTCTCTTCTGCGGGGTCCTTCGGCGGCAGCCAAGATGGCCTTGTTCGCGAGAGGACAGCCTCCTTCTCTTTAGATACGGGTAAGGGATCGATCATGATGTTAGAGCGTCGAAGAGGAGGAAGCTCGGCTAACGCAGATTTCACACGCGGCTTCAGTACGGGTCGATCGTATGATGAGTGTAGGCCATGCTTGTCGAGCTCATCCGCATGCTCCTCTAGCTTTTCGGTGAGGGCCTTCGCTTCGGGACTAAGTTCTGAAATGGCGGCAGTCCAGCTCTTAGCACGACCCTTTGCCGAAGAGGATGTAGATGACCGGTTTGAATCCGTGGATGACGAATCGGTTTTCCACGCCGGGGACTTCAAGCTGCCCTGATGGACAGCAACTGGTGGCGTGCCATTTCCAACGCTACGAACACGTTCTTTAGGCCGCCTTTCGGGGGAGGTGGAGGTAGAACTTGGGCGGCTAGCCGACCGCTCCATTGGTGGGCGAGGTGATAGCGGAACATTATCTAGGATGAGATCATCTGGGATGTTGTCGTCGTCATCGTCATCGCATTCCTTCTCTAAGTCGATTGCCGATTTCGGTTCCCTACCCATCTGCCAGCTGCTTCGTCGTTGCTTTGGTACTGCGAGGTTCATGTCTCGAGGACTTAGCGATCGAGCGTTAACGTTGGGACTCGGACTTCGACGACGGCGGGATGCGGCAGTGGAAGAAGCGGACCGTACGGACAGGCTACGCAATGGCAACGGACCCGGCTGGGGATCATGGCCAATGCCTGTGCTGAGACTACGAGTACTGGTATCGCGGAACTGTGCGCTCAAAGTCGGCGCTCTAGGTCGTGGCCCTGAGAAGGACTGATTTGTGCGCAGTTGCGGGCGCGGGCGAGCTAGATCACGAGGTTGAGGGTGAATTTTGGGTCCGACATGTTTCGCAGACGAGGCGCGAAGGTCGGAGGCAAAGGAGGCACTGTAAGGATTTGGAGCCGACTTAATCTGGGTGTTACGGTAGTGGGACGGGTCAACAGAGGCGACGTCGTCATCAAGGCCAATCTCCTCGAAATGGGCGACATCTGTCGTGATGGCATCATCGCCGTCGTCGGAGTTGAACGAACGTACGGACGACGCCCGAGAAGTGATAGCGGACGTAGTCATGCCGGGTGGTGATCCAGGACTCGGAATCGCGAGGTCAACCCCGTCTGCGTGTCCTCCGCCGTAGGTCATGATCGCATGGTCGAGCATCGGGGGGCCGGCTCGAAGTGTAGGATGACACAAGGACTGGCCTTGGATCGAGCCCAAGGAGAAAAACACAAAGAAATTGCGCGTTGGTCGCTGAGGTGTTAGTGGAGACGAGAAACGAAATCAATTCGTGCTTCCACTAAGAGATTGACGGTCTGATCTTCGTCGATCTTGTTTATGAGAGTTCTGGCTCTCAGTGATGGCTTCAGACGAAGGAATCAGCGAACACAAGGGTACACAGGAATAGCAACAGCGAGAGGCGGAGATGTCGAGTACGGACCGTCGGAGCGAATCACAACGAGGCAAAGATGTTCGAGAATCCTCAATTCGAAAGAACCAGGATTGCCCAGGGAAGCCCCTGATTTGCGATAGCGTTGTGGTGGTAGAAGTGAGATGAGGCTTGTCAATTGTCTCACGATCCTAGTAAGGAATAACCCCTAGATGGCGGCGTAGTGCGTCGGATGCCGGATGCTGGATGTTGGACGATGAATATTTGATTAGGTATATAACTTATTACTGGAACCGCACTGGCCAAGAGACGAGTGCGTATTAATGAATATACAATATTCGGCTTCCGTTAGGAAAAGCGAGGGTTGAACAATAGTATTATGTTCTTTGTTAGCAGTGGTCGTTTTCGTGAAGATCGTGACGGCTTAGTATAGTTGCGAGCTGATAAGTCCGTGCAGAGGGTAACGAGAGCGTTTCGATCTTCCAATGCAGGTTGATCAGTTGATTAAGCTCAAGCAAGACACATTAAAATTCAGCAGGGGGAAGTCTATGCTGCAATCCGTACTTCGCGGGCGTGGATATGTATGTCCGGTATGTTATGTGTGTATGTGTATATGGGTGTATGTGTGTATATAGCTATGGTGCAGTATGCTCGCGTGGTTAGAACTTGAGGTTGTTAATAGTAGCAGTTTCGGATGCTGGCGGGTCGTTGTGCCAAACGAAGGATCAAAGTTGAATAAAAGAACGAGCGGACGATGGTAAATCTTGTGAAAGAGTGGACGAATATCAAAATTATTTTTTTGATATCCTACGAAAAATAACACGACATGTCGGCTTCCTTGGATAATGAGCGGATTCCCCCTAATACGGTGAGAAGAAAGAAAAAGGTCATAAAAAAGTTGGAACTGGGAGAGAAAACGGGAAAGTTGGAGGTGAGTGATGCTGTGAATGCGAGAATGGAAAGGAACGAATCATCCCTTAGCACCCACTTTCGGTACCTTGTTACCTTTAGGTATCGGGCAGCGCTTTCTGTCCAGCTGAAAAGGAGTCCTCCAGTTCCTCTAGTTCCTCTCTGGGGCGCACAGGCCTCCTAGGCCTCCTCCACCACTGAAAACTTCCCCTTAAAATCCGGGCGCGAAAAATGGATCCTTTGTGAAAAAAAGGGTGTCTATCTACAAGCCGTAATTATAACTTTTACCAATCGGGTTATGATGCGTTTACCAGGAACCTGTCAACTCGACCCCTGATTTGACCATCTCATTCCCCACCACTAGTCCTATTCATCAGAATACTCCCTAATGTCTTTTCCCTTCATCAATGATTAAACCAGCAGTCAACATGCAAGAAGCAAGTACACACGGCATTAAATATTTAAATAAGTACATAATATGTAATTATGACCTACATATGTACATGAGTATTTACATAAGTAGTAGTTACCTTGAAAATCGGGCTTCTGCCTTGATCTTGGAATCTCGCATCTGAAATGGCTAGGATAGACAGGATAGACAAGGCATCTTTCAAACAGCGGCCTGCAACTTCAAAATGACTCTTAAAGCCTCGACTAACCTAATACTAAAATCAACTACAAAGTAATCTCATCAGTTATTCATACCTGGGTCTCATCCAAGTCCTCATGCAAAACTGCGAAACTACTAAACAAGGAGCAACCGGTGGTGCCGTTAGTTAGATAAGGTATATGCAGGTACAGTCCAGCTCACGATTCAGCTCAGCCACCTCCAGTAGCAGCCGACCATTTGTAAGGTGCTCGTTTCATCACCGCCATTCCATCCATTCCTACACATTTCAGGAAAAAGGAAAGAGAGGAAGGTACTTTACCTCTGCTACGCAGAATTCTAGAAACTTGTGGTTCTGTGGTTCTATGTATAGGTAAACAATGAAACAGATTCCAATGCGAACAACTTGCGACCTACTTAAGATAGTTACTCTGCCATTCCTCCGGGTACGCAGAAACTTTAAATAGGCATCGAGCCACATATGAATTGACTTGAGCGAACCTTATGCGAGTTTCAACCCATGTGCTCCATATTATAAGCCTCATCGTACATCGCAGGCGCCGAGCCTATCTACATGTATGAATCTATGCTTTTACGGTAACTCATTATTCACAAAGCTGCATATGGAAGAGAGGGAGAGAAAGGACCCTTCAGTCAAACCAGCAAGCCCCGACGCGATACGACAGGGGGATGAGGCACGGCTAAACCTTTCGGACTGATCAGTCATCAGCGATGCTATTTTTAATGCTCGCAGCAAATCTCATTATATGCCTTTACACGGAACGCCGCTCATTGCCAGCCGTTGGTTACCTCCACGGTGAACCGGATCTTTAGGGAACGATCTCCTCGCTCTCCTCTAGTACCTCTTCCACGATTTCCTCGATAACCTGTTCCTCTCCGTTTTCGGGCAATTTGGCACCGGCCTCGTCCGGGTGCTTCGGCAAGCCTCTCGCGAGCCTTTCCTCCTCGAGTTCGGCTTCGACCGACTCGCGCCATGCCAACCATTCGTCGAGCAGGCGTCTGCGGGCCTCAACCACCGCCAGGTCCGCAGAAGCTCCCCGCTCCGCATCTTCTTGCTCGAAGATCTTAGAGTATTCGCGGAGATTCTTGCGGATCTGCTTCTGCTCGTCCTTGGTAAGGAGAGTAGGAGGTCTTGGGCGCCATAACCATTGTCGGAATTTGTCGACGGGTTCTTCTCGTAATAATTCACCCTTGAAATCGTAGAGGTGGTATCCATTCTCCATCTATAGCCAGTAATTAGTGATTTGAATATCGGGAGGTGAGGGAGATGGTAATTATTAAACGTACCGTATGCTTCCAAACGGATGCCCAAGAAGCGACGAAGCGTCCCGACGGGTCCCACGCAATATCTGTTACGCCGTAATGGTCCGCGGTGTTCATGAGCTGGAGATTAGCGGTGAGGTCTTTGTCGCTCTCTGGCTTCTCGCCCTCGAAGTCTAAGTCGAAGAACTCGATATCGGAACTCTGCTGGTTGGCAACCGTACCGATAACAACGAAACGACCGCGCGGCGACCAATAGATAGCATTGCTATTCTTCTTATCTAGAGTCCGTAGATGCTTGAAGTTGCCTATGGCCGATCCCTTGGCTTTCTCGGGGCAGAAGAAAGACACGGAGGTCTTCGGGGCGACAGCCGTAGGGCCCGTCGGCTCGGTCGTCGTGATGATGACAAATCGATCTCCCTTCGGTTCCCAGGCAAAGTTGATAACCGTGTCCTTGATCGTGTCGACAACTTCGACAGGCACGCCCTTTTCTCTAACGCGGAAAATCTCAAGGGTGGTGGCCTGCGATTTCTTGGATTTCGAATGCCTATCAACCTTTACAGAGAGATAGGTGGCATCCGATTGCCAATGAAGCTTTGCATCAGTGACGCTGAACAGGTTCAAGGATCGAACGATCTGCTTCGAAGGTATGCTCATCAATCCGACCTTTGCGGGGTTACTGCCAATTTCCGGCGTCCAAAAGCAGAAGAGCTGCTCATACTGCTTCACCCCCTCCCTTTGAGGAGTCGATGGCGCCCACTCAAAATCCATGACTCCTTCGATCTTGATTGTTGTCTTGTCTAGTAGATTCATGCGGGGCAGCTCATATACCGAGATAGACGAGCCTTGAGTCATCCGCGCCACGTACCTGTCGTCAGAAGACCACTTGAACGCCGGCCAGGGGAACTTGGGCTGCTGCTTTGCCGGTGCCGCATGAGAATCGTTGGTGGCAGGTATGTCGATGTTCGCGAAGGAACGGAGAGGTTTGGCTGTCTCAACTTCCCAGATGACATAATTCTTGCCATCCTCATCTAGGGATAATTGAGGATGTCCCTCATCAGGTATCGAAATAGGTCTATTCGACCATGTGACCACATACTTTTCGTTAGGGGAAAATTCGAGCATGTTGACAAAGGGGTGCGCAAACCGTCTCTGACGAGACCACGAGGCACCACCCCAAAGCTGCACACCCTGCTGATGAACGGACACGAAGAACGTTCCCAGGGGCGACCACGCAACGAAGCTCTCTGTCCAGTGCTGTCGGTCGACGATATTCTCGGGGGGCTCCTTCTCGTTATTCCAGAAGACGCCAACGACGTCGCCTCGATACATGGCAAACTGATCGCGGCCACGACCACTCGGGTCAGCTAAGAACGAACGCAGATGTTCCTTCTCCACAAACTCCTCGATCTTAGGAGGAACATAGTTCTCGTCTACTCGTCCTTCTCGGCCGTAGCGATCGACATCTGTCATCTTGTTGACTCTCAAGGTATGTCTCTTGTCGAGGGGGACCATGTCGAGTTGTCTCACGGCGGCGGCGGCTTCGGCGGCGGAAGAATATTCAACGAAGGCGAATCTAGGTGTCTGTCAGCATCGCGATATATTTCTGGTAAGAACTTTTGCAGCTCGTGTCTCATATGACTTGAACTTGAACTTGGGTATGACATAACCACGTGATGCGGTTTGGTCTAGGTCTGGTTGGTTCGGTAGGAGATGAAACGGCGAGGGGCGAGACGAAATAGCAATGGAATAGCGGCTTACCTGAGAGACTTGCCATTTTCCATAGGCATGTAGACTTGGTCTTCTCTAGCCTTTCCGACCTGATTCAACTTCTTCAACAGGAATTTTACGAGCTTAGGCTTTTGCTCCTCGTTAACTTCGGGTAGGCCATCGATGACAACGAATGTGTCGTAACCTTGTTCGAGTTGAACTTCGTACTTCTCGCGCAGATCAGAAATATCGATCTCATCCTCGTCGTAATCGTCCTCGTCGACGTCTGCGTCGCGCAGATGGTCAAATGACGGTGCCATGTTGGGCCAACACTGTGTGTAGGTATTCGCAAGAAGGTGTCGTTGGCTCGTCTGTGGGGCTTTGTGAGAAAAACTGCCCCGCCTTAGGAAAAAGTGAGGGCGGACGAAGATGCGAAAGTTGTGGTTAGACTTTTTGTCGCAATAGTGATTTAGAATAATATCCCAGGAAACCGGATATTATTCCTTTCGGCCTGGATGGCACTGGAAAGTGATATCTTACCAGGATCCAATAATTGACTATTGGTATAAATGGTAGCGAAAAACGGAAAGGGGGAAGATGAATGTTTTCCTGGTTTAAGGCCAATTATTTTTTTCTTGTAGTTTTTTTTGATGTTCCCAAGGTGAAAAAGCCCCAATTGTGTGTGTCCCCGCCGATCCGCTTATCATCCTCCTGATAGCACCTGATTGGCCAAAATGCTTATGTAATTCTAAAATAGAGCATGGGCTGCACTGGGCAGGCGGCAGGTAGCAGTTAGCAGAGATAGTCGTTGCAGGCAGGAACACCGCAGTCCAACCCCACCTTTAGCGTTGGAGCTAGAGCTTCGGAAGCAACATTTCTCCCTTGTCCGTTGTGTCCCGCGAAAAAAGTGTAGGTACAGCCCGCATTTGCATCTGAATACTGAAGCTCTTACCAGGCCCACCATAAGACAGCGGACATACAAGACCAGCTCAAGCTTCGCGAAGAGGCAAACCACAACAGAGAAAAGCTATAATCAAACCGGTATATTCATCTAGTGGTAAAGATGGTACGTGTTTCTCTTCTTATATTCGATCTCGATATTCGCTAACTAAACGCTTCGCCTAGTCGTCTTTCAGTCCCACCCAAATCTTCGAAGAGGGCACCACCGAAGAGAAGGGAGAGAATGCCCGTCTCGCCGCCTTCGTAGGCGCTATTGCCGTTGGCGACCTCGTGAAGAGCACCCTAGGACCAAAGGGAATGGACAAGATATTACAATCAGCGTACGCAACATCCCAGTCGCTCCTTTCTCACCGACCCATACATCCTTATGTATTTTATATATGAATATATAAATACATACATATATACATACCTCATAGATTGGCTAACTTTTCATAGATCCACCTCCGAAATCATGGTCACCAACGACGGCGCTACCATCCTCAAGTCGATCGCCCTCGATAACGCAGCAGCAAAGGTACTCGTCAATATATCAAAGGTCCAAGACGACGAAGTCGGCGATGGTACGACGTCGGTTGCCGTGTTAGCAGCGGAACTCTTGCGGGAGGCTGAGAAGCTCGTCGACAAGAAGATACATCCCCAGACAATCATCGAGGGTTACCGGATAGCGAGTCAAGCCGCCCTTCAAGCGTTAGAAGGCTCGGCGGTGGACCACAGCAAGAATCCCGAAGCCTTCAAAAAGGACCTACTCGCTATCGCACGCACGACCCTAAGCTCCAAGGTACTCGCCCAAGATAGGGACCTCTTCTCCAAGCTAGCCGTCGAGGCGGTATTGCGACTGAAGGGTTCCTCGGATCTGAGCCATATCCAAATCATCAAGAAAGCCGGTGGGAAATTGAGCGACTCCTACTTAGATGAAGGCTTCATTCTCGATAAGAAGATAGGGGTAAACCAACCTAAGCGGCTAGAGAAGGCTAAGATCTTGGTTGCCAACACATCGATGGACACAGACAAGGTCAAGATCTTCGGTGCGCGCATGAAGGTCAGCTCGACTGGCAAGCTGGCCGAGCTCGAGAAGGCCGAGAAAGATAAGATGAAGGCCAAGGTAGATAGGATCAAGGCTCACGGCATCAATTGCTTTATCAACCGACAGCTGATATATAACTGGCCGGAGCAACTGTTCACCGACGCCGGAATCATGTCCATCGAGCATGCTGACTTCGACGGGATCGAACGCCTGGCTCTTGTAACCGGCGGTGAGATCACCTCCACATTCGACCACCCGGAACAAGTAAAATTGGGTCACTGCGACCTGATCGAGGAGGTCATCATTGGCGAAGACACACTCATCAAGTTCTCTGGAGTCGCCGCCGGTCAGGCTTGCACTATCGTCCTCCGAGGTGCCACTGAACAGTTACTGGATGAAGCGGAGCGTTCGTTGCATGACGCTTTAGCCGTCCTCTCCCAAACGGTCAAAGAGCCAAGGACAACCCTCGGCGGCGGTTGCGCTGAGATGCTCATGGCCAAAGCCGTAGAAGGCGCTGCAACTCGAGTAGAGGGCAAGAAGCAAATGGCCGTGTCGTCTTTTGCGATAGCTTTGCGGCAGCTCCCCACAATCCTGGCTGACAACGCTGGATTAGACTCGAGCGAACTTGTAGCGAGATTACGAAAGGCTATCTATGACGGCCTATCGACATATGGTCTAGATCTGATGACTCCCGGCGGGGGCATAGCGGACATGCGAGACTTGGGGGTCATCGAGAGCTACAAGCTAAAGAAAGCGGTTGTCTCATCAGCCAGCGAAGCTGCGGAGGTAAGCCACCCCCACTCCCATATCCTACCTTTTCAATGAACCCCGAATGCTAACATGCCTAGCTACTCCTGAGAGTTGATGACATAATCCGTGCGGCACCACGGAGGAGAGAAAGGCACTGAATGGAATTTCACCGCGAAAAAAAAGGATGTAAAACGTACATAGACTAGGCCTTAGACTATGCGAATACCCGTCATAATGAGGAGATCAGGCATGAAGTTTCAGGCCGACAGCCTAGCAATGAAAAGCAAACCTTCATTCGAAAATAGGAACCGCAAGTTACTTGATAGTTGTAGGTCATCAGTCCAAAATCGAACAGCCATAGTCAAGGTAGGCATCTTCGCGATCGTTCATTCACCTAATTCAAACCATGCCATGTCTAATGTTTAAATGAATGAGTCTAGATATCTCACTAGGAACACTCACAATATCAATTAAAATACTTCCAGTCCGACCTTCCATGTCATGATCTGACCCATTCCGAGGTTGCCAATGCCCTCAACCTAGCGGCTCGCACGGATGAAGAATCAGAATCTCCAGTCCCCCATACCGTACTTCGATCACATATGTGACATATAAACTGTAGTAAGAGGCAATTGACAGACTCACTGCACAAATGTTTTCTCTTTCCCTTATTCATGGTTTCCTGAAATGCAAGCCTGAGCAGCTCCTTATACTAAGTATGCAAATGTATAACCATAAGCGCATATCAAAAAAGGTACTCTCGTATAATATCATACAGAACTAGATCGGTACCTAGGTAATTGTCTACAGTGTGTGGCTCATATGAATACTGGTCATAAAAGAATTGCTTTTTCTACCCTTTCGATACTTAAGCACACAGTATCTTTGGAAAATGGCTGGGATAATAAGCAAACTTACAATACTACCTCGTTACAGGGTAGCCTCCATGCAGAAATGACTAAAATTGAAAGCAGTTGCCCCTGAACCGGGGCTCCCGGGTAGCAGAGCTGAATGATTCTTGTCCGTAGGAGGTTGACGGGGTAGATCCGCGAAGGCACACTGTTTAATACCATCAACTTACTACCCACCCACCTAGAAGACTATGTTGTTCCGGGTTTGCCGTTCAAGAAGATCTCGAATAGATACTTCGACTCTCTCGAGTGTTTCCCTGTTGTGATACTGAGTTTCTTCAATTTTAATCCCAGGAGAGCAAGATGGAAATCCAACAGATATCTACTCCTCCCAACTCCTCACCTGTCATTGGGATGACAATCCACTCACCCATGTCTCAAGCAGAGAGCATCGTCAACGTAAGCATTGATATGAGTTCACTTCCGTAGCTTAGTCTTTTTGACTCACAGCTTAGCAGAGGTTCAACTCGTTCAGTCCCGTGCCAACCCTAGGCAATTCTGAGAAAGCGAAACAAACAAGATCACTGCCTTCTAAGCTGAACCACAATCTTCAAGTCAGGTTAATCGATCTTTGTACCGAGCATCAGGGTGCATACTTCAAGTGCGAAGACCTGGCCGATTTCTGGTCCGAAGTTGCGCATTCGTTAGACCGCGAATTTCCTTTCCCTATAACCGGCAAGGATGTGGAGGGATGGGTTGAAGGCATTTGCCACGAAGCTAAAGGATATCTGCTTCGCAGAGAGATATTCCCGCATCATGCCGATCGTGAAGACCTTGATATTGCAATTGAGGATTGGCTCGAAATCGAAGGCAGGAGGAAGTTCCAACATGGCTTTGAAGAAATGATAGCAGGCTACCTACTCGCATATGGGCCCGAGGAGTCCGAAGAACATAACCTTCTGACATACTCTTGCCTGAATAGGTTAAGGGAGAATATGGACAGGATCAAGGCTGCTATGAGCGAGAAGGGAGAAGCTAGCCGTAGGAATGGCGCGCTTCTCATACATAAGGTCGAATTACTAGCATCAAAGCCAGCCACCAAGCCAACGCAGCAAGGCTTGACACCTGAAGAGTTTTATGGCCGATCGTCCATTCGGCCACATGAGAACCTGTTCCCATCACTTAACTCAAGTGTGGAGATACCTTCTGACCCGCCTCTGCTAGGCTATGCCAGAACCGAATACCAGACCGTTGGCCCTTCTGGACCAACTGAGAGTGCTGGCGAAAGGCTACAAAGCATACTCTCTCAACCATCTGGTGAGCCGGGAGTGAATCAAAGCCCTGATGTCAACTTATTCTCAGCTGAGAAACCGGCCGAAACTTCCTTTCAATCAAGGAGCTCTTTTGGGGATGGAATGCAACACGACAAAACAGCCGAGAGACAAAATCCGACGCATGTCAACCCATCGGAGGAACCTCATAGTTCAACAGACCAGGATACTGCATATAAAGCTCCTAGAGGGCAAGAATCCGACAATATCACTTCGCACGATACCGAACTGCAAGTCAGCCATCAGTTAGTGCCAGGATTTCCAGCCGTCAAAAAATCCGCCCTAGACTCGGGCGGTGCTAGGATGCCAGACACGTCAAAGAAGGCAAGAGTTCACAAGGGAAAAGGGGTAATACGATCTCGGCAGCTTTCGAGAAACGATAACAGTAGATTGGATGCAGACCTCAACCTATCTACATCATCTCCAACCCAAGACCCCATGGCAGTTGACTTCAGCCAAAGTACTCGAAGTCAACAACAGCCCGAGACTTGCGGTGAATCAGTTGGGAATACCCATTTCTCGGGACAAGAGTATGCGAATGCTTTAGCGGCAACTCCATCAGCAGTGACGCAGAAGGCTAGGAAAAAGAAAGCGGCAAGTAAGAAGCAGAGTCTGGCGAACAAGAGACATAAACACAATTATGCAACCAGCAAATCTTCTACCACATCGCAAAGAGGTTCCGAAGGCCTAAGCTGTGATGGTAAAAACGTCGGGGGCCAACGTTCACAGGTGCTCTCAGCAGGGTCTAGTGGTACTGCTCGCCAGAGCCGAGATGGGGATCCAGCTCAAAGTCAGTTCGGTAATGTCCCAATCATTGACTTGACACGGTCTCCGGATCAAGAAATTGTCAAACAGGAACTTGGATGGGCAACCCAAGGTTTAGAAGGCCGAATAAGCAGGTTGACGGCGAATCTAAACGGCGTCGTGGGACTCACACCGGAGAAGATAAAGGAAATCATTGATCGGAGCGTGACGGTAAAACTGAATGATGCGGCACACCAGGTCGTAGAGAAGTTTGATAAAACACTAGAAAAGAAGTTGGAGCAACTGAGAAGAGATTGGCGACCACTGGAGGACAGTCAGAATTAGTGATGGTCATGTCTAGTATATGGTCATCGTCACATCTGAGTAAATATGTTGCCTACTGACTACCCAGGTACATACTCACCTAGGTGTACAATAGACCTTCCAAAAGATTAAAGGTTGCTATGATCGTAGTTTTGATTTTCTAAACTGAATCTATTGTTACGTGATATACCTAGGTAGCAATGCCCAATTCGTTGGAGTTCAGAAGCCGCGAACACATTACGGTCCAGCTCCCGGACACTTGGTGCTGGTTGAACATAATTAGGTACCTATGTACACCGTATAATAGATTATAGCGTCATAATATGAATGCTACCTAACTTGTTCGATCAGTTCTAGGCCTCGAGCGACAGTGCGAATTGGTGATCATAATTTACACCATCTTCCAAAGTGACAAATCACTTGTGACATCCAAACCACGTACTATGACACTGTGAGGGGCCCATATTGATACCATTATGGAAGATACATCGGCTGGCAACGTCCTTCTCTACGATACAATGAAGCTATGCTTGACTTCGAGGACGAAACGTCACCTGACGTGCCTACTAAGCTGCTAAGTAGGTAAATAGGTGCAAGATAGCAGAGTTGAAATTTTCCTGACTCTCACAAAAAATAACGTCCCTGCCCAATAGCGATAAGACCTTGTCAAAGTATCCCTGACCTGGTCCTCGGTTCATTAGATACGTGCTGTATATTGCTTTTTCGTCCCGACTAGACAGGATGAGGTTCGAAAAGACCAGGATTAAGCATGCCGCGTATCTCGAGACGCGCTTTGTAACTATGAGATAAAGTACATCGTAAAGCTAAGAAAAGAACTAAGTGTACATAGGTAGTCGGCACGTTGGTTTTTTCTCACTTTGAAGCCTTCTCGGTTGGCGATCTGTTCACAGCCCCCCTCCCCCTCCAGTCCAGGAAAAGTGCTAGTAATCTGGGATAAGAAATACTTGTGTGTTCAATTTCAAGGGCCTAGGGTTTAGGGCATTCAGATACTGGGATATATCCAATCGCTTGTTTTACCATGAGCATGATCAAAGAACTCGAGTGAGACGGCAATTCGCGGCCTCAGTACTAACACTGATACACTACGGAGTCACATAGTCTTGAAAGTAGTCACTAGGTCGAAGTGCAACATCTAGTGCTAGATTCCATGGCCACTCTTAGGAGAGTGAGTAAGCGGAGGTCACGCAAACTTGACCTACCAGAAACTTCGAGTACTTGTCCAGATACCCTAGTATCTAGGAACCGAGAACCGCTCTCTCTATATAAGCGTCAACTCGCCTCTCCCCCAGCCTCCTCAGGGTGTACCATACCAGCGAGCTCTTCGGATGTGGAGAGTTGTCACCACGGCGTATCCGAGAGTCCTATGAAGGATGGTGAGGAAGAGGAGGAAGTTGGGCATAGATCCCTAAAACAGATGGTGAGACTCCAAACTTTAGAAACCTACGTTGTCAAGCATGATTGATTAATGTATGACTAGTCGGAGCCTTCTACAAGCTCTCCCTCGCCCCAAGTTCTATGTCCAGCAGTGTCCGAGCCATCCGCCGATTCGAAACACCTCACACTCTCGGAGAAGGTAAAACTTCTCAAGATTTGTTGCAACTATGGATCCCGGTTCCTTCACTGTCCCACTTCAGGAAAACATGCCGAGGAGGAAGTCTGGACTCCTATCATGGAGGAGTTTTCAACTACGGTTCGCTCCGGTGTCTTTACTAAATATTCCGATGTAAGGAAAGTGGCTAGCAAGACTTGCAGGAATCGCCGCAAGAATACCAAAGAAAATGTGCCGCCTCAGAGGCGGTCTCGCATGGGAGATTTAGATACGTGGATCGACCGATGGGTACGAATTTGGAAATGTCGCGATCTAGTCGTCAATATAGCCAATGCACACCAGTCAATGCGTGAGACGCTCGGGGAAAAGAAGTTCAAGCGAATATTTCATCATAGGATGGATGGTAACGAAATGCCTCAAGATCTTGGCAGGCTCACCTTAACACCTCCGCTATGGAAAGCGATCCAGAAGCGGATTCGTACGGAGGAACGGTCGCTTGGAAGTCGTCACGTATCCTTGTTCCCTGGGGAGGATGAATCGGATTGGACAGACGAAGAAGAAACAGAAGATGACACGATGGAGGAAGCAGACGACGAGGGACCGCCTATAAAATCCATCGAAGAGGAATTTCAAAACTCTTCCTCAGAAGCTCCGGAGGGCATAGTAACAACTCCTAATCGAGAAGCCGATATGGAGCTAGAGTTTCCGGATCCGACTCCACGCACCCAGGCAAGGCTTGATGAATTCGAACGGGGTTACGCCACTGTACTAAAGGAAGAGCAAGGGAGGACAGGCAAGCAACTGTCTGTCACTGGCTTAGCACATAAGAGACACGAGGAAGAACAACAAGCTTCTGCGTCTTCTTCAAGACTGGAAGAAGCTCTCGCGGGTGGAGCTACGCAACCGCAACTAGAAGAGAAAGGACCAACAACTCCTAAATTTCTCGCCTTGGCTTCGAACTCCGGTGAAGTCGAGGACAAAGAGCGTGATGGTTCAACGGGCTTATTCGTCGAGAGATCAACGCCAGTTCCTGGCGCGGCTGACGTGCAACGAAGTGCTGGTACTAGTGCTAGTCGGTTCCAACGCCTCGAACCTGGCACCTATTGCCCTAACAAGGACGTCCAGGTAGGCTTCCATGGTCGGCAAATAGCCCTGGCAGGTCTGAATGATACTGCTGCGCAAGACTATCGCCAAGTTATATATGCAAAAATCGACGTTAGCGGCCGGGTCCGTTTACAACTGCGAGCCCATAATTTACACGGGAAAGAAGTGCCCTCCGACTTCCGCCTCAACGTAACTGTATCCCTTTCTCGCAAGCACAGGGATATCGTCTATCTACCCAAGTTTCATAGTATGTCCTATGACGAAGTGCGGCGGGAAGTGGCACGCCAGAGTCTGCTTCCTGCTAATCAGCGTATTTGCCATGACTGGGTTCCAACACCGATGGCGGAGAACTATGATAGGCAGGAAGATGAGCCGATGTCAGTATCAAAAAGTCGGGGAAAGGAGTCGCGTAAGGGTGTGGATGTAGACGGTGACGCAGAAAATACGAGGAGGAAGGCCAGTTCGGGGGAGATGGAAGAGAACGAAACTGCTACTTCGAGTTCCCAGGGCAGCGATCCACAGGCGTCCACCCGCAACGGTAAATTGAGCCTTAGGATAACCCCTAATGTCTCCGCGCCAACAGAGATGCGGAGATTTGCTCTGTCCGAGCTTCCCGCAAAACAGTCTGCGGAAGATTATTCCGTGAAGGCGATCGGAGGCCAGTCTGACCTATCGAACCACAAGCATCAAGAGACGAAACTAAATAGGACGGGCACACCTGATCTCCTGAGAAAGTTCCTCGCAGGCGAGGCCAGAAAGCAGCAAAAACCATTGGCGCCACATAGGATTCCACACCACAGTTCGCCTCCAAGGAGGCTGAACCCTCAGGGACGGACATCCAACAAGAGCAGGATCACCCCCTCGAGGTTTTATGGAGCAGAGTCTTCGGGACACAATATTGCCCAGGGCGGCCGACAAATATCAGAACCTCCGGAGCAGTCAAACCTTTCACGTCAACTCATATCAGGTTTCGACAGCGAGGTCGACTCATCTAAGCGCAATATGACCTCACCGAAAGTGAACCATGAAACAATGCACATTTCGCTTGCGCAGGACTATTCTGACAATGACAGTCTCCCAGAAGTCGAGGAATTGCATAGGAGGCGCATGCAGGCAGCCAAGGTGCCAACTTCGCCGCAGAATACCAGACGGCATCGAGATTTTAGAGATCCTAAGTCAGGCATAGCTGACAAAGCAGTGGATGCGCATGCGTCTCGTTATCAAGGTTCTGACCACCCCTCGTCACAAAGAGATGCACCTACACGTCATCGCGAAAACATGCGTGGTTTGTTAGAGGGAACGAACGAGAACCATCATAAGCCGGCGAATGATGAGCCACAGCGCCAAGGAGATAAAGTCATCACACCCTCTAGCTCACACTCAAAGAAGCGTGGGAGATGCCAGTCTATAAAAAACTTGTCATCAAACTCACTAAGCGATCCTTGCAAAGGATCGTTCAGACCTCCTACCGCGCCCAAAGCTCTATGTGTTATCACATCAGCTAGCAACGAGCATTTTGCAAAGAGGCAGAGACCTCTGGCACCATCCGGCCACGTACAAACTCCCGTACCAGCACCTGATCTGACAAAGTACGGCCTGAAACCCTTTTGGCGGCCGAGTACAAAACCAGCCGGTCAGAGCAACGACGTCCCTGAAAAGCATGGGCACCCAAGTGTCGGGCCTCTGGAAAAAGGCAAAGGGAAGGCAATTCAACCCCATACCCAGAACAAGCACTTCGCATCCGACTTACGATCGTCGAATGGAAACGGCTATACGTCCAAGTGGAAAACGGGCGCGAAAAATATTACACCATCTCATCGCTTCAACCCATACGGACAACCCGGTGGTTCTTCCGGTCCTGCTACATCACAGAATCGCCGGAAAAACAGCGGCAGAGGGAAGCGAGACCGTTACAGGGGGAAGGATCATCACGACCGAGCTGGTGGCGGTAGTCATAGTATTAATAGGTTTATGAGGGAGGTGACGACGGACACGGTAGATTTCGAAAATTTCAGCCCGGAGAGGAAATGGGACTTCTTGCACCGCGAGATATCTCGAATGAAAGAGACGCTTAGGAAGATAGACAGAGACTGATCCGCCATCAGGTTGATGGCATTGTACACGGCCTCGTCCTAGCATGACTTGGCAGCAGCGACACGAGCGACACAAGTGACGGATTCATGCTTCAATGCTTGTATCCTCGGTTCGAACGCCACTCGGGCTCTGTCATAAGCATCTCCAACGCCACACCCACGGGATAGATTGCGAATACCTAGGTAACTACCTAGGTACAGTAAGCTATATTTCGAGATGCTACGCGACGACTCGGGACGTGCTGTAGCATCGGTACTATGAGCTCAGATACGTGTATGCTATGAGGTCGTTTTGCGTCAACTTCAAAGTGACATGATGGGATGGATATCCCACGACGCTGTATTGACGTTGGAAGAGGGAAATATGGGGAGGGAGAGCACCAATTCACATGTGAGACGAAGAAGAACAAACCTCGGAATTAGGTAGTACAAGCGTACATAGAAATTCCTTGGTGTTTTTCAATCGGGATCTATTTTAGACAAACGGAGAGACAGCGAGCTGTGACGTGATAGGAGAATCCTTTTCCGAGTCAGGAGTCGCATCTAACCCTCCTTTTTGATGGCTGATACTTCAAGTTAACACTTGCTAAAGACATGAAAATCCGCTACTAGTTATAGTTTAACCAAATATTTCTTAGGTCATACATACATGTACACATTTTATTTAGATACTAATACACAGAAAGCGAAATAGGCAGTAAACAATAATAGAAAAATGAAAATTTATTCGTGTGCCTCCTAGTAGATGTGAGAATGTGAGGCATGAGGTCGTTAAGAGCGGGATGTTGCCGCACGTGGATTAGCGGATTGGCAAGAATTATCGAGGCTCAGAACTTAGAAGCGTAAGGGGTGGATTAAGGTTACAAGGATCTGCTTTTCTCAACAATTGATCAATTTGGTAGGATAAGATCCTAGGCGATCCCCAACAGAAAAAAAAAGACAAGCAGTACAAGGGTCCCAGATGAGCGGGGAGAAAACCCCATTCCTAGGCCAGACAGGCTAGACAACTAACGTCCATACCAAATCGGGGAATCCGCCCCCCTGAATAAACCCTGCGGTCCACGATTCGGGGACATGGAAAATCCAGGGGCATGTGAACGCTAAATATGAGAAACCGATATTACCTAGGTACAATGTATGTATGCAACATCGAATAATGCGGAGAAGGGGCTCGAATCGGGAAAACGTTTCTCGCTTCTCGTGAATGGGAGACATCGACGTTATCTGATCCGTCCGATCTGTCAATCTATCTGGTGTCCAACCTTGCTATCAAAAATTCCAGTCTTCAAAGGGCTAGCTGGAACATGTCGGGGTTTGAAACTGCTTTTCATATAACCTACGTAGATGTGAGATGAGATGTGAGACCTGTAGATATCGTATATGTCACTACAGATGTGTATACAGATGTATTTATCTCAAGTGAGATAAGCGTCGATCAACAAGCGGATCCCGCCTTTGGATACTGAGCCCTACATAGTACATAATACCCAACCTGAATCGAACCCGGAAATAGGAGCCGTTATCCTACGTACCTGTCCCCTGAAGTTGCTCTTATCCGATATGTATGTACTTACAGGGAGTTCTGGAAGTTCTAGGCAAGGCAAGCCGCCTTTAATGACTCTCTCGCCACTTGTCATGAGCCTATTTGATTCCCCCTAGGGTAGGAGGTTCGCGTGGCGCACTGTCGATGCCGTTTACGTATCATGTCTCGCACGACGAGCCGCCGGTCGTCGCTGGATGCTTGAATTGGTCGAACGATGGCCTGTCTGATGACATACGATGGCGATGGCTTGCTCTTGCTTCGACCTAGGTATGTAAGTCTCTGCACCCAACCGTAGGCAAGGGGGCTTGCCTTCGTTCTTGTGGAGGGGAAGAAACAAGCAATATGTAGACGGCTTCGTCAGTCGTTGCGGTTTGTCCATTGCTGAAAAGCCAATTGGGATCTTTTAATAGGCTGATCACGAAAATCCAGCCAGCCAGTAACCTCTTGGCAAGCCCCAAAATGAAAGAGCTGTATACGGTATTACCTACGGGGAAAGCCTACTAAAGTGTGTGATCTTCATGTGGTGCTAGGTCTAGCCTTGCTGATGAGAGAACCCACATGAATATATTCGGTTTTCGACGAACCATCATGAAGGGCGGTGAGAGGTAGAATTATTTACCAACAAAACCAATTATTTATTTTCCAGTATCATACATGTAAGTACGTAGTTGGTATGTATGAAGTACTTACGTATGTTGATAGTTGGAGAGGTAGCCTTAGGCAATATTTAATCTTTTTGAAAAAAAAGTTATTATCCTGTATTTTTTTTTTCTTTCCATACTGCGTGTAATAGTGTCGTATCTTGGGACCTAAGTAGATACATAGCCGTAACATCGTTATATGGGTAGAATCTTGATAAAGGGTGCTCATGCATGTACTAACGTCAAACCCTGAATTGGACTAGGTACCGTAACTTGTGGGCGGAAGCACGCTAAATACGGCGGGGTCATACCTTAATGCCACACAGGGGCCTGCATGATGTACACCGTCAGTACTGTATGCCATGTAAAATGATGCGCAGAAGTAGCTCTATGAGAAGCCATAGAGGATAAATACTTAAAGGTCTTCTTAGCACAGGCTGCAGTACATTCTCAGTACATATAGTTTGGCGTGCGCCTACCTCTTCAAGGTTGGACACGGTTTCTTAGCACATTCAAGATATCGAGGTATTGATGTAACGGCTTAAGCGACTTGAACTTTTTTTTTGGTCTTCGTTTTCTTCCCCGGTATATGCATCGTATATTCCGTAGACATAATAAAATACATATGTGATGAGTACATATTTCTTATTTTGCATATGTAATGAAACGAACCAACCATATAATGTTATTTTTTTGTCTCTACCCTTATTATAAAGTAACCACCGTAGCACCGCTTTGATCAGATCCCTCTAATCCTACCACTTCGTTTTGGTCTCTTAATTGACTGGTTTCCTTCCGCCTCGAAGCGATCTTCTCGGTGCTGTGCTGCCGTGTAATTTCGCCGCCGGCCTCAACAAGTCGGTAACTCGAACGCCTCGAAGTTTAAAAACATCAGGGGCAAGCCAGTCTTTGCATAAGTAGCCTAAGTAGTAGGTGTCGTCGTCAGCAAGACTACTTGAGGTGGCTTTCCATTAAGAGAACCTGTCTACACGGACGAGTGCCGCTCCTCTTCCCCTCGTCAAGACTGAATCGAGCCATTGAATTTGTTGGGATACGTCTTGGGCAACTCGCAACTACGACAAGAGGAGGATAAGAAATTGTAGCCGCCCAGATTACAATTTTCGTCCCCCATTATGGCTTCTACCGTCGCCACTGGCGTTCCGCGCCAGAATCCCGCCCTTCGGCGGACCATCACGTCCACCACAGCCGACACGGATGTCTCCTCGCCTTCTACGGCAATGGGTTCCCCAATTGACTCTCCTAGGCCATCCGCATCTTCTACTTCACTCTCCTCGATGTCTTCTATCGAACCCAGCACTAATTCGTACGGCAAATTGATCGACACCTACGGGAACGAGTTCGAGATTCCGGACTATACCATCAAGGACATTCACGACGCCATCCCCAAACACTGCTTCGAGCGATCCGCGGTCAAAGGTCTGTACTATGTCTTCCGTGACATCGTCCAGCTGGCAACCGTCTTCTACATCTTCCACACCTATCTAAGTCCGGAAAATGTCCCTTATACTCCGGCTCGTGTTGCCCTATGGGGTCTGTACACCTTCATCCAGGGCCTCTCCGGCACAGGTATCTGGGTGTTGGCTCACGAATGTGGTCACCAGTCCTTCAGCACTTCCAAGGTTCTGAACGATACCGTGGGTTGGATCCTGCATTCCTCTCTTCTGGTGCCTTATTTCAGTTGGAAGATCTCACACGGCAAGCACCACAAGGCAACCGGCCACATGGAGCGAGACATGGTCTTCGTTCCTAGGACTCGCGAGGAGAGGGCTAGTCGCGTCGGGAAGCTAGTTCACGAACTTGGAGAATTGGGTGAGGAGACACCTATCGTCACTTTCCTCAATCTCCTCGGACAGCAACTTATCGGTTGGCCCAACTACCTCTTAACCAACATCACCGGGCACAATTGTCACGAACGCCAGAGAGAGGGCCGCGGAAAGGGCAAGAAGAACGGCTGGTTCAGCGGCGTCAACCACTTCAACCCCTCAAGTCCCCTCTTCGAGGCTAAGGACGCTAAGTTGATCGTGTTAAGCGACATTGGTTTGGCCATCACCATCTCCGTCCTAGTGCTCCTCGGCAACAAGTACGGCTGGGACAACCTCCTGGTCTGGTATTTCCTGCCCTATCTCTGGGTCAACCACTGGCTTGGTAAGTTACCCACCCTTGAACGACGACCGGTTTGTATCGACCGTGCGCTAACTGTCGCGTAGTTGCTATCACCTTCTTGCAGCACACCGACCCATCTCTGCCCCACTACAAACCCGAGTCGTGGAACTACGTTCGTGGCGCCGCCGCGACGATCGACCGGGAATTTGGCTTTATCGGCCGCCAGCTGATGCACGGCATTATCGAGACCCACGTCCTTCACCACTACGTTTCCACCATCCCCTTCTATAACGCCGACGAGGCTAGCGATGCTATTAGGAAGGTTATGGGCCGCCACTACCGTTCAGACACTAGGGACGGCTCTTTCGGTTTCATCAAGGCCATGTGGCGTTCCGCGAGGATGTGCCAGTGGGTCGAGCCGAGCGAGGGGGCCAAAGGCGAAGGTCAAGGTGTCCTGTTCTTCAGAAATACCAACGGCCTGGGCACAAACCCTATGAAGATGAGCCCCCCTTAAGAGGGTTATGAAGCGAAAGTAGCCGCTCGCATCGAAGACCATCGTTGTGTCGAATATCGGCCGGCAGCGAATGCTCAAATGGCAGCGATGGCCAGCTTTGGATAGCGTGCCTAAGAACAGGACGCGCTGAACGGCATAGCGCTTGGCTGGAGCAGCCTCGATCTAGGATTTGCTTAGTTGAGTTAACTGGTAACTTGCAATAGACCGGAGTCGATAGTCTCTCAGAGCGAACCCCGTATTTTTTGGCGTTTGCAAGAAAAGAAGTGATCAAAAGGAAAGGGGAGTATCATAGAAAAAACGGGGACAAATCAGGGATCCAAGAGCGAAATGAAATAGACATAGACTAGATAACTAGCCATGGTGATGAATGTACGCTTTGAACAATGTTTATGCCGTGTCCTACCACGTGGAAGTTCTATAGAATAGATGTATACCGATGCAATGAAATACAAACAACGTAGGAAACAACATTATATCGTATAGACGGTCTAAGGGGAAGTCTCGAAAAAGAGAGATGTATGGGGAGGTCCAGTAGAGACAAGCTGGAAATGGTGAATACCTACATTCCGGCCGATCCGTGGTCTGATCTGACCGCGCAGTGAGAGGTAGGTAACCATACAGGTATTCATTTTATTTGGAGGCCAAACAGAAGAGAGGGGCTCTTCGCGAATCACATCGCCAAATCGCCAAACTCCGAAGAAGCCCCCCGCATTCGATCGTACGTAGATTTATGACACGGAGTTATAGTAATCGATGCAACTCCCCGCCTTATGAGATCTAGGTCACTGCGTGTGGTATAGGTAGGTATCTTACCTTGCAATGCTATGTATCTTATTGCTATTACTATCGTGAATCTTTCAGGCACGTTTTTATGAATTTGGAGAAAGGCATATCCATTTACATGTTTAACATGAGAATGGACTTGGTCATTAGAGGAAACGACACATAGGTATATTACAAGTTCCATATCCGAAATGGTGGGGACAATATTCATCAGACAATCGCATTAGCCCTGTATCACTTAGCTATTGTTCCATAGACACATAACTTTTCCGCGAGGTAGCTGCCCAAGCTTAAAGTCGTGGAACTCATCTGAGAAGTTTACAACCATATTACGTACAGCTAAGCTACCCTCCCAGTCACTTGTCCGCACAGTTTGTGAACCATACAGCAGCAGCCACTATGATCGCCAGGTCGTTATAAACAATTAGGACGTCCATACAAGAATTGCCAACGGAGCCATACATCGACCTCATCTCTTCCAACCTCGATTTGCCGTGGCGACAACCTCAATCTTGCTTGACTTAAAACCCCCTCTTACTATCTTACTCAGCCTCAGAACTAGTGGGTCTCGACGAAGCCGGAGGTGTTATTGTCGACTGGCTGTTCCCTTTGATATCTTTACTAACGCCATTGCCAACAACATGATCAACATGTTGCTGTGCGCTGTTGCGTCTCTGCTGCTTCTGTTTGTGACGCCTCTGACGCCGCTTTCTCCGGCGGTAACTTGGGCACGCCATTTTGGCACGGCTCTGATTATTGTCCATCTTCTGTTTCTTTCTTGGGGGAGATTCATCGGCTACAAGAGAGCCCAGATCAGAAACGTTGCGTTTTCGACGCTTCCTACCATTGCCACGTCTAACGCCGTTCCCTTCCTTCTTAGAGGCCGTGGAAAGGTTAGACACGGGATTGGGCACGGCCATATTTGAAAATATTGGGCTCGACTTGTCAGGGACATTGATATCCAAATCCGGAGAAGTTGGCTTTTCTGTGTCCTTCAGAGACTCTTGTGCCGACCGCGTAGCTATGGATTTAAACGACGACTTAGGTACACTCGTTACTATGTCGGCTTCGCTGGCTTCCGTGACGCTGGTCAGCCATCTAGGGGATTGACGTAGCACATAGTCAAGGGTTTGCTCCGCATCCGGGTCGTTAGACTCCATATCCATTCTCGAAGTGGCCTCGTTAATCTCCTTGAAGCTTTTTGGAGATAGCGTAGATCGGACCTCCGGGGTAGAAGAGACCACTTCGTATTCGTCCTGCTCCTCTGTCGACAAGCCCGGTACTTCAACCACGATATTAGTCCTGGAAGAGTCTTTCTTGGACTGGCTTGAGGATTCGGGTCCGGTACGCGCGCTTACTCGCTTAGTACCGTGGGTAAATTTATTTAATTCCACTGTAGACGGTGAAATGCTTGTTAATGATCTAGTCGTTCGTCTTCCAGCGATCCCACCTAAGATATGCGCAGCGTCGACGTGCTCTGGAGTAAAATACGCACCCTGGGTCGGCGGTACCTCCGAGGGTCGCGTGGGGGGTTTGGGTGAGATATGGGCAGGAATTCCCGAACTCGATTCACTACTGCTAGAGTCGTCCAACTCGTCGACTTTATTTAACGGGGGTGTAATATCGGCTCGTCGATTCGCAGGACTTGAGCTGATTAGCTTCGCCAACTCCTGGTTCGATGGTGGCGCGCAATCGTTGATTAACTGTTGCGTAATAAGAGTAGAAGTCGTCTCAGACTCTGCAGACGGTGGGGACGGGGCATCTTGGGGGGCAGTACTGGGTGCGAGATAGGCGGGAAATTTTCCTCGAATTCTACTGCTGACCGGTTTAGAAAGATCGTTTCTTGGTTGGGTGTCGACGCTATTGCCAGATCCGCCAGCAAGCACGTACTGTTTCGTTCTCTCCGTACGCTCAGCCCGTTCTACGACCTTGTTGTTAAGAACAACTCGCGGGCTCGCCTTTTCCGTCACATTTTGTGATGTGTTTGAGGACGAAGATTCATGATGCCATCTTCCCTTTGAATCCTTAACCGGGGATTGTTCAACATGTGTCGATGTTGCGTCTTCATGGATGTCGGATGTAATTTGTCCAGTACTAACTTCTTCATAATCCGAGTCCCCCTCGTCGGATATATAGTCATTTTCGGAATCCGCCCAACGCAAATTCCATCGAAGCTCAGCCGTCTTCTCAGCCTCGGCGACTGCCTCGTCGTCTGGTTCTCTGCATCCAGGTATATAACCTCCAGCTCCAGGACCATCCAAAATCCAACCCTTGAACGGCCCATTGGCGAGCCAGACACTACCGTCTCTGCCGGGCATAAACTCGGTCTCATACCTTTCCATCCACGAGCGAGGACTCCACCGGGGTTTCTTTGCGGAGTCAGATGGTTGGGCTACGACGGATTCTTCACCATCAGCTTTTCTATCTTGGCTCGACTGTATAGTCGTATTTGAATCTACTTGTTCATTCATCTCGTCTTCGGATGCTTGCGAACTAGATGCATCGGAGAAGGCGTCACGCACGCGTTTAGAGTAGCCCCGACCGAATTTGGGCGGCCTGATTGGTAACTGGGGCGATGATCCTCGCTCCCGCGCCATGGGTACTAATCTGTCGATAGGCGTGAACGAAGCCTGCGGCTGAGAATGAGATGTGCTACGGAGTGTTCGGGTGGGATTTGGTCGCGGCGACTTTGAATCTTCTACAGGTGGCGGCGACGTTATGGTTGTCGATCCTGGAAACGAAGGTAAATCACTGTCTTGGTCCTCACTTGATGATTTCTCGTCGACTGAAGGTTGAAATTCGTCATCAGAATATTCAGCTTCCTTGAAGAATGATTCAGGGATAGATTTGTCGTTTGCTGCTATCATATTAATAAATGTGCACGAAGATGTAGTTGAGCGTGGATGCAAACCTTTCTTCTCAAACCTGACTTTCATAATCTTCTTCACATCATCGATAGCCGCTCTATGGGAGCTCGGGTTCTCCGAATCTACAGTGCGTCTACCCGCCTGCCCAGATCTTTTCGACCTAATTTGCGCTGGATTTTGTTTCGGGCTACTACCGATGCTGGCTCTCAGGCCGTTTTTGGTCGAGCTCGTCTTCTCCAACGTCTGCGTCGTGCGTTTAGGCTTGCCAATAAATTTTAGATGGCTGTTGACTGAATGGGAAGAGCGCTTCCCCATCGCCTTAGTGGTTGGATTCACAGGAGTTGATACTTGATCTGAATCCCCCCGGCGAGATTGAGGTGAAGAGCCAGTTAATGAAATAACCTCAGCGATTTTAGGGGTCCTAGACGGAGTGTGCGGGGAAGGAGCTGAGCCGCCCGCTGTGGTTGAGCGAGGGCGAAGTGACTTTGCGGGTGAACGCTCGATTTCATCGCTGGAGTCATCTACCGTGATCATAGTAGAATTTCTTGCAATCTGTGGTGGTATGGGGTGTCTAACATTTGATTTGTGTTTGGGTGTAGGATGACCTGACGGCTCGTTGCTCGAGGAGTCAACCGAGATGATCTGAGCGCCTCGAGGGATTGGTGCCGGAGTACGTGACCGGATGTGACGACCTTCTCCTATAACACTAGTTTTCTGAGAGGGTACTAGGGGAGTAGGCGATTTGGTAGCAGCTTCTACTAGTGCCGATGAAAATAAGGTCCCACGTCTCATTCGAAGAGGTACGCTGTTCGCCCGCGTCTGTTTCGAAGGATTGGTTGTTTTACCTTCATCGGCAACTGATGTAAGTTTTCTCCCTCGAAGATCGTCATCCTCACTGTCGGACGGTATATGGTACGGGTCCTGCCGGCCACTACGAGGAGTCTGATCATAGGTACTCAGTGCGGAAGACGGGTTCTTAGTCTTAGGAATAACTTCCTTAGTACAAGTCTTAGGGATCTGGAGACGACTCCTATTATGTGTCGAACTTGGCGCTTTTGCGGCTGCCGGAGTTGAAGATCGAGTAGTTGCTGTTGCACTATGACTTCTGGTTGCCTGAGATGGGGTAGTCCCGGATTGAAACTTAGACGATTCTTTAATGGCTGGCCGACTCTCTGATCGGTTCCTAGCCAAACCCTTCACGGCAGGCATCGACTTCGGATTAGGGGTTTGCGGTGGTTTCGTCTCGATGTCTTTTGTAGTAGGTTTGGTCGAAGTCGAGGAAGAGTCGACCTGAGCAACATGATTTCTTCTCGACTTATCTAACCTCCCCGGCTTCTTGGAACCAGTAGGCATGTTGGCGAGGTCATATCACACGCCGTATCCTAACTCGAAAGCCGTTCAGTGAGCACGGAAGAGTGGGGGCCCTTTGGGCCACAGGACGAATATTGAGACAGGAGAACAACTTATAAAATGGGAAACCAGCTGGAAAACGAGTAAATAGGACTGGGAAATAGTCACTCAGGGTAATAGATTGAACCGATGAGTAGAGATCAAGATATTGAGGTGGCTCATGCGTTTATAGGCTGACAGAATAAGGGAGAAAAAACAGTCATATATCTTAGCAGGAAGTGCTCTGAGCCTTGAAGAACTTGGTTTCTGGGTGAGTGGTGATATCCACACGATTAGATGTAGAGGCTCCAGATTCGAGTAACTGGTTAAGTTGAGAATTAGGGGTGGAGTGAAGTGAAGTGAAGTGACATGTGGTATGTGGTGGAGGTAAAAGTAAAGGTGAAGGTGAAGCAGAAGCAGGAAGTGCATGTGGTGACGGGTGTTGTACCTCAGGTAACTCAGGAAGGCACAATGGACATGCTCAAGGTTAAAGGTTGATGATGGGAAGTATGATTAGGTAGTTTTCGCTCTCGCTCTTGGTACTCAGATTCGCACATGCATGCCAGTCACCTTGTTGCTTGACTGATACGCCCATGCATGTGCTGCTTTTCGATTATCTCCTCGTATAGTTATCATAGGTATTTAATCACTATGCCGACGGACGTCAAGCAGCTCCATCACACTAGGTATCCAGTGATAGAAACAATGAGCGTCTTCAGTGGCGGTTGAACTCGGCAGCTACCAGGTAATTCTCCATAGAAACCGCTTGACTCTCGGAGAGTACCAAGTTGGGCCGGGTTAAGATGGGCATAACGTCAAGGACCGTAGAGTAAGAGACGGAGAAAAAGAAAGGAGATTACCAAGGCTTTACAATTCATTCTTATCATCCATACATGTATAACTGATGTGCAGTGCAAAAGTACAGAATCACGGACTTCGCGGGCTGCAATCACATATGCACAGTGTGCGTCGAGGTTCTAGGTCGTTTCCAGAGAATGACAGGTCATATCAATGTAAAAGGGAAATACAGGGGTCCCAGGGTCCCGGGAGCCCGGCTCTTATGTCTTGTCCAGTTATATTCACTTCTGAGTGGGGGGGGCTGGGGTATTATGCCTCTCTTAAACTGAAATTACGGGCGATGGAAAAAGAAAACGCGTGAAGGAATTATACGATTATGTAACCTATTTTATTACCTAGTAGGAGGTAGGTTGGTGGACATACCAGCAGACAGGTAGGTACCATGTACAGTGTATCTGTTTAATACCTCTTTTAGGTATACATATATGTACCTACATGCATGTGAACCATTCCCTTGTCGAATAAGGCGTCATAATTTTTATACGATCCGTCTCACTGGGACAGTACGACCCCCACTGTCTTGCGTTCACTTCAAGTTACAATTAACTACCTAGGTACCTAAACATCACGCATTCACATATCGTAGCAAAGTAGAATTGGGTTCTATAGAGCTCATCATCATTCATTAGCTGCTACTTAGATACTGCTTAGCTACGCGCTCAAGGGTCATAGGGGTGTCCTTGGCTTGAAGTACTCCTTGAAGCTATCCAATTCCTCCAGGTTCAATTTGTAAATGACCGTACAGCATATAATCAGCAAGTTTGGGAAACGCCGAGTCCAGAAACTCAGATATCCGTCAGGCAAAGGTCCAACCATCTTTTTGAGAGGCTCGCTCATGTCTCCGTAATGGAACCGTTTGTTTCTAAGCGCCCGTAGTAAATCTAGAAGCCTGGAGCCTGTATATTTTCGTTGCTTGCCGAGGCTCTCTACGAACTCCTTCGGTAGAAGTTTAAGAAAGTCACCCCGGCACACTTGGGGCGCGCACGACTCCAGCGTCATCAGCGCCTCGGATGGCGGGTCACGGGGCTCGAGTTCAAAGTGATCCGATACGTCGCAGAGGAAGGCCAGCCTTTCCTTCGGCGACCAGAAGAAAGGGTGGGACATGACGTCCTTAGCCGAAGGCCGGGCTCTAGGGTCAGCTCGAAGCATCGTCTCGATCAATGCTTTGGCTTCGTGGGCGAAGTCGCCCAACACGTCGAGAGGTTTGAGGTTAAACTGGCCTTTTCGTATGTTGACTTCTCGCATGTAGCGATCGCCGCAGTCGAAAGGATGCAGTCCCTTGGTGAGCACGTAGAAGAAGACGAGACCGAGACTGAAAATATCGATCGCGCGAGTGGCGCGGCGGTTGGGCATCACGTCGGCACTGACCAGCTGGCTTGAATCGCTGTGCGTGCTAGCCATGGACATTGTCGAGCTTTCCCGCGCGTCGTCATCGAGGAGAAGCTCGGGAGCACGCCAGCCCGAGGTACCGGCGGCGTGAGCCGTAGTCGCGCCAAAAGACGACTGCCCGCCTTCGAGCTTCTTGCATAATCCAAAGTCAGACACGAGAAGCCGCGGCTTCCCGTCTCTTCCCATGGTAACCAAGATATTCTGCGGCTTCAGATCACGATGGACGATGCGAAGGTCGTGAAGAAATCCCAGACCATGCGCGATCTGCAGGAGGACTCGAGGTAAATCCATCTCGCCGGCCTGGGCAAGATCTCGATACATGGCCGGCTTCTCGACGATGTCTGATAGGGAAGCCTGGCAAAGCTCCAGCGCAATATACAAGAAACTGTCATTCTTCGACATAGCGAAGTATCGGATTACTACGCACCGGGTTAGCAATGATACGCGAAGACACGCAAAGACATAAAGGGGTAATAAATAATAACCGGCCTCGTACCGTTAGGGTGATGGTCACTCTCCAGCAATAACTGGGTCTCCTGAGATGCGATATCCCAGAACTGGGTGAGCATACGCTTGACCGCGACGTCTCGCCCATGGAACTTTCCGGCGAAGACAACAGTACCGTTGCTACCCATCCCGAGCTGCTCATCCTGGTTGACCTCAATACCATCTATCTTGACGATGGGACTGCTCACGTCCTCCGGGTTGTTGCTCATCGTCGTGATGTTCGGCTCCAGCTTAGACGGCATGCCGACGTTCTGAAGACCGGGGATCCCCTCTCCAGCATCCGAGATCTTTTCCCCCGGAGTTTCGGACGAGTCGCGTTGTTTCTTCGCCCCTTTCCGATGCTTGACGCCGCCTCTCCGACCGCGATGCGCTTTCTTCTTCTTCTCCGGAGACTCTCCCTCGGTCTGCTGCTGGTCACGATCCCCTTCTAGGTCCGTCGGTTCAACTTCCGCGACAGATACGGTAGGGGGGGCGAGTTTATCAACGTTCTTCACCTCGACCGACGTCGGCTCATCCTGCTTCTCGCCCGCAACCGGGTCAGGCGTATGAGCCTTATCGAGAACGACCTCCCGGGGCGGGCTAGTGCTAGAATCCGTCGAGGGCACATATGTTAGGTCATCAAGATACTCCTTCGGTTTGACGACCCGTCTAATCCATCTGACAAGGTCTTTGTAGTATCGAAATAAGAGATAGACGAGAACGGGAAAGAGGACAGGGTTCATAAAAAAATCGACCGTCTTATCGGCGGCATATTGGGGAAGAGCGATGACCGTGTTCATGACGCCCGGAGACTCGGTCTCCGCATCAGGAAACGGGCTCGGCACCGCCGACTCGTTGTCGTCGTTGTCGGATTCCGGCGGGAAAGGGTGGGAGGGGAGGCTCGCCGGCAAAGTCGGCGGCCACTGCGAAACGCTCCTTGCATTTCCGAGCACGTGCGTACCAACCAACGCCTTGTTTATCCAAAGCGCGTCGAGATCATCCCAAGAAATGTCGTCTTCCCACCTGTTCACACGACCAAGCTTAGCCGCGGGGGCATCGACGATCAGAGGGTACGACCAGCCAGACATAGCGTACCAGCTTCCGGTTTCGGTCTGGTTGAGGAAGACGCTATGACTTCGGGCGCGGGCGGAGTCCTCATCTCGGGTGGGGGGAATCGGCTGGGGGAGTAGAACGAGTTCGGGATTGCTGCCGTGCGGAGCATCCTGCGGCCTAGCGATGTCGAAGACACGGGCGACCGGAACGGAGAATTGGAGGGCAAACGACGTGACTCCCGCGGGATAGGCGAGCGCATAGACCTTGCCGTCATGCTGGCTAGTAAAGTAACGGTTGTCCTGAGTGGCGCGGTACTGCTGGTGCAGGTCATTGTCAAAGTTGTTCGGACCCCACTCGGCATATTTGAGCGTGGCAATCTCGCTGCCATCGTCCGAGCGGTGTATGGTGACGATGTACTCCGTCCGGCCAAGCGTGATGGTGCCGCTGTCGCTACATTCCTCGCTGTCCGCGTCGACGAAGCGCCCATTCGGAGGAAAGCAGGTGGCGCTCTGGTCAACCTGGGAGCCGGCCTGCCCAAACCACTTGAGCACGCGTCCGGTAGCGGCATCTAGCGTGATCATGGTAGTCTTCTTGTGGCCGGTGTAAACTACGGGCGGGTTCTGGACAGCGTAAGATCCGAATTCCTCCACCAACTGCTTCATAGTTAAGCCCGTGCTCATCAGACCACTACCAAAGCCTGACGGCGTCCATACGTAAAGGGCACCATTATGAGTGGGCTCTACGGCCCAGACGTAATCATCGAGGGGATGACGTTCACGGTTTCCACGCCCGTCGTTCACGGAACTGTTGGGGCGATGATGAATGGTTTCGACGATAGGCTGCTCAACTTGGAGGTGCCAGCGCTCGTCGCCGGATTCGCGGTTGACAGCGTAAAGATGTCCATCGACGGTCGCCAGAAGAATGTAGTCTTCTACTTCCCATCTCTCCAGACTCCGCGCAGTCTGCGGCGTGGAAAGCCCAGCGCCGGCTAGCAGGCTGGGCAGATGTCTTGGAGAATTTGGTGCTCGAACGGGCGGAGCCGGAGCCAAAGTCGCGAGGGCGCTCGCATCGTTAGGAATAGGTACATTTCCGAACCGCTTTCTATCGGTGTTGACAATGTTCCTGCGGCCGATGGCTGAGTTCTCGTGCGCGCTACGTGGTTTAGAGGAGGGTGCGGCGGCAGCGGGAGTCGCGGCAAGGTTGCCCACGACTCGCTCAGTACCGAAGGCGGGTTCGTGTCGGAGACCGGAAACGTCTCGGCCGTGGACGGCATGTTTATTCACGGCTACTTTGTCATCGTAGTCGTTTAGGATGTTGGCAACGGGAGCTCGCTCCGGGGGTGACTGCTGCCGATGTTGTTGTTGCTGCTGCTGCTGAGCATCTACAAGCTGAAGCCAGGGAAGGAGGAAAACGGCTAAGGCGAGCAGAACCTTCCGCTGCTGAGCGACGAGCCGTCCCTCGCCAGGAGGCCGTCGCAGCATATTGAAGACGTCAACGCGGAGTGGTCGAAAGGAGTATTCAGACGGAAGAGGAGTGACGAGAGTTAATGAAACGATCGTCGGATCACATCAAGACGAGAAAAGAGAGCGGCGGTAACTCGACGGAATAAAGAAGGACTCGAAGTAAGAGCAATGTCGAGATTGCGGTAGAGTTATGATGGACGATATCTTAATGCTAAGACGTAACTAAATCTGTGAAAGGATGGAAGATTCTATCGAGCGGGGTGCCGGGAGGGAGAGATGGATCTAAATGATAAAACTACCTCCTAATGTACAGGAAAGGCAGATGAAGTAGGTAGGGCCGAGTACTCGAGATAAATTGTAGAGTTGAGGCAATCAACGGGTTCGCAATTGTCAACGAGGCGTAGTACGTAGCGAGCAACTTCCAGGCAAAAGCAACTGAAACGCAGTCGTAAGCAGGGTGGAATCGCAGGAATTTGTCTCGATAGATCGGTTCGAGGGCAGGGTGAGTCGAGGTCGCTTAGTCTTCCTAGTCGAACGAAGAACGACCAGAAAGGGGATCCACGTAATCTTAGTCACGAACTGTTAAGCTAGAATCACGATAACCAGCGTCGGTAAAAAAAGGTCTCCGATTAAAATTGTTAAGTGGTAACGCTGAGAAGGATTAAAACAAGGAATCAAGCAATAAAGATGTATTTTCGCTTTCTTTCTGCCTTTACCCCGCTACATAAATCAGATGGGGCATACGGGAAATAAAGATGAAGGAGAGATGGCAGAAAAGATGGCAGAAAAGATGGAATCAAGAAGGTTGGTGTATGAATTTCTAAAATGTGAGAGAATTTTTCATTTTTTCGTGATGCGATGTGGTGAGACGAGTCCGCCCGGCAGAAGCGGTTAGACTCTATTTGTACATGTCGTTTCGTTGCAGCTTCCAAGGTTCCTGTGCCTTGTGAGACATAAGCCCTCTCGATTGCCAGATTCGATGCCTGGCAGCCTGGGTGGGATCTCGTTTCTCGTTTCTCGTTAGGAGGGCACGGCTGGCACGGATAAAATGGCTATTATTGTGGACGTATTCATATGATGTGGACTTAATGTGTTATGTAGCCTTGTACGCATGTACGCATCTAAATTTAATGCAGGGGCGCTTGGTAATACAGACATTACAGACATTTGTGCAGTCGCGGAGCATCAGACCTTACCTGAACGGGAATAACGGGGATTCGATCTGACACCAATTGAGACCAACCAGCTGTTGGAACTTCTTGCCATCTGGCATTATGTAACCGGGGAAGTCTGACAAAGTCATCGGCACTTTCCTCATTTGAAGTGCAAATAATAAGGGCAGTAAGAGCTGTAGAGTCAGACATTCGGTAATCATTATAAACTTTGGAAACTTGGATCATGGAATAGTGATTTCATCACATCATGTTCGAATAATCCAATAAACTCCAGGAATATTCAATCGCTTCGTCGCTTCATCGATTATGTTTTTCATTTCTGTTCCACTCATTTTTACATAAGTTCTGGGGACTTGCATAACATTCATTAAGGGGTACCCAAATATAATTACGGATGTCCGTCAAAATCTATCACCATTATTGTTATCTTCCATAATGACCCAAGTTCATACAAACTGGGCAAATCTACTAAGTGCCTAGCAATTCAGAAGCTGGTATTCTTGATATTCCTTTACTAACCCCAAATTGACCCCAGTGTCGATTTGAAAGGCTGAAAGGTAAGGATATCGTATTGAACTAATGGAAGGTACCCGTCTCTATAACCATACATCTAAAGATGAACTCCTCCCTTTATGTTCAGAGACGTAAACTCCCTGCGCTTTCGACGGGTACCCTTTCTGAGCTGTCCAGCGAGTGCGCAGAAGGCTCCCGCGACCTCGCCTTAGCATCGTCGTGTTCAATCTCAACCACGACTGTCGTGACCGTATCCATCTGAATCCCAGTTTCAGCCTGCTCTGTAATGCCTCTTAAAGACTCCTGGCTCCCACCTCTTCGGCCGCCATTCCAGCGGCCTGCTCCATGCGTAGAACGGCCGTCTCTTCCACCCCGTCTCATCAGTCGGTTGAGCCTATCGAATCCCCGAGCAGCACTCCTCGGTATCCTAGGTTGGTGTTTGTCCTCGACATCACTCCCATGAACCCCTCCCTGCACCCATACCATGTTCCCATACTTCCTCCAGTACGGCGTCCTCATAAACGCGAAGGTCTCTAGGCCCGTGTTCTCGGAGTCCGGGGGAGCGTTGAAAATAATGGAATGCCGGGTCGTCGAAAACAGAAGCACGTCCAACCAACCATTAGAAGCTATCATGGCGCCCGCCAAGCAAAAGTATGCTACGCTCACATCTTTCCCAGTCATAGTCGCAATACGACCCAAAGCCAAGGGCGCCGTGCAAAGCACGTATATGAGCGGATAGATGAGGAATGCCGGACGGTGATCCGACGGGTGCGTTCGAGCGGACGCGCCGTTCTGCCCAGACCTAGCAGTCGTCGATGGTCGGCGACGCGAATGGGATCGACACAATACTTTTCGCCCCCGAAGAGAGATGAAGACGAGAGTATATAGGATGCTAGTCACCATGATCGAAACAAAGATCCACAAGTAGTGAAGCCAGAGACGGAGATTTTCGTACCTGACACTCACCCAACACCTTGAGCAGATGTTAGCCACAGCAGCATCGAACTTGCAAACACTAAGCACAATAACGGAGATGAAATAAAGTATTCGGGATCGATTACTACTCACCAAGCTACCGCCCTCACGTAGAATCCGCCAGCCTCCTTTCCATTGTTAGTCGCGGCCACCCCAGTGACAGCCATGACATAGACAAATAACCAGAGACCAGCTATTGCAAGATGGAGCGCCCAGTGCGGCGGCCTATAGCCTTTCACAACGCTGAGATAGGTGTGGACGGAAATGGCACAAATAAAACAGCTCGCAGACAGATCTCCCGTCGACACGAACCAGCCTTGAGCCCAACAGCTCGGGCTGCCGACGATAATCTCGTTTTCCCGGATCCACGGTATGTTCAGCGCAAACGCGGTGGCCTGATGCATGTCTGCGAGCAACAGGTTGTATACGAGGACAAGAAACTGGTTCGGCCGTCGTCGTCCCGGCCCTCGCCGTTGCCGCACGTGCTCCTCCGACCCCTGGGGGATAGCGCTCTTGGATATCCCGAAGTTCCTCTGAGCTAGGCCCAACGATAGGTCATTAGCCGGCGTCTGGCGACCGTCATCTTTTGTTTCGGGCGTCCGCAGGCGCCATATTATTAATTTATACGTCAAGTACAGGAATAATGCCGACGTCGAGACGAGGGAGACGATGCCACAGACGGCGACAGCGATAAGTCCGTGGCGATGACTATTCTGTAGAGGCGAAAGAGTGTCGCTAGCGGGATCCAGCGGGCCGTAGCCATCACCATAAGCCATACCTCTCCATACGTTTTCCTTGAACGGAAGGATTTGATGGTAGAGTGAACCCGAAGGCGATCCTTCACTTCAGTCTTGTTTCCCAAGCTGCTCGAGCATCTACATGAAGTGAGAGATGTGGGAAAGTGCATACTATAAGGTCAGCTAGTTCCAGGGAAGGATACCGGGGTGAGGTCGCGTGAAAAGCGTTTCGTCCGCACCTTTCCCTTTTTAACGGGCTACGAGAACGACAAGACGGACTAGACGTAGGTTATCTTTCATGCTACCGCTCGCTAAGGTTATATGAAGACCGGCCCGGAGGCACAGCTAATGCCATACTAAACTAGTATAGAGAAGCTCGTGCGGATGCTCCACTAAGCATATACTAATATTTTAGTATAATATCTATCCTTAAAAGACACACACTTTGCGTAGTACTGCGTGTCGCTGTCTTAAGGTTTATAATACAGAAAAAATAATGTTTAAACCATACATGCTTGCTCTGTTGATCTTGTTACATGTTACCTACCTAAACACTTCATCGTATGCGTAGCCCAGATACTAGCCACGGAGAAACTAGAATTAATCCAACGGACGAGTAATTTAACAAGGTGACTTCATAGTTCCACGTCTCCTCCATTTTTCGAACAGGTTCATCCACGTTTGTGGTTTTCAATCAGGCCCATTAGGTACCCATGCTTGATTATTACCTATATAGAACGAGGATAGATATAATATGTAAGAGGAAGGTGCATTTATACTACAGCAATCAGGTTTCATACCAAGAGAAATTTCGGACCGTAATACGTTTTCTTTACGTTCGGGTCTTGGCCACATTTCAGCTCACGTCTCGCCCCCTGAAGAATTGCTGGTCGACCAATCCGCAACTTTCATACGGGGCCACTCAAAACGAAAGGGAATAGTCACAACTACTAGTTGTTTAGTAAAACTCCTTTCCTACCTTAAGCCCCAGAGGGAAAATTAAGCGCCTTTGTAAGCTTGGCGTGAAATGATTGATACTTACCTAGGTATATTTGTAGAATCTAAAGGAGCTTCATTGATGATAAGCTTGATCCTGCAGTTACCTACGAAATGGAGGAGTCTAACCTAGTGCCGAGGTTTGACGTTTTAAGTCCCGTAGTACTCTACACTCCTGAACTTATCAAGCTCAATATTTCCTAGGTTGCGGGTAACTCAGGTAGGTAGGCTAGCCTTGTGACGATGTCGAGTATAGTTTTGCACGAAATGGCTAAAAGGATGTCGTGGTATTAAACTTGAGGCTTTCCGATTCCACCCTGGCACCCCGGGACCTGGGTAACGTGGTCCCCTGTGGAGATGCAACTCAAGCAGGCCGCATACGTTTTTTTTAAAAAAAGGACCAGCGGATCGGTACCGATCGAGCTTGACGTCAGGGGCATATCAAAGTTACAATATGATATCACGAACTACAAACATACCTACCTAGTGAGAGGCGTTTTACTAAACCCAGACGACCTGACTAGTAATTGTCAACTTCAGGGGAGTGGCTCCCACCGGAACAGGAAGAAGTTTTGTATTTCCATGGGTTATTCCCAGTAGTTTCTGAGTTTAAACTCGTAATGCTGTCCGATTGTAAAAGAATGAGATTTTGGAAACCTATAGGTCATACATGTCATGTCCACCAAAGTGGGCGTAGTACTGATGCATGCAAGCCATAATGTGGTGCTAATATAAGGTTATCTTCACTTAAATGTTTACCATGTACAGAATTATCTACGGAGTTATTCCGCAGTGTCATTCATCAGCCATGACGGCTCCCTCGTTTCGTGGTAGCGATCAATGTAACCTTCGGCAGCCGACCAGATTTCCGAAGGCTAGTCTAGCTAAGGAGCCGAAGGATTACGATCTAAAATTCCATTGATAGGTTATACTAATTAGAGACATCTCGATATTACAGCTGAAAAAAGTGTGATATAATTATGCTAGACTGAGTTTTTACATGCTCACGGAGCTAAGTGAGACTTCCACCGGGAATAGCTCGTTTCTCATCAGAAAGGACATGTCTTTTCACCAAGTGAGATTTTATAGCGCCGCTGATTAAACGGACCTAGAAAATACTACGTACACACGTAGTGGCCGAAGAACGAGTCATTGATGGAAATCTCTGGCGGGTAACGGTTCCGGTCTAGCTGCTTTAACATGGCTAGCTAAGGATCAACCGTCTCCCACGCCATCCTCAGCTTGCACGTAAGCGGTAAAATAACGGAGAGCGTCATAGGACCGATCACGAAACAATCCAAGCACGCGACCCTAATGATGCTAGCTCACCCATACGGGATCCTTAGTCAGCCGAGACGTGGCCGGACCGAAAAGCGCATCAGGGTCGCGAAGATGCAGGTCTATGGCCGTATAAGCGATGAAGTTCTTAGGGGTCCGCATCTCTCTCGCCGCCTCGCGCTCGCCGTAGCGGAAGGCGTCGGTCTCCTGGATGGTGAAAGGAAACACATCGTGCCGACAGTGTAACTCCTTGGAGAGACTATCCTGGCGCATGCCGAATTTGGCTATGGGTCATCTTCAGCTAGCCGCGATATTGCGGAACGTCTTCTCGTCAAGAAGCTTGCTGCCGGCCGTATATAGCGCCTCGCGGGCAAATCCGATCTCCGTCGCGTTCTTCCCATTGATCAGCGCTTCGATCTTCTTCGGTCGCAAATCTACCTGAATTCGCATCAAAGTCCACTTCTTGATGCTGCTGCATATCTCACCGGGGCTCTCGCAATCCATGGTCGTGGACCTCGGACCTTCCACGCGGAACATGCGGGTGTCTAGTATGATATTGGCCGTCATGCGCGCAGGACATCCGTAACGTTTCCTGATCTCACGTATTCGCTTCCCCTGCCCTGCTCGGGAGGTGTCGCTTTAATGGTTTCGATACCTCTACTCGTGATGCACGATATCATCTCTCTTGCTAAGCGAAATGCGTCTCGGCTTCCATATGTTTCTATCTAGATCCAGATCACCTCCCGCCGTTGCTTGGGCAAGGTAAAGGTATCACGAGACATCGAACAATTTTACCTGCCACTCGATTATGTTGTTAGGAGGGGTGACGGGTATGGACGGAGGTATCTGAGTCTACCCAGACGCAATAGACGTGGCGGTCGTCTGCAGCATCAACTTAGAGGAGCCTGACATGGTCTATTGCTGCTTGAGTTTGAAGCTTGGTCCCGGCAAGAGCAGCCGCTTGTCGCAAGGCTCTCTCCGCTACGGCAGAGGAATCTCACATATCAATGATAGTTCGACGTGATAGTACCGACCAAAGGCAAGAGCTGGGAAGGACTCGTCATGTCGAAAGTACCACGCGAATATTCCTACTTTACAATGATGAGGAGTGTAAAGAGTCCGAGGTGATGTACTTAATGGTGTTATGTATTTGATATAGTCAATCAACGGACTTGCCTTCGGGATTCATCGCTTCTATTTGAACGCCGCGCTGAGAATGGTCTATCTATGGTAGTCTAGTTCATTCGACGGGGACGAATTCGGTTCAGCTTTAGCGTGGGCGAGGGCAAATAAATGGCATGCCTTTTGGCCGAGCAATTGTTGCTTCTATTTGTTTTTATATCTATCCCTATACCTAGTGGAAAGGGGGATAACCGAAAAGGCACTCGGTCCATCTTGGATAGTCTGTAGTGGTATGGAAGGTGACAATCATATATAAGAAGTATATATCAGATGATCAATCTTGTGAACACCTCTGTCTCGGATGAAGTTCTCATTTCGAACCTTGGTAACTGCGTAATTGCATGAGGGGTATAGGTAAAGCTACATGGTGACATATATACCTAGTTATATGCACGTATCTGTCTTAGTGATCGAATAAGACTTGTCATATATATAACGGACTACCTGACCTTGGCTTGCTTCTAAGCCTTTTGATACGAGTTACTTCGGGCGACGATCTTTTTCAAACATTCTAGAAAAAGACAAAACATTCATTCTGACGATTACATGCCTAGATTGAAGCCAAACGTCGAAGACGAAAACGAATGTCACTGTCACTCTGGAGGTCGGCTATACCTGAAGCGGTAATTTACATGCCTGGCCTCTTGATTGGTCGGGTTTAGCAGCTCCTTGCAATCTTCATCGTCCCGCATCCTATTTAGACCTAGCGTAGCCGCTGGGTAAGGTCAAATATGTGTACATGCTCTTTTTTGCCGACAGGGTGGGGATGGGGATACTTACCTAATGTACGGAGTACCGTACCGTCAAGTTAGCCAGCACTTCAGATATATGGATCTCTACCACGTCGAGATGCGAATAAGATAATAATAGATCGAGAAAACGCAGAGCTAAGAAATGTGTTCGTTTTTCTTTGGTCGAGCATTGTAAAAATTATATTTCCGTGCGATTCCAACTACTTAGGAGGTACCCATTGGAAGGTGCCGAAGTTTTAACGTTCCCTTGGAATTTGACTCTGAACCTTAATACCGTAGCGGTAGGTACACAAGCGTCGTACCTGAGGTATGTACATTCGGGTAACCCTACATGCGACTAACAAAGCGGAAGCGCGATTGGTCCAGTGACCTTTTTTTCTTCGGCGGCGGAAGAGTCAACGACAACCTTCTTTGTGTGCCGTTCCGATCCATATCTCGTAATCCACTTTCTAGCTTACCTACACCCATACAACCTACAACTAATAATTCAACCTCAATCAAGACCCGAGCCAGACTAGATTGCAAGAGATATTGCGTGTCTGTCGCCTGCGTGGATTGATCGATCCGTCGCTCATTCAAGCATCGAACCTCCAATTCGAACTCCTGCCATCAGCCTCAACTCATCCCCCCCATTTTACCGAGCCCACACGCGCGCGCATCGTTGCAGCGGACGTCACCTGCGCCCGCCGACAACCTCCCACTTCACATCGGAGCGACTACAATTGCTAAACCTACCACATGCCGCCTTCCTAAATCGCGTTTTCCTGTCTTCTAAGGCGCACCTACAACCACGGCGAATTCCCGTCGTCATAATCCGTTATAATCGTCATCATCACCGCCGTCTCCCTGCGTAAGCTGCGAACAGGTCATACGCGTGAAGGAGGTGTGCACGTCTACTTTTTCATAAAGTGATCGATATCTAAGCCTGGCCACTAAACCTTGTAGATACCTGATCGCTTCTTCCTTACTTTCCGCTCGTTTATTACCTGGTTTCGACAGCTTCATCACGCCTTCCGATCTGCGCCAAAGGCACGATACCCCTAGTCGTTCCTTCAACTCTTCCCTCTCTTCCATCCTGTATTGCCGCTATGCTTTGGTTCTCGAGACGATTCCGATAAGCTACTTTGCCTACGTTGATATCTCCTCGCGCATCTGCCGACTCATATTCATAATATAACTGCCATTACCGCAACTTACACATCGTCATATTCCTAATTCTATCGTATCTAGTAATTAGTAGCCGGAAATATACCACGATATCATGGCTGCGCCTTGTAAGTTCTAACCTCACATATTTTAAAACTCGCCGCGCCGTTGTAACAACTTGGCGTTTTCTTGACGTGATATATATATGAACCTCGAAGCAGTACCCCGACTGATAGGAGTAGTGACCGCGGAGGAGGAGACCCGTTACACGGAAATCATCGACGGGATCCTGGCCACGGCAGATCTCGAGACCGTCACGCGCAAGAAGATCCGCATGGGCCTCGAGGCTGCTCTGGGCGGAAAAGACCTGAGCGATCAAAAGGTGTGTGACAGCCTCCCGGGTTCCCACCGGGTTCCCTCGCCGCCCCGCAACCGCTCGCAACACACCGCTACCAGCGACCTTCGTCTGCTAGGCCTCCGCGTTTTGCTGACCCGTACATAGCACGCCATCAAGGCTCTCATCGAAGAGCGCTTCGACGCCATCTCTTCCGCCGCGCCGCCGCCCTCCTCGGCAATTCCTCAGCCCGAATCGGCTTCTCCGCGCCCGTCGCCCAAGCGGCAGGCCAACGGCTTCGACGAGAGTAGCCACGACGTCGAGGACGACGCTAACGGAGACGAGATCAAGGTATCGGTGCAACCGCCGAAGAAGAAGCAGCGCAAAGAGAAGAGCGAAGACACCGAAGACGCCGACGCCAAATTGGCGGCTCTCCTACAGGCCCAGGAAAATCAGCGAACTCGGGCAACCCGCGGAGGCGGAAAGCCCAAGGCGCCCGCGAAGAAGAAGAAAAAGGCGACGCCTCGAAAGAAGAGCGACAAGAAGGTCGGCGCCGAGGACGACAGCGACGTGGAGGGAAGCGAGGAGTCGAATAACAAGCCGCGAAAGGCCGGCGGAGGCTTCCAGAAGCCTTTTAATCTCAGCTACCCGCTCGCAGAGTTATGCGGGGAGCCACAGGTGAGCATATGATTCGTCAAACCTCCGGGGGCGCGGCTCCGCGGCAAGTCCAGCACTCTAACCTCGGGCCACAGCTATCCCGACCGCAAGTCGTCAAGAAATTGTGGGAGCACATCAAGGGCAACCAACTACAAGACCCCAACGACAAAAGACAGATTCGCTGCGACGAGAGGATGCAGGCAGTTTTCAAGCAGGCGAAGGTCGACATGTTCCAGATGAACAAGCTGGTGGGAAACCATCTTTATCCCGTCGACGAGGAGTAGTCGACGGGGCGGGGAGATCGTTCCTCGGTCTACGCCTTCCGAGGCGGTCCAAGGGGATGTAGGGGGGGTACGTTGTATCTACTTGGGAAACGGTTGCTAGGTATGGGCGGGTTTGGCGGCTGCATATTCACGTAGGCGTAAGATGCTTTGCGGGTAATCTCCTTCGCTGCCGGACTCGTACGTTATCAGGGAGGATTTTGTCTGAGACTACTAGAAGTCTCCGCGACGGTACAAGATTGGTTTGCGGGAGAGAAGGCGCAGAAACTTGACCAACCTACCTAAGGCGCTTGAGGGAAAGCTCGCTTTCCAAGGTAATGTCTTAGATTAGGTAACTCAATACGACTGAATTCAATAACGACATATATACTATATTGCAGTTTAGATTGGCAATGTTCGTGTTCCGCGGTGGTCAGCAGATTGGGAATTCGGCGAGCTAAATATCGTGGATAGCTTCATCACTACGGGATAGCGGGAGTGGACGGAATTTAGTAGCCTATACCCTATGTATGGTGGTTCATTCATTGCTACGTGTACCTAGCAGCCTAGGTATGTTACAATCTTGTCTTGTAATATGACATTATGACATTCCCTGCGCTGTGTCATTTCCAGGGGTTTGAGGTGGGATACACCTAAGCAAACAGGGCGATCGCGGGTAGAATGGATGTCATCTTAATTGTGGCTTAGGTGCTAACCCGTACTGCCCGTATTATAAAGCCACTAAGAATTGCCCCGCGGCTATGTGGCTATGCGAAACACACTGACCGGATGTGTCATCGCACCCACTAAAAACCTTTCCCTTAACGCACGACGTTCGTTTGCTGGTGGGATGGCTTAGGTAAGGAAGGTGCAATCCAACTTATCTATATGGATATCTCATAAATTCTAGTTGCCAGGTAGAATTAATAACCTTACCAACTACTCAAATACCTACCTACATAATCCCGAATCTTCCACCGCATTCAAATAGATCTTGACGCGTATAGTCAGCTACGTAGCCAGAAATCTCGTCTTTCTCCCCTCTACAGCTCATCTTGCGAACAATCTAATCTCTAGACGAATATCGGCCCAGCTTCATCCGTTTGCCATCCTACCGCCCGACTTTCGGGCAAGGGCAGCGAATTCCCCTTCCTCAGCTGCGACTATCTTTGGCCGCATTTCCCGCGTCCTCCACGCGTGCAAGACCACACCTTGATCATCTCGAGCGAACGGTAACGCTCCACGGCCGATCATCATGTCTTCAGCTGGCGGGATCCCGACGGACGCACCGAGCGGAACCGGGAGCTCTGCCGCGTCCGGGCCAAACCGCGGCCGAGGCGACCGTAATGCTAGGGGCAGAGGCAGAGGTCGCGGACGAGGAGACTCGGGTGCGAGAGGGAGAGGCCAGGGACGGTCGCAGCGCGGGAGAGGTAGGGGTGGCCATGCGCCGGCCGCTTCGTCCTCTTCATCCGCCGATCCTCTTCAACCGGCACACTCAGACCCAAGCAAGCCGGAACAAAATCTGCCGCAGCCTCGCTTACCGAGAAAGACTATGGATCCCGACGGAGGCGAGGAGGACGTGGAGGCCGAGGTGTGCTTCATCTGCGCGAGCCCCGTCATCCACCAGTCGGTCGCTCCCTGCAACCACAGGACATGCCACATATGCGCCCTACGCATGCGGGCATTATACAAGAATAAAGAGTGCGCGCACTGCAGAGTATGGCTAACCTAGCTGTCTTACCAACGTTCTGCCCGAGACGTAGCAAGCTAACCTCCGTCGTATTCGTAGACGCTCGCCCCGTTTGTCCTATTCACAGACGACGCAGTGAAGCGATACCAGGACTATTCCGACGCCGACGTCACCAGCGCCGACGATAATATCGGTATCCGGTACACGAACGAGGACATCGTCGGAGACACCGTCCTCCTACTGCGCTACAACTGCCCCGACGACTCGTGCGACTTTGCCGGCCTCGGCTGGCCCGACCTGCACCGGCACGTCCGCAGCGCGCACCAAAAGAAGATGTGCGACTTATGTACGAGGAATAAGAAGGTCTTCACCCACGAGCACGACTTGTTCACGGACAAGGAACTGGAGAAGCACATGCGACACGGAGACGATCGTCCCGGCGCCGTAGACCAGACGGGCTTCAAGGGCCATCCGCTGTGCGCCTTCTGCGGCCAGCGATTCTACGACGACGACAAGCTCTACGAGCACTGCCGAAGCAAGCACGAGAGATGCTTCATCTGCGACCGCCAAGATCCTCGACAGCCTCACTACTATCGGGATTATAACGCGCTGGAGGAACACTTCAAAAATGATCACTTTCTGTGCCTCGATCGCGAGTGCCTCGACAAGAAGTTCGTCGTCTTCAGTTCCGAGATGGATCTCAAAGCGCATCAGCTCAGCGAACACGCGAACTCGCTGTCTAAAGACGTGAGGCGCGACGCCCGCCTAGTCGACCTTTCGAGCTTCGACTATCGACAACCGTACCAACAAGAAAGACGCGGCGGCGGATCCGGCCGAGACCGAGACAGGGACAGGGACAGGGACCGAGACGGCGATAGGGAGAGAGACAGGGATAGGCGAGGAAGGGGTCGCGATCCGAACGCGGAACCGCTCCCGGTCAGCTCGGCGCAACCTCTTCGACGCGACGAGCTCGCTTTCCAAAGACAGATGGCCGTGCACTCTTCGCAATCCGTCTCCAACCGAACCTTCGGCGGTCAATTGTCAGCACCTTCGTCGTCGAGCGTCGCCGGGCCGCCCGCTCAGACAGCTCAGCGCGCTTCCGGTAGCTCCACGCCCGGTCCTTCAGTCCCCGTTCCCGAGATGGAGGGACTAAGCCTCGCGGATCCGAACCTCACACCGGAAGACCGCGCCCGCCTCCTGCGTCATTCTGCCGTGATAGAGCGGGCCTCGAACCTCCTACACAACGACCGGGACAAGATCGCCTCCTTCCGAAGTCACATATCCTCCTTCAGACAGGACAAGATGTCGGCCGCGGCTCTCGTCGACGCCTTGTTCTCGCTGTTCTCGGACACGTCTTCATCGGCCTTGGGCACGCTCGTCCGAGAGACGGCCGACCTCTTCGACGACAAGAAGAAGGGCGACAGGTTAAGGAATGCGTGGAACGACTGGAGAGCGATCAACGAAGATTATCCGACGTTACCCGGCCTGAGCGGCATGCACGGCGCCACAACCTCTAACACGGGATGGGCAGCCGCCGCGGCCAGCTCTCCGGTCGCGGCAGCGGCGGCACCGTCCCAGAGGCACACCACGCGCGTTCTTAAGCTGAAAAGCTCTACCCAACAATCGCGGCGCTCGAGCGCGGCGCAGTCGTCGACCATGTTCCCGAGCGCGAGCTCTTCTCGAAACCCGCCGCCACCGCCCGCGGCCTCTTTTCCCGCCCTGCCGCCTAGCAATCCCAACGCCGGCGGAGCGACGCGGCCTCCGACGACGGCTCTCTGGGGTTCCAGCGGGGGAGCTCAAACCCAGCCCAGACCCGCGAGACCCGCTAACAGAGACGAAGCGTTTCCGGCACTTCCCGCGGCGCCCAAGCCCACGACCACCATCTTCGGCTACGGGACCGGCAGCGTACGGAGAGACGCCGGGACTTCAAGAGGCACCGGGTTCTCGTGGGGATCGTCGAACGGGCCCGAGGCCTCCGGGGACAACGCGGAAGAAGACAAGGGCGACGCGCCCGGAAAGGGGAAGAAGGGCAATAAAGGTAGAAAGAAAGTTCTGGTTCAGTGGGGTTGACGATACGTAAACGACATCAAAAACGACGCTCCGAGGAACGGCTCGCATGTTTTAGTAGTATCCATAAAACTGGCAAATCATGGCTAACCCGCTCATACATAAGTTCACATGAGAACCGGAAGATGCGGAGTATGCGCCTCCGAGGTTACCAGGTGTTTACTTCGACAACAGCGAACATTCGAAGGCCTCGCGTATCGAATTCTAACCGAATTACTTCAATAGCTTCACATGTTCCTCCCATGTATGAAATATAATCAGCTTAGATTGTCCACCGTCTCATCTAATCATATACTAGCGTGACTTGATCGTAACCTACGCGATCGTTTCGATCTCAGTACAGATACTCACTTTAGCAACCCCCCGTGTCACTCCCGCCGACGCACGGCTCTCCTGTGCAGTTGAATCCGCGAGGCGACTCGGCGTTTCCGCAAAGGTAAGCCGTTGCGGAGGTCCCGTTGTCGAACTTTAGATCGACGCCGAAGAGCCCGATATCGACGCAAGGTTTGACGGCGCTACACTGAAGGCTAGCGACTTCGTCGGATTTCGTCGTGCCCGACATGTTATTTACGGTGATGTCCAGGATCTCAAATTCGGAGTTCGTGCAGTTTCCGTCGCCCGGCGCTCCCATGAAGCGCGTACACTGGGATATGGAAAACGCGGCGCCGCGCAATTCCGTGGTGAAGAGATCATCGAAGTACATACTCGAAGCATCTGGTTAGATAAGAATCCGTCAGCCTAGATTTTTTATTCTCATCACGTTTGAGATGCACGAAACTCGCTAGCGGATAGATAAACCGTTAATACTCACTCCCTAACCCTCCGCCCCCACCATTTGGCGGGTATCCGTTCTGGTCGGCGGTCCAAGTTTTGAAATATACCTATATTTCGCGTTAGCAACCGCGTAGGACTTGAACATTGCGCAAGTCCAAGGAACTGCTCACCGCGTGGAGAGTGTTGTCGAAGGTAATGTTCTTAACCTTGACCCCCCTAATATGTTCCGTGACACCGTAATACTGTCCTATGCTACCCATAGCAATGCCTTCTCCGTTGTAGAATCGGGAGTTGGTGATATTTACATCATAGCTATCCGCCTTTAGCGAGATGCTGTCATCCCCGTTGTAAACTGTCCAGTTGTTGAACGTGATATGCGAGGAGCGGATGGTGTCGGCCCCGTCAGTATTGGCTAACACGTGTTATCATCGAATGAGAGGTCCATAATACGAGGCGATTGAAACTCGACACTTACAACTCTGCACCACGTTGCCGGTATTGTTGACGAATATACTGTCCAGGATAACGTGCTCGCAATATATAAGCGACATCGTCCTTCGGAACTTAGCATCTCGAATCGCCATCTGATCCGTAGCGAGCAACATGCCCGAAGCTGCACTTACCACATCTGACTTCGTAGAAAGGTCAGGCCCCTCACCACCGAGTTCCGGAGGCCGTTGAAGGTGAGGGCGTGCGGCCTCCCGGGATAGTTGGAGGTGTTCTCTTGATGAGAGATCCACTCGTACCAATAGTCGCCGTTGCCGTCGAAAGTCCCCCGGCCATGGCCATTTAATCGAACTTCGTCGCCGCCTAGAATGAACGCCGTCGACTGGTTCTGGTAACCGACATCCAAGGAGTTATTCAACCAATATTGAATATCCGTACTCCACTGAGGTAGACGTCATCAGCCTAAGAATTCAGCATCATCATTCATGGTAAACCCAACGTACCAGCAGAGTCCCATATATGTCAATGTCGACATTGTTAAGCCACGTAATATTCATGACCGACGAGATGTAATAGGTAGTAGGCAGGAATATAACGTTGCCATCGCGCCCGCATTCCTTGAAGGCATCGACGATAGCAGGAGCATCATCCGTCGTATTAGTTCCGTGAGATTCGACTACACAAGTCTTCTTGGCCACGACCGAAACGTCCTGGACCAACGAAAAGATGAAAGGCAAGTACACGAGTTGATTCTTCATCGTGAGGTTTACGGCAAATGAGACGTTTTACTATGTCAACCTGCTCATCCCTTTCGAAAATATTTTCCTGCGAATCGAACCCTCTTTCAATGAACCCTGCTCGGCACATATCAGCAATAACACCGAGCTTCAAGGTAGCAATCCGGGGAAATTCTCCACCTCACCCCGCAAAGATTGTGGAGGAGCATCCTTCCATTTCGTTCAGGCGGCGTGAAAAGTCGACGACATTCTAGGAGGTCGGTTTATTAGAATTACCATTAAGTACCCTACGTTTAGGGGGTTATCTTCGTTTTTTCCACCACCGCGTCGGTGTATAATAAACACATCGCAATGCGTCAGGGAACACGCAAGTCACCACAACCATGTCCAGACGAGGCTCATTTTCATAACTCAACGATCCAAAACATGTCACTAGACAATTAGGGAATCCATCTTAGAGGGGATTAGCCACTGTTAATTCAGCTGAGCATTGGTATCTAGCTCGCCATTCCGTAGGAGCGACGCTCTCCTTTTCCCAATAGATCATGCCGTTTATCATGCAAGAGATCTGACACCCGCAGACGTATCACGGGAATCTCATGCATTTCATGGGGAGGCATATTTGCACACCGGTAGCGCACCAAAATTAGCATAGGTATATTATTCTAATTCCGTCGACAACTGTCTTAATTATGGAGGTGTCGTTCATCATACTGCGTTGGTACATATATATATGTGTGTGTGGTGTGGTCGGCGCTAGCAACCGTATTTCTACTTAGTAATCCACTTGGGAATAATGCTGTTATCATCATCATCATCACCATCACCACTATCACAACGTTCTTTTCCGTCTTCCTCTTCTTCTCCCACCTTTGATGTGGACGAGGTGGACTATCCACAGCGAGGACTCTCCTTCTGTCGGGTTGACGGTGCAGGCCTCTCTGCCCTTTTTCGGATGGGTTTTCTATCCTGTCCGACTGGCCATGGTCGATAGTCCATGAGTTCGTAAGTGTCCTCATCCAGTTTGAATTCTTCGAAATATCGATCTATCATCTTGAAGATGGATACACGGGTTATCTCTTTGTCCTCCGATGAGATGAACCTCTGTAGTACTAAAGCTCTCAGATCGTCCCTTAGCCTTGTAGCCAGCCCGAAATAATTTCCCTCCTTTGCCAACACAGCTAAGTGCCTGTGCACCAAGTCATTTCGCTTCCCGTACATAGATATGGCTATTCTTATTCCTTTATAGTTAGGTATCTGGGCGTATTTAGCCAGCATCTTGATGAGGTCGGTCATTGGGGCAGGCGGCTTTCCAGGGGACTTCAGTTTTCGTCCCTCCAACGTAAGGATTTCGTCGATTTGACTCCATGTTTGTGTAAGAAATTCTCGCATGGCATGGGCCTCGGAGTCTAGATGGGTCGGTGCTTTCCCATTTTCCCTCATTGCCTTTTTCCGGGTTTTCTTGGCCTCTTTTGAGACTTCTAGCGCTGCCTTCCTCAAGTCTCCTACCGCGTTGGCGAAATAATCACCATACCTTAAGAAGAATCCGTCCTTGGATAACTTTTCGAGCTTCTCTCGACACTTGGCGTATTTACAGTCCGTTTCTAGTCGACGGCACATTTCATCTTTGAACCCTGATAAGGCGCCCCTTACTCCACGCACGAGTGGCGTGTCGGCAGTTTCGAGATCTTCACCAATTCCCTCCAAATTTTCGACGATCTGTCTTGCTCTCTCTTCCGTCAACGGACTCATAACTCGTTGGCCGGTCTTGTTTTTTTCGATCAGCTCTCGGAGCCATTGAGTAATCTCTGTGATGGGTTCTTCGTCGTTGCTTGCAGCGAGGTCTGCTCCACGACGTTTCTTAATATTAAGAGGGGACAGTTTTGTTTGTTGGGACATTGGAGCCAAAGAATATAGGTTGTATAGCTTCGGTTACGATAATGGCAAAGGATGCCAAGATTTGCAAGTCGTGGAAATGTTATGGTTTGGTATGTCGATAGTACTTGACTAAAATCCAACATGTTAAAATCACAGGAACCAGAGTTGGGTATTTATACACATACGTTCTTTCATTATGTATTGGTATATAAGGTTCAAGTGGCGTTCAGAAGGCGTATTAAGCCTTGAAATGACATGGTGGGAGCATGGTTTAAGTAAGTTACATCTATTCTTTCCCATTACCTATTGAAAGTATTCAAGATGCATTGCATGGATCAGCAGCTACTCTTTGGCTCGGACCATTTTGAAAGCCAAATTGGCAACTTTCTATCGTATAAATTCGTTACTACAACGGCTCATCCGGTAAGTGCCCATGGCATGAACTAAGTATTTAGCTTGAACTGACTTTCAAGGAAACTTCAGGCTCCGAAAATGTCTAATGGTTGGATGCATGTCTAACCACGATAACGCGATCGCATCCACCACGTCCATTCCCATCATACGGCAACAACTACATCTAGCCTTTCACTACAGACAACATGGGCTACCCAGCGTGGTGATGACTTCGAGCTTACTGGCGCTGTCGGAGTCCCCGAAATAACTTTTATCACATTAAAACGTTTCTCGGTAGAATTGATGGAGCCCTGATGCGAATAAGAGAACACTGATTGCTAATGCAATGCAAAATTCGAACTACTGTCCTATTTGATGGAAAGATTAACAATGTCACGCCCCACTTTACCCCTTTTACTGTAGTTGAAGCTGTAGTCTGATTGGACTGCGGTTGATCTACAGTTGACATAATAGTCTAATTGAACTACAATTGGCTTACTGACTATTCGAGCTTCGGTCAACGAATTCCTTCGTTATCTCGCAATCTCGCTCTCTAGATCGAAATGCGGGAAGCGACTTGCCTAAGAATTTGGACCTTGTGGAAAGGATCTTGAATCGCTATTCCGAATTTCTTTTAACATAGATTCAAGGTTTTCCAGTTACATGACATTTATAGTTATCCGAAAAAGTTATGCGTTTTATTACAATATAAATGTAACATATCTATAATGCGCGGTGCTGCCATTCCTACTAAACCATTCATTGCACGAGCCATCGATGTGTCATCTCTTCGAGTTTTGAAATAGCAAGCCTTTTGAAGAAGCCCTGTCCTAGGACGACGTCACTACTTTCGTCTCGCACACGTTTGTACATCCTTTCTGTCAAGTCCCTTCTTCCTTGGAATGAAAAGACCTCGCTGAACTCGTCCATGGACTGAGTATTCAAAGTGTCTGCCAGGTTCTGCTTGCTAAAGAGCAGCGTTGTCGCACGTGTGTACATTTCGTCCCCCTTTTCTCGCATGCCCACGGCAAGGTAAGCATCACCTAAGTGCTTGAGCTTGTACCAACCTCTTTCTTCCAATCTTTCTACCTGGTCGGGGGAGAACTCGGCGTTTTGCCTGATCAAGTGCCTCATGGCTCCGCTGTTGAACTGATCAACTGCCTGGGTCAGTTGTGCATCGAGCATCGTGCTGTCTGCTTCCGCAAGTTGATGTATAGTATACTTCTCATAAGTTTTTGGCAGCGTGCCTGGATGCCACGGGTCTCCTTGCGAGGCTCTCAGACGCTTTTGCTCGAAAAAGGCGTCTTCCATCTCATCTGCCTTATTGAGCAAGTCGCACGCATTTCGCCCCTCACAGGATTTCTCGGTTTCTTTGCCCAGTCGAATTTCATAACAGCCCCAAGGTGCAATTTGGTCCAGCTCTATATCACGGTCTCTGTCGTATCCTCGAGCCGACACCACGGCGCCAACATACATGCAGTCAATGATGGCGGAATAGTCCGCGCCCTCATCCAAGCCAAACGTTGTTACCAGTAGGAACGGCTCTTCATCGTTGGTTTGGGCGGCGCCTTTCAGTAGCAGGCAGCATTCCCAATGAATAAGTGCAGACTGGACCCTGAGAAGTATTTCAGGATGGCGACCATAAGGCTGTAATGTTCTCTGTTCGACTTCAGCTTGGCTCAATCCACGACAGCTCCAAAGGCCCGTCAGTATCCCTTTTCTGTCAACCTCAAGCATCCGATTCCCTTTCGTATTGGTTAGGTCACCATTCATGTCGGTTCCTATGTCCATCGGCATGTCGTCAAACGAAGCGGGACACCACGAAAACGGCCCACATTCGAACATGGTTGATTGACCATGTAACAGGCTATTGTAGGGCACAGAGCCCAGGTGCACAATTATCTTGCGGATGATTTCGCTCTCGTCGTCGGTATAGTCCCATTTGACCTTGGCCAGTAATCCAGTAATTACAGTACGGTCCCTTAACCAGCTTGTTGTCCTCGGCCTCAAGATGGCCAAGAGATCGGTGATATGATTCGTAGCCTCACCACGCTTACGGACACGACGAATCATGCAAGATGCTAGCCAATGGGTGCGTGATACAGTGGCAGGGCTGCTGGCAAGAATGTCAAGTTCCAAATCCTTAATATCAGGTGTCATGGGGTCCGAACCCTTGAAAAGAACCTTTACTGTGTTGGACATAGCAAATTCCAAAGCCGTCCAACCCCTTGTAAACCATGGAGACAGCATGATTGCCAGGCAAGCCGTTCCGGGATCGGTATAGTCTGTTGCCAGAAGATAGGAGTCGTGCACCACCGTAAACTCTGCGTGGGCGTAATTGTTGTGCATTTCGCTCAGTGCTTGAGCGCGGGCCTTATCATCGAGTGGAATAGAAAGCGTGTCCCACCAAATGGCAACACAACCAAGCCTACGTGCCAGGTTTGCAAAGTAGGTAGAAAGACAGCGATTCACTCGTCCGTGGCCCTCGATTCCAACACCAGTTCCATCTGACCAGACATGTGAGATAGCGATGTATTTTTCGTCCGCTCTCGCCAGTCGTGGATGCAAGAGGTCCAAGAGCCAGGCTGTTTTGTTTCCACGTTCGACAGCTGGTAAAAGGTCTGCCAGGTCAAATAGGTGTAAGGAACACTCGGTAGTATCGGGACACTTATGTAGTTGTCCAACTCTTGTGGTGTTCATGTGGGCAACCTGACATCGGGTTGGTGTACAATGCTGATGTCGCCCATCGTGATCGTGGCAGAGGGCTCTGGCTTCACCCAAAGCATCTACAATAGCTGGAAAGTCACTGAGTGTCCGCTCGGCAAGACTGACAGCATTCCACAGCTGAGTCTTGCAAATCGTCAATTGCCTCGCTTTGTTCCGCGCCTCAACATTGCGACGGAGGCTGATGTGAGGCGGTAGAAACTGATGATCCCATTTTTCAAAGCCCAAATCGATGCCCATAGAGGACTGGATCATTGCCATCCAATGGACGAGATCACAGATACCCACCAAATCGGAAATGTGGGTTCCGAACCCGTCACGATATTCACTAAATTGTTCTGGGAAATCCCTGTATTCTCCCAAGATGCGTACGCAGCCTCTGACCGCGTTCGCTAGGTGGAAATGGACGAGATTTGTCTTCGTGTTTCTGTTTATACGGCAGGTGGCCTGGCAGGACATGGCCACCAGTGCCCAATCTCGGAACGCTTCCCAGCTGCAACCGGGAGCAATACTAGCCATGACCTTCTTCTTTTCCAGACAACCTGCATGTTGGCAGGCGCGAACGCGAGCGTCCTTGCAAAGGATACCGAGAAGTGGTATCACGCCGAGCTGAAATTTCCCTCGCTCCTCCGCAGGGGCTGATGTAACGTTATGTCCCTTCAGCCACATATCAGCGCGGGGGTTGGAGTTCAGGCATCCAGACGCTTCTTGTTGACAGAGACAAGAAGGCGCCTCAAGGAGGCAATCGAGTGCGTAGAAGCGTACGTCCGAATGATCACATATTCGTTGTGTGGTCGAAAATAACATTTCATAATACTTATATACATCCTTGTCTTCGATTGAAACCATGTCGTGCACTTTGCTTTAACCATTATATTACGGTCATTGCAATAAGTGCTTAAATAATTATATTATAGTTATTAAAACACTTTAATAATTAATAAAGATAATTATACGATATTTTTACGTTAAAAAAACGATATTTTTTTAATTAAAATTAATTTATAATTATAACGTTATATTAATTAATTTAATAATATTTTTATCGTATATTTTTAAATTATTTAATATATATTTATTTATTTAATAATTATTTTATTATTTAATATTTTTAATTAATTTTAAATTTTAATTTTAAAATTATATTTATTATTCGTTTAAAAAATATATTACGTTTAAACTTTTTTTTTAATTACGTAATTAATTTTTATTTAATTAATAAATAATTAATAAAAAACCGATAAAAAATTATTAAATAATATTAAAAATTTAACGTTTTAATAAATAATTTAAATTGATTTATATATTTAATTAAATATATATTTTATAAATTTATTATATTTTTTAAATTATATAATATTTTATATATTATCGGTATTATATTTTATATATTTATTATTATTATTATATTAATTATATTTTTTATTTTATAATTATAATAATAATTATATAAAATATTTTATTTTTTTTATAAATATATTAAAAATAATTAATATTTAATAAAAATAAATAATTATTTAATATAAATATTAAATAAAACGATATTATAATAAAAATTTATTATAAATTTTAAATTTAAAAAAATTAATTTAACGTTAATACGTTAATATAAATAATAAAAATAATAAAATTATTAATAATAAAAATATTAATAATAAAAATAAATTATTTATTTTTATTATTTAATTATAAGTTTAAAATAATTATTATTAAAATAAATTTTAATTATATTTTTTTTAAATAAAATTTATAAATTTATAAATTATTTAAAAAGTTTTTATTATTAAATTTTTTTTAAATTACGGATTCGTTTAATTTATATATTAATTTTAAAGTTATTTTTATTTATTTTTTTTAAAAAATTAAAAAATAAATAAACTTTTATTTTAATATTATAATTACTTTTTTTATAATTTAATTAATTTTATTTTTATTTTTATTTTTTTTAATAATTATTAAAAAAAATTATTATTTTTAATATATTTTTAATAAAATTTAATAACGATTAATAAAAGTTTTTTTTCCGGGAAAAAAATTTAATAAAGTTTTAATTATAAAAGTAATAATATAATGTTTATAATATAAAAAATAATAATTTGACGTTAAATTAAAATTAAATAATATTTATATTAAATATTATAATAAAAATAATTAAAAAATTAAAAATAAATTTTTTTTTATTTAATAAGTTAGGGTTAGGGTTAGGGTTAGGGTTAGGGTTAGGGTTAGGGTTAGGGTTAGGGTTAGGGTTAGGGTTAGGGTTAGGGTTAGGGTTAGGGTTAG